GAGCGATGACGCGCGACGCGTGGCCGCAACGAGGCCACCGAGCTGCAAGGAGCACCGACATGCAAGACCCGCCGCAGCCAGGCAAGAAGTGGAGCCACTGGGACAGGAACCACAGGACTCACCTCCAACCGACACCAAACAGCGAAGAACGGGTGTTGGCCGTCCCCAATTCCTTCCATCCCACCATCCAACTGCTCCCATACGATAGATACGGCCATAGAAAGACGAAGCGCCGTTCAGAACAACGAGACACGCGCGAGATCACGGGCGTCGAGCGATGACGCGTCACCCAAGTCAAACGGGCCGGCCAGCAAGACACGCGACCCGAAGGCGCCAGGAAAGCGCAAGACCTTCGCCAGAGACCCAAGACGAGCACACGGCGCTCGTGGGGTAGGGCAGAGCTCGTCAAAGACAGTGTGGTGGTGGTCGAGAGCAAAGAAGTAAGTGTGAGAACGTTGATCGGGGACGGACCGAGTCCGCCCGGTGACCGACGATCCGGTCGGATTAAACCGAGATCGCCGACGAGATTGGATAGACTGCTGTATGGCGGACGAGGCAAGCCGATAACGACCATCTCTGGCTTAGCCCCAACGAGATAACGACGATTCAGCAATGATTGAGCTTAGATAAGGAGGTAACACACAGATAAGGCTCAGATAAGCGAGAAAATAGAAATAAAAGGGTAATAAGACAGTGGGGAACGTGATCAAGTATGCTACAAACTCGAACTTAAGTGAGAAAAGGGAGATAAAATTCAAGAAAACTCTAGATAAAATTCAGGAAAATTCAGGACAATTTTACAAAGCTTGGTATATACAGAGAAGTCCAAGGGATATCAGACTCTATTATAGACATATGGTTGGGAAAAATTATGAATCTAGAGAGAAGAAGCACACAGATAGTGAATCATCGCTATCAGGAACTGGAACTCAAATGTTCTTGCATGGCATACAACAAACCCAGTGAAAAATGTAGCTGGAAGTGATGAAAAATGTAGTCAGAATATTGTTGCTTCAGATGACCGAGGACGGTCAATATTTATAAAAAGGGGAGATAATGAGCCGTCAATATGACAACTGGTGAATAATGCCAGGAGGGCTCTATAAATCCAGTTTGAAGCACAAATAATCATGCCATATGTATAGAACTTCCAGTAGAATTGTTCTAGACTTTAGATCTATTCCAGAAGGGACCAGCCAAGCGGTCTACACAGTTCTGGACCGATTCTAGCCATAGACCTGGTCTAGAAACTGAACCGAATAAGTGGTAACATGTCTGTATTTGGCAACTCTGAACCAGGACCTATATTAGAACATTCCAGAAGTCGGACTAGAACATTCTAGAGGCGGATCAGCGGATCAAGTCACAGTGTCACACATTACATAATTATTTCCAGAGTAGTATATAAGGAGCCCTGTAAATTAGATAGAATAACAAGGACCCCCTGGCGGACCCTCCTGATTGTGACAGCTACCAGTATCACATCAGTTAGGTTTAGAGGGGAAAGTTTCAAACCAATACAATCAGTGTCCTCTGATTGTGACACCACCACCGTCACATCAGTTGGATTTCTTTAAGTGCAAGTGCAAGTGCAAAGTGCAAGTTCAGGTTTAAGTGCAAAGTGCAAGTTCAAGTTCAAGTGCAAAGTGCAAAGTGCAAAGTGCAAGTGCTAGGAGAGTAGAGCCATATTGCTCCTCTCAAATATCAACTCCTCACCCAACAACTGCTATTGCTCTGTTCATCACAGTGAAAACCTCAATACAAGCTTTTACAACATCCAATTACAACTGATATCAATAAGAACATCTGAATCTGTTAGCCGTTTCCTGCGGCTCGAACCCCGAACACAAACCGCACAAAATTAGGATTTGAATAGTTAGGTTGAAGGTCCTAGTGATCTCCTTGATTGCTCATTTTCTACGTGTATTAACGCGACGCGACATGTCTCGTGACCGCAACACTGCCCGTGACCGCGACACCGCCCGCCTCGAGGAGAAGAAGTTTGCTTGCTGGGGGTCATGACCGCGACGCGACGCGACATGTCTTGTGACCGCGACACTGCCCGTGACCGCAACACAATTCTGGGCCACCTGGATGGCTGTCCTGTGTATGAGTAGTTTGAGTCTGCAGATTATGTTGGAAAGGGAAATTATGCAAGAATAAGTCTCTTCATATATTCATAGATGTATTGTCTTACCCCAACAGCTTGTATTCAATAAGCACTTAGAGTCTCTTCATAGATGTATTGTCTTGTGACTGTGACGCGACGCGACGCGACGTGGAGGGAGCCACTGTCCCAGCCAGGAGGGAGAGGATTGTTCCCCAAGCCTGAGGAGAAGCTGGGTGGATAGAACCCCAGGGTGTGCCTGTCCAGAGTGGAGAATGCCATGTCTGGGGGGAGCACACCTGTGGAGAATGCCATGGGGTGTGGATGAAGTCAAGGGAAGGGAGGCACAATCCATAGCTTGGCCTTCCTCCCTGTGGCACTATCCATTACCCTTCCCTCAGCTGAGTGGGACTATCCATCATGCCACTGGGATGCTTCCACCAGCTCTGCTGGCTCCACCATGGAATCCTCCACCAGTCCTTCACCAGGGGTGGTGGAGCTGTCCACCAGCCCTCCTCCCAGCACAGAGGAGCCTTCCACCAGTCAACAATGATCACATGAGTGTTCAATTTCCTATTGTGGAACCTGCGGGGGACGATGATATGCCTCTGATCAGTATGTACAACAAAGCTTTCTGCTCTATCTGGTCTTGTCTCTGTTTAGCCTTTGGCATCAATTTGATAATTTTTGGTTCAATTCTCCATCTTTGCACTTTTTCTCTTTTTACTTCTTGTTCCCTTTCTTAGTCCTGTTCATGCCCCATCCTTCAAAGCCACCCAGTCTTATGGTCAGAAATTAATAATATATTTAAAATGGAGTCATAGGCGAGACTCCAGTCAAGAATATCAAGGGATTATTTATTCATAGGCAAGGCTTCAAGCAAGTGCATCAGTAGTAATTTGCAGAGAAAATTTAATTTTCTGAGCCAGCAAATAAGCTGATACCAGGGCTGTCATCTCTATGGATCATGTATTGATAGGCAAGGCTCCCAGCCAGCCTACTAGTAGGGAAGATTCAATTTTCTAAAGGGGCAATTCATTTAATAAGGCTATCATCAGGCTCTCATTCTGCAAGCTACAGTACAGTGAACATGGTCAGGTCCATTGCCCTGGGTAGCCACTATACCATACAAGGTCCAACACCTACCTAGACTGGCTCAGCTGCACTACACAGGCAATAGTGTAGGCAATACTAAGGTTCAAAATAGGCAGTTATGGTGGCAACCTCCACAGTAATGTGACGTGACAGGTGGGGAAGCCTCCACATCCGGTGGTAGGATCCCGGCCAGTGGAAGGGCTCCACTTTCTAGGGGATCATAGGTGGAGGGTTTGCCAAGGTACATTAACCTTATTAGGTTTGGGTCAGGGGTAGACTGAGGTGGTAATATGCCCATAACAATCTGAGACTCACATTCGTAGTCACAAAATATTGGCGAATATCAGATTTTACACTAGACAAAGTGGTCTATAGTCATTGTTACTCATTTTACGATAGAATAAAAGCATATATACACACCTTCTTTGCTTTCTTCTTGGGCTGGGGTTGACCAGATTGGTCGAAAATCTGAGCCCACTAAACAAGATTAGATCTACTATAGAGGATGAAAAGAACCATACTTTTCGTTTGGCCTCTGACATAGAGGCTAATAACACGTCAAAAGACGCGTATTTTGCGTGTTTGCCTTGAAGATAATGCTTTTTGAGTCCAGTAGAACAGAAAGGTGTTGTAAGGGCAACCCCGGAGGCCTGAGATCAAGGTCCTAGCAGGGGAGGATCCAAAGAGTGAATAGAAGTAAGCAAATACAAGTGAGGCTGACCTAGCAGGGGAGGATCCAAAGAGAAGAAACTCTAAGGGTCCGCCTGCTAGGTAGCGGAACTATATACTGCGCTCTTGACGCGCCAAGGTTGATCGTTGCTCCGTGCAGTATGCCTGCGCCATGTCGCAGGCCAGGTCCCAGGGGGATCGCCAGGCGGGGGCGGCGATGCGCCTGACGGAGGCGGTGATGCGATCACCGGAGTCGGAGCCGGAGTCGGACCGGAATCGGAATCGTCTCCGAGGGGCCGAAAGGGAGGTTCCCCTGACAGGTGTTATGGACTTGTCACATCATATTTACGTATCATCCTTCATCTCTCATGAGCAATGGCGTTTTCCTACTCTCTTCCACTACCCACCAAGCTGCGTATAGTGTGTCGATAGCATCATGGAGCGGCGCTCATGCAATGAAGGGGACGACGGAACAATTGTTGAGATGTTGGAGGCGCCCGCACTGTAACACTTGCAGTTGACGTGGAATCTAGAGAACGAACCCTTGGCGCAGTGGTAGCGCGTATGATTCCAGCAAAGGACATTTCGTCGTTCTCTCGGTTCCATAAGGTCGTCCGTTCAATCCGGGCAGGGTTCAGTTTTCTCAATCATCTTTTGGTTTCTTCCTCGTCCCCCTACCTCTTTTAATTTATTTCTCTCAACTCTGGCAGTTACTTGACTTTTATGTATCTTCTGGGGAATAAATTGCCTGAAGTTGCCTAGCCGTCCTTGAAAACTTGTTGAAAACATAACTTCCTGCTTGTGTCCCAAAAAGGAAATTTATTTCACTGTGCAAGTTCATTATCCCAAGATTCATTGATCCAAAATGTGTTTTCATCCCTTTTGGCCCCCCCAAAATTCTTTGAATCACTATCCCCCATCCATCGACATACTACACATTACCCTCTCCATACTTAACCCTGCACTTGTCGAAAACTGGAATTTGAAGTTCATTTCCAAAAAAGGGAATTTTTCGACAGGTCCGTTCGTCTCCCGACTTTGTCTATCCCTTGTCTTTCCGCTCTACTTCAAAACGCCGATATCCACTGTTTCCGCTGCGAACACTTCCAGATCTTATCCGTGCAGCTTTATGCCCAAAATTCGCGCTCGCCTCACCAAATTCATCCAACGCCTCGTGACCATCGTCACACCTTCCTCTATGAGCACATCCACCGCGTCTGGACGGCCAACAAAACCTCTTCCGAATGGACCAGCTCCTCCAGCACCGGCCGCAGCTCCTCCAGCCCCTCCACAACAAGCCCGACCCGCCGCTAATGGCCATGCGAAGGGGAAAAAGAAGACGGAGGCACCCGTCGACCCTGCAACAATGTATGAAAGTTTGAAGAATCGCATCGCGGCCCTTGAAGAAGAGGAAGTTCTGGAGGAAGAGGAGGAGCGAAAGTTCAGTGCGTTGACCCGCGACTTGCGTCTTTCCATGAGGCTGATCCAAAACAGCTGAAGAGGCACAAAAGTCGGTCAAGGGCATGAGCGAAACAGCCATTCATGCGAAATATATCGAGCTGGTGAGATCCCCAACGCGCTCCGCGATACCTTATACCAACGACCGATCTATGTACCCTCCAGTTTGCGGAGTTCAAACGACTAGAGCGGGACCATGCAAAGGAAAAGCAAAAACTCATGAAGGACAAAGACGCAGCAAAGAGCCAGCTCACCAAAGCGAACCAGGCCAAGACCAAGGTGGAGAGTCTTGCGCGCGAGTTGCAGAAGGTGATTGTTCCTTGCCAGCAACATGCTTCGCTGAGGCATGGTAATCCAGGACAATAAGCGACTTCGGGTAAGCGGAGCGCCACGGCCAGAACTCATCTGACCCTGCTCAGGAGGATGGAAAGCGGTTGGCACAGTCGGTCGAGGATGCACAGGACGAGGTGCGAGTTACGCTTTCACTACATTCAATTTTGGTTGTTGAGCCACTCCAGCTCATCCAGATGCGCAACGACATCACGAAACGCGCGGAGAAGGTCAAGGCACAGGACGCCAAATACCGAGAAATGCCGGACATTGTTGTCAAAGTCGTTTGTCGATATCGTGCCGAGCTCTTCTTCAAAATTTCACGCAAGACAAAATTGTCGCGTCTGTTCAATGCCTGGACCGATAGGATGGAGAAGACGGGTGGGAAGAAAGCGAGCAATGTGTCTGAGAGTGCATCGGTCAAGTCCGATGCTCCACCTGCTGGCGGGACGATGCAGTTCATCTTCACTCACAACGGCCGAACCGTCGAGGCGGATCAAACTCCGGAGGAAGCTGGCATGGAGGATGCAGACGAGATCGTCGCAGTAGAGCTGATGGATCTCACAGAGGGTCCTGGAACGGAGGAATGGGTGTGTCGCAACTTCACTCATTAGTCACCGTCGAACTGAATCGGGGTAGGAGGACTTGGCAGAGCCTCGTCGCCTCAAACTCAAGAAGAATTGGACAGACGATCCTCAAGAGTATGTTATCATTGCAGACATCCCACTCAGAGTGTCATCAACTCGGTTCTAGGGCCAAGAGGTCGCTGACTGAGATCTTCGACGGCGTGTGCGCTGGCATTTTCTCCGCATGAACCAATGGTTGAAATGTTTCTAGTGTCCGTGAACGGCTCAAGGAGGTCCTCCGTCAATACGAACTGAGGGAGCGTCATTTCGAATGCGTCATTCGCTCGAAAGAGTTAGAAGTGCTCCTATCTCGTGCTCGCGCCGCTGAGCAGAAACAACTTGCCGAAATAGAGAAAGCCCGTGCGGAAAAGCAGTCTGAAGAGGTCCAGCATCTGTCACGATACCGTTGTCAGCTGAACTCATGCAGGGCCTAGATCCAACAGGTGAGGAAGGATCTTGAGGAAGCGCAGACCGGCCAAACAATGCTCATCGACAAACTAATACAATGCTCCAAAGAAGTATGTTCATCGGCCTCTTCTCATTTGTGCTACTTTAACATTTTCCAGCCTAATGCGGAGAGAACCCAACGACTGTTTGCATCACTCCGCGAGGAACTGGAGAAGAAGGGACCGAAACTTAACAAAGCTCCTGCGCATGTGGAGGAGGTTGTAGGAGGTTAATTGTAGGTCTGAATTGAGCCGTTTCTGAAACTTGCAAACTCGTCCTTTGTCCTGGCAAGATACACATTACTAAAAAGGTATGAGAAAGTACAAAGCCGTCCGTTAATTATTTGCAGGTCCGTGTTAAAGTAGTGTTCCAGCCCCATTCCTTCTACATCAAAGCGTCCAGTTCCACCAAATCGCTCACGATTCCTGACTTTGTGAATGTCTTGCCCTTGATGCCTTCCAATCCCTCCCCAGCGTAACTCACCAGAGGTGAGATTTCAATCTCAACGCCCTCCGATACAGTAGCACCGGCCTTGCGCAAGAAACGCGTTTGCTGAGCCAAGATGTCCCGTCGACTTGTCTCAGGGTCATCTGAGCCGGTGCCTGGGGCGTTCTTCAGTGGACTGAACTCCTCTTCTCGTGATACCTCCAACACCGAGAAGTGCTCAGTGAAGGGGAAGACATCAAACACGAACATCTCCAGCTTCATCCCGTTGGGCTTCGTGGGCTTGACAGTCTGGCCGGTCTCCAAATCGACGTAGGGGATTTTTTTGCGGGCGATGTGGAACGCAAGCTCCTCCTCAAAGGCCTCGACCTTGTTCAAGAACTCGGTCGTATAGAAATGGTTGACGATGTTGGCTGCGCGGAACGCAAGCTCTCCGGTCTCAGCATCCCGTTTCTCGGCTTGTGCGGTGGTGATTTCGGAGTATTCAACAACACTGAATTTATCTCCACGGCGGGCAACAACGCCGACTGACTCTGTCGGAGAGATTTTGGGGACGACCTTCGCGGCACATTCTACCTGTTTAGCGATGCTGTAACCAATAAAGACTGGGTCAGCCACGCGAACGAGGCAGTTGTCGACACCATATGCATGGATGAATTTGACGCCTCGTTTGGTGAGATCGGTGAGGACGGTGTGTGACTTGTCGTTGGAAGAAATGGGACTCCGTGTAGCGGCATAGAGACCACCGTTGCCGCCTGGAGCAACCGCGACGCGGGACGGTGACTCCAAAATAACTTTGCCATCCATTGTTAGACAGGGCAGCGTGCCTATGACGGATTAGAAACATGCGGAAAACGTGTGTTATTATTATAGGCACCTTGTTGGAAGAAGACCACATTCTTGGAGTCGAGCCCGAAGTAAGAGTTCTTTGCAAAGTACTCCGTCGTGTCGCCATGGGTTGGACCACTAGTCATGATATACCAAGGTATAATGACAGAGCCGGCAGGTTTCTTGTGTGTCTCTTCCGCAACGGTCTGCAAGCGGGCGATGCGTTCAGCTTGGATTTGGAAGAGCGATTTGTGGGAGGGGAGACCGATGTCGTAGCACCCTTTGGGTGCACTGCTTCCAAGACGAGTACCTTGTCCACCAGCCATAAGCAACACGCCAACACTGCCGGCTGCAATAGCCTCCAAGCCAATAGCCCTCCACTCTGTTTCCTTGCCAGCTTTCACTGAATCAGAGGCGTCTTTTGGGAGGGGCTCGATAGGATCGTGGGCGCCAGAGGCAGCCGCATCCGTTTCTGCCTGAACGGACTTGGTGTAAATGCGATTGACGCGTTCAATATCGAGTGAGGTGAGTTGTTCGGCAAGCGAGGCTTGCTCCGATTGCGAGAGGGTGTCCCAGAAGTTCAAGAGGTGGGCCTGGCCAGCGGCCTCGTAGCGCGAATGAAGCTCGGAAATGGACATGGTGGAAGGAGAGAGGAAACAGTATAGACGCGACGGGTTTTTATCCAAGTTGCCAACTAACGACGTAGTGACATCGCTTAGCACCGCTTCTTGGCTCTGCCTTCTGAAACTCTCAACTTCTGTATGAATGACACAATAGGTGTGCTCAATTCTTAGATCCCACTTCTACTTCACTTGTAGATGTGTCGTAGAAAGGCTAACCGAGCGTTAAGCGCGGTGATATCAAACGGTGTGAGAGCCACTGAGAGGGGGCTTGATGCTGGCTTCATTTTTCAGTGTGATGATTTACTTAACAATTGGGCAAATCTCAGTCAGATTGCAGCTGGTTTATGCAAATCTATCTCACTGTACTCATAGCAGGGAAATTTGAACTAAAATTTGGCTTGCTAAGGTTCTGACACAATTTGATCGCACTGGTCGGCTGTGCTCGGCTAGCACTTCTCTGACACATCTACAAGTCAAGTAGAAGTGGGCTCAAGAATTGAGCACACCTAATGAGCGTCCCATCCTTGCATTCGACATTGAATCCCATCCAGAGCACTGTTTTGGGTGGCTTTTTGCCGTTCCGCAACTTCAGAAAATTTTGAATGCGTCCAGTTCAGGCCGCAATTGTATGGTTTCTCCGCCAGCCACTCTCGCTATGCATTAAGACACAGATAAAGAGCTCCTTTCTCCAAATCCACACGACTAAATACGTTCGAAGCACGTCACGCATGCTTCAATTTCAAGGGTAAGTGCCCTCCGCGACCATCGACAACAGGTTGCAGCGTCGGTGAGATCTTTTCTTCGACGTGGGCCCCAGTATCGAGCAAAACAAAAGACCGGATTAGTGTTGCAACAATGATCTTGAATTCGAGCACCGCTAAGAGAGTTGACACGGCTTTTAATCAGGCAGGTGGAAAGACGAACCTAATCTCCACCCAACACAATTTCTTGGGCCGTCACAAAAAGTTAAAAGACCACTCCACCCATGGGGGAGGGGAGGCGCAGAAGTATCGCGTGTCTCAAGCCACCGCGAGGGATCGAATATAGGACCAGTAGACCCCCACACCGCTGGATTGGTGTTCATGGTCGTAAACGGGACATGTATCACCTAGTAGAAACAGAACTTGTGTGCTTTCGAAAGCTTTGGAGCTATGAACACACCTGGCCCTTCTGAACCCTGAAGGTATCGCCAATTCCCGGTATTGGAGTAGAAAGTGGTATAATGTCATCTTCAAGCGCTAAGCGTTCAGTTTGAGGCGAAGCTGGGTGCATGCGAAGGCTTTTCCCTCCAATTTAGATATTGTTTGCAAGTAGGGCAAAAGAACCCTCACCCTTCTTTGACAACGGCATCAAGGTATTCAAGTTTTTGGATCTCGTCGTAGGACATGTCTCGAGGGTGTGCCAAGATTTCAGCGCGAAGGCGGTCCTTTACACCGGTTTAGCTCAAGCTGACGAAGGTGGACTTGACTTCACCTGGTATTCAGGATTACGGGCGAGCTCCCAAAGAGTAAAGGCAATACTGCCTGCGGTGGTCTCATGACCAACCATGCTAGAATGGCAACGCTATCAGTCATTGCGCCACGTAAACCAGCGACACCAACGTGAAAGTCGAAATCTGTAGGTGGTCAGCTCAAGAGACGCATTTAGCCAGGTACAACTCACATTGTCCAAAATTTGGGAGTCTGTGAGCCTCTCTGACGGATTTGCAGACTGTCTGTTTCGCAGCAACATATTGATAATATCCTTCTTGCCGCTCTCTACTGTGGTATTCTCTTGATTGCGTGCGACGGCATTGAGTGTGGCTTGCTCTCGATCGAGGATCTGACGACCGATACGTGTGACGATGGTTTTAATGACGCCTTGGCTCTGCATCAACGGAAGGGGCGCCTTCGTCACGATAGGTACTGCACGGACAACGAGAGGAGCGAGAAACCCAAGCCATTGAAGTCCATTGTTCACGTGCTCAGTCCAAGAGGCGCTTATGAGCGCGGCATCGGAGCCTGGATGAGCTGATTGTGCAACGAACGAGTGTGAAAGCCCTACGGCCCCAATGATGTCAAGACTAATGAAGTTGAATAAATTCAAGCCGGAAAGGATATGCTGGATACTCACGTACATGCACTGATATAGTGGATGATGTTGACACTGGATTCACCCTTGAAATCGAGAAGCAAGTTATTCAGGCGAGTTTCAAGTCGTTCGGCGGACTCGTATATGGCGTATGTCATCTCTTTCACAGATTCTGTCCTCAAAGCACACATAGGATATGTCAACAGAAACCGGTAAAGTAACTGATGAACTTACGAAAAAGCAGGAGCAAGAACTTTCCTCTGACGCCGCCAGTCTTCTCCCTCGCTCCAGACAAGGCCCTTGCCTATCAAATTGTCGATTGGTGGGCGGAATGCAGGCGATTTGACATAAATGTCGCTGTTCGTGAATACGTGATGTACCGCAGCATGGTCTGTAGCGATAATCTACCAGCAGTTGCTTATTAATGCGAATCCGAATAAGGCAGAAACTCGCACGATATCGGGATGGAACAGTGCACCCGAAATCTTGAAGAGACCCCCAAACGAACGCGCCCATATGGTATACATTTGAGTTGCGGCATGGCGGAAGACAAGCAGTTCGTGGCCCCAAATCCAACTAGCAATACTTGAAGACTGTCAACAGCAGTATATGAGTTGGCCAAGCCGAGGTCGAAAGTAAAAAAAAACGCGCCGGTCCAGGTAGTCGGTGAACATCTTCGACAACTGTCGGACGACGATGAAACCAAAGCCCACTCAACACGGTGAGTAGAGCTAGCGCAAGCACTGGGAACATGGGGTGGGGGAGCAAGATGGAAAGGGGAGTTGTCGATGTGGTCAACGGAGAACAAGCGATTGGCTAGTACTTGCTCTGCGAGTTCAGATAACTTCTTTTGATAGATGCGGATCGGGACAGTGAGAGACAGACAGCCTATATTGAAAAACATAAGTAGAACATACTGGAAGTCGGGCGCAAGTCAGGGTCGGAAGGGCTTGCAGAAGGATCCGAAGAAGCCATCGAAATCGGCAGCAACACTCAAGAAGTCCAGACCTTTGCGGCTGCAAACGAGCTTGAATTGAAGTGGGTTTGCTGGCATTCCTGGCGTTTGTGGGTTCCTGTCATGGCGGGACTCTAATTTGTGCCATGGAAGTTTGATCAGAAAAAAGAGTGACCTGATGGAGAAACAATCTTATCACCAACACTCACCACCAGAGGCGATGAAAACGACCGGGCTAATGCCCGTTTCTCCGGTTTCCCGAGCACTCCTCAGTGACCTCAGAGACATCTGGACCGAGGAATTGCTCTTAGAGTCTCAGCCGATGTCTTTTGAATGAAGCGTGGTGACAAGCAACAAGGTGGCCGCCGAATGCCGTATCATCAACTCTACAGTTGTCCGACCATCCATTCCTAAGCTAAAGACTCCCTCGTCTTCTGTTTACACCTGTCTTCAATGCATTCCAACATCATTCTGGGCACCTTATTTGACCTTCCTCACAGTCCACTGACATCCAAGTACTTTTTTTTACTGTTGAGCGCCGGAATCACGTTACGTGTCTCCACAGGCGTGTGACAGGAAGCCTTTACGACTTCATACCTCCATCGGGACAATAGCGGCGACCTCACATTTCGTTAAATAGGTGTTGCCCGAAAGATCCTTGCACTTGGTTTGTCCCCAACTATTCTGCCGACATGCCTGACTGGTCATCGCAAGCTGAGCTCCTCAAGGATGCTGCCGTCTTCGTCAAGTTTCAACATGCTTTGCTTGGCGTCTACGCGTCCGTCCTCAGTCTCCCCCCGCATTTCGTTATCGACTAACTTCATCTCAGATGGGAGTGGTTCATTTCATTACCCTTCGACTGGCAGGTGCTCACTGGGCGAAAGCGATTCCGGTGGCCCTTGGTAGAATGCGTCTGCAGACCATTTCCTCACCTTTGCTGATGCTCAACCAGATCTTTTATTTTGCCAACCGGTATCTTTTGCTGGGTGCTTTAATCGGAATGTAAGCTTCCCAACCCTTGATTGTTCAACTAAATCTCACCTGCCTGAACTACAGTGCAATCGGGTTCGACACATTCCAGTGCGTCGAAAAAGTCTACTATGCCCGCTTTCACTCACCACTCGCATTGACAGGGAGATAAACTGCCAGTCGCTCTTTACATTCAACCAATTCGCAGGCGATGCTGCCGTCGGGCTTGCCAGCATAAATCTTTCTCTCCGAACGTTAGCCATATGGTCGCAAAACATGTACATCAAAGCCTTGCTGGTCATAATCATTCTTGGACATTGGAGCCTCATCCTTCAAGGTACGTTCAGGCTTTCGGATCTATTCTCATCCATTGATTGTTCTTCTACTGTAGGTGTGCTCCTCGACGCGCAGTGGTCCGACGAGCTTGGCAGCTGCATAATCCAGGACACCAATACGACCATCTTGGCTGCCACGTTCACTTACTCCATGTGCTTCGATCTCATCGTTCTTTTGCTTAACGCCTACAAACTGGGAGTCCGACGTCAAGGCAAGAGCAGGTTGACAAAGATGATATTCAAGGACGGCCTGGTCTTCTTCTTCATTGCGTCAGTCATCCGTGCTTCTCCGTCCAATCAGGACTAAACTCTCTCAGATTCCTGGCCAATCTTATCGCGACCGTCTTCATGTTCCTTAAACTCAACTCGATCATGAGCGTTGTGTTTAACGTTCCAGCCGCCATAGCTTCCACCGTGAGTTTGCTAGTCATCGTCCAATGAATCCTGTTAACAAGATTAAGATTGTCGCTACTCGTGCTGTGCGTCGATTGACCAACTTTACTAGCAGTGGACCAGAGATGTAGTAAGTTTTATCGCCGATTTGTCTGTAGACTCCATCTAACTTCCCTTCTTAGTCAACCATCTGGATCAAGTACTGGTGCCATGCGAAGCCACAGCGGAACGCGGGGACTCTCAACAACTGGGCGAAAGGGTCAACCTGGGGTTCATGTTCAGGTGTGTTGTCTTGTGTCAAAGTATCTCGATTCAACCAACGAATCTTGTAGATGGAGACGTTTGTACGCGCTGAAGAGGGTATGAGCCCAACCAGCGAATTCGACAACCATATTACACTCAAACGACAACCAGCAGAGCAAGGGAGCGTTGAATATGACGTCGAGACCAAGGCACCGGCTGCGTTCTAACTCCGCATTTCTCTTTCTTTAACTGCATACTCTCCCAAAAAAGATTTAGTTGCCCGATAGAGCATCGGTCTTCTGTTATCATGATATCCTGGACTCCCTCATTGTTTTTCTGTTGGTTAGCACTGTAGCATTTGTAGACTTTGCATGCGGAACAACGGAATAGAGAAGCACATCTGTACACACCTTGGCCTGCCCTGAACTTGTGGATGGCTCGCTTATCTTAACTCCGCCGGCGTGCAAAGAACGAAATTTATTATTTCGGCGCCATTGCCGTCGCGATCACGTGGTTTCGCGATGCCTTCCGTTCCCAACGGTAGTCACGGTACAATCTTAGTTCCACTCATATTTAAACAGCTTGGATCAATGGTGCTTCTATCCATCGGAAATCCACAAGAAGAAGGCCCGACTTTGAACCTATGTCTGACGGCGCCCCTCCGCACTCGTCGCTGGAGCGCCCAAGAATTCCTTCAACATTGAACAGTTGGAAGGAAAAGTTGAGATGGATTCCACCACCGTGGCAATATGTCTTTCTCTCCTTCCCGACTTCGACCCAATCGTTTCCTACGAGCTGACGTAGACAGTTCCGCAGCTAGCGGGCGGCGGATGCTGAAGTTGCCCACAAGCCATGCACTATGGGTATTCTTATTGATGCTCAGGCACTCTCTCGACCGCTTGTCTTCGAGCTTTTTCTCAACCTATTACTACTACATCTTACAGTTACAACAAATCCTCGTTGCTACTTTTTTTCCTTCTTCTTCCGCGTCGTATCGTACAAAGTGCCTGGCAAAGTATATATCTGGCAACGGCAAACGAGTCCAATGGTGCGATGGGTCTAAGGAAAGGAATGATATGCTGAGGATGCTGATAAGAAAGAGTGTGTTGTTCCACGGAAATGAGAGTTCGATGCAATGAGAGGGGTAAAAAGGGGAGGGTCCGGATAAGTTCAGTACTCTGGACGCTTGAATTCGTCAGCGGGAATCTGTGCTTCAAGGTCATCCGGTGGTGATCGCGTAAGCTTTCCAGTTTCGTCGAATTCGAGGTACGAATGCGAGTGCGAGTCGACAGCAGTAGTCGGGCTCTCAAATGTCTCCATCTACTAGGTTTAAGATTAATCCTACGGTCAGGTCAACCAACTCACTTGAACGTGAACTCCTTCGGATGCTTTCATGTTCGTTACGACCTTGGGCCGCTGAGTTGTCCCTAGGCCATTGGAATTCTTGAATGCCAGGGTCGAGCTAGCGGTGGTGTGTCCGCCAAACATCTGCGCTCCGGTCTGGCCATAATTGGCAAGACGTCGAACTGCACGACACGCAACAATCTATGCAATAGTTGAGGTTATGAAGAGCGGAGCTAGGCTGAATTATACTTGCCGTCGAAGCAATTGCTGCGGGGACATTGGCGATAATGGACATAACGGCGTTAAGGTCGAGAAGCATGAAAATCTACATGAGCCAAACTTGAGCCCTGGACAGCCTCCAGTGAGAAGATAGGTCAACGCACAGTAGCCAGCAAGTTGGACAAGAAGCTGGGTCACGAATGAGCCTACAGTGTAGGTTATACTCGGAGGACTCACGCAATGACAAAATAGATGAGTCCGTCGTTGAAGATGAGGTTTACGAGAGGCGAACGACCACCCGTAGGGAACACCAGTTTCCATGCGGTCAGGAACAGGACAGTAAGGTCGAACACCATTGAGTAAATGAATGTTATGGCGAGCAAACGGTTATCGGTAGAGGTAATTTGGCAGCCTCCGAGCTCAGGCTTCCATTCGGCTTTGAGAAAGACGCCTGTGGAAGATATATATATGGGCAACGCAGGAGCGGAGAGGGAGAAACAGACCATGAAGAAGCAACGACCAATGCCCGAGGATGACACAGATTAGAGGCACCCAGATGTACCACTGCTGGTTCCATACCGCGATGCTAGATAATGTTTAGCGGTCTCGCCAGGCGAATAGCTCTCGAAGAATTCACGTTCGAAGCGAAAGATTAATGCTTGCGAGTCCTGTGCTGGTGTTAGAGCACTGGATAGTATGCAGGTGACCAAGAGAACTCGCCAATAGCCGCATTGCCAAAAAGCGAATTAAAGGTATACAAGCTCTGGCAGTCAATCTGGCTGGGCAACATGTGAGCGCGAGGATGGGAAGGAAAGCGGCAGTATAGTACGTGGTAACATTCAAAGCGACCGAGCTTTGGAGAAAATAATGAGCACATTGAAGGTATACAGAAAGAGTTGCCCACATTCCAATCAAGGCTATGAGTAAACAGTAGCGATTCAAGAAGTAGAATATCTAAGCGAGTTGGTCACCTAAATGAATAGAGATCGCAGGTGCTTACCATCGGCCAGCGAAACTTGCGCTTGCCCGACAGGTATTCCCAATCGAAAGGCAACGACGTGAACCATTCCCATCTGTCGAAACAAGTTGGGCGAGTTGGCGAGCGAAGGAGCGAAAAAGAGGTACATATAAACTCCCAGCAAGACGTGCATAAATCGGCTGAAAACAACTGGCGAGAAAGTCAGCGCGTTTAGACCGCGACGACATAGGATACAGACGGGCATCTTTCGCAATCTCGGCGTCGGATTTCCAGTTGACCATGGTGGTTGGAAGGATGCGGGTCACAAGAGAGACATGAAGGGTTCTGCCAGGCTTTTTGAAGTTAGAGAAAGGTTCTTCCTGGGAAGTCCAGCTGTCAATTCAAGGGTCTCCGCCTTTCGTGTGTTGTTGTATCTTGGTCTTCCATCAGTCCAGGCAGACCGGCGGATGGTGGGAGATGGTGGGTGGTGGAGCAGACTTCGGTGCCAGGTGGCTCGGCTGCCAGCAACATTCAATTTTCTACGTCGGGTCACTGTGATGTCGTACAAAATTTGTTCCTGATATGGCAAGTGCCATCCAGATAACAGGATTGATGAGCACTCTACATAACAGCACACAAAACTACTGTAGCGTATAGCTGGACCCGAAAGGGCTATCTTCCCACCGAACAACAAGTTAGTCTCTTCATGAAGCGAGTATTGAGATAAGAGACAATATATGGGAGAAATTTGCCCCGTATCAGTCAAAAGAGAGTTCAACTTCTAAGATGAATTCGACCTTGTTCCACTTAGCGTAAGCGATGACCGGACTTGCAGGTTATGTGGGGAACAAACGTTAAGAGAAGTCGTCAGGGTTCAGGGTCAGCAGAGAGATTTGGAGACATGAGTTAGCCCATCGTCACCGGACACTCGGTCATGATATACCATCCATACTGTGTGAATTGAGCAGCAAGACAAGACATTCAGAGTTCCACTTACCACTGCCCATATTGGGCAACACAAACAAAGCGGCAAAGGAGCAATAGTCCTTCTAAGAAGTCTGATAATATCTTCGGTCGCAGTTCACCCCGTATGACACGCCTGTCGAACGAGGTTCTGTGGGCGTCTATGTATGGACCCCGGCTAAAACGGGGTGATTGAATAAATCAGAGAGAGCCTCCATCTTCTAATGCATTGCTCCAGTCCTTAGCCAGTCAAGTTCGTGGATGACAACATAGACGCTTCCTGACAGTAGGGGATTGAATCGTGATTGACTCCCGACTCCCAACAGCTAGAGCAGTGGACCGAGAGTGGTAGTTATAGGTGGCTCGTACGCTTTTGGCGCGTTTTCTGTCGGATATAAACTTCCGAGAGCTACCGTTCATACGATTGTCGGTCGAAACTTGAAGATGGAAAGAGGTTGAATGTGACGAGTCACACACACACATGATTGTGACAAATGTGTTTGCAACCAAGGAACCTTGGCCTCAATAAATTGAATAATCAACTCCAAGCCGCAGGGTGGTCCGCCTCCGGTCGCATTGTGCGTGGAGCCGTGAGACTCCCTGTATGCCATCAAGATTTCCATCGCAGGCCTTTTTCTACGCCGACTCTCTCTCATGAGTTCTGAACGTCTCCCGCGCCACTGGCAAGAGACCGAAATCTTGAATATCGGAACAAAGAATGGATGATTGGCTCTATTCATAGGAGTTTGAACCGATGTGATATTAATAATCGCACAGGAATAAAGCCTTGGACTTGAATCTGTCCAGTACTCCGAGTCGTAACCGTATGATAGACTGAATCAGGTTCATGTTTCTCAGCCTGCTAGGGAAGTGAAGTGCCAGTGTTGACCCAAAGAAAAGTGACGACGGTAAGCCGATGAGATATGCTAAGAAAAGACTCAGCGTTACTCACTTATTCAATCTCATAATCATCGCCGTCTTGGAAAATTTGGTGTGTATGTAGCTGTGGCCGTTCGATGATTCCGTGCCATGATTCTGCCAGTGTTATGTGAACCAGGTTGGACTTCATCGGTTGGAAGTGCATTTAGAAGGTAGCACTAATCGGACGACATGGTCGATGAACCTACAACTTGCTGCCCTGTCAGGCACCTCGCGAGTTAATGAAGTCTTCAATCCGAGGCCATCATGGAATCATGTTAGTCGTGATCCTTGACACCGATTCGGATTTGTCACCTCACGTGAGTAGTCGTATCACAGACTGCGAGCGGTCCGAGTGAACGTATTGGTTGACTGCGATTCACGTTGAGCTCAGATCATACGACCAGACTGCCATTCTCCCCGGAAAGATATCGCAAGTAAGTATGTGAATGCTGTCATCCTGCCACTGGCCCGGCAGCAAATTGGCGAACACAGTCTGGTTTGCTTGATGATTTTTGACTCTGTTTTTGTCCTGTGCTTCAGGGTACCGATAATCAGCGAGTATAACCAATCATATACAGCTTACTAGCGATGTGTCTGGGACAGTAGGAAATGTCGAATGCCCCACATCTTCGTAATAAAATAAGAAACGCGGCACTAATCAACTATCATACCTGTCACCGGGGGGGCCCACTTTTTCCGATTGCCGCGTGGAAAGGATATCACCGCTAGAGACATCCTCAGTGGCAAAGGACTGCCGGACCGGTCAGCGCACCTCAGCGATCCAACGGGAAAATCGTGAGCCAAAGACACGCACAGCCAGCACTCGGAAAAACCCACTGTGGGGTGTAGCATATAAAAGCTCTGGACGTCGCAGGCTGCTGAAATCCAAGTTCAAGATGATCCAGGCGTTGCTTGTTGCTCTTGCCTCAGCAGCAGTTGTGACGGCGCAAACCTGCGCCCTCCCTTCCAGCTACAAATGGAACTCAACTGCCGCCCTCGCGACGCCCAAGTCTGGGTGGGCTTCGCTCAAAGATTTTTCGCATGCGCCGTATAATGGCCAGCATCTCGTTTATGCTACTTACCACGACACCGGCTCGAATTGGGGCTCGCTTGGTTTCAGCACTTTTAGCGACTGGAGTCAAATGGGCTCAGCCACCCAAACGGTATAGTCGTTTTTGATTAGCCAACTCTCTTTGCTGAGAAGCGGCAGGGTATGACTTCAGGCTCGGCGGTTGCGCCAACACTCTTCCTGTTTGCACCAAAAAACATCTGGATTCTTGCGCATCAGTGGGGCCCAACAACGTTTTCCTATCGCACCTCAAGTAATCCCACCAACCCCAACGGCTGGTCCGGAGACAACGAACTCTTCAGCGGTAAACTTTCTGGCGGTGGCGTTGGCGCAATCGACCAGACAGTGATTGGAGACAGTTCCAACATGTATCTTTTCTTCGCTGGCGACAACGGCAGCATCTACCGCGCTAGTATGCCGATCGGCAACTTCCCTGGCAGCTTCGGCTCCTCATTCACTACGATTATGAGCGGTCCCACCAATGACCTCTTTGAGGCGGTCCAGGTTTACAAGCTCAAAGGCCAGACTAAATGGCTGATGATCGTCGAGTCGCAAGGCGCCAATGGACGATACTTCCGCTCCTTCACTGCGACGAGCTTGGGTGGGTCGTGGACAGCAGATAAGACGAGTGAGAGTGCCCCGTTCGCAGGCAAGGCCAACAGCGGCGCGACCTGGACAAACGACATCAGCCATGGCGATCTTATTCGTGACAATGCTGACCAGAATATGGAAATTGACCCTTGCAACCTCCAACTGCTTTACCAGGGACGCTCGCCGTCTTCTGGCGGGGACTACAACCTCTTGCCATACCGCCCAGGCGTTTTGACCCTGACCAACCCCGGAGCCGCTAGCGGTGGAACTGGAACCACGACGACCTCAAAAATAACCACAACGACCTCGAAAACATCTTCAACGACTTCCGCACCAGGCGGAGGAAGCACTGGGTGCACATCACCATTATATGGACAGGTAAACATCACTTGGTCTGTTCACCACATTCTGAGATGTTATATGCAGTGTGGTGGCTCGACCTGGACTGGATGTACCTCATGTGCAGCTGGTAGCACCTGCACCTACTCAAATGACTGTAAGTCTTGTTGTCGTGGATTTGGATTACGCGCTCACTCACCTTTCAGACTATTCGCAATGCCTCTGAGAACTCGCGTATGATATAAGCATGTCATGAAACGAATTGGATGGGACGTGCGACGAATCATGGGACTTGAGCTCTAATGGTCTATTCGCAATTAGTTGCGCATTCTCTTATAGAGATTAATGATAAGGTCATTAGCTGTAAGCGTTATTATCGTATGCGGGGCTATCCTCATGAAGTGCGCCGTCGATCCTACGAAGAGTTAAGCCTGAGAAAATGGGGAAAGGAACATAGTGCTTGCCCTTGTACCATCCCCGGACTCCTTCTGCTTTGAATGTCTTCCATAGACAATCTATCGGGTTCTTGTAGAGCGTCCCCACCATTTTCCCATTTGGACCCAGCACTGTGGGTTGGTTGTACATTCGAGTCAGTGCCTGCAGATACTTTATTAGCAACCCTCCGTCAGTGCGAGCAACACAAACCGTATCAGCTGGTTGCATGACGATGCACTGAAGACACGTGAGGGAGATAAGGAAGTGACGGTATTACGCACAACACAGATTCCGGAGACTGAACTACTGGCCAGGAATGTCCATGCGCTATTTGCCGGCAAGATGTCGCGGCTCACCAGGAAATTCTTGGTTAGGTTGTAGCTGGGCAATTGCACCTATAGACCCTTATAGTTGAGCTTCCACCATATAATAAAAACGCACAGATGAACCCATTGATGTTCTCAAAATCGCCGCATCCATTCCCCGAATAAGACCGCGTGGACCCTCTGCTCGGAATATGGTGGAAAGTGCATGGAACGAGCTTCTGTAGTGATGTTGTGTCCCAACTGGCAGAGATGGCGAATAAGCCTGCATTCTTGCCTTGATGAGGAAGAGAGGATTGCCCAAGGAAGCTGGGCCGTCTTATTAATCTCCTCGAAATCATATAGCGCAGTGTTGCCGACCTCCAACAGCGCCACTAGATGCGCCGGCAATGATCGCAGTCAGTGGAAGTTGCTCCTCAGGCCGTCTACCGACGAAACGGTTTATATTTCGACGGAAGGGTTCATAAAACCCAAGGCGAGAGCCGTTCAGCAGAATTTGGTAGACGTATGCGGGACCAAGGCCACGTTGTATTCCGCGAATCCCCTCATTTCTGTACGTTTTGCTCATAGCGTCTAAAGCATTATTGTAGACTTTTTGCGTAGTTTTGGCTAGTTCTCCTTGGAGTTGCAGGCGTGTCTTTGCCACCTCAGCTGGGTTTGAAATGGTAACGGCAATACACGCTGCTATCCCACCGCATATAAACCCCTCCGTCGTCTGTGTGTGGTCTAAATGAGGTGTTCACAACACGAAAAAAGGTCACGAACGGACAATGGTCTGGCCTCTGGGGAGGAGGACATGACGGATTAGGGAAAAACGCGTGATCTGGGCGTGATCCGGACTACCTTGGGCATGTAGATCATGCTGGCGTCTGGCTTCAGCGTACAGACTGTCGCCTTCGTCGCAGGACTAGCAGTAATTCTCCCAGCCATATTCCGCATCGTCTCCTCTCCCATCACCTTACTCCTCATCTCACCTTTTGTTGTCGTACTCCTCGGTTTAGCTTTTTTGGTCCTCAACACCCTCGTCAGCCATATTCTCGATACCAAGTCCCCCTCCCGAAACAACAACCTCCAATATGCTGCCAAGCCTTTTGTCTTCTCGACTCCCGCTGCCTGGCAGGCTGTACTGACGCGTTCGCAATGGTCACAAAATAGCCCACAGTCGTTTCCCGCTTTGGTTCCAGACGCCCCCGTGCTCTCCGGTGCAATCAACGACATCCTCATTATGATTGTCCGCGACTTTGTTCTGGTGTGGTACAAGGACCTTTCCTCGTCACCATCCTTTCCCATGGCAGTCTCCTCTATCTTACACAAGTCATTGGAAAACATGCTTGATCGAGCATCTGCAATCGACATTCCAGAACTAGTCGTCAAGCGTATACTTCCCAAAGTCACAGCTCATATCGAGCAGTTTCGCCAATCCGAGGTTGCTTTACGTGGCGCCGGTTTGGAGCGACGGTTGACGCAGTCAGAGGAGCTTGATTTACTCCTCGCCAGTCGATATGCCGGTGTCAAGGGTGCGGGGAAATTACATCCTTCAGTTGACAATCTTTCCACCACGTTCACCAAACAAGCTGAAGAAGCGCATCTTCGTCAGTTGGTGGAGAAAGCCCTCCCCTTTGTGCTGCCAGAGAAAGAAGCCGGCAGTAGGGTGTTGAAGCTCGTTGTACGGGAGATTGTCGCCTGCGCTGTATTATATCCAGTCATGGAAATGGTCTCGGATCCTGATTTTTGGAACAAGGCAATCGACCAAGTGGTACGTGGACCACTCCATTTCGAAGTCGTGAAGTAAATAACTCTTTCCAGGCTGGTGCGGCCATCCACGAACAGTGCGTCGATTAGGTCCCACTTTAGGTTCGGATGAGACTCAACTTCAATTAGAAAGCTCATTACCAAAGTTCGGCATGTACTTGAGGCTCAATCCCCCCGATCCCATCGTCTTTCCTCTGCCCCTCAAACAACAATGCCGGCTACCGAGACTATCACCATCCGGACCGACATTCGTCATTTTGAATCGTTCCTGCGGAGTATTAGTCGCTGCTCCTCTCTGCTCGATGCACGGCGCCTCAAAAACGATGTCGTCGGAGAGATTCGTCGCACGCGTTTGTCCTTAGGTGCGCTTGCTTTATACATTTGCTCAATCTACTCATTGTGCTTAGCCAATCATGAAAAGGAGGACTGGATAAACGGAGAAAAGACTGAAGACGTTGTTGCATTCCTGGACAGATTATATACCGCCAAACGCAAGGTAGAAGAACGCATCGTAGTTCTTGGTGGAGAGGACGATTCTGTCTGTGTACACCCTTCATCTTTCAACAGCGACTGATCAATTTCAGGGTCGACAATCCGCATATCAAGAACCTGGTGCGAAATCCGGAATCACCCTACGAGATGTCCTGCAAAATCCAAGCTCTCTGTCGTACTTCATGGAGTTTATGGATCGTCGAAATCGGTCTTTGCTTGTTCAGTTCTGGCTCACAGTGGAAAGCTTCAAGAACCCATTGGAATCCGTCGATTCCGATTCTTCAGGCGACGAAGACGAACAATTCCAAGACCTTTCGACCTCCATTACGGTCAAAGAAGACATCACCATGATCCATGAATTGTACTTTTCGATGCCGACTCCTCATCCTACACTTGCTTCGATTCCGCAGAAACACATCCAACGCATCCGCGATTTTGCGACAAGCACAGACCCGCCAACTCCCGCTTCTCAACGAACTGTTCGCAGGAGTGTGATGTTAGCTCAAAGACAAGTCGAGCGGAGTATGGAGCATGACTTTGAAGAGTTTGAGCGGTCACAGCTATGGTTCCGTGCGATAAGTGACACAGACTTCGGTCGTTCTTCGCTCCAAAACTCTCCGGAACCGCCTCCGTCTCTCAAGGACAGGCGCTCAGTTACAGCTCCTGGGCTGGCTGGTCTCCATCTCGCTTCTCCGTCGCCCGCTAAACCCAATTTTGGACCCATCCCACATTTGCCCCCTCGCTCAGACTCCTCACCTATTGTCACGCGGCAACGGACGGCAAGCAGCAGCTCTCATAGATCTTCTGGGTCTTACCATTCGCGTCCTTCAAATATCGAGGTTTTGATGTCACCTGTATCCGACATGTCCTCCGAATCAACCAGAGCCCCGCTTTTCGATGACGAGGACGATCGTATGCAAAGGGCGGAAGAAAAGCGTATGGAAGCGATTCAAGCTGCCTTGACCGACATCATTGCACTGGAACAAGAGCAAGCTTTACCCAATGCTGATCAAGATCATACCATGGGGGACTTGGCCTTCCAGCCCTCTCACACTCGAACTGCAAGCAAACGGCGACCAATGTTTGATGATGAAGTTGACGAAGTTGACGAAGAGCAGCAAGATGAGGCTAACGAGGACTCGGGCTCCTTCCAAATGGCAGCGCCAGGCGACTTGCAGCTTTCTTACGAGATTGCTCGTTTAACTGACAACATCACCAATCTGCAATCGCAGGAAGCTATCCTCGTCACCTTGATCAGGAAGGCAGAGCTAACTGGTGATACCCAAGAGCTCAAACTCCTCAACAAATCGAAGGCTTCGATGAACCGCGAGTTGAACGCTCTGCAGTTCCAAAAAATGCAGTATGAGCAACAAGAAGCAGCAAACCGCCTCTTCTCAGATCGCACAAAGGTCGCGATCGTCAACTCCACCATTGGTGATGAAGACGGAAAGCAGGTTGTCCGCTACCTTGTCGAAATACAGCAACTCGCTCAAGATGGCAGCTTTGCTTCTGGATGGGTTGTTGCTCGACGGTACAATGAGTTCCTTTCAATGCATACGAAGCTTCGGGAACGTTATGCGCTTGTCAGAAGCCTCGAGTTCCCTGGGAAGCGGCTTGTTACAGCGCTTTCTGGAAGTTTTGTGGATACTCGCAAAATTGCTTTGGAGAAATATCTACAGGTCAGTGTTTTTTCTTCTCCGGATTCAAAAGCTAATGCTCCAAACAGAATCTTATCGCCATTCCCATTGTGTGCGATAGTGACGAGCTTCGAGCTTTCCTCTCCAGGGATTCACCTTTCGTCGCTACCGAAACGCAACCGTCTTCAAACAATAAAGGTCCATCCGCGTTCTCGGGTACTGACCTTGTGCGGACGGTATATCGTTCCGTCACAGAGAGCATCGACGACATGTTCTTTGGTCCCTCAATGCTTGACGTCATGATCCAGAGACTTACGCGCCAAGCGGCTGAGTTTGCAGGCATCGTGGGGTCTGGTGTGAATGATGTCGATCTGGTTGCGCAAGCTCTGAATGCGTCGGGAAAAACTTCGTCGGAGGCGGCCATGATGCAACTGTCAGGTGACCTCAAACCGCTAGAGGGAGAGACAAGCACCTCAACCTTTTCCGCCCCAATTTGCGATCTGCTATTGGCGGTATTCGAGCTCAACAAGACCAACAATTGGCTTCGACGCCAGGCCGTTGTCATCATCCTCCAACAAGTGCTTGGTGGGACCATTGAACGGTACGTGCCTTGATGTCGGTTTTTATTTATTTTGCATTTAGTATCTTCGCAGCAAAATCCGAGAGTACACCAAGATCTTCCTGGAAGAATCCCGCGTCATGAATTTAGTTAACGCGTTCCGCAATGGTTTATGGCCGGGCGGAAAGCTGAAACCACCAAGTGTTCCTAGGACCGTTGACGAGAAAATCAAGACGAGAGATGAAGCAAATCGCAAGCTTTCTTCACTCGTCCCGGGTACGTTGATGGCTATGGCCATTTCTCCTTGCTCATGGTAGTAACAGACCTTGCTGCCAACATGATCGGCCGCTCCAATGCTCGTCGCGGTGCTCGTAGAATATTTGCGGTTCTACAGAATCGTCGACTCAATCAACACATCGCCTACACGATCGTGGATGAGGTCTTTTCTGCCCTCTTCCCTGAATCCACTCCCCCATCCTAATGACTTGACGAGCTTTTGCGCATTATTTTTATCCCTTACGGATTAGTTTTTTTGTAACTGGAAACAGTTAACAGTTCTCAACTAGTGTTGCTCTCTGCGTCCTCCATCGTCTCATCCTCTGCGACGACAATTTGCTTCGTCGCTCCACCATTTGCCTTGGGTCGTCTGAAATTTGTCATGGCGTTCGCAGACGCATCGTCATTTCTGTTCAGTTGCGTTGGCTGGCGAGATCGGATAAACTGGGCCATCACTTACACTTTAATGGCATGGAGGATGAATCCACCACCACCAGATGTGGTCATGGTTGGATGAGTTCTTCCAGGCAGGACTTGGTATCGCCGTAACCACACTTCTGTCACGGAAGGGCCAAGATACTGGGGTAATGCCCGCAGCTTAGTCTGTACATCTGCTAGGATCTACTTGCACTGTTAGTCGACAAGCTAGCGAGTAGAAAAAAAAAGAGTCGGACTTGAGCGTAAGGACTTGATATCACGATGGATCCAGAAAAGGAGACGTATGGTATGAGTCGTTCCAAGATAGAATAGGGCTCATACTCGCTCGCGATTATTAGTCTGATGGTTGTTGTCAGCAAGTTGTAAGGATGGCTTGAGTGGGCACTCACGAGTCGAAGTTGCCAGCGAAGAGTTCTTCTCTGGTATTATTCAGTGCATCCAACGCAAATTTCCGCTTGTTGAGACGCGATTTTTGTCGATCGGACTTTATTTGGTCAGATGGAACGTCAACCGGCGGTACCACTAGAAACTAGGCCCTTTAATGGACATCTGAACAATGAACTAACACTTACGGGGTGTATGTGATTCGTCTGCGGTGGCCCAGTTTAGAGAGGAGAGGACCGGGGACACAGTTTCCTCGTTGAAGTTCATCGTCACCATGATAGGGTATGCCGGAGGTGAGTCTGCGTTGCCGATGGTAATAAGACGACCAGAGCCTCCCATTCGATCCAAAATACCAGACACAATTAGACCGGACGCGTCATCGACGGCAATATACCTCCCGCCAGGCCGAATGTTGGCCATGTTGAGGATTTGAGAGAGGGCGTCGATACGGATGTCGCGCACTCGATCGGGGTCCTTGTTGAACCAGTATTCGCAAACGTTGAAGAGCGTAGGCTCAACGGTCGTAAAGGTTTTCGAGTACCTTTGAACCTGTTAGCACAACAAAACCTTTAGAGGGGCACACGACACACTTGGCCTCTTTACGCTTTTTGTATTTTTCTTTGCTGTACTCCGTTTTCAGCGAGTAGTTCGCGTGTTGTTCAATCTGCATCTTGATAATGTCCTGCAATGTGTCAGTGGGGGAGGCTTTTCTGTGGACATTGGCGTACCCACCGAGGCATGGGTCCCTGATTGCTTCAAGGCTTGAATCTCATCCCCCGTCAACGGCTGCACAAATTCACCGTCGTTTATGAGTTCGTTGGTCGCGTCGGTATCCTCTGACTCAAGCCTCAAAAGCACGAACTTGACATCCAGCTGGCCACTCACCGATATCGGCTAAGGTGCGTGGGGGTAACAGTTTGAGTTTCTTGTCGACAATGTCATATGTTCTTCCAAACGGTTCCCCAATAAGGTCGTTGGCATAGAAGACGCCGACTCGACCAAGAGAAACGGTCCTGGTGGTAGATATGAGGAAAGGGGGAGTGGAATATAGCGAATCACGCACGCATTTTGGTCAATTTTCAATGCCTTGGTGTCGCCATTTGGCAGCCGCAATAAAACGGTGTTTCCTGATTTGATTGTGGGTGCTCGGGTTTGGAACTGGGACGAAGCCGTCGCGTTCATGGAGGTAAGAGACAACTCGAAGTTGATCGCTTAACCCAAGCTTGACCACAACTTTCATGCAAAATCTAGACACCATACTCTCGAGAATTCAACAATCCCCAGCCGCTCCTTTTCTGCCTGACGACCTTGCATATCTCATATCATCATTTCTTCCATCTGAGCCCGCATCGCATCGCTCAAAGGCGTACCTAATCATCTCCGCCTTTTGTCAAGGTGTGCGAAGCAAATCTGCAGTCAAAGGAAAGCAGCCGGACCCAACCACCGAGATCCTGGTACAGGTTTTTGAGCCAGTCATCATCTCTCGCCTTGCCGATCCCGATGACCGTTGCTTCAAGCAAGGCATTTCCTTCTTGACTGCGCTTTACCAAATTGACTGGGAATCGGCTGCGCCAATATTCGAGAAAGATGGAGTCCTCGACCTCATCGTCGATAGTGTCGACTTGCGGCCGTCCTCAGAGCTTTCTATACTTGTGGCGCATCTCATAGGTCAAGCATCTGGCCACAAATCTTCGCGCGCTCTCATTCCAACACAAATCACTGAATGGCTGGAACTACACTCTCGAGACGAAACAGAGCCAAGTTTACGCGCTGCTGCATCGATTGCTCTTGTCAAACTCTCTCGTGGCAGAGCAAGCGATGCAGCGAGCGGCGGTTTGCCAGACTCACGACCAGCTAACCAAGATGATGAACTCGCGGATGTAATGAAGGATCTGGTGATCAGCGGCACCGACCAATCTTCTGTCGCTGACGCTGTAGAAGGTCTAGCGTACCTCAGCGTTGATCCTATCGTCAAAGACGCTCTTTCCAAAGACACAGCTTTTCTGAAACGCTTATTTTCGCTTGTTCCACGCCGGAAACCATCCACTGCTACAGAACCAAATACGACACTACTCTTCGGCATCCTTTTGACCGTTTCCAATCTCTGTGCTTATCGGCCGCGTCTTACGGAAGAGCAGAGCCAGATCGCGAAGCTGAAGCGTATGGCAAACAGCACAAACAAGACTCCAGAGGAGCCTGATTCATCATCTCGACTTGACGATGACGAGAACGTGAAAGCACGCATCAAGCGGCTTGTTGCTGTAGGGATGTTAGATGTCTTTCCTGGTGCTCTAGCGGGGACTGACAGTCCCGGAATCCGGTTAGCGGCCGGTAAAGCACTGCTCAGTATAGTAGAGGACCGGGAGAATCGAGGGAAAGTACTCCAAATTGGCGGCGCAAAATTACTCTCGGCCATAATCAAGCATAGCATGACCGCAGACGTGAGCACAAAAACGCTGGATGTCTCGCAATTGGAGCCAATACAAGCCCTCGCTAAGCTAGCCATCACCTCGTCGCCGTTGCAAGTATTCGGACCAAACGATGGTGCCGTCTATGATGCCATTCGCCCGTTATCCTTAATGCTTCAACATCAACAAGCCAGTCTACTCCAGCGGTTCGAAGCACTGATGGCATTGACGAATCTGTCGTCCCATAGTGCTGAAGCCTCATCAAGAATTGCGAAAGCGGATGGCTTGCTGAGTAGTGTCGAGTTGCTACTTTTAGAAGACCATACTCTTGTCCGCAGAGCATCCATGGAGCTAATCTGCAATCTAGTTTCGGGGTCTGATGATGTTTTCGAGCGTTATGGTGGAACGGAGAATAGCAACGCAACTCGATCTAAACTGCAAATTGTCGCCGCCATGTCGGATGTAGAAGACCTGGGAACTCGGCTCGCTGCCTCTGGAGCACTAGCCACACTCACGGATGCCTCTACAGTCTGCGAAGGGCTGCTTGATCTCCAACGGGAACGCAAACGAATACTTCCAATTCTTGCTCAATTGGTAGACCCTACCGCATGTCCTGCCGACGATGAAGATGACGAACGCGTCATGGAGACAGATCCTGGACTTGTACATCGGGGTATAGTTTGTACGCGCAACATTGTTATGAGCATTCAAAACGACGGACGAAGGAGAGAGATCGCGGAACAAGCAACGGAAGCAGGGTTAGTGCAGGGATTGGTTAACGTAGTGAAAAGCTCCCCAGCAGAAATGGTCTTGCGGCCGGCTATGGAGACTCTCAAATGTTTGTTAGATAGTCTCAAGTCATTGTGAGTAACTAAAATATGGTTGCTGCGCGGAAAAGTGATGCAGGCGATCAGCCATCAGCGGCACAACCTGCTGCTTGCTTATAACCATGGTTTGCAATCCGCTCGATTCCCTCACAGTGCCCATGAACATGCATATTAGGCGCCATCGAAGAAGGCGGGAAAGAAGACGGCTGCTACGCCAAAAAAGGGCGGACAAGCCGGCAAAGTGGCAAAGGTGTGTGCCTGATTCCAAATAATGAGCTAATTGCCTTCGTCTGACTATGCGCGCCTTAGGCTGACTGGAAAGAGGGCTTCAAGAAGAAGCAAGTCGGCGTATCCGACATGACCCTACTTACGACGATAAGCAACGAGAGCATAAACGACAATCTCCAGAAGCGATGGACCAATGCGGAGATTTACACCTACATTGGCGCGGTGCTAATATCTGTCAACCCCTTCCGAGGTGAGTGTCCTCCGTGTTATGCGACACACTCGAACTCATGTCGCCTCTAGATTTGGGCATCTACACTGATGAGACGCTGAAGAAGTATCGGGGAAAGAATCGGCTTGAAGTTCCCCCTCACGTCTTCAGCATCGCGGAGACAGCTTACTACAACATGAACGCTTACCACGAAAACCAATGTGTCATTATTTCTGGCGAGTCGGGGGCGGGCAAGACGGAGGCAGCCAAGCGAATCATGCAGTACATTGCTGCGGTGTCAGGTGGAGAGGACAGCAGCATCCAAGAAATCAAGGACATGGTGCTGGCCACCAACCCCCTCCTAGAAAGCTTCGGATGCGCAAAAACGCTTAGGAACAACAATTCCAGTCGTCACGGCAAGTACCTCGAAATCATGTTCAACTCGCATGGAGAGCCCGTCGGGGCCAAGATCACCAACTATTTATTGGAGAAGGGACGTGTTGTGGGTCAGATAGAGAATGAGCGGGACTTTCATATATTCTACCAATTCACCAAAGGCGCCTCAAGCGAACAGCGAGGTGTGTGTCTGTCTCCACATTTACGGTCGTGCTAATCTTGCTCAGAAATGTTCGGTATCCAGGGCCCGGAAGCCTACGTTTACACTAGTGCGAGTAACTGCTTGGATGTCTCTGATATTGATGATGTGGAGGACTACCATGGCACGATAGTGAGTGTTGCTGGTGATGGCCGGCCAAGTTATTGACGTTTCTCAGAAAGCGATGCAAGTAATTGGCCTCGGTGAGCACGAGCAGAGTGAAATCTTTCGCATGCTTGCTATAGTCTTATGGTTGGGAAACGTTCAATTCACCGAACTGGATGATGGGAACTCCACGATTGGCGATACGGGAGTCACGGACTTCGTTGCATATTTAATGGAGGTTGATTCTGCCACTGTCCAGAAGGTTTTGACCAGCAAAGTTATGGAAACCCAACACGGTGGTCGACGAGGATCGGTCTACGATGTACCACTCAACCCGGCACAAGCCGGTTCGGCTCGTGACGCTCTTTCCAAGGCGGTTTACAACAACCTGTTCGAATGGATTGTGTCAAGAATAAATGTCTCCATGAAGCCCAGATCCGCACATGCCCAAATTGTTGGTATTTTGGTAGGTTTCATTACCTCTATCACCGTTGACTGGCTAATCTGGCCAAAAGGATATCTTCGGGTTCGAAATCTTCGAGGACAATTCCTTTGAACAGCTGTGCATCAACTATGTCAATGAGAAGCTCCAACAAATCTTCATTGAGCTAACGCTGAAAACGGAGCAAGAGGAGTACGTCCGGGAGCAGATCAAATGGACACCAATCAAGTATTTCAACAATAAGGTTGTCTGCGACCTCATCGAAGAAAAGCGACCACCTGGCATTTTTGCTGCTCTCAACGATGCCTGTGCAACTGCTCATGCCGATCCAGCTGCCGCAGACAACAGCTTTGTCCAGCGGGCATCTGGTCTGGCCTCTAACGCACATTTTGAGTCTCGCGGTGCTCAATTCTTGGTGCGCCACTATGCTGGAGACGTCATGTACAACATTGCCGGAATGACCGACAAGAACAAGGACACGCTCAACAAGGACTTATTGGATCTTATTGCTAGCAGTGAAAACCAATTCCTGCAAACCCTCTTCCCTGACCGCCCAGACCCCAATAGCAAGAAGCGGCCACCTACAGCTAGCGATCGTATAAAGGTGCATTGAAACTCAACTCTTTCTTTTGAGCTGACCTCATTAGGCGTCTGCTGGGGCTCTGGTCGACAATCTCATGAAGGCCCAACCTTCCTATATCCGAACGATCAAGCCAAACCAGAATCGAAGTAGCAGCGAGTACGATACCAAGGCGATTCTACATCAAATCAAGTATTTGGGACTGCAGGAGAATATTCGAGTCCGCAGAGCTGGTTTCGCCTATCGGAATACCTTCGAGAAGATGGTTGAAAGGTTTTACTTGCTCTCTCCCAAGACGTCCTACGCGGGAGAGTATATCTGGCATGGGGATCCGAAATCTGGATGCGAGCAAATCTTGAAAGATACCGGTATCGCCAAGGACGAGTGGCAGATGGGCGTGACCAAAGCGTTCATTAAAAATCCAGAAACGGTATGTGCTTTGTTTGTCGATTTACTCCGGTTCTCAATACATAATGCAGTTGTTTGCCCTGGAAACTATGCGTGATCGGTACTGGCACAACATGGCTGGCCGCATTCAGCGCGCGTTCCGCAACTATATGCGGTACAAACACGAATGTGCTCGGAGGATCCAGCGGTTTTGGAAGAACAACAAGGAATCGTTGGTTTATGCCCAGGTCCGAGATTATGGGCATCAGATTCTCGCCGGTCGGAAGGAACGGAGGAGATTTAGCTTGCTTAGTTATCGCCGGTTCATGGGTGACTATCTGGACGTCAATGGGAAAAGTCCGCTCGGGGAGGAGTTGGGAGAGGTTTGTGGGATCGGAAGTGCGTATTTGTTGTTTTCAGCCATCTTTCGGTTTCTGATGTTGCGGAATAGACGAGGAAGTAACTTTCAGCGGACGGATCCAACTTTTGGTATCAAAGTTGGGAAGGTCGAGTAAACCGAGTCCAAGATTCATCGTTGTGGTAAGTATTGTCCTCAACACAAACCCTGATACTCAACGTGTTTTACAGACCAAGAAAGCTGTTCACATTGTTGTCACCCTCGCAAAGGACGGCCGCGCACAGACAATGCTTGAGAGAAAGATCCCCTTGGTTACGATCAAAAGTATTGGGATGTCTACTTTGCGAGACGACTGGATGGCAGGTCAACCGTTTTTCTTAGTATCTATTTTAATCCTCGACAGTCTTTGAACGGTAACATCTCTGAAGAGGGTGACCCTATTTTCAGCTGTTATTTCAAGACAGAGTTGGCTGCCAATCTGCTGACCTTGACTGGAGCCAGTATCACCATGATGATCGCACCTACGTACGTGAAAATTTCACGAGCATCAGAATTTTTCCAACGCTTCGCAGTGTGGCGTACAACAAGAAGAAGGACAAGAAGGCAGAAATCAAGTTTATCAAGGACGAGACCGTGAAAAAGGATGACTTGTACAAGAGCCATACCGTCCATGTGCCCTCTGGTGAGCCGCCGGATAGCCTGTCACGACCGCCGGCAAAGAGGAAGCCTGGAGTTGTGCGTCCCATTACACAGGGGAAATTGCTTAAGGCCGGTGGTCCATCTAATGTTTGTCGAATTATCTGTTGTTATGCCGTAGATGCTGATGTGATATGGGTAGAAACCCAAACCAGCCTCAAGGCCAAAACCGACTGCGCAACCTCTCCCTGGGAAAACCACCACAACAGCAGTTTCTGTACCAGTCATCAAGCCTACCCCGACTCCAGCAGCAGTCCCCAAACCAAGCACGAGTACCGCCGCCAAACGAACCAGTGTGGCTGCTCCCCCACCGCCCCCACCCCCACCTCCCCCAGCCAGGCCAGCAGCGGCAGAGTCTGCGACACCGATGTACCGTGCAAAATTCGACTTTGCTGGCGAGGAAGGCGAGATGAGTCTGACCAAGGACGATCTTGTTGAGTTGCTTGAAAAGGACGACAACGGGTGGTGGCTTGTCAAGAAGGGTGCTTCACAAGGCTGGGCACCAAACAATTATCTCGAGTTGGCCCCGGCGAGCGCGGCGAGTGCGCCTCCGCCGCCGGCCAGGAGGGCGGTCCCTGCCAAACCGGCTGCGACAACAACGACACCTACGGCGAGCAAATTGGGTTCTGTGATGGCTGATGCGAATGCCAAACCCGTTTCTGTTTTCCCGGGTATGGCGCCCGCCAATGGGTCAGCAACACCGTGGAAAAAGACACCCTCCGCGTCGACGAGTGATTCTACGCCAAGCAATTCTCGGCCGGGCAGCTCATTAGCCGGCAAGCCCCCACCGCCAGTCGCAACCAAGCCGAAACCGCCAGTTGTGGCACCCAAACCGGGTGGCGGTCCCAAACCACCTGTGGGCGGGAAACCCCCGATCCCGACTGCCCCGCGACCGACAGCATCAGGCGGGGCTTCGAAACCGGTTGGAGGTGTGGGTGCATTAGGCGGCAACTCTGATTTGGCGGCGTTGTTGGCGAAGAGGGCTCAGCGGATTGCAGACAGCGAGTGATACTGTAGTTTTTTTGTTGTTGTACAGGAGGGCGGAGTCAAGTTCTAGAGTATTTTATGAGTGGTTTGAGTCGTTTTAAAAGCGTTGTTGGGCTCTTTTCAAGCATCTACTTATGCGGGTGGAAGGTGACCTTTCCACGTTATCTTATCAGATCTTATCGCTGTCACGGTCACACGTGACGTCTATTTTCCCATCTCTTCCCCGAAACACCGACTCGAGGATGTTTACCGGCCTAGTGCGCCAATGCCTACTCCTGATTACTTGAACCGACCAAACACTCTAGATTGAGCATATGGGGACCGTCTCCTCGATTCAACTAGACTCGGCTGGCTGCACGTTGACCATAGCCGACTCGCTTCCGATCCTTGGGGACTGCTCAATCGGCGACTCGATCGCAGTCAACGGGGCCTGTCTGACTGTGACCGCCTTCGGCCTGGACACAGAAAATGGGTGGTTCACTGTCTGGCTGGCGAATGAGACGCTGCAACGGACGGATCTCGGGGAGCGCAATGTGGGGGAGCAGGTTAACCTCGAGCGGGCCATGGGCGCCCACGTGAGATTTGGCGGGCACTTTGTGCAGGCGCATGTTGACGGGACAGCGAAGATTGTGGGCCGGGAGAAAGACGGTGATTCGGTGAGACTCGCGTTTGAGCTGCCAGAGACGAGCCGAGGGTTGTTGGTCTATATAATCCCAAAGGGTTATGTCACCATCGACGGAGCCTCGTTGACTATTACTGGGGTGGAGGACAAGGAGAGGCGGTTCAGCGTTATGTTGATTCAGCACACACAAGAAAAGATCACACTGGGGAAAAAGCAGGTCGGGGCGACGGTCAACATCGAGGTGGACATGATCGCAAAGTACATCGAGAAGAGTGTGGTGAATGCGGTCAACTCAGAGGGTGAATCAGGCTTGCGGAGTGCAGTGGAAAAGATAGTCGAAAGTGTATTAGCCAAGAAGGGAAATAATCAGTAGTTGAATCTTCCCTTGGCTTCTGCTTCCATGCAACCGCGAAAGGTATCCCTGGCCTTCCACACTCCCCCAGTCTCTCACTGTGTACACTCTAGGTCGTTGTGAAAGTAGTTGAGCCTTCCGCGCAGCAGAGACAAGCAGCATACCTTTCCCGCTCTCCCTCCCCTCTCAAGACGGTCGCGTCCCCAGCCTCATCCGAAGTTGGTTTCCGCCCAAAGGCCAAAGTCAATAGTAGCGCCACCTCAAACCTCGTCGCTCGCAAGGCCACAGTTGCCAGTTCTTCTCCCATCGTCCGAACTGGCTCTGTCAAGAGCACCATTAGTGTTAGCACTAGCCGAACTGCCTCCCCAACACGAAATGGGAGCCGTACCCCAATACAGCCACAACCACCACGACCACGGGCTGCGGTGACAAGGGGCATTCGGCCGACCGGAAACACAACTCCTCGAAACCCATTTGACGCGTCGCGGTCTGACATTGTGGACCTTTCCGGTCCAGAGGACGCCCCATCACCGCGAATCAAAGCCAAACTATCCAATCTCTCGAAGAACATTGCAGAGGAAGGGAGCAGGTCGCCTCAGCTTTTACCACAACAACAATTTCACCGCCCCCGCGTCCCATCTGTCTCTTCGACGACAACATCGTCCTCGCTTTCCCCGAGGCCCAATTCGTATTATCAGCCTTTTCCCGACGCCGCAAAGTTCACTAGGGCGAATGGAAACGGCTTCCCGTTGTCAGCAACCGTAGATCCGACAACGGTCCCACTCCCATCCCACTCCCCACCAACTTCTGCCCTCTCCTTTTCCTCCCGGTCATCTGTCTCGGTGTCGTCTGGCGTACACAGTGATGACAGGAACGCAACGAATATAATACGTGGCGGGCTCGAGAACTTGTTGGGCTTCAGCGAAATTTTGCCTGGTGAGGAGACGGAAACGGATGAAGATCTATCAGAAGAGGAGGATGAGATAGAGAGCACGGAACAGCGAAAGGTAAATGCTATCGAGCGCGAGGTTAGGGCAGAGGCAAAGTCTGTTCGCAAGGTGCGTTATTTTGTTTCTGCCACTTCGTGTTTCGACTTGACCCTTGCTTGCAGATTGCGGACCTGGAAATCACCAACCGCTCGCTCCTCACGATCAACACCTCCCTAGAGCAGACCAAGCATCGACAAGCGAAAGAAATCCGCGAACTTCGCAGGAAACTGCGTGAATCGAGGCTGGTTTTACCACCTAAGGAGTTCCGCGCAGTCAGCATGAAAGATACGAAAGACCACGAGTCAGAAGACGACGAAACAGACGAGGAAGATGAAGGCGAGGAAAGGGAACGCGAGCGGGAGAAGCACGACCAAACTTACAAACGGATTAAAATTATTCTGGAGGGTCTGATCGAGACAGGACGGAGGGCGTTGGAAACAACGTCAAAAGACTTTCCTGAAGAGGAGAATACGAACAAGCCCAAGGTGGCGAAGGTCCTCAGTGCTTTCGACCAGGAGGAGGATGAGGACGAAGACAGGCCGTTATCCCCGTCCCGTGTTGCTGTGCCAGACAGTGATTCCGAATCTGACCACGATGAAGCGGAGGTCATGAAAAGTCTGCTTTCACCTTCCCCTTCCCCTCAACGACCCACATAGATGCTCTTGACTTATTACGAGGAACCTAACAACGCTTTAGAATTACGTATATCCATGCAACGACAACAACAACCATACCACGCATCCAATACTCTAAACCCTAGCTTTCCCTGTACCGTGTACAATAAAAAGAATATATCCTCGGAATTACTACGTCTTTTTGGACAGATGGCTGATGACAAAGTGATAAGATAATTGATAACTGCCTGCGTTACTCGCATTAATATATTGCTAACCAGTATTCTGAATTTCAGGATGTAAAAAGTTTCCCATAGGCTATTGCACAGTTTAACCTTGACTCGAATACTTACGATCGCCGTTGTAGATAACGTTAACTTAAGCTTGACTGGAATCTTGTTGCGTTAGGCATTAAACGCACATCTTCCACAGGAAATTTAAAAGCTTCCTGTCATATCGGCTGTTCCACACGAATTCGTCGTTGATCACCAGGAAGCCGTTAAGCCGCTCCGGTACTTGTCTGTTATTACTAGTAGAATTGGCTTGATTGAGTTATCCACTTGCAAGTTGCAACTCCAAGTCTCCAAACAACGTTGCCCGGAAGGAGATATCGACCTTATTGTTTGTGCTCGCCCTATACGAATCAACCGCCTATGTCTACTATGTATTGACAGTTGTGTGGTTCGAGTCCGTTGGACATGACTGCACGAGGGTTTCCTCTATTCCATGGCAACTGTGAGTAAAATGCGCCGATGAACACTATCGACAAGTTAGAATACCACATTAATCCAACCTTGGTTGCAATAGAGTTAAATGCCCGCGGCTCAAGCAGTGGTAAACCATGAATATCGGCCGTCCCACGAGTCGTTGCCGTCGACCACCAACAAGCCTTTTGCACAGGTTCTGGGGAGCCGGCTGGTCACGCAATGCGTCACCACTGGCATCTCCAGATCCCTAGGGATCCTCGGATCCCTCTCATCTCCGTCTTCATCAGCCTCCGAGTCGTCGTCGCCTTGCGCTTGGCTTGAAAAAGAGAATTCCACCGCTTTGAGGGTGGGATGTATGACCAGCGCCGCGTCAAACTCTTTGTAGAGCGTGTTCTGAGCACGGAAGAGTCGATCCGACTTCTCTGGGGACTTCGGGGCCACGCGTAGACGTATTTTAAGTGTGATCAGCGACGGGAGGCCGCCATGGGCCAGCAGGCGTACCACAACGGCAGGTAGTGCATATGAAAGTCTGGGCACACCGAAGACAAGCTCACGCAGATGTGGCAGAGAGGTCGGGAATGACGAAACTGGTCCAAACTCCTCTGTAAGACGTGTTAGCCTTGGTATTAAAGAGAGAGAACTGGTTACTAACCATTGAAATAGCAATGCAGCCGCTGGAGTGTGGGGGCCATCAGGAGACACGGAGCAAGCTGCGATTCGAGCGTTATAGCAGCTTGGACAAGTTCAGAGACATCCTCTAAGTATGTCGCGAGGGAAGACTGAGCTAACAACGCGCAAATATGGGGGCTTTTGGTGATGTTGAGCTTGGTTGGCCGTGTGGACGTAGATGGCAAGAACTTCGTCGGTTTGTCATCAACGTCATCAAAGACCTCGACTCGGTCGAGCACAAGGCGTGCTGCCGCCGTCGCAAGCGAACGTTTGAGTAGCGCTGGCGTGATGCCGCATTCGCCATACTCCAGGAGTTGGAACTTGCCGTGTACCGGGGTGATATGATCCAACAGCCACTGAATAACCGTAGCATTAAAGTCCTTAGGTGTCTGGCTGGTGCTGTCGATGAAGTAACTCCTGATGGTTACACCGCGGAGGTTTGTCAGTCGCTGGAGAACACGCTGCACGTCCTGCTGGTCGACTGTCCATAGACTCGGGTTAAAGGTGAGGTATATGTGGAGGGTAGTGCAGTAGTTGGCTAGCCGCCGAAAGTCCTTGAGGATTGAGTTGAGTAGATTCGGCCTGTATTTATACTTGTCTGATTTGTTCGGATATCGATAGCCACGCGATTGCACTGCCAGGTTCATCGACATGTCTGAGAATAGTCGTTTTTGGCACGGGCGGCGAAATGCGGACGAAATGAGGGAGCACGCCTTGAGCGAGGGCGGCCAGGAATCGGGTATTGCCGCGACGATGTTTTCGTAGAGCTCTGGTGGGAGTCTATTCAAAGCCATAAAGCCAGATACTAAGGCAACTTGGGAGTTCTGCTCGAGAGTTGTATGCGTGCTTTTAGAGACTGCACGAAAGGCGAATGAAGAAGAAAAACGTGCACGGTTGGTTTAGGAGTCATCTGAGTTCGCTTAGTCAGAACATCTGATGGCAGGCTTTTGACACAAAATTGCCTGAGGTGAGGTGGACAAGCCTTTTTAAATCGGAAACTACCCTCGCCCTCTGAGCATCCCTTGGTAAAGTACTTTCTTCTTCTGCAGCGGCTCCTTAGATAATTCTTCCCGCTCCGGCAACCAACAATAATCGGCTTGCATGTGCATTGGGCAATCGCTGCGTTAAAGCTGATTGGAACACAGCTAGGGTTTTAGCCGTTGCAGCCGCAGCCATATACTCCTCGCTTTCCAACCCCAACCTCCTGAGATCATTCCTATTGTAGCTCAAGGACACGAACCACTCGACATGTCTGAGGGCGGGATGTGTGACTAGCCCTTCATCAAATTTGTCAAAAAGCTGGCTTCGAGAGTCCAATAGCCTGTCAAGGTTTTCTGCTTTAGATGTGTATGGATCTAAGTTGAGACACAGTCGAAGATTCACGAGCGCCGGAGCACCACCATCAGCAATTAGATGAAGCAGAACCATCGGTAAGTTGAAGCTTTCGACGCCTATTTGGAATTCGCGTAAACGGGGCAATAAAGTGGGAAGAGTTATATGTTGTTCCGAGTGAACTTCAGCCCGTTAGCTGCCTGGGTTCCAAGTCGGACTCGAAGTGGGAATGGGGCTTACATATAAAACTGAGCTCTAGCCACTCGAGTGCTGGTGCAAGCAAAAAGCACAGAGAGAGTGATTCCTGGCGCATGATATCATGGTACGTCAATTCTGTAATATGTTGCAAGTATTGCCGAAACATAGGTTGGACCACCAATAATGAGCCTGTGGCTTTCGAGTTACTAGATAAGGTGAGACTAGTCAGCTGTCTAGTCGGCGCTGGTGGCTGCTCGATGAGTGCATCTCCATCTTCAGGGACTTCAAGGCCGACATCGCTAAACTCGAGCCGTCGAGCCACCCCCAGACAGTGTGCGAGTAGATTTTCCGTGATGTCAATACCGGAAAGGGTCAATTGATCAAGCTTGGAGTGTCTTTGGACTCGGAAGATGCCCATCCACCAGTGAAGCACTGTAACAGAGAATGTACCCAACATTCTTGGTTGACGACCTTGATACATGAGAGTCACAGCACGCAAGTTGGAGAAGCGCAGAATTATACGCTCAGCAAGAAGTTGTTCTGACTCCCATACAGTCTGATTAGCGGGGAGCTGGATGCGCAAGGCGGTGCATAGCCGTGTCAGGTGAGGGTGGTAAAAAAAGTGTGCGTCAAAGGCGGGGAATGAACTGCCGCCGGCGCGATGGGCCCATGGCGCGATCTCGAGGTCGGAGTACATTCGCTTTTGGCACGGGTAGCGAAAGACAGAGGCGGAGAGACAGCATGCTGCGAGGGATTTGTAGTCCTGTGTCGGTATCGCATTCACAATGTTCATGTAGATTTCAGGTGGAAGTAGACGGATATGCCCCATATGGCTGGCTGAGAGATTTGCTTTCGATGTGGCATCATGATGGGAAGAAATGCTGTTGAGTCACAGGCACGTGTCAACGTCACAATTGAACTGCTCCCCAAGACCAACCACTAGCTGTACTGGCAAATCATTCTTCGGGAACTTGTCGTGTTGTCTTACTCGAGCTCTTAAATCCGGCCGTAAGCCTGCAAAAGTCTAGAGAGGCTTCAAGTTGTTCCCCGCCGTTAGGGAGTGGGAGGGAGTGGGTAGAATCAAACACCCTCTATCTCAGGAGCTGATGGTCGAACTCCCTCAAGAGCTCTACGAGCTCATCGTCGATGCTATTCCAAATGACCCAGATGACGGCACACTCCGTTCATGCTGCCTCGCATCCTCTCTCTTTCGTCAATCATGCCAAAAACGAATGTTCTCCCAGCTCTGGGTGGCAGGGACCGCTGGGTATCGGCGCAGGCGCTCGTATGCAGCAACTGCCGCCAAAATGGATGAATTCCCAGATCTATGTGGATACTGCACTGTTCTTACTGTTTCTTTTCCCGATCTCTACGACGAAGTTGATTGGAAAAATGTACAGCCTATTGCGGAAGGAGTTCTTCGCCGGTTGACCAATATTCGCACAGTTCATCTTGTCGGGCAGTCTCCAAACATCGTGAGCGGGCCGCATATCGAGGCGTTCACTGTGCGAACTACCTACTGGCTATTCACCATTTTCCACGAGTACGACAAGCTCGAGTACCTGAAGTTGCAAAACACACGTCTTACACCCGATCTGTGTGAATGGGTATGCCTCGATACACCGTAGTTTCCATACATAGTAATTTGACTGCTTGCTTTCCGCGTCCATCTGTGTCCGTGTCCGTGTCTGAGTCGAGGCCGACATATCGGTCTCTCCGCGTTCCCCTCCTTCCTCCTTTCACAGGTTATGGGCCCCGCGTAACCCTTGCCTCATTCCCTTCCCTTTCGGCGCATCACATTCGAAAATTTTCATTCACATTCACCATCACCCTTTGCTCTTCGCCATCTTCCCTATGCCCATTTCTGCTGCACACCTCTCTGGCCTCGCCAAGCTTGCAGACCTTGATGACACCAACTGGGGTCAATGGAGCAAGACAATGGTCATGTTCTTCCGGGGTACCGGTGCAACGTGGATTGCAAACAATTCGGCGGCTGTGCCAGCTGAAGGAGCAGCTGCGCTCGATGGAGAGATTGTCTGGACAATCTATTCCCATGTCCATGACGACTACAAGACCCTCATCGAGGACGAAAAATCTGGGCTTAGTGCCTGGAAAATCCTCAAGGAACGGTTCGAGAAGTCCAGCATGGCACGCCGACTCAAAGCTCGTACCGAGTTCTACCAGGCGGTCCACGACCTTTCCCTACCTGTCGACATCTTCATTCGTAAAATCACAGATGCCCGCAAATTACTCAAGGGCTTGAACTGCGAACCCGGCGATCTCGAAACAGCTGATATAATACTGCTTAACCTTCATCGCTCTTGGTCCACCGTCCGCACCGCCATCACGACACAAAAGGACGAACCCACCCTGGAAGCTGTCATCTCAACACTCAACGGATCGACTGTTGATATCCCTGTCAAACAAGAGGACGACATACCGACTTTTGCAATGGCTGCGTTTAACGGACATCATCCGAGTATGGGTTCGGGTGGGAGACGTGGTGGTTCTGGCGCTGGTGGTTATAGCCGCTCGACTGTCTTACCTGCGAACCGTGATGCTGGCAATTCAAGCAACACAGGCACGACAAGTCATTCACCCATTGACGACAAGGGCTTCCGATGGTGTGACCCCTCCAACGAGAATCATTGCCATAGATGTGGACGACCTGGGCATATTGCTGCGCGCTGCATTCACGACATGCCCCAACACATCAAGGACTTCGTCATGAACGGCGCCCCTCGTCATCACTCAGCCAAATTTGCATTCAGTTACGAAAGTTATCCTAACGACGAGGCTTTCAGACATGCCGTACATACAGAAATGGATGCTCCTCCTGATTCCGATGTATACAGGGCGCAACTTGCTGCAATGAGGGCCTCTTTTGACAATGACGTCGATGAAGAAGGACAATACACTGGCAGTGGGGCAGTCCAAGCACCTCTTCGCATTTAGCTGGCATTTGGGTGGGAGTTTTGTTTATCTTTTTGTTTGCGGTGCATCTCATCAGGTGGGAGTGTGAATGGGTATGCCTCGATACACCGTAGTTTCCATACATAGTAATTTGACTGCTTGCTTTCCGCGTCCATCTGTGTCCGTGTCCGTGTCTGAGTCGAGCCGACATATCGGTCTCTCCGCGTTCCCCTCCTTCCTCCTTTCACAATCTGTTAGCGCAGCTGCTTGGGTCAGCATCCCGTATTGGGTTCTATAATGTCCAGAACTTTGCTTTTCTGCCTTCGAGCTCAGATTATGTTCCATCCACCCCTCTGAACTTGGCTCACAATATCTCAAAGTCTCGGCGTCTGTACGCTGCTAGCCCAAACGGGGTTAAAGCCCTACGTGCAATCTGTCCGGACCCTAGTGCAAACCGGTGTCGATGGCCAGCAACAGCTCTCCGCCTGTTCTTCACTTGCCTCTAGTCTCGAACGCTTCGAGTGTTACATTGCTCGTGAGTGCTCCCGGTTTATGTTTTCCATGCAATGCGGAGCTTCATATTTCCTCAGTTAATTGCACCACTTGGAAGGAATTTTATCCTCCGACCTGTCTTCCCCAGCTCCGTTATCTCGTTCTGGGTCTCTGGGCGTACGCGATTTACCACCTCTATTACTGTGACTGGTAGTTGAAGGAAGTGCCCCAGCCTTGGTCAATATTCGGCTGGAGCTTCATGTCCAACCACGAACCCGCGAATACCTGAACGGATTTTTCTGCGCACAGACCCAGTTGTTCTCCCAGTTTGATAAAGCTTTGGCTGCCCATCCCACTATGCAAACGGTGAACTGGGTTCTGTCTCTGAAGTACAACATGGATGTCCGACGATCGCTAGCAGACAGGGAAATGCGGCGATACGTCTCGGTTTATCTAACTAAATTAAGAGAGCAGCTGCCTAGGACATGCACGAGAGGTATATCCTTAGTGGTCGATGGAAAAACACGGCGATAGACCTATTGGAACTGGCTTGTCCAGCTAAGAACAAGCAAAAGCTTGCATGCTTGATCAGCTTTGATGGAATCAGTCAAATATCAAATGTTTTCTTGTTCTCTTTGAGGGTATTACACTTCTTTCCACCCTTCACAAAATACAGATAACGATAATATGACAACAATAGAGAGTTCAAATCAGTCCTTGAGCACTGGTGGTCGTCTTGGGCTCTCAAAGGCTTTGTCTTGCTGGTCACTCTCCAATTGCCGGGGCCCGCTTATCAGTGGCCGTTCACCTTTCCTCGAAGGTCGTCTGGTAAACGATTGGCCTCGTGGCCGTCGTGCACCAGCAGATAGCGGTGACGACACCGCAGGCGTTGATGATCCTAAAAGAAGTGGACGCAGGATCGGATACTCGTACGTCCCACCAGCGACTGATGTCGATGATGGCGGAGTGAGTGGTGAAGTAGCGTTGCTTGGGATATTTGCAGACGGCAAGGAGGTAAGTGCAGATGTGCTTGTGCTGAGGTACAACGGGCGCAACGAAGGTGGCACAACCGTCGCAATTATGGGTGTTTCAACATCAGAAACGTCGCTCTGCATCTCGGGCTTCTCGGATACATTGGACAGCTGGCTTCGGTCAGTGCCAGGCACAGTAAGGTCTGAAATTCATTGTCATCGATATGAACCTTGTCCACGAGATAACGGCTTACCACCAATGAAGGATGTGACATCATACTGCGTCCCGGCTGAGTTAAATCGGCCATGAGCGGGTGTTGGTGTCCCAGGTGTCGAGATGCCTTCTCCGTCAGTCAACAGATCACTCATTGCAGCACTAATTGGTACGAGAGACTGTCGCCTCGCTCGAACACCCCCACCCGCTATCAACGACTCCGGCAAGGCAGCAGCAGCAGGAGGCGGCTCGGGGAAGATGCTAAGGGAAAATTCACTGCGATTCGATTTTCCAGATGACACACTAATCGAACGCGTGAACTTGGCTCGCTCGCTGCTTTCGATTGGTTCAGGTGGAGGTTGGAATATCGAGTCGGGGGAGGTGGGGGATGAGATAAGACGCAGAGCAGCAATAGATTTGTCGAGTTCGGTTTGCTGCCGCAAAATCTCGTCCAGTGAATTGCCAGAATTACGGGCCTGATCAGACATGGACAACGGAGATGAAGTTAGCCGTGGCGAAGGTGCCTTGGTTCCGACAGACAACGTAGGCGACTCCGGCGCGGCAGGCTGAGGAGCTGCAGATGATTTCGGTATAATGCCATCAAGGCCATAAACGGGTGAATCGGTAGTACTGGTGCTGCGTGAGTCTAGACCAGGCACAATGGTGGGCATTGTTAGTTGCGATGTTGTTGCCATACCATAGTACGATGCGAACGAGACGCCAGTGTAAGGTCGTGTGCCGGAGGAGGGAGTTGCAACTTCAAGTGTCGTTGCCGGAACGGCAATCAATCCCGGGTCGGCCGTCTTGATTGAAAGTGGCGGCCGCTGTTTCTCTTCTGAAGGCCGAACACGGGGCGGGTCTTCAATCTTGACGCGAGGCGCACGTGGTTTTTTGTCTTCCAACACTTGGACTCGGGGGCTCAGGACTATTACATCATCGATGTCAGTCCCAGCAGGAGAAGCTGAGCGGACTTGAGTCGATATACCACGTTCAGCATCGTCCCCATTCCAAAGCTTCTGTTGGCCACTAGGGGGACGTGGAGCTTTGCGACGAGGCATGAGCATCCAAGAGCCTATACGGCTGATACGCGACTCGCGAGAAACTGGGCGGTCATATGCAGCCGGAAAAGGACGTTCAGGAGATTCTGTTGGGGCAATAGCCACAACGCTATCTGACTTTTCGGCCTTGGTAGGAGACATGAGTTGGAAGTTGGCGAATAACTCAGCAGATTTGGGCATGACTCCAACAAAGAACGAGGAGCGTTTGCGTGCGTTGACTACGGGAGGCTCTTTGTACAGCGGCACGTTGTAGAAGGTGAACACAAGGAGATTCGTGAGTAGTGCGTATGTTGACACGGCTTGGAGAAAGCGACCCAGTGTGGTCTCGGAGAACTTGAAGAACAAAACATTCCCCGTCCCAATCCCGGTGTTGGTCAAAAGCGCTAAGATAGGGATAATATACGGCACACTGAATTTCTTTATCAGCTGCTAGAATAGAACATCTCGAGACTCACAATGGACGCCACCAGGGTGCAATAGTCGTCAAAAAGAGATTGAGTAGGAGTTTCGCAAGGAACAGAATGGACACAGCGATTTGGATGGTAGATTCAGCGATGTAGATGGGAGAGTTGCCGGTTGCGACGCGCCATATGATTTGGAGGATGGGAATGGAGATAACTGCACCCAACAAAGTATATTTCAGTAACAACCCGGGGACACCCCAGCGACCCCAGCTTGCACTGTGGAGATGGGTTTCGGAGAATAGAGGGTCGATTACGGAGCTTGGACGAGGTTCGTAGCGCGGACGTTGGGAAACGAAGACCCAAAGGTAGAGGTAGCGAGCGCCAAAAGCAAGTGCAAATCCCACTTCCCGGGTATTGACGATACCAGTGACGGTGTCAAGGGCAAGACCCTGGTTGGTATTATTTGTACCTCGAAGGAGAATTTGTGAGAGGTCGAGAATAGCAGCACCAAATGCGAAGAGGGACGAAGTGTACAGATATATTGCGGCTCTGTGAGAACTCAAGGTAAGACTTCGTTTCGAAGTGAGGGAGCACGAATTACGGGTTGATTCGACGCATAACAATGAAGAAAGCGAACACCGCTAGGGCAGTTAAGCCTAAAAAGTTGAGTTTGATGAAGGAGCGAAGATTGAAGGACACACCAAGACAGAAAAAAGGGATGTCTGCAAGGACGTAGTCCAACTCTGGAGTGGAGCTGAGGCCAAATCCAGTAGCTTGGGCAGATGCCATTGGAGTCCTGTGCGACGGAAGAAAAGAATGGGATTTTTCGTCTTGCGAAGAGAATAGAGCCGACCCCCGTTAATTAGAAGGTAGGGCCAGCAGAAGAGAACGGGCAGTCGCGACAGTTAAGCGGACCGTTTTGGGGAATTTGTTTTATTTAGGGTGCCAGCTGAAGTGGCCAAGTAGTAAAGGATGGGCAGGACCCAGTCCTATGGGGGAGAGGGAGGTGGTAACCGCGTTCAATCCGTCGCGACAATCTAACCTCAGGTTGATTTCCCACGATAAACGTGATCGTTCGGAGGCTTTTACGCTTACATAACACTATACCTTCGATGTCTTCGGCTAAGCCGGTTGACGATGACCGAATCGACACGGAGAGTGCGCGAGAAATGGTGGTGTTTCGCAGGACTAGATGGGCACATGGCTAGATGGTCATGCTCTGGCGCGAATTGCGGCTGGAAACCAAGTGCCATCAAGTCTGGCCCGAGCCTGTCATCTGGGTGACCTCACCAAGAAATCGAGTGGGACGATTTCACAGATCCCATTTATTCTAGGACTTGGACTTGGACCATTCATGTCCGGGCTCTAAAACCGACCCTCACATTCCAACGTCGTCCTCCCGCATTGTTACGGTTTCAATCGACTATTTCACCTCTTGTTCGATCGCTTTGCTTTGGCAAATTGACAACTAGGGTGACTTGGAATGCAACGGGAGCATGCATCTTTTCGTCAACCATGCCCTCTGAAAAGCCATCCATTCTTCTGACTCTGGCCGCACAGGCGGTTAGCACTGTCGGCTTAAGCGTGGTCAGTTTCCTGGTTGCTTTTGCACACAAGCTCACTTACGCGTATTTGATCATTAGAGCATCATTGCCTGGCTTTGGCTTTCCCTCATCCCGCTCCCCAAACCAACGGAACCAATAACAATCGTCGACAAGAAAGCCCGGCGTCGTTCCGCACCTGCTGCCCTTCAATCCCAATCGAGTTCCCACTCTCCTCCATCTCCTCAGAGATCATCGGTTGACCACGCTTCTTTGATTACCATTCCTCCAAGAAAGCGCCGTGTCTATTTCGCTGACTCTCCCAACTCGCCTTCACGACCTTCTTCACGACCGAACGACTCTGCAGAACTCATCGTCGAAAAACCGATAATTGCTCAATCATCAGCTGTGGAAATAAGTCCAGCTTCTTCGTCTTCTACTCTGGTGCATACCCATACCGCAATACCCCCACAAACATTAGAGACATGCCGCGAGTTAGCCATCGAATCAGACTCTTCTAGTTCCTCGTCACCTCGCCGGTCATTGTCTTTGACCAGACCTTTCGGAAGGACTCGCCGAACATCAGGGCCCGATGTTCCTGCCCCAGAATGTCCGTCCCCTCCTACCGGCCCTTCATACCAGCTTACTAAACCTATTCCAGTGGTATCAGAACCTAGACAACCGCGCAGATCTAGCGGGAATTTTGTCCCCCCTTGGACCACTTTCCGCCGCACTTCCACATCAAAGAGCGCTTCTAGTAATGCCTCATCAACTCCCAGCTCTGGAACGACCTCTTCTCCCAGTCCAACAAGTGCGCCAGCCCAATCGTATTTCACACGCAAATCGGCTCGCCGCGTTTCTACCCCTGTCCCACGCACTCAGCCTTACGCATATCCGTACTTCGCCGAGCCACCTAAAGTGGATGACGATGTCTATATCGCATACCTCCGTGGTCGGACCCCACCTGGGCCAGAGACTCTCGCCCGTAGCGCGACCGCCTCCGATTCAGAGGGTGGTAAGAGCCAGAACAGGAAGTTAAACGACAAGGCACAGGCTGCGCTGGGCCTCCAACGACCATCAACACTTCAACAGCGGAATCCTAAGCGATCCGCAAGCGAAGGATGGGTCGAACGTCCGTAAGGGACACTATTATCTTATCGGGTTAATATTTGTGGGTTTAGGTCTCCTTCTAGTCAATGAAACTACTAACCCTTGTGGTCCAGAGGGCATGACTTACTACGCACGACATAATAACGCAACACACTGTATTCTAACGCATGTCGCATACGAAATGGTGTAGTAGAAGCAAAAAACACAATCAACAGTACAAACTCATTCACTAAGCCCATCGTTGGCGAGCAAGGCCAACATCGCTTGAACAACAGGATTGTCGCCGCCAGTGTTGAGCATTGCACCCTCTTCAACGCAACGCTGAAGCTGCACATCCAACAGCTTCCGGAGTTGGTTGACTAGAACCCCGATACGGGGCCATGCGCGAAGGTGAATGAAAGCGCCTTTAGCTCCGACCGTAAGTCCACCAGCAATATGGTTGACCAAAACCGGTCCTCCGAATAGCAGGATAGCATATAGCGGCACCTCGGTAGCGTCGCGGAGGAAGACTTTACTCGTCTGATGCTTGTTGAAATAAACGAGGAATGGCGATTTCCAGGAGGCAACGTCGAAAAGAATGCTCTGAGGATGCAAGAACACTCGATTGTCGCCTGTTCCTGGTTTTTTGCCTGGACCGCCACCGCCGGCGCTGCTTCGAATATCGTACATTCTAAACTCCTTGGCGAGATTTTCCCGCTGGACAGTCCCCGCGGAAACACGGTCGAACTTGATAGCGGACTGCGGGAGGTGTACTCGGACAATACGTGGCCAAAGACCTCCAAGGACGACAGCTTTGATTAGATTCGTATTCCCGCTGTTGGCGTTGAGGCTGGCATCGGTCGCCTTGGAATGAAGAGGTATGAATCCAATATCTGCCAGCGAGCCAATGAAATCATTTCGAAGAGTCGTGATATCCCGAATCGTGGTTTGGGACACGAAGTTCTACTCGCGTTGGAACCGAGATTTATCAAGCAAAAATGAGCAACTTGCCTCCTCACAAAAATCGGCAACGGCGTGGTTCGATTTGCCCTGGGATCGGAGATCCACACACGCAGTATAAGCATTAAGGTCGGTCAAGAGGTCGCTTCCTGCGGTTGCGAAACGTAAACGCGCTCTGGAAAAGGGGGGGTTACACGCATATTAAAACAACATCAAGAGTGCATACTGCGAGGCTTCTTCTTTCTTGTCAGTCGGGCTGAGGAAGAGTGGCTTGGAGGATAGACATGCAGCGATAGTCAGCACCGGATCCAGACATTGGAACACTGTTCCCAGCACGAGCATCTGGAACATTGTCAGTCCATTGGTCAGAGCTTATGTGGTGACTCGCCTTCGCGAGACGCAAATCAACAGGAAGAGAGGACTGGAGAAGCTCAGTTGTCGAGATGTTCTAAAAAACCTGGACAAACCATATGTCTTCCAAGAGGAGTCAATTTTCCTTGCAAGTCTACGGCGCCTAATTCTTCGAGGACCGTCCAAGCCGCTTCCATAGCCACAACTGCCGGCGGGTCAATGGCTCGCGACAAGAATAACTTGACGTCCTCGGCTTCTCGCATAACCTTGACTGTCAACGAGATACTCTCCAAAGGAACGCTGAGAGAACAATTAGGAGTTATGCAGACACAGAAGCGAGCTACAAACCGCAGTATTTCGGGGACAGGAAATTTACGCATATTTGTCTCTTCCTGGCGAGTGTACAGTTTATAACAGAACCCTGGTTGCGTTCGCCCCGCGCGTCCACGTCTCTGGCGACCTGCAGCTCGAGTTATGTAAATCTCAACAAGACGAGACATTCCAGTCTCCGTGTCGTATTGTGTTTCTTTGACCTTGCCCTGGAAAGTCATGTCAGGTCAATCTGTGTCAACACCCAAATAAACAACGGACAGCATCGACCACGTAGATAACGTCGTCAATAGTGATCGATGTTTCCGCCACATTCGTAGCAGCGATGACTTTCCACTTTGAGGAACGAGGAAAAACGCGCCGTTGTTCGTCACTTGAAAGATTTGCGTGCAGTGGGAATATATCGGCTTGACCGCTGGGAAGAGTGCTCCTCATAGCATCGATGCATTGTCGAATCTCGGGGACACCAGGCAAAAAGATCAAAATACCACCCCGCTTGTTATTAGGAGTGGTGATAATGTGGCGGACGACCTCTGCGATGAGCTGCAGTCGAGTGTAAGGTTTCTGCTGCCTAAGTAGTGATTATATCGAACCTTGTAGTCAAGACGGTCAGAACGGCTGATAGTTTGAATTGCTGATATGGTGGCATCATCTAAGCCCTTTGCTTTCTGCTCTTCACGAAAAGCGTTCAAAGTTTCGGCGCTTTCTTTGCGAGAGTATTTGGAGGCAGAGGGACGATACTTGATAAGTGGTACGATGTCTTCAAGGTAACTGTTCAAATATCATGAGCGAAAGCAACCCTGGGTATTGTCGCGCAATATTCACATGTCTTGGACGGGATGTGTGAATCCAGGAATCGTTAGCAGCGGCGCGCCCCCGAAGTATTGAATAAAAGTTTCATGGTTTATGGTAGCACTAAGGGCTACTTGTCGATACGGTTTGTGCACTGAGTCGAGTAGACAAACCTCATCAAAACAACTTTGAGGGAAGGGTGCCTGTTGAGAAGTTCTCGTAGTTCCAGGAGAAGGAAGTCTCCGTCCAGCGAGCGTTCGTGCACCTGAGAACATCAGTGCTCTAATCAGCTTAGTATGTCAATGGTCCTGACTTCGTCGACCACAACGTGGGTCACGTGCTCTAATGAATCTCCAGAACCAAGTCGCCGTAGGACAACTCCAGTAGTGCAAAACAGCAGTTTTGTTTCCTTCGACTGTTTACTTTCACCCCGGATAGCGTATCCGACCTGTAAGAGCCCAGGTAATTAGTTGTCCAAGCTGGGTCGAACAATGGACCATACCGAACCATCCTCGATTCGTTCTGCAGATACTCGAGCTGCGACTGAAATGGCAGAGAGACGCCTGATAAATAGATTTAAGCGCACTTAACAGACAGAATTCGGACTTGGCTTGCCTGGGTTGGGTAACGAGGATTGACGCAGCAGACCCATTGCCAGACAAAATCAGGTCGTCTAAGATGAACTGAGGCAGCTGAGTGGTTTTACCGCAGCCCGTTTCGCCGACCACGACTACTACGCGATTTTTATGCAAGAGTTGCAAAAATTCGTCCTTGGCCGAGAACGCAGGAAGTTTTTTCCTAGTCGACAGCATGTCTTGGTACTATCAATTCTTTCAGACAACCGTTTCAGGGACAAGGAGATAAGAAACCTTTGACCCTGCGCACAAAGTTTCGAAAGTCGTTTTGATGTCAGCGCCTGATCGCCCATCGCGTCTAGGACCACCACTAGTCACCTTCTGTTGCCGTGAATTTGTCGACATCTTGATGCTATGGTCGAAATCGAATTCCTGCCCTTCCGCGAGAGGGATGATATTCCGCAGGATAACGTCCATGTCGGGTGGTCCATTATTTTCAATCTCTGCCCAAGCATCCTCCAAAACTCTCATGGCGGCCATGCAAAATCCTTCACCAGGTTGGATGAAGTCATCATTCTCCATCTCGGTAAGCAATTGTGCAACCATATGCAGACGAACATATGCAGGAACGGTGGTGGAAGTAAGGGATAATGGCGCAAAGTCTGGACGAGGGTACTGTTTCTCAGCGGACACGATCACGTGCAGCGTGATTGGTCCACTAAACAACGGCATTAACAAGTTAGTCGAGTCTTCGAGAGAGGCACCCATGGCATCCAGCTCATCCATATCGATCTGATAAGGCTCTGACACTGCAGTCGAAGGCATGTCTTTTCCGATGAGTTTGTAGCCTAATGTGACCAAAAGCGTGTCCCAGTTTTCGATAAGGGACGAGTCTTGGTCTAGACAAGTCTTGACGATGTGGACCGGCCATCCAGCTTCCTTTGATGCCTTTTCCTCGACCCAACGACGCTTGAGATCGTCAGCACCAGAGTGCGTGGAGGTAATGAAGGTGTTAGACGAATTCGCGTTGGGCAAAAATCTATCAGGAAGGTCGCATTCTGGAAGATGTAGGATGAGGTATTCGATGGCTGCTTCGAGAGGAGCATGTGAGCTCATAAGGTTGATCGCCATCGGAGAAGGATTGGACAAGAATGTGATGGCGCTTCGGGCTTGGATGGCATTGAAACCTAGCGTGAGCAGTTGCTGGTTGACTTGTGGCGCATCGTCATCCGAGAGGACAGATGGGGCTACATCCGCAGCTTCAGGATATAGTGCCAAAGCCTTGATGAATGAAGATGAGAGAAATGGAAGCACGCGGTACAGGTATATACCTGTTTGACTGCATCCTCTGCAATTTCACGAAGTGTACCAGCCATTTTGACCTCTGGCGCTTTCGCAAATTCACCAGACGGTGCAGGTACCCGGGGAGCTGAGCCTCGAATGGTTTGTTCGATTGTTGTGGAGGTTTTGGGCTCTTCACGTTTTTTGAGAGCCTGAGCTTGGCGCTGTTCGACTTCTTTTTTGGCTGCAAATGGATCAGCTGCATACACTAAACTTTATCAGCCATGATGATAACGAGACAACTGATACTGACTCCACTTCTGGTGTTCAGGACAGCGATTGTGCTCTTGGGCGAGCGTGTCCCAATATTGCCTTGGTCCAGGAGGAAGAATACGATTAAGCTGGTTCGTAGACTGAGCGACGTTTTTGCAGACAAATGATTGGACCTACAGGGTAACCGTTGCAGAACTATTGAAGGGGAGCATTGAGTAACATCGGCCGATTCATGGCGATAAATGGCAAACACGATATAAGGCATATGTGGCTCCCCAGTGTCTGGCTTCAATGGCGCTGGGAGCGATGTAGGGCGGATGAGGCTCGAAACGAACAGATTCCTTCTGCCCACTCTTCTTGTTGATCTTGCTCAGTGTTACAACAAAGGAGAAACCTTCTGAGTTCTTCCTCTATATGACGATTGAGGATGATAGTGCTCGCAATGATGGGAGGTGCCTCCATACAGTGTCCACAATAGGTTTCTCCCAACCTTCCTTCTGGCACCTATATGATTGGTTAGATTACGAATAAATAAGCTTGAATGCTACGAACTTTTCATGCAGAACGCTGAGAGGATACTTATAACCTGGAGGAAACAACGGCTGGCCGTCTAGTTGAGGAGCATTGGAGTCGGTTGGTGGTTGAGCTTTCGGAGCGGGTTTGGACGAGTTGCCCGCATTCCCAGACTTGACGATACCTTTGCGAGGAGGCATAAGATGAGAGTACAGAGTGAAGGTGTAGGACTATGATTCAAACATTTGCTCGGAGCCGTCGAGATTTTTGGTGAGGTTGATGAATTGTGACATGTGTGACAAACGCGTTTTTACTTATGGATCTCGCCTCGTTGAAGAAGGAGATCAAGGAATGGGAGCGCTCGTTCCGCGCTAAACATGGACGCGACCCCACTGTCGATGAAATTAAGCAGCTCGGCTACGGTGCGTTCCTCTGTTGAATCTTTCTTTCACTCAATTAACATCTTGAAAGCCGACAAATACAAGCAATATAAGAAACTCACTAAAGACGCGTCGAATAAGGCCAAATCGCGTCCTTTGCTTTCTCCTGCACGTCCAGCTCCGTCCAAAACGCAGCCACTACCAGGATTCAACCCGTTCTCACCTCAGAAGAACAACAAGGGCAAACAGAAGGCGATTGAATTTAAGCTTCCGGCCCTTAATCCCGACCCATTTGACGACCCATCCGTTCCAACCCCCATTGCCCGTGCCCGCAAGCGGCTCCGTGGGGAGCCAGTCTCGCCTTCCCCAAACAAAGGCAAACGCCGACGCGTGGCACAGGATAGCGATGGCGATGAAGACGATTCAGCAGAGGCCAATTCTTCCCTGGTCTTCGACTCTCCCGAAAAGCCATCCGCAGGGTCCTTCAAGCTTCTGTTTGACGAGAAACCACAGAAGTTGATATTTCCGTCTTTACGAGGAAAGACATTACTGTCGAGCCCTGTGCAGAACATCTCTCTGCTTTCTCAAGACGCGATGGATATCGACACCGCTGAGCCATCAGAAAGGGACCCGTTCTTCAGCTCCCCCAAGATTGCGTCGCCAAACCAGGAAATGGTTGGAGACATGCCACCACCACCCGTCATTCTCCTCCCGCCTTCTCCACCACCCACCACGAAAAACTCCAGTCAGTCCCAAGGCTCCAAACCGCGCGGCAAAGCATCGAATACGGGCCGTCCGAAGAAGACTGAGAAAAAAATTGTCTCCAGTGATGATGAAAGTGAAGCGGAAGCGCACAAAGTTCGCGTGTTCAGGCGTGCTGTGTCAAGACGGGCGGATGACTTCGACAACGAAGATGACGCGTTTCTGCGTCGGAGGAGGCCTCCTGAATCAGACTTGCAGTCTACAGAGGCCGAAAGTACAACCATCTCCCTGCCTGATAATCTTCGAGAGATTCTTTCATTAACCCCAAATACTTCCACTTCCCGAACACGCGACGATAAACTTGTCGTGGAGCAGCTTATTTATGGGGCCCACAGAAGTAATTACGATCCAAGTAAGGGTGGAGAAGTATGGGGCGTTGGTGAATTTGAGGGAGAACAGTTGGACGACATGGCCCCGCGTAATACTGACGCTGGAGATGAGGAGGATGACTGGGAAGGGGAAGGTGTTCCATGGGAAGTCGGGGAGCTGTAACCAACGCGCAATTGACAGTTTACCCGCAGCTTGGGGGCATTCAGTAGGCGTGTCTTGCGGTCCAAAAGCGTGTTTAATGAGCCAACTTCAGCTATCTATATCTCAAACAACACATGTTGGCTTGTAATAACGCGGCGAGTTCGTGTGCGCTGAAGGCGTGGACTGCACGCTCGCGAGTTTAAAGGGCGTAGGCAACAACTTCACACATTCGTATGCCTGGTCTCTCAGACATTCTTCCAGCACTTAAACGTCGTTCAAGTAGCATCCGCCAACGAATTCGAACCATTAGCACCAGCTCTTCCGCCAGTCAGCAGCCTCGTTCCGACTACCAGTCTTATTCCGTCTATCGCCAAATTTCCAACTTCATTCCCATCATGCCTATTCCCCCCGCGATTGCTGTCCTTCAGACACCAGACGTGGCCGACAAAATCCTTGACGCGATCCTCGAGTTACCCAATGGCAATGGCCGACGTGGAGTTTTAAAGCTGGCTCAAACTTGCCATGCTTGGCTTGACCCGGCGTTGAACGCTCTGTGGCGAGAACTCGGTGAGTACAATCTCTATGAACCTATCCAATACCCACTGAAATCACATTAGACTCGTTTATTCCGCTCCTCGGGTTATTCCCAACCGCTTTGTTCAAGAGGGGGAAGAAGCCTGGTCAAGGATTTGTGAGTTACAGTTCGAAGTAATCGGAGAAGAAGTTTGACGGACCATAGGCAACGCCTCCCACCGAGGGCGACTGGACCAAGGTCATTCAATATGGAGCCCGAGTGCGCAGAATCACATACGACGAAATTTCGAACAATGTTTCCGCCACCATTTTCCCGATCTTCGAAGAGCTCCGGCCACGCACATATATTCTCCCTAACCTTCAGCAACTCACTTGGAGAATCACCACTCCCGAGAACCTTGACCGCGCGGCCCTCTTTTTGTCGCCTGAGCTCCAAGGACTCGTGGTTCATCTGGGCGTAGGTGGGAATAGGTTTCCGACACTGCCTGCTTTTCTTGCGGATGTTGGAGGTAGAACCAAACTGTCCGAGTTCTCGTTAACAACCGCCGCATCCCTTCCGGATGCATTCACCGACATGATGCAAGCTCAAGACGGCTTGGAACGATTGGCTCTCCTTGCGCCCGGAGCATTGGCCACCAATGTCGGCAGATGGGTCGCTCACTTGCCTCGCCTGAAAAGCTTCCAGCTCGATCTGTTGGGAAAATCTGCCGCGGCAGTCAACAGCTTTTTCAGGGACGTCAGGACTGGTCAGGCGACACCTGATTCGATCGAGTCCCATTCCGATAGCGGCGTGTTCTCTGCCGAGGACGAAGTCGACCTGACCGAAGTCAGTCGATCATTGGTCAGGCTGGATAGGAAGAAGAGGACCAGCAGTGTTTTCCCTGCGCTGACGCAACTCCACCTGACCGGACAAGTGGGGAACATTGTCCTGTTTCTGGCGCAGATATCGAGCCCTTTAACGCAACTCGGACTTGTCATCGAAGACCCTCCTAATGCTGCAGAGTGGCGAAGATTTTGTGAACTTCTGGGAAACCGTTTTGGTGATACCCTGACTTCGTTGCGGCTGAGCGCAACACCATCGTCCAGGTTTGGCGAACTTGTCCGTTCGACATCGAGAGCAGCACCGCCACCTAGCCGACTTTCTCTCCAACACTTGTCATTCCTTCCATCCCTTCGTTTCCTTTCTATCGACCTCCCCGAATCGACATTGTTCGTCAAGGCTGACATCGCACACCTTGCAGATGTAGCGCCTAATTTGGAGGAGGCCAGACTTTGCCCTTCAGCACGTTTCTTGCAATCCACACCACCCCAGCTCACACTGGAAGACCTCGCACCACTCATTCAAAACTGCCGTGAGCTAGTATCACTGGCCGTTGTCGTTAACGCAAGAGGCGGCAATGCCGACCTCTCTGTGTCGTCACATTCCTTGCTTTGGCTTAATGTCGGACATTCGTGGATTTCGGATCCGCTTCAAGCTGCCATTCTCTTGAGCCAGTTTGGCACCGATCTCACGGTGAGATGGTTCACTGAGCGGAACCGCCCAGGCTTTGTCGAAAGTAACTCGAGAGGTTGGGCTAAAGTGGTGGAGATCCTCCCCCACCTCCAAAATTTGCGGTTGATGGAACGAAGAGCAGCAGCGCTGCGTTATCCTCCCCCAAAACCCTTGCCCCCACCACAAGTTGTGAAGGAGGTCATCACCGAATACATCGAAGTCCCCGCCCCGAGACCTCCAACGGCGGAGAAGTCGATTGATGCGCGTGTTTTCACGTCAGAAATGGGAGTCTTGGCTAGGCCATTGACCTCGGAAATTTCGGTGCAGGCGGTAGCGTCAATGAGCAGCCACGCAGTCCAGGCGAGTCCTGATCACGTGTCCATTGCTGTCGACGCAACCCCGGAAGTGAAACACATCGAGGTAGATGCGACCGTGCTGGATGCAGTCAAGTTGCGTGAAGAAGGTGTTTCCTCTCCAACCGAGTCGCATGGCCCGGCAGTGTCCCTGACTTCGATTCTCTCGCTGGTTGTGATGCTGCGAGCCATACTCTTCTATCCCTTCCTGCTACCTCTTCGGGTCCTCTCCTCGGCAGCCGACCTAGTCAAGCGCAAGTCGAAGGAAGACGAATCAGGCCCAGAGCTCGCGTTGGACACTCTCAATGTCCGTTCCTAAATTTTGCTATACTGCGCCACGCTCATTGTATGTATTTTTCGCTTGTGAATCTTATAGGATGAATCGATCCATGATAACCTTGAGAACGACCGTGAGACTGAGCCAAAGCCTGAAACTACAGACAAACCTGAGGTTGAGCGATGGGTGCCCAGGGCAAAAACGCGTGACACTAGTCACGCTGTGACAATTAAGCCGACGCGCGTTCCTCTCTACTACATGTCGGACAACCGCAAGCAAGAGAAAGATTTTACAACTGAGGTCGACGCACTTCTGCCAGAAGCTGCTTCTCTGGCGAAGGTATACACGTCCTTGATGTCCATCGCAATCGTTAACATTTCCACAGGCCGGCAAACTTGAACCTGCACTTGACAAACTCCTGGTCCTTGAGAAGCAAACGCGAAATGTAACATTTTTGCTTGATATCTCAACTCAACTAATGTGTCTGTAGGCTGCAGATCTGTCTTCAACGACCCGCCTGGTAAAAGCCGTTACCCAACACTGTTATGACGCGCGCAACTACGACCTCCTCAACTCGAACGTGTCCATCCTAAGCAAGAAGCATGGGCAGCTTAAAGCCGCCATTCAGGCCATGGTGGAACTTGTAATGGGCTGGTTGGATGACGTGAAAAAGTCTGCAGGGATCGACAAATGGCTTGAGTTGGTGAACACTCTAAGGTCGGTTACTGAGGGAAAGGTGCGTTATCGACATCCTAATACGCGTCATCGCTATAGTGACCCGACGTAGATTTTCTTAGAAACGCCTCGCGCCCGTGTCACATTACTTCTTGCCAAACACCATGAAGGTATCGCGGAAAAGACCCCCAAGACCCCAGCGTACAAAGAAAACATGCAAACCGCATCTGAGCTCTTGTCCGATCTCCAAGTCGAAACCTACTCCTCCATGGATCGCCGGGAGAAAACGGAGTTCATCCTCGAACAAATGCGGCTGCTTGTAATCGTCGCACGACTGAAAGACAGCGAGATTGACTCGAAGACGGGCAAAGAAGTTGTCGTTGGCGGAGAGACCGAGTGGATCAAGGTTCGCGTCGGTGGCAGGAAGATTAATGAGGACTTTTTGAAGCAAACAGCTAACGAGGTAAGTACCTTTTGCATCCCAAGTTCACAATACTTGACATGTGTTCAGGATCTCAAGCTCAAATACTACGATCTAATGATTCAACATGCTCTCCATGGCTCGAGCTATCTTGACGTCGCTCAATACTACCACAAAGTTTGGGAAACACCGTCGATCAAGGAAGATGAAGGCGATCAAGGCAAAGCGGTATGAATTTGGAGGCACTTTATTCTTGACTGACGGTTTCGTTAGGCTCTGGAACATATTGTCTACTACATTGTTCTAGCTCCGCATAGCAATGAACAATCAGATATGCTTCATCGACTGTACACGGACCCAGCACTGCTCAAGCTTGAACTCCACCAGTCAGTCTTTCGGCTTCTTCTTTGAGGTCATCCTTATTTACTATTGTCTAAGCAATCTCGCCAAATGCTTCGTGACGCGAGAACTAATGCGTTGGCCGGGCATCGTCGCAATGTATGGCGAATTCCTCCGCAAAACACCAGTCTTCAGCTCAGAGAAGCGATGGGAGGATCTTCACACCCGTGTTATTGAGCATGTAGGCCTATTTCCACTTTCTTACTGCCCAGACTGACTTCTGTAGAACGTGCGGGTGGTAGCGCAGTATTACTCGCGAATAACGCTTCCGCGATTGACCTCCCTGCTGGATTTGGATCAGAAGCAAACCGAGCAGACGATCGGGCGACTGGTAGTTGCTGGAACGATTTGGGCACGAATCGACAGACCAGCAGGTGTCGTCAACTTCAGAAGCCCTCGAACGGCGGAAGATGTGATGAACGACTGGAGTTCAGACATGCAAAAGCTTTTGGCCGTAGTGGAGAAGACATGGATGGGTATGAATGCAGCACAGGCCGCTAGTTCACGCGTAAAAGCATAGTAATAGAATGCATTTTTCTCTACTGTTCATTTGCATCTGGTCTTTCGACACTTACTAGCTTCTCTACCAACGCATCCAATTCTTGAGATGTGAGTAGGTCCATGTCCTCTTCGTTGACAGGTTGGGCATCGACCTCAACGTCATTCATGGTCATCACATCCTTCTCCACTGTCTCCATCCAATCATCCTCCAAATCATCTTGGCCGAGGCGCCCGACACTACCAGTGCGCACTGGACTCGTGGCAACAGGCGAATAGTCCACCCTGTTGCCCGCCTGCCACAGTCTGACATAGGCCCCCCCCGCGAGACCATTGTGTTTCCCCCATATGCGGGTCAGCCACCATTTTCCACCGTTTCCTCGAGGCAAGTGTGCCCTCCTTCACGTCGTCCAGCCTCTCCCATGTCGCGATCGCCCGCTTTTCCTTCTCGAAGCCATGCTCTATTTCCCCCCGGCCAAACACCCCGCCCAGCTGTTCTGCCTCCATGGCCGCAATTGTCGTTGCTATATGGTGTTCAGAACGCAGAGCACGGAACTGGGCAACAGACTGCGCATAGGCGTCTGAGAGGGAGTAATTATGCACTTGGTGCAGGTTCAACGTAAGTTGTATGGCGCTAAATTTTGCTCAGTAAAAACCCGCAAGAAAAAAACAAACACGCGCACTCTTCAACAGACGGGTTCCTTCCCCGCTGCCTCAACCGTTTCCAGCTCGCCCCGTTCTCCTCCCTCAGTTCAACGTCCCCCTTCTCGACCAGCGTCACCGGCCTATAAGCCTCAAACGGGTGGTCCGTGAAGAACTGCCGCCGAATGTCGTCTTCCAGGTAGTAAATCGGCACCGGTCGGTTTCTGGGTCTCCGTGGCTTGGCACCCTGTGTGGTTGTTGCTGGCTTTTGGTCGTATGAAGAGCGTTGTGGGGGAGCCCTGGGCGGGAGGGGAAGAGGCGGAAAGTTCAGCACGGGCTGGTACCATATCGGCTCGTTCTGGAGAATGCCTCCGCGCATTAAGCGCGAGACCTGGTGGTGAACCTGGTTGGCAATACGTCGCCCCATTGCGACTGAGAGAAAAAGTGTGCGGCCACGTGACCCGTCAAGGTGTACATAATTCGCTAAAGACGGGATTTTACAGTATACTTTCTCCTAGCCTCGTCTCGGAGCACGCGCCGCAGGATCTTGCCAGACGGATTCTTCGGAATCGCGTCAACAAACACAACTCCTCCCGTCAAATGTTTGTACGCAATTTTGTGGTCAGCAACATGCTAAAGCGTCTCAGTCATTTGCTGAGCTATATAAACAGCGACCAGACCCACCTTTTTCAAAACATTCTGCAATGTCTCTTCAGCCTGCTGATTGCCTGCGAGGCGCCTTTTCGCGTCTTCGCGAAGCACGACATACGCCATAGGTGCTTCGCCGTTATATTCGTCGAGTAGACTGACGACACAGCAGTCGGCGACGGCTGGATGGAGAAGGAGATGTCCTTCAAGGTCGGCTGGGCTAACTTGATTTCCCTTCACCTGTACTAGAAGGTTAATCGAAACAAAAGCAGTCGGAAAAAGTACCTTGATCAACTCTTTTATCCGATCGACGATGTAGATTTCATAGTCCTTGATGACGACCTCGTCGCCTGTTCGAACCTTGGAGTTTGTGAGAAGAAAAGCAAGGCTTGTGTTGGAAGAATACAAACCCAACCATCCACGAATGTCTCTTGAGTGGCTTTGGGATTGTTCAAGTACCCCAACGGGATGGATGGGCCGGTGATCATGAGCTCCCCTCGTTCCCCCTCTTTGCACAGTGTTCCGTCCTCGCGAACAACACGCGCGGTTATTCCGGGAACGAGCTGTCCAGCACTACCTACAGCTCCCATTCGCTGAGATGCACTTATCTGGCACACAGTCGTACATGTCTCGGTCATTCCTACGCTACTTGTGAGCGGCAGGCAAAATAAAGCGCAAATAATAGCTGACCATAGCCTTGACCAATGACTGCGTTGGGACAAACCTTGCTTAGTGATTGCATTAACTTTCCCGACATCGGTGCCGCCCCAGACACAATCAACTTGACATGCGTAAGGTCGTAGTTCTTCGTCGCCGGATGCTGAAAAACACTACATCAATTCCGTTCATGGGATGGCAAAACCAATATTACCTTGCACATCAGAACAATTTGTGGTGGGACCACGCTAGCCTTAGGATTAGTCAAAAGTACATATGTGGCAGAATATGGCTTACAATAGGCGAGTGATTTTATGTTTGACAACGCTTTCGAGGAATTCCGTGAAATTGAACTTGGGAATCACGACCAGCGAGCAGCCGGAAAATATCATATAATGAAGCTGCGGATAATAAGCCAATAAGAAAGAAGCCACAAACACCATACCACAACTACAAGCCCGTAGATGTCTGGAGGATTTGAGACAGAATTCCCAACGACACTACGGCAGACATACGGAAAAATGGCAAGACTTCGGAGGTACTTGTAAGTTTGCTTGATCGTCACCAGACAAAAACAGACCTGCCAATGCGACGTCGCCAGGATTCATATGCCTCTCTTCCCTGAATGCCGGGTCGGTGATACGATAATGAGCAGCCTTTTGGATGATATTCGTGATAACCGAGTAGTGCGGAATCACCACTGCCTGTGCGGGCTTTCAGTATAATGGGGAGAGGTCAAGGAGAATATGCACCTTCGGGGTACCTTCAAATAATATGAGAAAGATCAAATTAAAGCCAAAATCAGCTGTAAGCTCACCTGTTGTACCGCTGGAAAAGCTGTAGAATGCGATTTTTGTCTTCGCCTCGCCAGGATTGAGTCTGCGTTCGATAAAGTTCAGGGGTTTTTCATTGCCAAAATCAATGAGGTTAGATAAGGTTTCGTGTCGTCCGTGAAAGCGGGAACCGCAAGATGGCTCAATAACGATGATGCGGTCTTCCGACAAGCCTGCCTGCCTTGCAGCAGACAGAGCCGTTGACAAGGATTCAGAGGCAACCAATAATATCGAAGCCTTCACGGTTGCGAGCTGATAAAGAAGCTCTGGTGCAGTATACGATGGGTTGGCTGGAGTAACAATCGCGCCGAGGGTGTGAGCGGCCCAGACGCAGACTGGGTAATCAACGTGATTTGGGCTAAATAAACAGACAACGCTGTCTTCGCCTACTCGGCATTATTCAGGGACGCATTTGAGGAGCAGGGTAGGGAACCGTACGGATGCCCCATTTCAAACTTAGAGCATTTGCGAGGCCGGTTGTGCGGAGGCGAAGCTTTGCACTTCGCTTCAGTGGGGAAAAGCGGCAGGACTACCTCTCACTGACTTCATCCAGGCCAATGCGCTTTCCAGAGTGATCTTCTATGAGCCAAGGTACACTGTCTGGCCGAGCTGGACGGGTAGGTTGTGCAGTATCAAATATGAATTGCGGGATAGTAAGGTTGTCAGGAATTTCGGGGAGAGGCAGAGCATCTGGAGGGGGTGTGAACGTAGTAGCCATGGTGGTCGCAAGAAAAGTCGCCGCGAATTCAGTTCCCAACAAGCGAAGGAAGCAACTGCAAAACCGACATCGCACTCCTATCGCGGGAATCTAAGGATCTCCCACAAGAACTTCATGACTGCTTTCATCGACTTGCAAGCTGGAAGTGGCAAACAGAAAGCTTAAACGCCGACAGTCACGGTGCATAACGCCCCTTGAACGCCAACAACGGTGTGGTTGCCTTTCTCCGTCTCCAATGTCGTCCACTCAGCCCATTAGACGCGTTAATGGAAGAAACAGAAGAGCTCCGCAATCCATTTCCGTCCCCGCCATCACATTACACCAAATATACCTCCCACAACCTCGCACTTCTTGCACTCTACAATGAACGTCTCAGTGACCACCCAGACGAAACACAACGGCAAATTCTCCACGATCAGGCAGACGTTCCTGACTGGCCGCTGACGCAACTCGAGAAGCCACGGGTGGATTGGATTCTCGAGGAACCGGAGGCATATTACGATGTGTTTGGTGACCGTTGGTTTGTACGAAAAGTTTGCCAAGTCCCCACAACATCCTCATATTCTATCTAGGTGAAAGAGACGATCCCTTCACTGGGTGAACAAGGTGGCCGCCAGCTGTATCCCACGGACCCCACAGTGGGCAAGTGTAACAACTTCTTGCTTACTAGTTCATGACTCTGGGCTAGATCGACGCCCTGCTCTACTCTCAATCCTGCGGTCGCTCCTCGTCACCTACTCGTCGCTTACCAAAGCTGTCCTCGCCCCACCACCTACACAACCCACAACGCAAATCCCAGAATGGCAAGAGAAAGTCGAATGGATCACCATCCTTGCCCAAAATCTCATGGCTGCCGCAAACGACCTGCGTCCAGTTCAGGCACGGGGTAATTTGGAGCTTATGATGCAACGGCAACTGGACTTGCGACGAGAAGAGACCAAGGCACTTCACGCGTATGTTGTTTCACCATCAACTCAGTATTGTTACCCTTTTGGCAGAAAATGCGATGTTCTTGACGAAAAGCTCAAGGAATTGCGTGCAGCTGCTCAGCAAATCTCGACCACTGCAGCAGCATTAGATGTAGTCATGTCCGACCCAAAAGTAAGCGCACACTAATTCAGCCCGTTTCCCTCTTATAATTATTCCAGCCATCCACGCCTGTTGTCCCCGAAATCTCTCATGATGATGTTCTTCGGTGGGCAGAGGAGGTGGGTTAAATAATGTTACATCAGTCATCGTCTGCGCCGGGTCTTCCCCAGCGAACCATCCTTGTTGGCCCGTTTCTCCATGTCTCCACTCGTCGACTTGCCAGAATAGACACCGTGCTCCTTGCCGTACCCACAAATCCAGCACCCATCGACTGCACGACCGCATCAATCAATATTGGGTGCCAAAAACCGTATCTCTCTTTCGTCTCTTCGTGGTCCAGCCGCACCCATCCTAGTTCCCGAATGCCTTCCCACCAAGTGTTGTTCTTCTCGTCACTGGTGACCACAACGTGCATCGTGTCAATACCTTTGGCGGTCAGCAACTCGTCTTGGACTTGTTTGACCCGCTTTTGTATGGTGCTCAATGGGGCGAAACAGTCGTCCGGAGATTTGAATCCTTCATCGCACCAGTCAATAAAGTCGTTATGGCGCACATGTACTGCTATGAACTGCAAAAACCATTGTTGAGCGGCTTCAGATGCTAGAACGGTCGCTTACTGGGGGTATTTCGTCGTGTTCTGCTATCTTGAATGCCTTTCTCAAATATTTTGTCGCCATTCTTTCAATATATGGGGTCCATCGCATGTGCTGGCCAACAAACCTCCATGCAGGGCTGTTTTTTTGGATCAATATGGTGCAACTCCCTGTTTAGGCCTCACCTGTAATCCAGCTCCAGTTCATCGGACTACTCGGTCAGCCACAAACTCGTCAATTGCAGAGGAACATACCTCTCTGACACTGAGGTAGTACAAACAATCGAAGCAGAGCAAGTGCTGGTCTGGCGGCAATGTCACATTCTTCTTTGACGGCCATGGCGGGACGAGACTGGCTTGACGGGTAGCGGGAAACGCGAGTGCAGCCAGCGCCCAGAAGGTGCTCACGCGGTCGTTTTCATTGCCCGGCTTGAGCTTGATCCAGTCTGGCGCTTTGGTGTAGGAAACATCGAGCTTCAAAAACCACGGGATGAAGCTTTTTCTCGGGGCGGGGTCCTGCTTCTGGATTACCGGCCACACGCTCCAGCATCCGATGGACTCTTTCTGGCTGAAGTCATCTTGTCCCTGCGAGGCCGTTAAATGGGAGAAGTTGTCGCAAAGTTGCGCACCTTGACTTGATGCCATTCAAGAATCGGAATTTTCATGGCGTCCCGCAGATATGCGAGGTCGAAGACATCGGAAAAGACCAGCGGGTTCTCTCCCGCGTAGCCGTACGAGTTGAGCAGCTGATGGCCTGGTAGGAACACGGGAATGATCGGAATCCGCTCAGTGATGAGGGCCAGGTAGAGCAGGTTGATCTAGAAAACAACTGGAGGGAGTTGGTACCCGAAAAAGAAGGCCTATGTACCATGCTTATCACATCGTTCGTCCAACCCCCAGAACCCCAAGACGTGATATACTTCATTTCAGGGCGTAAATTCTCTGAAATCGACGCTTAGATCTAATGGCCAAACATTGTGATAAGATAACCTCGGGATATACTCGTCGGTGCCCCATTGAGGTACAGCGAGGAGTTGAACGGACGAGTCGAGTCTGATTTTAGCGGTTGTGTCGTCCATAACGCGTGCAACTGAAGCTTTTCTGGGACTTGAAACTGCCAGATGGCGAATAGTCCGATGCAGGCAACTGATGCGATGATGACCAGACGAGAAATCCAAATAAGGCGAGGTCGAGTGAGTAGGTGGGATCTACTCGCTGTGCAGTCCATGAGCGTGCCAAAGAAAGAGCTGCGAATGCGGAAGTTTCACTGTGTGTGGTGTGGTGTGGTCACGTGTCTGAGTCCAATGTGATGTGAGGAAGGATCAAAAACGCTCCTCTTGAACAACAATCAGCCCCCTTGAGCGGGCCTTCGACAACAGCTCAGCTAATCGGTGCAACGCCTCAAGTCGATTGTCTTCCGTGTCATCATCCTCTTCGTCACTCCCACAATCCAGCGTCAAGGATACCTCGACCATTTTGACGGTTGGATGGACATCCAACGCGTCATCGAGCTCTGACACTTGGCTGGGGGGACTGATTCGGAGCTCATCGTTCATGACTCGCAGGTTCTCTGGCACTAGCCCCAATCGAATTCGAAGATCAATCAACGCGGGGAGGCTGCCCCGGGATAGCAGTCGTGGAAGGAATGAAGGCACATAGTGTGAGCTGACATCAATGTTGAGCTCGCACAAACGCGGCAGACAATCAGGAAAGACTACGCGTTCCTCGACGAGGTCTAATTCACGTTTAGCACTTCATGAGTGTGCGATTTCAAAATGCAAACAAATACTTACGAAAGAACTGGCAGTCAAGTCGCCTCAGTGTGGAAGCAGCTGCAAAGCAAGGAGTGAGGTTCTGCTGGCAGTCGACCTCACTTTTCAATTGTTGGACAGATTGCAAGTGTGGCTTGAAATCGGGGCGGCCTAAGAGTGCACAGAGCAAGGAGTGCATGTCTGAATTTCCGTACGGACCAGGCCCATAGATCTCAAGCTTTGTGAGTGGGTTCGCTGATGGTGGTGGGAATGCTGGTGGTTCGGATGCTGGAGGGTCCACTTCAGTTGGATAATGAAGAGCAATTTTATGGAGCGAAACGTGTGGGGCTGCCACAAGAGATCGTGCAAGTGCATGTGGGGTGAGAACGAGGCGATTCAGCCTTAATTTTTTGAGCTTGCCGTGTGCTTGAAGACTGGCCACCACCATTTCTACCATCGGAGCAATCAACATCCTTGCGTTCGCGGTCACAGCCAACTCGTAAATTTGTGAGATAAGCCCAGCGCGCACATTCGTAAGTCGTTGAAGAACGCCGTCGGCAGCCATTTTCTCCTGCTCCCATCTGGCCCGTGTCACGGGAAGAACAACGTCGAGAGTATTGCAGTAGCTGGATATACGGGGGTTCAAGTCGAGTTTCCTTGCTATTGCGGAGAATGAGTTGATATTTGAGTTTGGTTCAGCCCTGATTGTCGAAAAAAGTCGCTTTTGGCATGGGTGACGGAATACCAAGGCAGCAAGGCAGCACGATCGTAGTGTTTGGACATTTTCAGCTGTAATCTCATCCACAATAAGCTCGTAGAGCTCTGGGGGAAGCCGTGGAATGACCATGTTGATCGAATGCGGATTCCGGAAGCAGGAGTTTGGTCACGTGTGGAGTCTGAGACTGTTTGACTCAAGATTACGAGGTCCTCAAGATTACGAGGTCGAAAGCTCGGGAATGGAAAGAGGGCAGTACTTATATGGCTACAGTTTCGAACAGGGCGACAGTCGAGACGTTAGCTGCGTTTCGAGCTAACTTAGCAAGACAATTACCCAAGGCTCACGCAAGACGACTATTGTTTGTTGACAGAGCGGGAGAAATCGTAGAAAGAGGTGTTACACCAAGAATTAAGAAAATAGTTTATTAATACAAAGCTTGTGGTTTGCGACCATATTTGTTCTATCCAACAAATCGCAACGCGTCTGCGCTGACAAAGTATTTGGCGAGTTCCCCTGCTTTGGAAGGTGGTGGGGCCTCGGAGTCGGGTACGAGCATGAACGTTTGGGAAAATACGCGTGGGTGGCCTTCCTTGTTTTTACTCGAGGTGCCGGAGGGATTCCCGGCGGCGCCGAGGCCGTGGGTGACACTTCCGGAGACGATGACTAGCAGCGACGGTGGTGAGGTGCCTGGGTATAAGATTGAGTTTCCCTATCGGTGAGCAGGCTATAAGATGAATCGCACCAGGTATAGGATGACAGTCAAACGACTGGATTTCGTGTTTGGTGGGCGGCATACTTTGCACCATTGACACGACCCCTTCTGGACCTTGGAACGGCGTGCCGTTCCACACTAGCGCTGATGACGGCCGGTAGAGTTTTGGGAGTTCGGACAGGCGGGAGGTCGAGTCATAGGCAGCATAGTATATTCGGGTGAATGCGTCTGCCGCTCGGGTGGCAATTTCGATGCTGGAGGCGGGTTATTGTTGGACGATGGAAAGGAGGATCTTGACGGACTCGGCTGTGGTGAGTGGGACGGTAGCTGGTGCTGGCGGGTTGGCACTCATGGTGGTTGTGGTGAGAGTGAGGTTAGAGAGTGGTTTGTGATGAGAGCAGGTTGTGGTGAGAGCAGGTAAGATAGTGAGGTTGTGGTTGTGGTTAGAGCAGGTTAGAGTTCGATCATGTTATGCTGTGTTCTCTTATAGCGACTCTTGAACTTCCGCGCGAGAAGTGAATCTTCGACTGCCGCAGTCTGAGTCTCAGACTGTCTGCAAACACATGACTCCTGTCAAATGTCCTCTGATCAACTCCGCGTCCTCACCCTCAACTGCTGGTGCGTACTATTCCCATAGTGCCCATATTACCTTATTCTTTTTCCAGGGGCTTGAAGTACGTCGCCAAAAACAGGACAGAGCGCGTCAAAGCCATCGCTGCTGAGCTTTCACGCCTCGACCACGATATCATCGCCCTCCAAGAGATCTGGGTCTTTGCTGACTATCAGCATGTCCGCGAAAGCCTTCTGAAGCGACTACCATATGCCAAATTCTTCTACAGGTGCGTGTTCGTGGTTATTCTCCTAGACACGAGCTGAGGGGAACATAAGCGGCGCATTAGGCTCAGGATTAGCTTTATTCTCCCGTTTCCCAATACTGGGATCGTCGGTGCACCCCTATTCGCTGAATGGAACACCAATCGACGTCGGTGGGGGAGATTGGTTCGTCGGCAAAGCCGCCGTGAGCATCATTGTCTCTCACCCAATCCTCGGCCAATTGCAGGTGTTCAACACGCATGTTCGCATCGACTTTCCTCTCTTCTCTTCTGGTCTGACTCTAATTAGCTCTACGCGAAAGGCGGGGAAGACGGGCCCGAACATAACAGGGCACACCGACTAGTCAACGCTTGGGAGTTTTCTAAACTCGCGCGGCAGGCAGCGGAACTGGGCCGCTATGTTATTGCCGTCCGCCTTTTCCTCTTCATCTCACACTCCAAACTAACCTTTCATTCAAAGGCGGGAGACTTCAATAGCATCCCTGATTCATTGCCAATGGCTGTGATCAACGAATATGCTGCTCTAAACGACTCCTGGGCCGTCTCCCATCCAACTTCACCCACAATATCCTCCCCCTCTGCCCTTGAAGCCATCACACACTTCGGCGTCACCGCAGACTCGCCATTGAACACCTACTCTGCTGGAAAACCCATCGGCCCCTATGCGCGAAAATTCCTTGGCAAACGACTTGACTATATCCTCTACCGCCAACCAATCCGACCGCAAACCCGACCCGACGAGCCAATACCGCTCCTCAAGTGCACAGAATGCAATGTTGTCCTCACGGAAAAAGTACCGGGCCGCGAATTTTCGTATTCAGACCACTTTGGGCTGGAGTCTACGTTAGAAATACGGACAGGCACGCAGGCGCCTGTTGACCTCGGTGAATCGCACAACGTGTGGTCTGGTGGGGCGCCAGCCTCTTCGTCTGAGCTATCCGGAGAGTCGGTGGCGACCGCACTACAAGCCTTGGCTGCACGCTATCGCTTCACCAAACAACGAGCCCGGAAAGAGATGTCAATATTTGCGCTCTGTGTCCTCATTCTTGTTATTCTGGTTGTGGGCTCGCCTTGGCTCCCCCATGCGTGGATTAACCCCATATTCCTGCTGTTCACAGTCTTCATCGCGTGGCTGGGCACAACGATGCTATACGAGGGCTTCTTGTTCGGCAACTGGGAGTGCAATGCGCTGATGAACACCATCGAGGAGTTGGAGATTTATAAGAACAGCTTGGAGATCCATCGTAGTTGATACCCGTACTTTACCAGACTCTAAGCAAGTACTGTACCCATGTCAAGGACACAAACCACTCGGCATGTCTGAGAGCGGGATAGCGCTTGATCGAATTCGTCAAGGAGCTGGGTTTGCAAGTCAGACAGCCTATTGGATGCGTATGAATCCAGGTCGAGATCCAGTGTAATTAGCTCAGATCGTGTCTTGAACAACTCTTCGCGTTGGATATTATTTATTGGTGATAGTGCTCTGGTCATCGTCGTCCACCGCCAACAGCCCCCTTGCCCAGCTGTTCGGCAGACGCTGCGCCAATGCGGCTGTGAAGCTCGCGACATACTGCGCCGTCTCAGGCATAGTTGCGCCGTCCAAGCTAAAGGACCACACGACGCACGTGATGGCGCGGTGCACGACAAGGGCTGCGTCAAAGTCCGTGAAGAGCGGAGCCTGCCCAGCGAGCGACTCCGCAATCTTAGAGGTGTCACCCCGGTGTATAATGGAGACTTTGAGTCGAAGCTCGGCGAGCGCCGGAACACCCGTCCGGATTAGCGGCGGGAGGAGCGGCGGGAGGTCATGTGAGTAAATGCCCAGGGTGAGGCACTGAAGACGGGGGAGAGCAGCTGGTAGACGGAGGGTCTTCCAGTTGGAAGCACGGACTGACAATGTTCAGTGGGAGTAATAATAAAGTTCTCATATAAGTAAGTTACTTACATGTAAAATGACACTCGAGCCGCTCAAGCGTCATGGCTGCAGCAAAGCACGGTGTGAGCTGGGCTTGTGTTTCGACAAACATTTGGACCAACTCGTCAACGAATTGTAAGTACGGACCGATCGCGGGCCGGTCAAAGACACTGCAGAGGTCTTCGCTTCCAGATATCGAGAGGCGAGTGAGCGGCACAGGCGGAGCAATTTGGGTTTGAGACAGTGGTTGATCGCTGCGCAACTCTGTGTATTTTATGTCGATATACGGTGCCGCGCCGAGCAACTGTTCAAGCAAAGTCGGCGTCATCAGTAAACTGTACGCCTTGAAGTGCGTGAGTTGATGATAGTGCTTTCGGAATACGTTCAGCAGCCATTGCGTTGCGTTTAAGACAAATGAGTCGAGGAATCGGTCTGCTGCCAGCCAGAGGCCCCCTTCACGGACATTGGTCAGCCGGCACAGGACCGTCTCTGCAATCGCCCGCTCATTGCCCCATTGAAATGAATCCAAGTCACCGCTACTAGGTAATGCCACCCATAGTTTGGTGCAGTACTGTGCCAACGCGGGAAATTCCTCTATTTTCGCAGCAACGGCAGCATACGAGTGGCCCGGGAAAGTTGCCGAGATATTAAGGTAAGAAAACAGCTGTCTTTGGCAGGGGAGGCGGAACACAGAGGCCGCGAGGCAGCATGCGAGCAACGTGTCACGGTCGGTGGTGGGGTGCATCGTATTCACGATGCATTCGTGAAGCTCTGGTGGGAGTTGGGCAACCATGTCGAAAGCAGGTCGCACACACGCACGTGCTCGGCAACACAAAATATCCCGTGACAAGCCCTTGGCCATGGCACTGTTACTATCCGTAAGTAGCATACTGGAGGGGCGCCGGTATGTAGGTACAAGACCGTACTCTCTTCAGGGAATATATTCTTTCTTCTTCTTCTTCTTCGTACATGAGCATCGCAACAAGTAACCCTCAAAAAGCCACCCCAATGGTGACCCCGTCCACCACCACCAAGCCTCTCTCCCAAGCTTTGGGCAGCCGCTCTGCCAACTTCCCCGAGAAGGCTGCCACTGGCGCATATCGCGCCGTTTTGTTCTCCGTCCGAACTGCCGGGAATTCTTCGGGGAACTTGGACGACAAGAACCACTCTGCAGTCGTGAGTGTCCCGTGTGTGGCTAGCGCGTTATCGAGCTCTAACCACAGTTGACTCTGAGAGTTGAGCGATTTGTCGAGCTGTTCGGGAAGCAGCGTCCGGACATAAAGTTCTAGTCGAAGACCGATCAACACTGGGACTCCATCCTGGACCAGAGCCGGCAGTAAGGGTGGGAGGTCGTGCGAGTGGATACCCAAGGTTAGGTGGCGGAGACGCGGGAAATGGGTTGGGAGACGCAAAGCCTTCCAGTCCAAAGCCCCGGCTGAAAGAAACTTAGACTAGTAATCATAAATAAGCAGGATTGCGCACGCACATGCAAAATGACACTCAAACCGCTCAACGATGGGGGCCATTGTGAAGCAAGCGGAGAGTTGTGATTGAATCTCTACAAGACTTTGCACCAGCTCGCGAACGGATCGGAGGTACGGCTGGAGCTCGGGCCGGCCCAAGAGCACACACGGGCCGGCGCTCCCGGATATCAACAGTCGAGTGAGTGGCCTGGGAGGCACAGGCGGGAGTACATCGGGAGACGCGAGCTGATCAGTGAAGATGTCGGCGTAGCGCAAGGCAGCTTTTGGTGCTCCCACAAGCCATTGTGCAAACAACGTGGGGGTCAGAAGCAGAGAGGAGGACTCGAGGCGCTCGAGCTGGTGATGCGCCTCAAAAACACCCAGCAGCCACTGGGTAACTTGTATGATAAAATTTCCGGGGTTTGGCGTCGCTGAGCTGGGGAAGCGCATGAGGAGGTTGGCCATGCGGATGTTTGCAAGCCGACGAAGCACACCCTCTGCGATTGGTCGTTCAGCCTCCCATTCGGGCGAATCACAGCTCGGAAATACAACGTGAACATTGGTGCAGTAGTCCACTAACTTGGGGAATTGGTCCAGTTTTGCAGCGACGGCGGCGTAAGAGTGGCCTGGGGGAGTTGGCGAAATGTGGAGGTGCATGAACAGCCGCTTTTGGCACGGCCGGCGGAAGACGGAGGCAGCGAGGCAGCATTCGAGCAGCGTTTTGCGATCCACTGTTGAAATGGCGTTCACGATGGGTTCGTAGAGCTCTGGTGGGAGCTGGGTGTGCATGTTGAGAGGTTTTCGCTCGTTGTTGACAAAAGTTTGTGAAATTCGAGAGTTGATTTTGGGCTGAACTACTAGAGAAATGTCTCTCCGTCGCAAATCGAATGAATCGCAACGCAGAATATATTTTGACCGTTGAAGTAAATCTTCAACTTGAAGTCAAGAAACAGACCGAGAGAAGTAAGTCGAAGTGGGAGAACACGTCGAACGTGACGTCATCACCTGCTGAACTATAAACAACTTGCTCCCTCCAACCACCTCACGACTTACGACCATGTCTCGATTTCCCGACTACTACAAGCTGCTTGGTGTCTCAAAGGTTTCGATGCTCTGCCATTTGCGTTTGAATTCGGGTTCACCGTAGGAACAGACCGCAACACACGACGAAATTCGGACTGCATATAAGAAAGAGTCCCTCCGGTGCGTCATATCTAGCACTCTCCTGACTATCCTAAAATGAGTCCAAGCACGCACCCAGACCGTCTAGTCAACGCCTCCACCGCCGACAAGAAAAAGGCCACCGAGCGATTTCAGGCGGTCGCTGACGCGTATTATGTCCTCTCCGACCCAACCAGAAGACGTGAATATGACTCTCTATATGGCAGTCGTGCCGGGTCAGAGCGCTCCGCTGACCCTGGCTCGTCAAACAACGCATTCTTCTCTGCGTTTGCAAATGCTTTTTCTGGAGGTGGAAGTAGCAATGCGACGCCGGCAGCAGAGCCAGCGCGGCCAGAGGCAGACCACGTATTTGCCGATGTATTTGAGGAGCTACTACGCCCGGAGGTTGAACGACACGCACCATGGTCAGTTGCTCGTGGTTTTTTTACAATACCGACTCACACTGGCTTCAGGTGGGCCTGGTTTGGCGCGATCTGCGGTGCCGGTCTGGGCTTCATAATCGCCAACTTCCCTGGCCTCATGGTCGGCGCTGTCGCTGGCAACCGCCTCGGTGCGATTCGTGACGCAAAGGGCAAGAGTGTCGCTGCAGTGTTTGGCCAGCTTGGCGGGAGCCAGAAGGCAGAGGCGCGTGCTTTGCCCAATTCTTTTATCTTTCGCTCATAAAATGCAGATTTTGCGTGCGCTGGCGATGAAAGTGCTCGGGACTGCATCTGCATTTTGATGTGACTTATCTTATCTTATCAGTACCACCTGATGAGGGCTGCTGTGGCAGGGATTGTTCTTAGGCTATTGAATGTATATGTACAATAAATGTCGGCTATTCATCAAGAGTTGTCACTTTTCTTTTGTGCATCCATGATTTTTAGACGACTTGTCCCTTACCGTCAATAAGTAATAACCGCCTCGCATGCGCTTTGGGAAAGCGCTTAATCAAGCCCGCCCGGAACGCAGCCAACGTATCAACGGTCGCTTTCTCCCAAACCGCGGCCATATACTCGCCGCTTGGCATCCCCGAGCGCTCGACCTCGTCGCTGTCATAATCATCCATGTCGTAGACCAACGACACAAACCAATCAACCAGCCGAAGCGTGGGGTGTGCAGCCAGCGCATCGTCAAGCGCAGCGAAATGCTCGCTTTGGTCGTCGAACACGGATTCAAGGCTTTTTTGTCTGGATCCGACCGGATCCAAGTTGAGGTATAGTCGAAGAGTTACCAGCGCGGGTGCGCCGCGAGCGGCGATCAGCCGGATCAACACCGGCGACAGGTTAAGGGACTCGACCTCGAGTCGGAGTTCGCGCAAACAAGGTAGAGATGCCGGGAGAATTGCGTCTATATCTTGGTGGGCTCCTCGAAATTTAGCCAACTTTTCCCTGCTGAAAATGGAGGACGTACAGATAAAACTACAATCAAGCCGCTCAAGCGTTGGCGCAAGCAGAGAGCACAACCTAAGCGCAGGGGAGTCCTGGTGAACAACATAGCTGTAACTGAGCTCTGTCACGTGCTGCAGGTAGTGCGCAAAGGAAGGTTGGACCAATTGACTAACAAGAGTACGGCTGTTCGCAAAGAGCAGCTTAGTCAGCTGCTTGGTTGGTGGCGGTGGAGTTGACGTTGGCGCGACGATCCTCTCTTCTTCGGGGACCTCAGGCTCGAGGCGAACACTCCTGAACTCGAGCTGTCGAGCCATACCGAGACAATGTGTAAAGAGACTTTCCGTGATGTCAAAGGAGGAAAGTGTTAATTTCTTGAGCTGTGGGTGTGTTTGGAAACCATCCACCCACCAGCGAACTACTCCAACAACAAATGTCCCAGGTGTTTCTGCCGGGCGGCCGAATTTATACCTGAGCGTTAGGCCATGGAGGTTGACGAGGCGTAGGAGCACACGCTCAGCGAAAGACTGTTCTAGCGCCCAGACCGTCTGATTGGCGGGGAGTTGGATAGTCAGGGCGGTGCATAGACGGGCCAGGTGCGGAAAGCTGACAAGATGCGCGTGGAAGGCAGAGAATGATTTAAAGCCAGCCTGAGCGAAATGTCTCCCTGGCCCGATATCAAGTTGGGAGTACAGCCGTTTTTGACACGGGTATCGGAAGACGGATGCGGAGCGGCTGCATGCCATGAGGGATTGGGAGTCGCATAACGCATCCACAATGTCCGCGTAGAGTTCAGGAGGAAGTTGAACGCGCATATTGGCCGTATACTAGGAAATTATTGTTGCTAGTAGGATATCGTCATACGCGACACCATAGATATCGGACTTGATACTGATTGCTTTTGATCACTGAGTGTAGCGTTGGGGCTTTGCCGCTCGAGAATCAAGGAAAGAAACAAGAACAAGTGCTGTGAGTCACAGCACGTGACTCGCCGGCGTCACACTCCTGCTCGAGAGTCTACAACACTACACATAGTTGTCGTCGTCAGCGATCCTTATGAAAGTAGAAGAACAATTAAAAGAGTGTCACTATTAAAGACCTATCGTAACCTGCATAAAACTTAATACTCGTCCTCCTCCGCATCGTGGTCAACCTTATCAATATTATTCTGTGAATGGTGCGGCGAGTTGGGGAAAGCCTCCACCGCGTTGCGCACGATGGCCGCGCCGCCCCCAAGCTCTCCCTTCTGCTTTCCCTTATTCTTCTTGCTCTTCTTTTCACCCTTGAGCCGACCCCACGAGTTCTTTGGCTTAACATTGACTGGCGGTTGGTTGTTCATCTCGATGATTGACGATGTCCGGTCAATCTCAAAGAATTCGTCCACCTCTTGTGGCGTAATCTCTGTCGCGTCAGCCTCAAACGGGTTCTCCACCTCCTCCCGTTTCTTGCTGCTGCGAACATACACACGTGACCCGCCGAGGAACGGGTTCTGGCCCTCGCGGGCTTTAAGTCGCTCGCGTAGCGATCGCTGCCGCTTGGCGAGGCCTGGCGGCATCCACCCGCGTTTGCGCAAGTTTTCGACCTCTGCTGCCCGTGTCTCTTCTGGTGACATAAGTGTTTCGGCTTCAGGTTGCTTTGAAGTTGGTGCTGAAGAAGAGAACAGCGCGAGTGGGTTGAGGTAGCCAAAGATCGAGGTGGACGTGGACTATACAAAAGAACAGCAATTAATATTGGATATTAAACACAATATAAGGATAAGAAAAAAAAACGAGGGTATGGCAGATCAGCCAGATCAGCCCCGCCCAGTGATCCTGCTCATCCAACCCCCGCCTTGGGTGGTCGCGACTGGCTCGTCTTCAGGTTGCAACTCCTCACGCACCTGCTTCGCGGGGGGCTCAGGTGGATGTTCCCCGTCCTCATCATCCTCGCCATCAGCGGGTATTGGCGCAGTCTGCTTCTTCTTCCCCTTGCTTGTGTTCCTTCGCAGCAGTGTACCGAACCAGCTTGTGGGCCGGGCCGCCCGGCCCGTGGTGGTCGCCGATGATCGCGCTGATGCCTCTGACCCGCCTCGAGGATGCTGTATGCCGTGGACTATACGGCTCCCGACGGAGCGCAGACTGTGTGTGTCTGATTCGTCTCGTCGGTCAGACCCGTCACGCACGTCAAAGCGCGTTATCGTGCCTGTCGCACGGCGGTCTTCGAGGAATTTTTGGACAAGGATTGTTTGGAGGGAGGAATCATGCTAAGTACTGCCAGTCAATAAACTCCACAAAAGATGGAAAGAGCACTAACTTTCCATGGCCTCACTTTAGACCATGATCCCGACTCGGCGGGCTGCTCTACGAATATGCGTAGGCCCATAGGCCTTAGTCGCAGGGTATTCACCTCCAGGATTCGTTCAAGGGTATCATAGTCAATTACAGCCAGTTCTTCAGGCGAGATCGAGAAGGTGCGTGTCCATCCGTGGCGTCTAGATGCAATCTAGCTCAGTGAGAATGGAAAAGGCAGTAAACACACGCGGCAATGCAGTTTAAGTGCCCGTCTTGATGTCCGTCATGCCGCCCCACACCAACAGTGCTGGGCAGCGTTTTCGTGCTGTTTCCCGGGAAGTGAGTTTCTGCCATCCCCGTCGAGGTCGTGGGTTCGGCCTATAAGATGTGGGTGTGGGTGTCGTGAAGAAAGAGCGTGAGGAAAGAGATCAAGAGGGAGGAACACAAAGAGAGATAAGAGGGAAAAAGGAGCGCGAGATCGGGGGCGCATGCTGGAATATATATCGTCCTTGGAGAGGTAACTGTGGCAACATATGGACAGAGAAAAAAATGAAATGGAATTCAAGACAAAAGGGAGGAATCAGTGAAAGACGTACGGTTTGCAGTGAGTGGCCCGATCCACCACTCTGGAAGCTCTCGTCTCCGCGCACAGGCAACGGCCGTTTGAACATGGATCGTCAAAGAAAAAGAGAGTCGTGAAAGAGAGCGAGAACGCGGAAGCCGCGTTCCCGTGACGACGCCATATCAATGTTCTGTCCAAGAAGCTGAAGATCAAGATTGCCTTTTTCGGCAACACTTCAAACTCAGAGATCTTGACTGGAGCAGTGAGGCTAACATAAAATAACTTTGTATCCTTCAAGTATGCGTATGGATATTGACAATGAGTAAACCACCAAGGAAGGCATGATTATAAAGCTTTTCGTCGTGCAGGTACGGCAATCTTGGACCTGGGCATCGGCAATCGACTCCCGTTGTTTGCCGCTGGGCGAGGCAAAGCTGAAGAAGTCGTCGTTGTCGTATTCGTCACAACGGTCCGCAACGGTCGTTTCACAACAGCTGGCTCCTCTACTGGCGTTGGCGAAACTGCTTTCGGCGCTGGAACGCGCCTTGGACCGGAATTTGGGAGGACAGCAGTCTTAGGCTTATTTGCGTTAGGGTTTGGCACGCGTCGTGGCCCTGGCCCATCCAACACGAATTTGCCTTCCGCGGGTGGAGTTACTAAGGGGAACGACAGCGGCAGGAGGGGCAATTGGTGGGGGAACTTTCGGTGGGGCAGAGAACACTGGTGGACGCGTGAAGACAGCAGCAACTGGCGATGGGTCTCGGGGTGGTTTTGGGGGATTGGTGGCTGCAGGAGCCTTTGGTTCTGGTCGTTGGCGTTTAACTATCTTGAGTGCCGGAATGAGAGGAGGTGGCGCAGAGAATGTGGGAATTGGGGAGCAATGGGGGGTTGCTAATTCCGGTATAACATTCGTTGTGATTGTCGAGGAGACGCTGGGATGCGCAGCAGGTAATACACGTTCGGGTTCTTCTTCCTCTTCAACTTCTATAGGGCTCTTAATGGTAGCTTTGGGATATTGAGATTGGAATCTTGGTCAGTTTAGTTTGGCTCACCAGGAGGGCCATCCAGTTCAAAACTATCCTCGTCTGCATGTCCTAGAAACGGTATTTTGTCGTTCAACAAGTCGAAGCTCGTGTCTTCATCAAGATCGTTGTGGTCATGGAGGGCGAATGACCCATGTTGGTCTAGTTGTTTGGGTGGGACAAGCGTGGTGCCGGGAGCTGCTGGTGAGGGAGTAGGCAGCGCCAGCACAGTGTCGGTAATGAGACTCTCGCAGGGTGTCGCAAGGAAGGCAGAAGGTGTCGCAAAAGATGCCAAGACTTGTGGGTCATCTTCAGAGACTTGTAAAGCGGTGGAGGGTGGAGTTGAAAGAGTGGCATGAATGGATGGAATAGCACGTGGAGTGCCTTCAGTCGGTCGAGTGGACTGGCGTTGTTGGGCCTTTGGCGTCCGTTCTATCTCTTCTGGCTTCTCATCGCACTCATCCTCGTCCTCAAGAAGAAGTTCGCTATTGTCAAATTGAACGGTAACATCGCCAACGTCCACCAGCCTCCGGGTCAGTCTAACGGGACTGGGATTGCGCGGTGGTTGGAGGAAGCTATCGAAGTTAAGCTCGTGGTCATCGTTGTCGTTGGCGAGGGGATCAAAGAGGAGGAGTACGCTGGGGCGTGGGCGGGAGGCTTCGCGGGACATGACGGTGTTTGGCTGAGGTTGATGGGCAGGGTTGAGTTTGATGGCACGTGCACCGCGTGACCGCAAGGGTCTTTCACCACAAACCACCATCCTCTCCGTCTCTCTGCCCACTCCTCCAGCCACAAACTCACAAGCTCTCCCCTCCCCGGCCGTCCCATTTTCGCGCCCAGCTCACTTTGTGGGCTACCATCCTAACCCTAGTCATTTCCCAGCCTTCGCACGCGTCCCTCCTTGGCTTCGCGACATCTGCGGGTTCTTGCCATGGTCTAAATACGAGCTATGACCACGTGGAGCTCATTGGTGTACCAGCGAACCGAATCTTGCGCGCGTTGACGCGTATCTTGCCACCTCTCTCATTGACACCTTTTGTTGCAATGACACCTCCATGACTCAACATCGCATCTCCGGAAAGTGTCTAGTGCTAGGTCACCTTCCGACACGCACAGATTTCTGCCTGTGTTGCCTCGGGACCCCTGCTTCCTCTATCCATCGAAACTGCAGACACGCGCTGAAAGTGGGAACACATTGCCTAGCCCAATTGTGTATGCTTTCCTTCCTGCTGTCTTTGGTGGTGGTGATTAGGCAAGGGAGGCGATGCCGGAAATGCACGAAATCGACTCTCGGGGGTGACTTGGCACAACAGACACCAGAGACGCGTCGCGGGACCATTTGGGTATTTATTTGGAGGTCGAGCGACTCACGCACAGTCCGTTTTGAAAGTGGTGGAAGCGCCGCGTTGATTAGGCTCCGCACAGACCTTTGCAGGTCATTTCGCCTATTCGCTCAAGCGTGCTCGATTCTTCGCATCAATTGGTATCACCATTCCTGGCTGAACCTTCGTGCCTATTTGTTCTTGTGAACAACGAAGCTCTACGCACTTGGATGCTGCTGGCTGATGCCTCTGAGCCTTTTTGGCCCAGACGCGCCCTTCCTTCGAGTCACGGCTTTCGCATTATTCCTCGTGCCTTGCTGGGTCGCTTTGCTGCTACTGCTTTATTGTGGATGGCACATTGGGAGACCCTGAAAGCGTTGCTGGATAACTCTGGTAACGAAAGGAATCGTCAGGGCGTCTAGATGGTGCTCTGGATGGGGATCAAGGGGAGACTTGATGAAGGCACCGCACAAGAGAGTGGAACATCGGTGATCAGTGAAGGCTTCGTCGCGGCAAACGACAACCCACAAACAATGGTTCGATTCTCTGATAGGGTATGTCTTCGTGGCTTTCCTTTTATCTCACGTGTTTCGCTCGCCCCCAGACCGGCCCGTCCAACACAGGACGGCCGGACACAGACAACCATCTCGATCGGAAGCCCCCAGCTCCATGCAAGTTTTCGTGTCGAACTATGAACGAGACCGACACTAATGCGGAATTTGCCTTTTCGAGCTTGCGCCCTGCTTGTCTTCATTCACAATTCCGTGGGCAAAGAATCAGATTTATCAATCCGCGCTGCGTCGAGCCCCACCCTCTTCCCCCTTTTGGGTCTTGTTTCCTTTACCGCGAGTTCAGATTTGGAAGGCTTCTCGAACAACGTATTCGACGATCCACAGCGCTGCCGATTCATTTCTACCTGCATTATTGTCCGCCTCGCAAAGACCGCATTTGGTCACGGTCGCTCCGCCAGACCTCGTCAATGAAATTTGCGGCACCTCCGGGCAGCCGCAATAGAGATTCGTTCTCGCGGTTCTACACAACTTGGTGTGGCGGATTTCGCACTATGCCTTTGCGAGCCACTGGCTTGGCCATGGCAGGTGTTTCGGAGAAGGCCTCGGCAGCGCTGTTTTGGGGAGAACGTGGTTTGGGTCCTTCAACTGCAACAAATCTGGATATCATCGCGCGCAGCCCGAAAACGAACAGGAAGATGTAAAGGGTTGGCGTAGGGCGGTGCGATGCTGGCGAGCCGCGGTTTGTGCGCCGCAGCTTCGGCGAGAAGAGTTTATGGCTTGGGACAGCAAATCGAGTCTCGATTGTTTTCGCGGCAGTGGTGGTCCTCTTCGGGTCACACAGTTCTCGCAAGGAGGCGCGGAGCGTTGGCTGCCCACGCCGCTTGGTCGTGGGTTACTTTTGTGACCCTAGTACTGTGGGGGGCGGGCCACGTCCGTTAGGGAGTTGGTGTGGCATTTGCCGGTCGTGGTGGCCCGTGTGGGGGTGGCCATGAGGCCACGAGAGTGTTGGCGAAACGCAGGAGTTTCGGCCTTGTCAATTTTTTGCTTCCTTTTTACTGCTTTCGCAGCGGTTTCCCTCAAGAGAAGTGCAGCCTACTTTGTTGGCGCACTTGATTGCCTTCGGGCGATCCGGTATCATTATTGTAGTACAGTTAGAATTACACAGTGTGGTCGTGGAGAGCATGAACGTATACGTAGCGTTTGTTAGCTGAGGTATAATATACAGAAAAGGCGTTGAATACGTTAACTTTCGGTTCTATGGGTGGGTCGTAATGCGTGAATGGGTAAGTAGCGTTTGTTTATCAATGAAATCGAGGGACAGGGCGAATGGTTCGACGGCCATCGGATGGAGAAGTCGACGTCGTGAACTGGAAGCGATTAGAACTTTTGAGCAATGCGTGAACGGGGGGTGAAGCGGGAGACATGTGCAAGGGAATAAAAAGACAGCGACAAAAAGCCCAACAACGAGAATGGAAACACAGAATAATGATGTACAAACTTGCATGTCATGCACGTGATGATGCCGTTGAGCGAATGCGATGAGGAATAGATGCGAAGGAATAAGATAGTGGAGGGTCGGCGTTAGCTAGGCAGCGCTCTGGAGGAAGGCAGCATTGCCTTGGGCACGGTCGCAGCGTTGAGCCATGCGGACCGAGACATCTACAGCTTGCGCAACAAGTGCACGAGCCGGACTCCTTGTTGGTGTGTGCTCTAACAAGTCTATCGCAAAACACGTGATCAGAGATCAGATAAGATAACAGAAGAGGCGCTTACCACGATAGAGCAGCACATAACGCATTACACGTTGCGTTGGAAGAATCGCCAGATCTCGCACCGCAGGCCTTGCGTCCCGACGAGGACGGGATCTGCCTGCGAGAGGTGAAGATTGGGTTGGCTCGGCAGTCAATGTCATGTTCAAAGACAGAAATGATGAAGGGCGTGTTGTAGGCCCAGCACTACTGTGGCGCCAAGATGCAGGCTTGCTTCTCGCCCCTTTGGCAGGCACAGGCTCGTCTTCATCGACACCGGGGTCAGAGGAGACCCGCAATCGACTTTTGCTAAGTCTGCGAGAATATCGCGGTTCAGCGCTATCCACAAACCAGCCTCCAACAACGCCACACCAAGCGACAAACGCCGCTTCCAGTGTTTCTTCTGCCCCAAGAAGAGCAGCAGCGCAACCCCACGCGCTGGGATCGTCTTCGAATCGCCGTAATAGTTTCGCGCTTTCTTTGGCAAGGGTAGAAGCGTAGGCCCGCATTAGAGGAGGTGGCGGTTGGCGTGTTTCCCCAACGAGAAGCGATTGCAATGATGACAGGAAATGTCGTTCGGTCCGGACTAACTCCCGACATGTCAATAACGCACGTCGTGCACTCTGCCAGCTTGGGGTCGCAGGCAAAGGTTGTGTGGGTAAGGCAGGCATGGAAGAAGGAGATGGAAGGGGTGGGCGAACGACAGCATCTTTGGGAGGCACTGGTGGAGCTGGAATATCCAATTCATCGTTGCAGACTGCCCAAACACGCTCCCAATCATCAGGGTCATCGACATCGCTTGTGGTAAAGGAGCCAGCACGGGAGCGGCTGCGTAGTGCCTCGAGTTTTTCAACCAGTAATTCGTCAGAAATGCCATCATCAGTAAGCGCCATTGCCAAAGTCCAACGACGTTTAGGCGAGGCAGTCACGGCATCGCGTCGGATTAGAGGGGGACGAGAATTAAGAATGGGTGATGCAGCAAGCGGACTGTCAGTTTCGTCGCCGATCGTAAACCTGGGTTTAGAGCGGTTGTGCGAAGTTGCTTCCGGGTCTGTTAGGCTCCAAGTCGACCTCCATCCACTGCGGTGGCGAGAAATAACGAGGTCTTGTGAGGCAATACCAGTCCATGCCAATTCGGATAAGCTGTCTGTCGTTGGAGGTGTTGAATGGTGGTGCGACTCAGAAGCCGATGGAACATGCCAAGAATCGCGCCGGCGGGCATGAAAGGGCAAAAAGGTCGGCTATAATCGGCATGTAAATATTTCGCTTCAAGAAAGGGAAGGAAACGAACAACGTTGACAGCAAGGGGACTTGGTGGCGGTAGGGATGGCAGAGATGAGTGCCCGTCCTCACTTTGGGTGCCCTTGGTGGATGTTTTCTTCCGTCTCAGACTGAAGTTGAACGTGTTTCTACGCTGGACTGTGGGAGGCACTAGCTCAGCAACAGATTCGGTCGAAGCTTCCGAGCTGGAAGGTCGGCGCTTTGTGAGTTTACGAGCAACGCGTGGCAACATTGAAAACGCGCGCGCCGAGCCACTAGTAACGCTTGCAGAGGGACTTGCGGGAGTCGAGAAGGAGTATGGAAAGTTGGGATTTTGGGGAGGGTTCTCGGCTATGAAGGAAAACGGATAACTAGATGGTGGTGGTGGAGGTGGCGCTTTTCGTAGCCTTTTCGGAGACCTGGGTGAAGCGACATTGTATTTTTCAAGGTTATCCGAAACGGGCGTTGGATCGTGAGAGGTGTTGGACGAGCTGGAAGACTCATCAGGTGAAGGCATGGCCAGTTGTCCAATCGACGGCGGACTGCGTTTGTACCCGGGAGTGGGCGGTATACCGGTTTCATCGTCGATATTTGGTGTCGGTGGCAAGGTCTTCGATGAAGACGCGAGCTTGGACCTGGGCCAGCGCAGGACCGATGCCATGGGAGTTGGGATCAAGTTTGTCCAGTTGCGCGAGAATTTTTGAGGTTCACGACGTGCAATGACAGATGAAGTGACGTCAGGGGTTTCGCACGTGCACATCTGACGCCCAGCTTTTCTTCCACTTCTTCCTCGAACCTTTTAAACACGCAGCATCTCGGTTGTTCAGGTCCGGACAGAAAATCAAAATCGTGAATGGCATTGCCGCCAACCTACCTCACCGATCTCGTAGCACCGTATTCCGCCACACCGCCTAATCGCCGTCCTCATGTCACCCTGACCTTTGCCCAATCGCTCGATGGAAAAATAGCCGGAGTAGGGGGCGTTCAACTAACTCTCAGCGGGAAAGAAAGCATGATAATGACCCATTGGTTCGACCTACTTCGCCCAAAATGTGCCAATCGAGCCGCCACAGGCTGAGAACTTTGCACGATGGCATTCTTGTTGGGATCGAAACTGCTCATAACGATGACCCGCAGCTAAACAGTCGGTATAATCGCCTCTTTACGCGAGTTATACTCAGATCTTCAACATTTCCAGCACGGCATCTCCCTCCTTCTCAAGAAGAGCCACACCATTCTCCCCGTCCTATAATCCTCGACGGTCGGTTGCGGCTTCCTACAACATGCAAACTGCTCAAGAACCACGCGGCTGGCACTGGTCGTAGACCCTGGATTATTGCCATTGAGCCACCAGAAGACGATGCGAGTTGGCAGGCCCGTTTTGACGCCTTAACCTTAGCTGGCGCCAAGATACTATTCATTAACCGGGGCTCTGACCGTACCGACGCAGCGCTCAGTGTCTTGCATTCACAAGGCATCCAATCTCTTATGGTTGAAGGGGGCGCACGCGTTATAGAGTCCTTTCTGGCGTCTCATTGCGTGGATACCCTGCTGATCACGACTGCGCCGGTGCTAGTTGGCGAAGGCGGCATAGGGTATTCAGTGCCGCGGGGAAACAATGGATTCAAGGTCGTTGAAACGCGAATGGAAGGCCTAGACAGCATAGTCGCATTTGTAGCAGAATAGACGAAATGCGATTGGTGATCGGCGGCGCATTACATAATCTACACATTTTTAGCCATGACCTCTGTTGCAGCCCAGACGCCACCAGTCCAGGAACCTGAACTCGATGTTGTTGACAACGATGACGGGGAGATCGAAGATGAGGCCCCTGGAGTCGGTGAGTTCTAGGCCATTGACAGTCGGAATGAACTGAGGCAACCCATGCAGAAGGCACTGAGGCCGCGAAGAAGAAAAAGAAAAAGAAGAAACCCAAGAAAAAATCGGCTAAGCCGGTCCAAAGTGACCCGCCTCGTATTGGGTTGTCGCAGTTCTTCCCGGATGGGATCTATCCAGAAGGAGAGATCCAGCATTACAAGGATGAGTGCGTGGCCTATACTGACCTGGGCTGTCTGTTCATCGGAGCATTTCACAGTAATCTTTGGCGGGAAACGAGTGAAGAGAAACGATATCTAGACAAAATGACCCACGAGGATCCGGAAACAACCTATCAGAATATTCGCAAAGGCGCCGAGGTCCACAGACTGGTTCGACAGCATGCCAGGAAGAATATCAGACCTGGAATGTCTTTGACAGAAATAGCGGAGAATATTGAGGCGGGCACGCGAGCCCTCGTTGAAGGGGATGGATTGGAAGCCGGGGTCGGCTTCCCAACTGGGCTCAATCTGAACAACTGTGCGGCCCATTTCACGCCTAATGCGGGAGATACGACCAGTGCGTTTCTGGTGTCAGTTTGTTGACTGTGTTTTTTCACCGTTGCTCCAAGTTCTGCAGATGGGCGATATTCTCAAAGTCGACATCGGCGTTCATAGCAAGGGATTCATATTGGACTCTGCTTTCACGATGTCGTGGGCGCCAGAATACGACCAACTCATAGAAGCAGTCAAAGCCGCTACAAATACCGGAATTCGTGTAGGTTCTCTACTTCTCTCGTTGCGCGCCATCTGAAACTGTTTTTAATAGGAAGCCGGCATTGATGTTCGACTGGGTGAGCTTGGAGGTCTAATTCAGGAGACGATGGAGTCGTACGAAGTGGAGATTGGTGGTAAAGTTTATCCCGGTCAGTCCATGTGCTCTGACTGCCCTACCCTTTATCTTACGTTGAACCCAGTGAAATCGATAGAAAACCTGTCCGGGCACACAATAAAACCTTACCAAATACACGGCGGTTCGAATGGAAAATCGGTACCACTGGTGAAGACGAACGATCAAACCAAGATGGAGGAAGGGGATTACTTTGCCATCGAGACCTTTGGGTCAACAGGGCGTGGAAAGATAGTGGAGAGTGTGTGTAGCTCCAAACTTCCGCGTGCTTCAATTCCACTAATAATGTGGGGTAGGGTGACTGCTCGCATTATGCTAAAATTTATGATGCTCCCAATGTGCCATTAAGGTGCGTTTGTTTCCTCCAGGAGACCAAGCTCCGCGGTGTTGAGCTGGTTTCTTTTACAGACTGACCTCGGCCAAGTCCCTTTTGAAGACGATCAACAAGAATTTTGGCACCCTGCCCTTTTGTCGTCGGTATCTAGACCGGCTAGGGGAGAGCAAGTACTTGCTTGCTGTAGGCCATCTATGCTGCCCATATGTGGTGTTGACTGATCATCTTTTTCTCGCAGCTGAACCATCTGGTCGCACAGGGAATTGTTAGCGATTACCCTCCGTTGTTTGATCAGGTGAGCTTGCCACGTTTCATGACCTGTCTTGATTAAGATTGCTCGGCTAGATTGGCAGTAAAACGGCGCAGTTTGAGCATACAATTATTCTGAGGCCAACATGCAAAGAGGTAGTGTCGCGTGGGGATGACTACTGAGCTTGTATCCGAGAGACTACAGACGTTGGGGGATCCATGGTTACCTAAGTTACTGTAATCCAGAGGGCAAGATCAGGAAATTTCCCGATGGGGAAATCGTGCTCTGACCGGACCGCTTTCGGCTCTTATGTATTTGCCCCACAAGTTTGAGCACCTTTACTTTACCCCACCCCCCATGGTCGTCCTCTCGTGGCCATGGTCCGTCAGTCCCTCTCCTACTCACGACCCACAACCCCCTGCGCTCGACCACTTTGACAAACCGGGTGTTGTACCCCCTTCCGCTCGCGTAGAGCCGAGTCTTCAGCTTGCTGAACGGACGCCTGTTCGCCTGTGGCATCTTTGGAAGTATGGGCTCGTGGTCGCAGCCAAGTCAGTTGAGATGGTCGGTGCAGTCATTGCCCACAACATCTACGGTCCTCGCAGACCCTCTTGGGGTACGTCAGATTAGTTTCTCCGGCAACAAAAAGTACTGACGTCGAAACACCAAAGGTATCGAGATGACGCTTATAACGTCGTTCATGCGCAATGCCGGCCAGCACAGCGCCCTAGTCGATATTGCCACTATTCGGATGGCAATGGGTCTTAGTGGCTTGATTCCACTGCCCTCCGATGCGCTAGTGACTCCAGTAACCTTCCGTGTCAGGCGGCGGGGTCTCCGTGGCATTCTGGCCGACCTTGACGCAGCAGAAACCGGGTCAAGGGAGCTTTCTGGAGAATGGGTTGTTGGCAGACGGACATGGCAGCGGTTACAGGCTGAATGGAAAGCTGCCCAGCAACAACGCCGAACTGCCGAGCCAAAAACAGAACGTGTTGTGCTCTATATTCATGGTGGCGCGTATTACCTCTCCAGTGCTGCTGGCCAGCGCCTCATCTCAATACCCTTGTCCAAGTACACCGATGCTCGCGTGTTCGGTACGTGTTTCTTCTTGCTTCGCTTCTTTTCCTCGGATCTACTAAACCTAACCATGAAGCACTCGACTACCGACTTGCTCCTGAAACACGCTTCCCCGGACCGCTCCATGATGCAGTCAGTGCGTATATGAGACTCATTGAGGATCTTCACATTCCTCCGGAAAACATCATCATTTGTGGGGATAGCGCCGGTGGGGGGTTGTCCCTTGCTTTACTGCTCTACCTGCGAGACAACAAATACCCTCTCCCCTCTTCTGCAATCCTCATGTCGCCTTGGGTTGGTGAGTATTATTTTCCTCCGTCAAGTTATTGCTTCTGATCCATCTCAAGATCTGACTATGAGCTGTGATTCATGGTCTAGCAACGCTGACTACGACGTTGTCCCAATTCCAGTCGGTGGGTTACCAAGTTTGTATTTGACAAAATTCTGACCCCGCGATCGACAGAAACTAATCACATGCATCCAATCGCATTGTACCTGGGCGACCAGATCGAGCAATATCTGACTCATCCATACGCCAGTCCCCTCTTTGGCGATTTCACGGGTCTGCCGCCATTATTAATCCAGGTCGGCGATGCGGAGGTATTGAGGGACGAGATCGCGCTCCTGGCACACAAGGCAACTCTTCATGGGGTCGAAGTCCGTCATGGTTTGTCCTTTTCTCCGTTAAAATTATTGCGACTCCTTTTAACAATTAACAGAGCTCTACCAGGACTGCATCCACATATTCCAGATATATCCGTTCCTTGACGCGTCTCATCGCGCGTTTTTGTCTATCCGCCACTTCGTCCGAACATTGCTACCCCAACTCAGGTCTGCCAAAGCCCTTTGTTATCAAACCGAGGAAGGACTCGAGTTGGAAATTGACACCGAAGACGCGACCGTTGTTCGTGGCGATGGTGTCGAATCGGAAACCGTCAAGGAAGATCTTGACGAACTCTTTGAACGCACGGAGAGCGAACCAGAAGAGGCTAATACGGCTGCCCCTTCTTCCAAGTACTATCCCAGTTGGGGGTCACTTGCCTCGCCGCCAACCACAGACGACGATTCGGAAGAAGAGTTGTCATTTACATCACGGTCACGCACCGTTCCCTCCACCCCCACCTCTACTATTCGCCGCATCCGCTCTGCTGTCTCTATTATCATGCCCAGCAGCAGTACAACGCGACCCACACTCCCTCGACATAGATCCAGCCATCATCGTTCAAGTTCCCATACTCACCTCCCCGCACTTACCGCGTTTGCACCCATGTCTCCGCCCCCTTCACCTCGCATAAGGCGTAACTCGATTGCGAGCCATCCAGACATAACAAAGTTGGTGGAGAGTTGGACGAGTGCTGGCCCTGCCAACGAGACGTTGATGTTCCGGCCCAACACGCATGAGTCGCGTCCGCCATAGTTGGTGTTGTTGCTGCTACCGTTGCTGTTTCTTGTTGTATCATACTTGTAGCTCTAGTACTACTAATACTGTTTCTGAACGAACAAGCATTTTGCGTGATCAGCCTGGAGTCACACCAACCATAACTTGGTCTGATACGGTCAACCAGAAAATAGGAGCATAATAACTCGCAGCGTCAAGTTGGCCCCTCACAGGACTTGCTTGCAATACGATTCCAAGCCTTGAAGCTGTTTCTTGCCAATTTACTGACGAGTCTCTTCCTCGAGAGGAAATGCTAATACTTGTTTGAGCGAGGCTCGAACGCGCGCATCCGGATGGTTAGCATTTCCTGGGTGGATCGTCGTCAACGAGAAACCACTTTGAGAGTCCTTGCGCTTCTTTCGGTCTCTTTGGATCCATAGCAGCTTACAGTAGCGACAAAGAAAGAAGAGTGTTGTGTTTATGGCTCTTGTTCTCAATTAGTATACGCTGGTTTTTTGCCTTTTCTTGCACGTGACTAGGCATCATGACACAGCATGAAAACAACGACTCACATCGGCTTCAGCATCCTCTTGGACGCCACTACTTAACTCGGAACCCAACGAATTTGACCCACATCTTTCACTTCCGGCGCTATGACCATTCCACAACTTCCCATAGAACTATACCAACTTTTCGTCGATGCAATACCCATTGGAGAGAATGACACGCTGAAAGTGTGCTGTCTCGTCGCCACGGTATTCCGCCAGCCCTGCCAAAAACGACTGTTCACAACTCTCCGTGTGGACCCACGTTCCAGTCGCCGCTCTTTTGCAACAATCGCTGCCTAAATCGACCAGAATCCGAGTTTATTCAGCTACTGCATAATCCTCAGCATCCTCATATCTACGGACCAAGCTGAATGGGAGATGGAGCGACCTATTGTGGAGGGTGTTCTTTAACGGCTCGTCAATATCCACACTGTGATTCTCTCGGAATACTTAACCATGAGTGCGACGTCGAAGATGTTCTCCCTTGCAGTTCTTGAATGGCTACTAGATAGACTCCAGGCGCACACGAAGCTCGAGTATCTGATGCTCTCTGACATCCTTGTCACCCAGAATTCGCTTGCGCAGTCGCTGGTGGCGGCGCCGGAACTTCTTCTGAGCCGTGTTAAGGTTCAAATCGGCGATGGTGTACTTTCATCATCTAAGCCATTACCGCCCCCATCCACACGCCCACTTGCCAAGCTCGAGGTCGCTGAATATTCAAACAGTCCAAGGCTCTGCACGCTCTTCGGCCGACCCGACTTCGAGCACTACCTGCAATTTGTTCAAGATTTGCAAATCTACGCCTATTGTCAGGAGCAACTTTCGCCCTGCTTTGTGGCCGCTTCAATGCTCGAGCGACTTAGCTGTGAATTTCATTGTAAGTGGGTATTTTATATAGTCAGATACTTGGAGTAACCTGTGATCAGACCTGTTCGAAGAACGTGTCAGGCTCCCCGCTTGTTTACCGCGTTTGCGCGAGCTCAGCCTTGAAATCAACTCCTTATCTCCTTTTATTCCCCGACTGTTGTCTGAAGGCAGCCTCCCGGTGCTGCTCAACCTTCAAATCCGACTACGTGTAACTTCACACGCGCTACGAGACATGGACAACGAGTTTCATTCTCCCAGCGGCCACTGGCAGGTGCTACCAGAGTTGGACGACGCGTTGATTGCACATCCCACGGTCAAAAAGTTCGTGTTGACCTTGATGGGAGATACTTCTTGGCCAGAAGAGGAGGATAAGATAGGATACCCCGGACTTATGACAGTGGCATCGAGCAAACTAGCAGGTTGGCTGTCCAAGTCTTGTGCAAGAGGTGTGATCAACGACGAATTTTATGACTAAGTATTCGTGTCACGGTCATGTTCAGAAGTCACAATGCTCCTATTTGGTTGTGGAAACTGCTTTTTTACCTTCGTCCACCATCCAAATGTCATTGCAAAGCCCTGCCCTGACTCCGTCGAATACTAACAATGCAGTAAATTTGAACCCCAACTCCGCCCTGTGCGCTCGTTCGATCCACTCCCTTCCTATACTGATTGTCTGCAAAGCGAAGGCGTCCTCGATTTTTTCTTCCGAAGCCTATCTATTCCCCTTCAGCCCCACCAGATTCGCGAAATGTCGTTGAAAATCCCTCCAGAAGTCGCTATCCACCACCTTGTCCAATGCATCAATGAACTTGAGAAAACCCAGAAAGACACATTGCACGACATCAGGTGCGGTATATACTGCGTGTCTAGATCTTGCACCTCGGACTAACCTGCTTGTAGAATAACTATTCACAAAGACACTCTGCGCTACCAGCAATTTATGGCCAATGGCGCTCAGGCAGCAGCCGCGACAATCATTAGTTTCATCGAGCGGCCAATCGCCGACCGCGCAAATCTAGTTCAAGCCGAAACGGGTTTACACCATGTTGGCGCTGCAAGTATGTCAACGATCCTTTTTCTTATGCTCGACTCTCAATGACTTTAGCATTTGCCGACAACCAAGGAAACGCTAAACAAGGCGACAACGGGTTTCTTCCACAGAATACCCGGCGGTTCGACTGGCCGACGGTTGTGGTCAGAGTAGGCTACAACCAAAGTTTGCCGAGCCTGTATCAAGATGTGGATGAATGGTTCACCATGAGTGCCGACCATCGCTTCCCGGTAGGCCACCCTTTTGCTTTGGTATTCCGCTGACTGTCGCATAGGTTAAATTGGTCATCCTCATCAAACTTTTCGACAAAACGCAGCAAATGAGGGTCGAATTCCTTGAACGCGCTTCTGTGCCCAACCCCACACTTCCGTACCATGCTAGTCGTGTTCCTGGCCTGGGGCCGTACGAGTGGGACCAGGCCTCAATTTCCACAACAAATCCAAGTGCAATGCCTAAGTGGGACATCCCCCTTCATCTAATCTATGACAACATCCCAAACTTCCTGACGGGACCATCGCTGGTCCGCGTGAATTGCCAAATTGTTTACGAATGGGTTGGGTCGGTGCTGCAAGAATTGTAATTTGTAGAAGGTAGTAGATATCTGGCGCGTGACGTCACATCACGTGTAGCTACGAAATCCTCACTGTCTTTCTCCGTCAACCAGCAACAAGCCTTTTGCACCTGCTTTGGGCAACCATTTTTTGAAGCGCTCCAGAATCATGCCTGCATCCCATGGTGTCCCATTCTTATGCCTATCATCTTCGTCGTCGTTGTCTTGATCCTCGTCTTGGTCCTCATTTTCGGCATCTTGATCCTCGTCTTGGTCCTCATTTTCAACATCCGAGTCGTCCTTACCTTTGTCATTATGTTCATATGCGATGTCACAATCCCTAGAAAAGAACCATTCAACTGCTTTAAGGGTAGGATGCATGACGATGGCATCGTCAAACTCCTTGTACAGCGTCGCTTGAGCCTGGAATTGACGCTCCAGCTTGTCTGGGAATACTGCATACAACTTTAGACGCAGTTCAAGATTGACCAGTGATGGAACGCCGCCTTGCGCCAGCAAATTGACCAAGACGGCAGGTAGATCATAGGAATGTCTAGGCATGCTGAAGACGAGTTCGCGTAGACGAGGTAGGGAGGCCGGGAATGACGGAACTGTTTCCAGATCTGGTTGAATTCTTTATATAAGAGAGAGGCAGCTGGCGTGGACACGAACCATCGAAATAGCATTGCAGTCGCTCAAGCGTGGCGGCCACTGCAAAACAAGGAGGGAGTATGTCGTCCCTCTCAATATCGTTCTGATACAGGTCACAAACCTCCCACAAGTAGGGCCCAAATGAAGGTTGAGCTAGCAGCGCACAGATTGCCGGGCTTTTGATGATGTTGAGCTCTGTGAGTGGTGGTTTTGTCGGTGTGGAGATGGATGGCAGGGAATTTCCGTCAACGTCTTTGAAGACACCGACTTCTCTGAACGTAAGCTCTGTTGCCGCCCCAAGAGATTGTCGCAATAGAGACGATGTGATGTCGGTGCGTCTGTACTTCAAATATTCAAGCTCCTTATGTGCTTGGAATATATCCAACAGCCATTGAATAACCACAATAGTGAGCGCCTTGGGTGCGGGGTAGCGTCCCTCGATAGTCATAGTGTGAATGCTGGTCAGCCGTTGCAGAAGGCGACGCATATCGGGCTCGTGTTCCGCCCATGAACTGGAGAGGTTCGGGAGGGAAACACAGACAGTGGCAAAGTAGTCAGCCAGATGTGGAGACTCATCCAGCATCTCGTTGATTGCTCTCGGCCGATACTTATACCTGTCCCCGTCCAGGTACAAGTCCGTCTCTCGCATGTCATAGGTTGGGGTTCCAAGGTTTATCCACAGGTCCGAGAATAAACGTTCTTGGCACAAGCGGCGGAAAACAGACGCAGCAAGGGAACATTCGCGGAGTGAACATATATCTGAGCCTGGTATCTCGTCGACGATGCATCCGTAGATCTCGAGTGGGAGTGCCTGGAGTGGCAGCACGGCGCGGGCCATGACTCCACTTGTGGGGGAGATCACTTTGAAAAGTTCAAGTTCAGGGTGTTCAAGTCGTTCCAACGATTTTAGGTCGTGAAAGAGGAAGGTGGTTGTGGTTCAAGCCAAGTTTCCACCGCCACGTGCATGTCGGAAAAGACACACATCGGTTAGCCTCGGTTACAACTCGATTCGCGAATTTTTTTGTTGGCCATTGTCGGAAGACAATTGGAAGGCCCGTGCTGCATGGAGTCAACTTTGCCAAGTTTATGATTGATTCATACATGGACAGGGTGCGCAGCGCAACTATACGTCAAAGGCACGTGATACGTGACGTCACGCGCTGGGCATTCTCTCATTCTTTTCGGCAAACTTGAACGACGCCCACTCCTTCCGAAACGGCTGTGAGCCGTGAATAGTAAGCCATAGCGATTAATCTCGTATACTACGGTCTTGCTGGTACCAATGTTTCTAACCATTCTGACAGGGCATTAGTAGTATCGTCAAAGAAAAAAATGGCCGTTCAACTTCTCCCTGAGCTTTATGAACTCATCCTTGATGAGGTTCCGATTTCTGACCTCGAAACACTCCGTGCATGCTGCCTTGCCGCCTCCGTCCTCCGGGAGCCCTCCCAGAAGCGCATATTTTCCTACCTCTTCATCTCGGAGGGATCTAGTGGGCACTCGTATGCAGCCATCGCTGCAAAAATGGACGCATTTCCCCAGCTATGCGACTACTGTATCGCCCTTCAAATTGATTTTCCGGGCGACCATCCGAGGGAGTGGCAAGACAAGCAGCTAATCGCAGAGCGTGTTCTTCGCCGCTTCACAAAAGTTCGCGTGGTAGATGTGCGTGCTGACTGCCCCGACTCCTTCTTCTACGATCAATGGTGGTTGTTCGACGTTCTTCAGAAGTATACGAGTAACAGCCTCAAGCACCTAAAGTTGTGGGGCTTAGATCTCACCCCGACTCTCCTTGCGAAATGGCTCGGGGCGGCTGCACGGATCACACTCGACAATGTCAGAATGTTTGAAGTCCTGCCCGCTGAACTCCTTCCGCCTGTCACCACAACTCGAGTCACGAAACTACAGATATGCGACTATCCGAAAGGCAGCAGTGAGCTGTTGGGCCGCTCCGAGTTCAAACCATACTTGCAACGCGTTGGCGAACTGCGCCAAGTCCATATCAGCGAACAGGAACAACTAGCCACTTGCTTTTCGCTTGCCGACACTCTCGAGCGTCTCGAGCTTTATTTTGATCGTATGTCCAAGCCGATGCATTTTCCAATCTGTTTCCCCCGGCTCCGTTATCTCTTTCTTGGCTTCCGCACATTTGATGTGCCACCCTTCATGCTGCCGCTTATAGCCCAGGGAGTTCCGGCGTTAGTCGAGCTTCGCCTACGTTTCTACGTCCAAAAAGGCAATCCTGCAAACATCGAGCACTATCTCGGGCCCCAGGCCCAGCTACTTTCCGATCTGGACGACGCTCTCGCCACACATTCCGCCATCAAACGGGCGGAGTGGTTTGTGTCCTTGGAGTATGAAGCGTATTTCAAACGTCCCGTCGCAAAAAAACAGACAGCGCTATATGTGGCAGCATTCCGGGAGAAATTGGCAGCGCGTCTGCCCGGGACTTGCAGAAAAGGCTTGTTGGTCGTCGACGGAGACACACGGTATATGTGGATAGATGTTTTCTGACATGTTGAAGGAAGGAGGTTGGTGGAACCCAACCATGGGTCCAACCTTGACTTGAGCGCTGTAGGATAACAAATATTAACTGCCCAAAAAAAGAACTTTGTCAGCATCTTAGCACATATTTGTACTATAATGACTTGCACCTTTACGACTTTCCACCGACCAACAGCAAGCCCCTTGCACAAGTTTTGGGGAGCAGGTTTCTCAGCGTCTGCAACAGCTCGGTTTCTGCTCGCTCGGTTTCACTCAGGCTGTGTTGCAGAAACAAGGACCAGGTGACCACTTTGAGAGCGGGATGTCCCGCCAGAGTGCTGTCAAACTCGGCGTAGAGCCCACTCTGAGCGGTGATTCGTTGCTCTAGCCTCTCGGGGGTCGTATAGGCTACGGAGAGATGCACCTTGAGATCCTCGAGCGATGGTAGGCCACCGTTGGCCATGAGGCGCATCAGGACAACGGGCAGATTGTACGATTCGACGCCAAAGATCAGTTTGCGGAGATGGGGTAGCGAGGTCGGGAGCGACAGCACTTCTTCAGAGTGGTCTGAGGGTGGGTGAATAAGGTAATGATAAAGGAATGTGCTAGTTACGAACTGGAAAAATAGCAATGCAGTTGCTGGAGGGTAGAAGCGAGCGAGAATAAGGGCGCGAGATGGCCCTGGGTGGTGATATTCGATTGTATTAGTTGACAGACGCCTTTCAAGTACGGCTCAAATGCGGGGTCAACTATTGCCGTGGAGACCATCTGGCTTCCCGATATTCCAAGGCGCGTAAGCGGCCTGGTTAATGGCGGTGTCGCATGTCCATCTTCGTCAGAAACAACATCGACGTTGTGGAATGTAAGCTGCGGTGCTGCCCCAAGGGAGCGTGCCAACACAGGGAGCGTGATAGCGGTGTTGCTGAACATTATGTGCTCGAGTTTGCGGTCTGGTTGTAACACGATATCAAGCAGTCCCCGAATCACCGTCGCGTTGAATATCCTTGCGCTGTTGGCAAAGTAGTTCATCACAATAAGAGTGCGAAGACTGGTCAGCTGGCGTAGGATACGATCCACCACGGGCTGCTCTGTCGCCCAAGTATCAGGATTCTTGGAGAGAAGAACACGACAAGTAGTGCAATATTCAGCATGTCGAGGAAAGTCATCGAGTCTTTGGCTAACTGCCAGGGCACTTAACACGCCATCCGAGTCCAAGTTGAGGTGGAGGTTTGCGAATAACCGTTTCTGACAAGGATAGCAAAAAACAGAGGCAACAAGGCAGCATGCCTGTACAGATTTCTTTTCCAAGATCGGTATTGCCTCGACGATGCGTTCGATGAGTTCGGGTGGAAGTTGAACAACCATATTCAAGGGAAGAATCAAAGTTAGGGATGGGCACGTGCGCTGATCTCTTTTTGCAACAGTCCCTCATGCCACTCTCCTTACAAGTCGTCGCCAGCACGAGTGTTTCGAGTCCATTCTGGGATATCTATGCGGAGGACTTTGAACCCAATGCTCGGGCCCAACTTGAATGGTGTTGGGGTCTGCCTCTTGGTTCTCTTGACAGCCACCTGAGTTCATTTACGGATCCTGCCATGGAGGCACTTTTAGAAGACGACAGCTCCCTTATAGCCATTCATCCCTCATTGGTTTCTGCATTACTCGTGCAATTTAGACGCAAGCGTAGGCAGCCCCCTCATATCGATGGTCTCTACAATGGCCGAAAGATGTTCGACTATATCGTTCTCGACGCAAACAAAGCCGCCACGATCCCTCCTCGTCTCATTTCTTCCTCAATCCCGCCCCATCTTACCCTTGGCCCAACGTCCACAAAGCTATCTAAGAACATGTTTACGTCGTCTCGTGGACGAGAGAAACGCATCAGAGCGCTTTTCGAGTTACCAAACGCTTGTCAGCCGTGGCCTGGTATCACCGTTGACCACCTCCATCCCTATTTCACGTGCATCGATTACACATTCAAGCAGTGGTTGATCGCCACGGTGCCTCCCGATTTCCTTGCGGGTTTCGACGCACAACTACCGCCCTCTGATGCTGCAGATGGGAGCCCACCGCGTTTCCTAATACCCTATGAACCGGCAAGATAGAGACCCAAGCGGGATGACGAGAGTCATAACTCCGGAGCCAGGCTCAAGCCACTCAATTGTCGGTGCTGAGTGGGCCCGACAACAAAGGATGACGGCGTCAACAGTTGGATCCGCCAGGCTGGTAATCTTGACGTGAACGACAAAACACTCAAAATAGTTGCTTAGGAGTAGTATGTAGCAGGCTCATCATCGTTTGTTTGTTTGTCGTTAAAATGGTCTTCTCAATTTAAATTCTAGCTCAAATGCAGCAGAGGAGGTGCCTGGCAAAGCCCAGGGATGAGTCACACAGAGGTTTTTGTGTACAAGGTTTAGATTTCACGTACGCCGTGTTTACAAAGGAACATGTTTTAGTTAATACTGCTGTAAGATCTCTGGGGAAATGGGAGGGGGGAACTGATCAAAAAAAAATGAGTGTGTCCGTATATGCCTTCGCCGAAGACCCTCCTGGCCTACTTACTCCTCATCCGACCCGCTGTGACTCGTGGCACTGGTGTCGTCGTACAACACGACATATCGCTGCGGCGCTTCGCCTGCTGGGACATCCGCCCAGTCCTCGTCGTCCGAAACGGGCATGCTGATCAACGACACATCAGACTCGCTTGAGTCAGAGTCATCATCATCTTCCTCCACTTCCACGTGACTAGCACTTGAGCCACTTTGCGCGTCAGGAACATTCACCGACGACGTTGGGATGGATTGAGCTCCACGCGGCATGACGATAATGGACGAAGAGCTTAGCGACGACTCATTTGAGCGGGTCTCCTCGACAGTGATGCTACAACATATTATTAGTCTGCAGAAAAAAAGAAATGAGAACTCACTCGATCCAAATGTTGTCGCCGAATAACATGCCTTCTTCATTGCGCAGGCGCCAGTAACTGACATATCGTCCAGGGACTTCAGGTGCCTTCAACTCGCCCGTCCACAAATCAATCTCTGCGCCAACTTTGACGACGCCAATCGGAACACTAGCAGGAATGCCAGGTCCACGAGCAAGACGCTCACCCGCAACCCAAACCAACTCTGTGCTTGCCGGCCACTCCTCACCGCCACTGTTGACCATGCGCCAGCATTTCATGAACTCGGCACCAGGAGGGAAAATTTGGCCATCGGGAAGGGTAATATCGTCTTGGAAAGTAGCGCGCAGCCCAAGAGAAGGAACAGCAACTGGTTCTGGTCCCGGGATAGTCGTCCGCTCAATAACAGCCGACTCCTGAATCTTCTCGACTTCACTCTCACTTTCGTATCCGTTCAACAAAGCCGCTAGCGAATGGGTAGTGAAGGTGACAGGACCAGATGACTTGTTAGCTTGCTCTGCCTCCTCAACGCGTCCGACGTTGAGCATCACATCGCCCGTCAAGGGTGAGTCCATCACGGCTGGTTCTTCTTGCACCGACAGATTGGAGAAAGCAATCGAAGGCGGCTCATACTCGCTACGCATCAGATGGCGTAACTCGTCGGATGATTTAGGCCAAAAAGCAGGTTCAGCAACGGCAGGAGCAGTCCAACGCATTTGTTGTTCCTCTACACGCTGCTCCAATGACTTGTGAGCCTGTACAAGCTGCTCAACTGCCTCGCGTCTTTGCCGGGCAAGATCCTCTTCAATTTGAAGCGATCTCCTGTACGACTCGCTGCTGTCTACAACCCAGCTGGGCAAAGCTGGCTGAGCAACCGGCGACAGGCATTGTTGAACCGGTTCGAAAAGCGGAGGCGAAGGAGGAGGCGATGGCGAGTGCGAGAAACGTGAGACAGCTGTAGGATGATGATATGGTCGGGTTGCAAAGATCGGTTGGGGCTGACGAGCAAATCCGGTTTCTTCATACAGTCCTCCAGGCATCATCGGTGGGGGAATGAATGGCGGGGAGATTGGCCGGGGATGATAATCCATTCCGATTGGCGACACAGACCGGGAGCTTTCGGACTTGTAGAAAAAAAGGAGATGGCTGTCTAGGTGGAGTTGACACAGGGGAATCGAAAAAGGATGCGGGCATCGTGTTGCTGCGCGCGTTGGGGTTCATCATGAAACCGTGACCGAACGTTGAAGAAGTCAGATTGATTGGCTTGGGTGGCGGAATTGGTGCTTGGGCCTCTGCACGGTCAATCGTCGTGGTCTGACCAACTTTGTACACCGTGGGGATAACTGTCGAAGGCGATCGCATCTTGAGCAACGGGTGGTTGTCTGGATGAACGGGGATTGGAAGTGCTTCACAGTCCTCGCAGAAGTCGGTATCGGGACAAGTCGGGTGCAGACACTTGTAACGAATGCCATAAATGGTCTTGGAGCATCCATTGCAGGTAGCCATATGCACAGGAGGTGAGCGACGATTCAAGCGCTACGCTGAGTTAACATCGAGGATAAGGAGAGCGAGTTACTAACGATAAGGTCGGAGACGTTGGCCAGCTTGACGAAGGCATGGTTGGGGTGCTGTTCACGGACGATAGTGAAGCAAGCCGAACAGCTGTCCCAGTCTGGACAATCCTGGCATTTCTAGTGGGGAAATGAGAACGTTGATATGATTTGTTTGAGGACTACTGACATAACGGTCACCGCGGATCCTCGAGTCGCAGAGATTGCAAGTGGCGTAGTGCACCACGGGCTCGACATGAGGTTCAGCTTGAGGCATGGCACGGGCGTTGGTGCTGGGAGTAGCATCAAGCTCCCCAACACCAGAGTAGACGTTGTGGACGATGACGCGCCCAGGCTCCTTGATTTCCAAAAACTCATGGAAAGGATTGTGGCGCTCAGCAGACCCAGAATCAATACAGGAAGTGCAGAGATCATAATCCGGGCAGTCAAGGCACTAATAGCACAGCAAAAGCATTCAACAGCGGAAAATCAATAGACGAATTGAACGGACCTTGTGCCGAATACCTTCGATAACCTTGTCGCAGATGTCGCAAACAACACCTCGATGGATGACAGGAGCTGGAACGGGAGCTGTTGTGGCTGGAGGAACTGCAGGGGTGACATTGTTGGGCCTCGGAGTTGCGGTGCCAAATGTGTACACAGGCGAGTAAGTCTGTGATGGAGGAGTCCACATTGGAGGAGGAGGCGGTGGGGGCGGGTAGAACTGTGGCCAGGGAGGGATAGCGGCATCCAGATCGGTTGACTTAGGTCTTGGACAGGCTGCACAAACCTCCTTGGTTAAAATGTGGGGCCCCATAGCGGCGACACAGAATTGTGGACCAGTCTCATTCGCGTGACAGCCGGGACACTAATGCGAGTTGTCAGCAAACAGAAATAGGTTGATGGCTATTATTAAGGAAGACTAACGATAACAACGGTGCACTTCCCACAGGAATACCATGGGCCTTGGAATATCTTTGCGCACGTTGTGCAGTACTTGAAGAGACAAAACGAGGAAGGAGGGGGTGGCGGTGACATAAGGGGGATATGTGCAGAAGGAGCAGGCGTGAGAGCGGGGGACTGGAGAACACGGTCGAGGTCGTCTTTGAGCTTTGCAACCATGTCTTGCATTTGAATCTTCGCTTCATTAATATCGCAGCAGGCCTTGCCTGCGGTCACGGACTGCGGCTCAGTGTGTTGATGGAGTTGTGCCATGCTTGGGCCAGGCATCCCTGGAGTGGCTGACAAGATGATTGGAGGAGGCGGGATATGGGACATGGGTATGAAAGTGGGCTCCACTGTGACTTCAGCCTCAACAACAGTAAAGCGGAGAAGTCCCGTTGAATTGGCCGCGTAAGCGGCGGTGCAAGAAGTGTATTGGTCCTGGTTGCGAATTTCTCTCGCAATGAGGACAGTACCCGTCTTGGATGAGTCTGGAGAGAAGAGGAGTTTGGAGAGAGCAGCTCCCTGAGGAATAGGGAAGACACGATAGAGATTGCTGTAAAGCTGGTCGTAGCTAGGGAAGTCCTTGTAAAGGAACTTTCTGGTTTCCCCAGAGCGACCGTAAGTTGCTTTGACTAGGAAGAGTCAGCAATGACGGAGGACAGCCCAACACCCACGCCTACCTGTAAACATGGTGGTGGGGAGAGAATAAGCGACACCCAGCCTCGCTGTCACGCCGTGACCGGCGTAATGACTTGCGCGAATTTGAATAGCCGCAATACAAACAACAAATAGTCTTCTTCTGCGCAACCGATAACGGGTTCTTTGCCGACCCCAAAGACACCGTCGACGCCGTTGCTGCCACCCAACTCGCAAGTCACAATACTCGTGACGCGGTTTCCCGATGCTTCTCTTGACATCGACCCGCTACGACCATTCACTCCTTCGTCTACGATTCAATAACTATAACGACGAGCCATCACCGTTCCTACTCCTCCGATTCCACCTGGACCGACTTTCCCAAGCATCTACCCAACACGATTGGCCCCAAGCTGCCTCTGTCTTGTCGTATGAGGCCCTTCTTACTGTCTGCCAGGCGGCGGTCGCGTCCCATGATGGAGAATATCATGCCCTCCGAGTCCGAATCACCCTCTCCCAGACTGGCGAGCTCGCCGCTACCACAATAGCAATACCCGCCCTTCATAGTGACCCGACAGCGGCATCTTTCGCTCGTCCATGTAAGTCTAGTCCTTCGTCCCGTTCATTAGCAACCACTCATCTATTAAAATCCAGTGACGGATAGGTAAAGCACGCACTCAATAACCAGTCGATAGTGCCGATGCTCACCACCATGCTAGCGCCACTCTCTATGGACCACCGATGAAGCTTTATATCGATACCGAACCGACACCTTTCCTTGGCCTCTTGTCCACCACCAAGACAACTGAGCGGGGGGCCTACAACGACGCACGTTCCCGAGCTGGCCTGTCAGACGGATCTTTCGATTCAGATGTGCTACTCTACAACTCTGACGAGCATATCACTGAAGCTTCAGTCTTCAATGTCGCTGTTTTCCGACAAGGGGAATGGATCACACCGCCAGCTGCATCAGGGTGTCTCCCTGGCGTTCTTCGACGATGGTTACTTCAAAACAAGCGTATACGCGAGGCGGGAGTGGGAGAGATCACCAAGAGCCAGATGCACGCCAACGACTGGGTCCTCCTTTTCAACAGTGCTCATGGTTGTCGTCTTGCCCGAGTTACTATTTCCTCCTAGAGTAGGGTTTATGTTTCCTATACTTTTCGTGGACCACATGGACAAGAGTACCGCGATTTGTGTATCCTATAAGTATCACAAATGTTGTAGTAGTATAGCCCTTCATTCATTCATCCAAAAGCATCCCTTCCTCAAACAACCCATCGTCCATTTCTGCCAGAACGTAGTCAATCATATAGCTCTCCTGTACCAATCGGTCCATTCTCGCGAGATGTCGTTCCGTATAAGGAATCAGGGCCTCGACCATTTCCTTAAGCGCTGTCCCACCCACACCCTTCTCTTTACCCTCCATCACCGCCGTTTCATTCACCTCCTCGTCGAAAGCTCCCATCACATCGTCCGCCGCCCGAAGCTTCATCACTGCGAATAAAACCCCTTGCGCAACCGTACTCGTCTTTGCAGACGCATTCCAGTCACGCACATAGCGAAGCAGTTTGGCAAGGTCAGACCCGGCTAAGGTACGGATAACCTCGTCTACGGCAAGGTTTCCGGTAATTGAAACTGGAGACTCATCGGGAGATTGGCGGATATCGTTGAACAGGTTGTACAGTCTCCCCGGTTGACTCATAGAGATGGCTAGCAGAATTGCGCGCCGGTAGTCATTAAGCTCCAGATAGTTGAGGAAGTCTTGTTCTCTGATGCGGGTTTTCGCGTGAGTAAAGCGGTAAAAAAATTACAGAGATCAACATACTTGAGCACCAGGTCAGCACGTTTTGATTCTTTTTCCACTTCTTGCGCTTCCGTGCAGTCTTCCCAAAAGGTGACAACTGAGTCAGCAGCTGCGGAGACAATGGTGGTCTCGTCTTGGCTAACAGTCAGCGCCCACACCTGATAAAAAGAGGGATGAGAACAAAGGTTAGATCGGAGAACAACGGACCTTATCTTGGTGGTTGTCCAGGGTTACGGCACATTCTTCGTCTTTGATATTCCAGACCTTCACTAACCCATCCGATCCAGAGCTGACGAGTTGCATCCCCGCCGTCAAAAAGTCAACCCTCAAAACCGAATTAGTGTGGCCTTCGAACGTTTTGACACACGTGAAGTCGTCCAAGTTCCATAACTTGACTGTTTTATCGCCACTTCCAGTTGCCAAAACACGCTCGGCGCGGCCAAACTTGACCGTCCAGACCCCGCGTTTGTGCCCTTTGCAAGTACCAACCAGCTTCAGGCCACCGCGCGACGCTCGGCCCCCTGTCCCAGAGAAATATTCGATTTCATAGACATTTGCCGTTCGGTCTTGTGATCCTGAAACGAGGAACCTATCGTTGGGGGACACATCGAGCGCATTGATATCCTTGTCATGTGCCTTGAGCGTAATTAGACTCTTGCATTTGACCGGTTCGGTATCAGCTTCAGACACCAATGGAACATCGCCAAGGTCCCACAACTTTATTGTTCGGTCCTGACTGCCAGTGAACACAAACTTGGGATGGGTTTCAGTAGTTTCTGGCGTTCCAGCTTGTCGCGAAAGAGCAATGGCACCAACACTTTCAGCGTGGCCTTCACAAACGGCGACACAGGCATATCCCCACGACTCGTCATCAGTCTGGAGAGGTGCCCATATTCGAGCAGACCGATCCTTACTTCCGCTGGCAAGGATCGTCCCATTGACTCCATGGTCAACGCAGAGTACGATTTCGGTGTGGCCTTCGAGCAGTCTTGCGTCAAAGCCAGAGACTGAGTATACTCGAAGCAAAGATGAGTTTGTGGCCAGTGCGAGATATGAATCGCGCTTTTGTTGGGTTGAGAGCAGCCTTGCATCGACGATCTCATCGTTGAAGCCAATCAGCTGGCGAGTTAGTGACTTTGTCGACAGGGAATGGAACATGATGTTCTGGTCCGCATGAACAGAGATAATCGAGGACGTGGCAGGTAGGTAGCTAGGAGTAGGAAAGTTGAGTGGAGGTAACGCTTGAGGAAGATGGCGTACATCACATCCACAATCTGCCTCTGCGCTTCGTTCTCGTCGGATATTTTGGTGTCAGTTTGCTCAGCGCCAAGAGTGAATAACACGTTTCCTTCTCGCGCGTCCCAAATTTTGACAACCCCATTCTCCCCTCCGGTATAGATCCTCAACTGATCGGAAGAAGAGGTTGAACCAGCGAGATCTTCGTCGGGGTGAAGAAGCCCAACCGCTTCAACACGTTCCAAAATGGGAAGCGTTCTGGCTAGTGTTGGCGTAACCGCCTTATTTTTGCCTTTGGTAGCTGCCTTACTTCCTGTTTGTTTCTGCATTGGAGACAAGTCCCAGACAAGAACCACAGAATCTCGTCCGCCACTAACGAGCCATTTGCCATCTTGCGAAACATCGAGGCCTCGAGGAACGGAATCGTGACCTTCGAGGACTGCGATTGGTTTTTGGCCCCCTTCAGTTCTTGATGCACCATCCGTAAGCTCGAAGATACGGACTCTTGTGTCGACTGAACCTGTTATGAGCCGCATTGAGCGCTGAAGACCGACAGAGGACGGATCGACACGAAAGTCAAACGCCAGAGCACTGACAACCCCTCCATGCCCTTTGAAGACATGGGTGATAAACCCGCGCAAAATGTCCCAGACTTTCACAACACCATCGGCAGAACCAGACGCGATGTACGTATTCGTTGGGTCGATCTTGCAAACGTGAACAGGGGCTTCGTGGGCACGGGGAATCGCGCGGATTGGTTGGACGGGCTTTTTGGTCGGCTCGGAAGGGAGTTCGAAGACTCGCAGCGCCAACGCGGAAGTGAATACCACCAGATGTTTGGGTGAAAGCGACAACGATGTGATAGGCTCAGTATCCTGCTCAAATATGAGAGCATGTTGGTGCACAATAGATTACCACGCACACTGGCAAACCGACATATCTCTTCGCCCGTCGCCACATCTGTCAGTAAAGCGGTTTCTTCGATGCAGGTTACGATTCTCGTCCCATTTTGCGCAACCGCCACGGGCCCAGAGGTGTACAGCGGGGCTATCGAGCGGGCATTTTTGAATCTGGACTCGTGTCAATGGTCTCAGGTGGGATAACAGACACACGAACGCGGTCTTCAACTTCATAAAAAAAAGTTGGACGCAAAGAGGGAAGTGTGACTAATCCATGACATAAGATGTAAGAGTAGATCTAAAAAATACAGATTACTGGTGCTACAAAACTAAAACTGCCTGCGAACTGTCAAGTCCGATCCCGAAAACTTAAGAGAGTCCCTGAGTGCCTCCTCCGCCAGATCTCTAAGCCTTATAGCTTGGTCTACGTTCTGCTCTGCTTGTCTCCTTCGTATTGATTCGTCTCTTAGTTGCAGCCGAGTCTGCTCTAGTGCAGAATGGGTGCGAAGTACTTCGGCTTCCGCCTGTGCCAATTGGTCCGAGAGTCTCATCGACAACGAGATGGCCTCCGCAGACTGGCGACGTAGATTCGTGATTTCCGTTTGCAATCGCTCAACCATGCCTTGTGGATGTGGGGATAGATTCAATAAAGAGGGAAGTGGTGGTAGTGGTGGTGCTGTGCTTGGTATATGTGGTCGGACACTCGAGGGAGAGATGCGTGAACCTGCAGAGGCATCGTATGGCGTCAGCCGCCCGCTTAAGGAGTTGCGTCGTTCGAAAGGGTGGAGAAGTATTTTGCCTCCAGTGTCACATTCAGACGTCCCGCTCTCCAGCTCGTCTTCTTCCTCCTCACAAGAAAGCATCGAGTCGTCTTCATCGACCAAACAAGAGTTGGCTCGCTTGGGGAGCCCAGTCTCTTGGATAATCGTAGCTCCCATGGTCGTAGACGGCGGTGGCAGAGGTGTGCCATCTTTCGTCCGATTACGCTTTCTCGGCCGCTTAGTTCCGGGTGGTGCAAGTAAATTCACTGTCCAGTGCGATCCAACCCCAGGCTCGCTTGGGGGCCTTGGCTGGTGCTCAAACAGTCTACTGAGCGAAAGATGGTGGCGAACAGATTGCTGTGAACTTGAGAGTAAACAGAAATAAAAAAAAAAACTGGGATGTGATTCGCACCTTCCAACTTTGCCCTGCCGTTCTATAATAGGCATACTTCTCCTCCATCGCCGCGTAGATCTCACGGATAGTTAGTCGCTGTCTTGGAGAGCCTAGGATCGCGCAGCGGAGAATAATGGGCAGAGTATGTTGCGGCTTGTCGTCCGTGTCAGGTAAACAAGCGAGCGAATCAGGGCAGTCTGGGTGAGGAATATGCTCCAACCCTAGCTCCTCGACATCCTCGTCAGAAATTGCATCTGAGGGTTCAGGCCACCCAGGCGGAGGCTCATTAACGAGCAACCTGCGGAAAGTGAGTAACAAGAGAGAAGCTTGATTGGTCACAACTCACTTCACCGTCCGTCTACGCTGCTCTGGGTTGAGGATGTTATCAAGAGAGGCCATGGGAGTGGGGAAAGAAACAAACGGGGCTCGGCAGCAGCCATAATAAGAGTTCGGTGACTTGTGTGTCCTTGTAGGTCGAATGACAGGCGCCAAACTCCGTTGGGTACTCACGTTGACTGGTGGGCCCACAAATCGTACATTGTTCTTTACGGCACTATATCGTCCCTCAAGGCTTCCTCGTTCTGATATACAAACTTCTAGACAACAAGGACACACCCCAAAACGGACACTCTACACGCCAAAATGATCAAATTGATACTCTCCATTGTACCGCTCTGGTGGCCACCCACTGACTTGCCCCAGATTCATCGGGCTGAATTGTGACCAAGGTTGTTGCGTCGCTGACAGTGGCTGACCCGTCTCAGCATTCGGTCGCGACCACCAGTCACAGCCCGTGTAAAAAGATGTGGATGGTTCCACGCCAGGAATGTCGAGCCCCAGCATATGAGCCATCAGCTTGTTTGCCATGTCTTGAACTCCATCTACATTCTGGCCCACCATTTCCCGATTCGGATAGTCTGGAGGTCGGTCTTGTCCGAACGCATCTTCCGCGTGCCGTTTATGTCTCTCGTGGGAATGTGTCGGCGGCAAAACACTCTGTTGCAGCTTGACTCCGTTCAATAACTCGTACGCACGCGCTGCACTCGGCCAAATGATCTGCGGCGATATGAGTCAACTTAATCAGCAGAACAAAAACAGTACTTAGACTGACCTCCATCTCTTTGAGTGCTATCAGACACTGCTGCAAACCTGGTGACATGAGGTTAGTATCGCCTAATGAGACAACACAAAAGGGACGCCAACCGAGGGAAGCCTGTGGATTGGCTGGTCGAAGAGTCACTAAAAGATGGGAATATCAGCGCGATAGAAGCACCGAAGCAGAGAACGGAGTCTGACAAGTTGTTATGTGCATGATACTGGAGCTGTAATTAGTACGTCCGTCAAGTCAATCAATTGTGGATCCTGACCCAGCATTGAGCAAGTACGAGGTCATAAAGGGTGAACACCGCTTCAGGGTGTAGTGTTCGCGATATGCGGTGACTGCAAGGAAACTTCAGACTAACCGTCGGGGACAAGAGAAATCAAGAAAACCTATCACGCTAATGTGGCTTGCTGCCCCTTGCGAGAGATCAAACGCCTTGAGTTCCAAGGTTGAGTCTTGCGGAGTCGGATCGGTCCTAAAAAACTGCTGTGAGATATTCCCGAAACAATGGCGCATTGAAAATTACCCTTTCCAGTTGGGTATGCTGTGGATCGTGTTTAAGTGCGATGGGAATCTATTCTTTTTTTCACAAGGACTCACAAAGCACGATGGAGAAGCAGAACAGTCCCCCAATATCGAATATGGAGAAGTAAGATCTGAGCACTCGGTGTCATACGACGAGTCTCATACCGCAAGCCGTCAGGTAAGCTTAGATACCACTGGTCTAGCCGACTCTCTAGCTTAGCGAGAGATGCCCTTCGAGAGGCAAGTGCGGAAGGCCGTACAGGATAGATATGGGTTATAACGGAACCCAAGATCAAGGCTGACGTTGAAATTAGTAAGCCCTGAAAGAAATCCAACCCAGTATGCACCTAGCTTTCCAGTAGCGCGGAAGGTTGAGAGTGTGACGCCAGCTGAAGCATGGCCGCCATTGGGTGCAAGGGGTTCCCAGGGTTGTTCATCTTCCTCCTGCATGGCAAGTCAACAACGGCGGTGAACAGAGCTCAAGACCGACCTCAGGTAGCGGAGTGTCAAAGTCGTCGTCATGGATGGCTATTGGTCGGCCCATATACATACTGCCATATCGGTCTGCCGCACAGCAGGCCCACCAGATTTGCCTTCGGGTTTGTGTTTCCTCAGAGGAGAAAAGGGTGTGTTCACCATTGGCGCTCTTCCAGTCGACAAGATTGCAGTTGAGGCCTAGATCGATTGCCTATAGCTAAATTAGAAACGGGAATGCAAGGGCACAAATAATGAACCATGCGAATAGCCATGCCTGTACGATGATTGAAATGAAGGCCAGAGTAAAACCTTCTAGAGAAACTTGCCAATGTAGATCCATCCCTGCTCCATCGAGCCTATGCCAAACTCCCGATAGCCCAAAAGAAGAAGCGCTTGACATGTTGAAGGACGAGAGCGGTGCAACACCTTAGCTGGGAGACAGAAGTCAACGGAGGTTGTAATTACGCGATATATGTCCCACCCAGGATATTCTTCGCAGCATGGAAGTATTTGCCTCCAGCCTCCCACATCTTTCCCTTGGGAGGGAGAGGAGTATCTTGTTCGGAGAAACGGGCCGACACAGCAAACATCGACAGTAAAAGTAAAGGCGAATATTTTTGTGCTGGTTCAGGTTTGGCGGAAGCCTCTGTGTCACCTGTGGGACTATGAACAGGGCTACTGCGTGGAGTTAGTACTTTGAAGTCACACAAGAGAAGAGTAACCTCAGGTTTCTTGGAAACTTGGTGTCAACATGATTCGGCAGATCAACGGACGACGCCTACCTGGTGTTGTATTCCGTTAAGAAGCGAGCCTTATGAATAAGCGGAAACACCGGATGAACATAGGCAAAATAGAGCTGGAGGAGGTGCTCTTGGACATGTTGCGGAGGAAGTTCAATTTCGAGGTTTTCCTCTTGAACGAGCTGAGACAAATCCTTTATCGGAGGCCACACTCGTGCCATAGGTAGTTTCCTGATGACATGTGTGGAGATGGATATATGTCAAACGATGGAACTTACCACATACTACCCTCCTTCCGACTGTCGGTCCGAGTACTGCGACCTAGTAGATGGAGCCCACTACTGGGTCCATGGAAACGAACTTCTTGGTGTTCATCCAGCGACAATGCACCCATTCCTTCTACCGGCGCCTCTCTATGCGATGGCTCTTCTGGATCTGTTGAAATGTGTTGGAATGCCGGCAGAGTCAGGTTTTGGATAGATGATACCTTCTAACGTGTACATATTCTTCCAGTCCGGTGGCGAAGGAATGGTGTCTACAGAGCCGTTGAGGCGCCGCCTCTGATGGAACGGCACACCAGACAAGTCAAATGAGGGCAGGCGGGATCCCGACGCCGAAGTCGAGCCTATCCGGCTTGCAAGACTGTCTTGCCATTCCCGGGTAGGCACAAAAGCAAGGTTGCCATCTAAAACGAGCGCTCAAGACGGAGCTGTTATTATTATGAGCTTCAGACTCACCTTGCGCAGCAGACGACACTTTCTCTCTCGATATGCGTGATTGTCTTCGTGATCGTGAAGACTCAGTCTGGTTGGCACCGCTACTCCGGAGGATGGAGGCAAAAAAGTCTTCCTTCGTAGCACCGACAGGTTGATCTAAGCGACCAGAGGGTCCCTGTTATATCCATTAGGGTCATTCAACTGACAATAGCACATTGCGCACGTATGGACCAGCATCGACTCGACCTAAGATTTCACGCGCGAATTCATCTGTCCGCAACTATAAAATAGTTGGTTAGCGCCAAGTACCGGATGCGACTGCTGGTGCTTGCGTCTGAAATGATTCCTTGAACTCGCGGATCGGGGCATTGAAGTAACGCGCCGAGTAATGATTCAACTTGGTGCCATCGAGATTCAATGGCGTGAATGTAGCCCTTGGGTGGTCCTCTTTTATAACTGGGCCCTGCGACAAGTAAGAGGGAACAACAGGTTCGTTGTCTCGGCCGAATGCCCACCGAGAAAAGTGCAGACTGGGAAATGTATGTGTTAATGGAACGATAATGGACCATCGTGCACTCACCTGTCTTCGCCGCCTCACAGCCTTTACAAGCTGCAGCATTATCGCTACGCTCACACTTGCTCTTCGTTTTGCGACATTGGTCGCAAGCTGAGCTTAAAATTAGAATCGGAGTTAAAGGTGTTGTAATCCATACCCCTGCTACTTCGCTTGCGATTATTGGCCTGACTTGAATCCCTGTGGCTAGTTTCCTCGTCACTGGCGTCTGAGTAGTCCATCGTTGCAAGAAGAGTGTTTGGTCAGCCAGTAGTGTGACAGTCCTGAAGATCATGTCGTCATGTTTTTCGGCTCTTGAGCCGAAAGCCGGCGTCTAATTCTCATATTTTGGACGAGACAAATAATACACACTCTGCTTTCATTGTAATATGTGAGACTGACAAAGTTACTTGAGTGGACTAAAGGGAAGGGGACGCAGAACAAATGAATCCATGAATTTGGTCAATTGCGATGTCTAGAGAGGCGTTTAATCGCGATTAGATTAAGCGACACAGCATACCTTCGAAACGGTCTCGGCCCAACCGTCGATTTGCCAGGCCTTCTCTCTCATGTCTTTCCGAGCCTCGAGATCAGTATATTGCCATAGATGGTGGACTTGATGCAGTCGCCCAACTTGGGAGAACCATGCACCAACAGGCGCAACAAATTTACGACGCGCTTCAATACCCCGACGCCTATCTCAGTTAGTAGGGGTATCTAAACGCTTTACTACACCTACCAGGTATTCTCCCACTCTAAAAGTGTTCCTGGCTATACGGAGAGGATGTCAGTCAGATCTGCCGTAGAAGTAGAAATCTTACCTTCAACTGGTAAGATCGCAATTCAAAGACACCCCCGTCGGAGTGTGGGGGCGCAGTTGGTAAGAAAGCAAACTCTTGAGTGAGTTGGGAGGTCCGGGACGTTAAGAAGGGTGCTAGTCCTTTGAAGACTTCACGGTGCTGGAAGGATTTTCAGTCATAAACTCCGCGTGCTGTTTCGAAAACATACATGCGGCGAAGTCAGTAGTTCGGTCGTCTTCTGGTAGCTCTCGACTTCCAGGATGTGGATAAAAGTATCTTGTTCGCCAACTAAAACTTCCCAGTTACCGGTGAGTTTGGTGCGAAGGTCAGGGTCATTCTTAATGCCGACGTAATATTTCTCCCTGGCAAATTGTCTAGCAACGGTGCGGGCCAAGTAAGAAGTATCCGTACGCTGCAGCCTTGTATTCTTCCGTTTTATCCGGTTTGACTCGATGGACTAGGCCACGATGAGCGCTGGTGGCATGTGTAGTAGATGACGCACTTTCAAAGGCATGAACATATTTGCCCCTTCCAACCAGACGCGAATGTTGGAGTACGTCGAGGTCTCCTGCTTTCTTGGCCTCTGAACTGATTGAATACTGAATCGCCGACTCCATGGAAGGCCAAACCTGGTGAACCATGCAACAACGACTAATATTTGTCAACCTGAGTACTAAGGAATGCACCGAATGCTACCTGAATCACAGAAAGAGACCTTGTTTGCGAAGAATGAAGAAAGGAGCGTCGAGCAGTCGGTCTGAGAAGGGAGAGCATGCTGGCGGAAAACAAGTCGATGTGCGGGGCATCACGATGACATAACACTAGCTTCGACTTCTCCCAATCTGAAACGGCCTGGCCTACAGTACGGTCGCATTCTTTTCTGCGATTGCGGTCACTAAATGGGCCATCTGGCACAACAGACTCGGGAAAAGTTTTGTATTATTCTAATCCATTCTGCCCTTTAGCGTACGCGTAATGATTTGGTCTTTCGTCCTATCAGAGGCATAAGACAACGCAGTAGAAAGCGTAGAGTTCACTTACAGCACGTGAACCACGCAGCCCCAGCCGGAATACGCATCGCGATCCAAAGCATTCATAATCGTCTGAGAAATTGTCTCAAACAGATCTTCAGGCTCGAGATCGGGCTCCCAGAGGCCTTCGGCAACACCAAACAGCTTCTCGCTCGCAGTTCCGGCGACAACAAAGTCTTTCGCAAAGTTTAGACAGCCGATGAGGTCAGTGGCTGCGATGAATGGCTTGTATTCGCCCGACGCTGTCTTAGACATTCCCGCCATGACAGGTTCGACGAAATATGGGCCAAATCGGTGCTCGTATAGCGTCGATGAGACGAGACGGGCGAAAGTTTCAGGCTCAATCTCTCGCTCTTCCTTGATAGTATACATATTGACGCGGAATCGGAAGCGTTCTTTACTGCCTTGAATGTTAGTTTGGTGCATCCATATTGACCACTGAACACGCACAGAGTCGTCACATCGGTCGCCAGCCCTGGTAGTCCAAGGTAGATCCGGTCAGTTATAGGGAAGATCTAAGCCTTGGTGGTTAGTAGCAATATATGCATTTCGCCTTCGTGGACCTTTTGGAAGTTGGCAGAGACACCAAGCGCTTGGTTTCCAAGACGGAGGTCGGAGGCAATGGCAACACAGTCCTTGCCCACCATGGCTATGACGGAGCCACCGTTGTAGTCCATTATTGACATGTTGGGCAGAAAAGAGATGAACGCGTAGGCAGTCTTGGACTTACGCGTCGCTATTGCTCACAGGGTCATGTGACTCGGCAATGCTCGGGGTCCTTCAATCCCTCCGTCATGCTTCTTCGAGCTCTCCTCCAACCGCCATGCAGCGTTCTATGGGATGGCTAGTAAGACGTGTCCACCAGTCTACTGGATCGGCAAGGCTTCGCGTTCAGGTCAGTTACACTGACGAACAACTAGGAATAAGCTAAATCGGTGCACCAGGAAAAAATCTCGCAAATTGACAAGATTTCACCCATATCACCGGCTCTCGTGGGTGCATATACCCTTGACCTTCAAATTTTCAATTTTCAAGGTTGATACTTTCCGGCGGCGACACGACTACCTACGAATCTCATTAACAGAACGATGCAATCTGCGATGTCAGTTTGTCCAACCCCCAAGGCGATCGGCTTTGACATACTCTAGGCTTCTACTGCATGCCCAGCGAGGGCGTAGAACTCTCTCCCAAGTGGGTGGCTCCTTCCATGACCGAATGGCAGCTGACTGAGACTGTCAGCGAGAACATTCTCTCCAACGAAGAAGTCCTACGACTGGCACGGCTCTTCGTCAAGAGTGGAGTCACTAAAATCAGACTCACCGGTGGCGAGCCAACTGTCCGGAAGGGAATACTTGAAATCATCGGTCCGTGTTCATGGAAATTGGAACTCCGTGCTCAACTATATTAGCCGGGTTGAACGATCTCCGCCAATATGGGCTGAAATCCATTGGGATGACAAGCAATGGTGTTGCTCTTCACAGAAGGATCCCGGAATTCGTTCACAACGGACTGACCCATCTCAATTTGAGGTTTGCAGTTCCCAACAAAACCAGTCCTTGGAGCATTGACGTCTTTCTAGTCTCGATACTTTGGATGAATTCCGCTTTGAGATCATGACAAGGCGAAGGGGCTTTCCCGCTGTCCTAAAAGCACTTGAGACTGCGCTGGAATACCTTCCTTATGTCAAGCTTAACGTTGTCGTTGTGAAAGGGTTGAACGACATAGAGGTGCTCGATTTTGTCGAGATGACAAAAGACAGACCTATCTATGTGCGCTTCATTGAATTTATGCCCTTTACAGGTCGGTCGGTGCTACAACCCTATTTTTCCACTGCTGATGGAGTTCAGGCAACAAATGGGACGCAGCGAAGATGGTTCCCTCTTCTGAGTTACTTGAACGAATCTCAAAACGTCACCCGCTCATAGAGCGGGCTTCTGATGAGCTAAACGATACCGCCCGAACATGGAAAATCCCAGGCTATGTCGGCAACATTGGTTTCATCAGCAGCATGTCGGACCATTTTGTGAGTTTTCCACAATAGAGGGAGCTCAAAAGTGAACAAGGTCCCAGTGTGCCACATGCAATCGACTTCGAATCACAGCAGACGGCCAAATAAAGGTGATTCTCGTCAACCTTGGTTCCAGTGAAACTGATGTTCAGCGTAGGTCTGTTTGTTCGACGCGAAAGAAGTCTCTCTTCGGGACCGTATGCGCCTTGGTGCATCGGACATGGAACTTCTCGATGTTATTCAGAGTGCTGTCCTTGGAAAGCAAGAAAAACATGCTGGCATGAAAGAGATCGACGTGGTCAACAATCGCCCTATGATTCTCATTGGTGGTTGAGTGTAATATCATGAGCATGTGGATGCAACTCTGAGCTGAGACTAAATTCACAGGATCCCAACCACGTCGAGCTCGGCATCCAATATTTCGCCCTCAAGTCCCTGTCCAACTACACCAGAAACGATTCAACTCGACTAATGCGCCACGCCTATCGCATCTCGACAGCTCCGGCCGCGCAGCTATGGTTGATGTGAGCCCCAAAGTGCCAACCCAACGTTCAGCGACGGCGTCTGGTCGCATCTCCATCCCGAAGATTGCTTACCAACTTGTCACTTCGACCTACCCCGATTCGGAATCGACCGAAGCCTTCTCCAAAGCCCGCCGGAAAGGCGATGCCCTCACTGTTGCGCACATAGCTGCTATCACTGGCGCCAAACAGACGTCGAATCTCATACCGCTCTGCCATCCCCTGCAGCTCAACAACGTTTCAGTTGCCCTGACACCTGAAGCGAGCGCACTGGAGAATGGCGAGACCGAATACAGCATTGTGTGCCGTGCAACGGTGACTTGTGAAGGCAAAACCGGGGTGGAAATGGAGGCGCTGACGGCCGTCTCGATTGGGCTGTTGACGGTTTGGGACATGCTCAAGGCTGTCGCTGGACGTGATATGGTCATCAAAGATATTGTGGTGACTGCGAAATCGGGAGGCAAACATGATTTCACGAGGTCCGATTAGGCTACTGTGTGTCGGTTCACTTGCAAATTTGACTAGTTCAGATTATTAAGGTGTGGATTAGAGTACGATATAGCTCATCAACCAAACTATTCAAATTTACCAATGCCCGTGTAGTGTTCCGACAAAACCTATTTCCTTCCAGCCCTCCCCATCCTCGACCTTGAACCCTACCCGCTCATAGACGTTTCGTGCTTTATTACCTTTCCCGACATATAAAACGACCCCTTGCTTTCCACACTCGAACAGCCTAATCATGATGTCAGCCTGAAACCTTTTCTTCAACAACAACAAACCTGTGGGCGACTTCGTGGACCAGATCCTGTGCAAACCCGTGCTTGCGGCATTCAGGGCGAGTGTAGACCTTGGTGATGGCGGCCACTCGGAGGGATGTACGCGTCACAGCGCAGAGGGTGGTTATCTCGCCGGCTTGGGTCTCGTAGATCCAGGCGAGCCCTTTGCGGACAAGTTCCTCTGCTTCGTGTTTGGCTTGTGTAAAGTCGACGGGGTACTCCTGTGTTCATTTGAGTAAAAATAGCAATTCCAAGAATATTAGCATACCGAGCTGCTGTAGAACCCTTCACAGAGATCAGCGACGGCCTCCACGTCGCGGCAAGCCGCCTTGCGGATTCTCTGGGCGGTGACTGCCTTGGGGGATTGGGCACGCAGCAAACTTTGTGGCGAACAGACAGCAAAAAACGCATCGTAAAGAGGCTCTTCCCGAATGCGGAAGCCAGTAAGCGCGGTCCACGAGTGCGAGAACGAATCTGCCAGGTTTGTGGGGCCGAAAATGGCGAAAACACGGCGGGGGTCGATACAGCCGCGAAGAAAAGCAACGACAGCGCTTGGCAGCGTCGAGCCCCACAGAAAGAGGGGGTAGTATTGGCCGGTCGAAGAGGAAAGGCAGGCGATGATGCCGTCCAGAACTGGAGTCGTGCCCGATGTGTGCCAGACGGTGAGCCAGAAGTTTTCTGCGACAATGGGGGGTGCCTTTTTTGTCATCAGGCGGAGACTGTCCTCACGGACAAAGTTGCATTCGGTGAGGACGTACTCTGCTGGCGAGCGCGATAACGCATGAGCGAGGACGATATTGGCCGATTCTTCGTGGCGGCGTAGCGTTGGGTACGCAACGGAGAGGAATTCGACTGCAGAAAGGTGCTGGAGCACTATCGGCGCTTCTTCTCCTGGCAAAGAGTGAGTGAAAGTCATCTGTGAGCAGTAGCGCACCCACAGAGCCCTTTTTAACATGGCGCGACAAAGAAAAAAGAAAAATTGCTATCACGAAACGTTCACCTGCCGTCCCTTGGCGTCATACCACACAAAGTGCGACGTAGAGACGCCAGTCCCAGTTGCACGAAAGGGAAGCTTTTGGCATAGTGACTTATTCCGTGTCCGTGCGCGCGCGGACTGAGATTAACAGCAAAGGAAGAAGCCTCGGGGAGGCGCAGCTGAGGCGATAGTGCACCGCTGTTGACTGGCGCCTAAAAACCTAAAGCCAAACAGCCAACGGAATGATAAGTAATTCACTCGACCATGCGTGCTCGCTTCCGACACAAACAGCATAGTGCGGTCAAAATTCCAGCGAAGGTGGAGAGATTCTCAGCGCCTCTTCAAATTTAGCAGCGGCGAAAATGAAAAATCTGAATGTCGCCAGATTTTGGGAGCAGACGCGTCAGTTCCTGGGCGGTAAACAGTGGTGCATGCGCGTTCTTGACGTCGTAGAAGAAGCGGCAAACAAGAGTTTTTAGAGCAGAGCACTACAGCATCAGCCAGCGGCAAAGAATGAAAATCTGAATCTCGCCAGATTTTGTGAGCAGACGCGTTAGCTGCACGTACAGTATTTGACGTAGCGGCGAACAAGAGTTTTTGTAGCATTAGCAAGAGCTGTAAGATCGACCATTCCGCCACGATATTGGAGAGACAACCCCTACATTACAACACGAGATCGTCGTCCATCATGCCGCCCCTTCTTCGCGGTATTTCGCCAGAAACGCGGCCAACCCGGGGGAGTCAATATCAGCATCAACCAGCTTCGCGATCCCGTCTCCCTGCAAAAAATTTATTCGTCGTAAGGGCAACGAAACAGACCCTAAATATAAGACCTGCCTGGGCTCGCAGCCTGATGATGGTGGGCACATCCGTCAGTCCAAGTGGCGCGGCGCGAAACGGATGGGTTGGCGCCTTCCAGCTGACCAAGGGTCAAGCAATGATAAAGTAGACGGCCGCGGACTCCCACTCACGTAGGCTTGTTTCCGACGAAGACAATTGCCGCCGATGGGCTATCGGCAGCCTCAAATGCGGTCCGAACGATGTCTTGCACTCTTCGACAGTCCTACATCAACAGTTTTAAGATAGATCGTCGCGTAGCAAAGGGCAAAATAGACCCACTCCACACCACATTTGACCATTTTCCACATCGGAATAAAATACCAAATACTCCTCTGGCCGCTGCAGCAGAGCAGCAGGGTTCGAGAGTACGTCTCCTTCTACGATGGTGAGAGGCATGCTGTGAGAATGTGACTAAGCATGAGATGTCAGCCAAAGAGGCCGAGACAACCATCAAAACCGAACTAGTGGGCTGATTGACAGATGATTGACGTGAGTCATCGAATCAGTTTGAAGTCAATCATCACCGCGATAACCAGGGGTGTTGCGTTTTTCAAAGAACTCCATTACTACGTACTTGCGGTAAGTAGATGGAGTGTGATAGTTAAGTGTGCAAGCAGGGATACGGGAGTCGACCCGCCCGGGCTCGCAGCGCGTCAGTGCAAACGACTACGCGTCAGAAAAACGTATTAAGCACCAAAAATATATAGCAGCGGGGGGGAAATCAGAAAGGTATAGGCCTGTCCTTGTGGTGGGTAGTTGTCCATAAAATGCAACGAAGGAAGTCTACGATGAAACCATAAATGCGACGTGACGAACTTCAAATCATAACAGCAGAACAAGACGAGTTTTTGCAGAGTGAGCCTTAGTAGCCGTAGCTGTTCGAGTCACTCGAACCACCACATCCTGACGAGCCACAGTCGGAAGAAGCGGGTGTTGGCTCGTTGTCAGGAATGATCGATGTGCTGGTGGGCTTGTAGCTATCGTCACCACCGCATCCCGACGAGCCACAGTCAGCAGGAGTGGGCTCGTTATCGGGAATGATGGAAGTGCTGGTAGGTTGGTTGGCGTAGGTGTTCTGTTTGTTGCTGTTACCACCACCGAGACCGTACTGCGTCTTGCAGTTGTACAAGCAGTTCGAGAGACCAGTCTCCTGAACGTTGCGCACGTTAGTCGTAGTGACGGTCGCTGTCTCGGTCCGGAGAGAAACAAATGTGGTGGTCTGGAGTTCAGTGACCTGGTCCGTCTTGGTGGCCGTGACGGTGCTGACAAAGGTCTCAGTCCTGTCGTTGACGGAGGTAGTGAGCCAAGTGGAGATGACAGTGGTCGGGCGGACGACGGTCATGGTGTCAGTCATCGTCTGGAAGTTGGTGACAGTGTCTGTCATCGTCTTCGTCTTGAAGTCCGTGACCTGGCTGGTAACAGTGTCGGTCTTGGTCTCCCGCAGGGTCTTGGTCTGTCAAGAAGAAATCGGTCAATCCAGTCAAAAACAGCGGGGTTTTCTACGAACGTTGTCGATGACGGTGGTGGACACCCAGGTCTTGACGTAGGTCGTGGGCTTGACAATGGTGTCGGTCATCGTGACGGTCATCAGATCAGTGATGGTGTGGTCAACGGTCTTTGTCGCGGTCTGGGTGTTGGTTGTTGTCCAGATACGAGTGGAGGTCATGACATCGGTCGTTGTGAGCGTGTGATCGATGGTCTTTGTCCTGTCCTTGGTCTCTGTCGATACCCAGACGCGGGTTGTGAACATGGTCTCAATCGCCGTCTTGACCTCGGTAGACACAATTGTCGAAAAGTCGGTCATGAACTTGGTCTTGGTTTCGAACATTGTGACCGTTGTCGGTTTGGCCTCCGTCATGGTCACCGTTTTGGTCTCCGTCATGGTCACCGTCTTGTCGTTGGGCTGGCAGTATCCACCATCGTAGTTGTTGTTCGACTTGCGGTTGCTAAAATGGGGAATAAGGACCAACAGTCAAAAACCGACAAGATCAATTCAACGCACATGATGATGGTCTCATAACAGCCAAAGTCGTAAGACGGAGTGTACTAGAGGGAAATCAGTATCACAAAACAGTGGGAAAGACGATGACGCACCCAGGGCTCGCGCTTGCAGGAGTTATCCGACTGCTTCGAGTACCCGTAACCACAGTTCAAGCTCTTATACCCGCCGGACATGTACGATGAGTAGGGCATCTCCTTGTAGATGTCGTCTGTCGACTGCGGCGGTTGGGTGACTTGGGACATGGGGGCGGGGTTGGATGAGGAAGGCATGGGGGTAGCACCGTTGTTGAGGGCTGAAACGGCGGGAGCTGGCACCATTGAGACTCCATTGGCAATTTGGGCGACAGCCGCGCCGGCAAGGGAAAGACCGAAAATTAATGATTTCATGGTAAGGAAAGTGGGCTGCGGGATGCTGAATATGTTTCGAAACGGAAGTCGGGCTGAATTAGCGTTCTACGCTTGCGTGGACTGTCTTGCAGTAAGGCGACAGGTGCGAGCTTGGATGGGGCGACAAGCGCCTATGATAGTCAATCAGCATCTCACCCTGGAATCATAGACCAAGCTTACAACGAAGGAAGAAAAAAAGAAAGACGGGGAGAAATGGAACGAAAGAGAGAAGGTCCAGCACCACGATGTGACAAGGAGTCTTATATGGCAACATCAGGTTGTAACTGTTTGGTAACCGGCTGGCTCGGCCTCATCAAATTGCCATTCGCATGGAACCTGACTTGCGATCCTATTGGCTCGACACAGCATACTACATCATTATGCTTCCCTACGCCCGCCTCTGCGCGCAAAATCCCCATGAACATCCAGCAATATTTTGAGCGCATTCCTTGCCCTAACACGACTCATTTCGTCCGGTTTCATGGTGAGCGCCGTCTCCACCTGTCGCGGTTTGTCCTCCCAAGGGTACTAATTGGTGAGTTAAAAAAAGGGGGAGCCCGATCAGCCAATTAGAGCGCTCTTACCGGCATCTAGTAGCTTGTCAACATCCGCAAATCGCATCGGCGCAAACGACTCACCATCTTCTTGAACATCTCATAGGACATAAGGGTAAAGGCAAACTGAGGACTGCTCCGAATAATTCGTGCAGGTCCACCTTTGAAGAGAGCACGAAACCCTTCCTCCCGATCTAACGGCGCCCAATCAGCGGCGAAGAACGGTCATCAACGACTCACAGATTTTCACAAATGCATCGCGAAGGCCCTGGTAATGTGTCTGCCCCTTACGTGCCTCCACCTGCAAGCGAGTCTTGACGACATCTATAAATAAATAACAGCAACCCTTTAGGGACCGATATCAAGATGGCGCCGTTCACTCACCTGCTGGCGTTGTTAGGTAGGCTGCAGGCATCCCACTAATGTCAAGATTCGTGTCAATACCAAAAGAAGCACGGTGGCTACGCACGCAATGCCCGCTGAGGCCAACAGCTCCAGAAACGAGAGCTCTTTGCCATTGTGACCTTCATGGAACAAGTCTTTCTTGAGATGTCCATAAGTCGGAAAGTAAATGGCGGAGAAGGGAATATCGCGTAGGAGACAGGCGCTAGCGCCCTTGTAGAGACCGAGCACACCGAGCTGACGGATGATATGGACAGCACCTTTGGGTGCAAATCCTTCTGCTTTGGCAGCCTCGCCCTGTACCTGCAAACGAATTTTCCTGTTGAAACGGTCGATGGGAATCAAATCGATGAGCAGCGCGAAGAGAACTGCCTACACAATCTCCAATGGATTCGTGAACACCTGAATGCAATCTGTCATGATTCGATGCAGCAGCGTATGGCTTTGACGTACCACTTGGCAGCCTCCCGCAGTGCCACCAGCGACCAACTCCCAGAATAATTTGATGCGTCCTGTTTCAGGGTCGGTGCTTAGTCCACGAATAGCATCGTTGACGGTGAGCTTGATCGCTTTCTCTGGTGCAACGCCCTGCCGATCGTCAATACTCGGGACACTAGTTTCCGATGTGCGTCACTTACAATCAGCTGCGGACCCAGCCCCCGATAAAAACCTAGGAATCCTTCGTTTCGGAGAATTTTTTGGGCGCAATCCATGCTATTCTTGTACAGCATTTGACCAACAACTGTACTCCGTTGATTTTGCATTCTAAACTCTAGTCAATGCTTTCCACTCTCCCGCAAAACTAGTTTCACTGACCGCGTCTACGAAACAATTCGCTCGTCGGCCACTTCTTTCAATTAACGGGCCACATACCTTAACCATGTCAATCGGGTAGACAATCGTGGCTCCAATACCGCCAGCAATACCTGAAACGTCCCTCAAACACAGTCTCAACGGATCAGACGAAAAACAAACCGCCGAGAACAAAATTGTATGCCGAGTGGAAGAAACCCTTGAGGAAGGATTTCGGAGCGGCCGCCTTCTCCGCAAACTCATCATGAGGAGCGCGCCATCTCGGATCTAGGAGTTGAGCAAAGTCGATCAAAGCCAGTCGCTGAGCGGCAAGACCACGTCCAGCAAAGTGAAACACTATTGAAGCCTCCATGGGGGTGAACAACGAATAGCGCGAGCTCGACGCTGCATAGTCCAGGAAGTCGGATTGGTCTATGCGCCCGTCCTTGGACTTCGTTGTCGCTTCTCGTATTATACGCTCGACCATATCCATTTCTAGGCCAGTTGAGAACAAAAAAACTTTGAGTAGGAAGAATGCATACCTCTAATAACATTATGGAAGGCGATAACCTCAGAGTAAGATATGCGTTGTCCGGGACTAAGGGTGCAGAGAGTTGGCAACCGTTGGATGACGGCATCGGAGAGTTTATGGCCAGCAATTTCCTGGACAGACTGGTCAGAATCGAGCTTGATGAGCAAAGAAGGGCTCCGCACTAGTATTATTTGTTTAAATTGTTCGGGTAAGATAAAACCGTCTTGGTCTTTGTCTAGATATCGGAAAGCTTGTCGGAGGCGCTCGCCCTGGAGGCCCTTCATTAATTGGGTGAATTCATGGTCTGCAAAGTCTGAGCAACATCATCGAGCCGCCTAAAGACTATGACGCACATCCTAGAACGTGGGATCCGTTCTTTTTGCCCAAGTATAGTTTGACCCAGTCGCTATGAGGTAATGTGAACGAGTGGAGCGCGTTGGCAACAGCACACCATACCAGTCAAAGTCGAACGGGATGGCATCTGCCCCAATGTTGGCGCTGAAGACGGTCTTGAACTCGTTGTAGTCGATGAAGCCAGAGTTGTCGCTGTAGAATCGGGTTATTCGATAAACGCAGTTTGCGGTTTCCGTACACATCGAAGTATTGGAACGCTATCCAATAGTCGGCGTCAGGCCGCTTGAGGAGGGTCTCAAAGACAGTGAAGTCTTCCCAGGACACCAGCCCGCGTTTCGACGTGTCTGCCACCCGGAAGAGAATGCCAAACTGTGCGCGACCGATTTTGCTGAGGTCCCCGGAGGGCGCAATAGCATTGACAAAGCTCTCGAGGTCTAGATACCTAGACAAGACGTCATGGTCCGGCGAAAAGAAAAAATGGTTCGACTCACTTTTCTCCGTTCACCACCTTTGCATTCGTCTCGAAAGTGCGCCGCCAACGTTTTAGCTCGGATTCAGGCACAGTAACCGCCTTTCGGATTACAGAGGACAGCGAGCCATTATCTGAGACAGCAGAGGCCATGTTTCGATCCGCCAATACGGCGTCTAGTCGGGGTATCGGGAAAGGTTTTGAAGCTTAGGTAATCCGTCCCACCAAAACCCGACGTACAACATTCAGTGACTATTGAACGCGACTTGGCGTGGCAGCTGGAAGCTAATACAGTACATTTCTTTGTTGGGTGCTACGGAGCGGACCAAATGCAGGGAAAAATCGGTGAGCTGATGGCCCAATTTGTCAGATACTCTCTGTGGGGGCTAAATCAATCCGGGAAATAAGATACCGAGAACCGTACCTGGAGAATGTCAGCGTGGGCAGCGACTGGGTCTATTTCTCGTGTGAAGCAATGACAATGGATCATTGGAAGACTCGTGTAAATTCCCTCAGCGGCGGGGGTACAGAGGATGCCACGGAAAGCGTCCAAGAATTGGATGGCGGAATCAGGCAGGTTCATGACGAAATGCGAGATGCGATTTCGCGGAGACCCTTCAACAAGCCTGTGTTTGTTCTTGCGCTCTTGATTTTCTTTGGTTTTGCTCTTCTTGGGCCCGGTGTAAGGAGGTAGCGGGTCGGCGATAAGACGGGTGACAGCAGTTCTAATAAATTCGCGGCCGTCTTCGCAGGACACCCTGACAACATCAGAGACCTACCCTTCATGAGAATCACCGTGTCTTGGAGCGAAACACTCGTACCCGATTGTTGTGGACATTCAAGTTCAGGTATTTAACGCTTTGCGGGTTGAGGTCGTTTGCGAGGATAGCGCAGCCTTTTTTGGCGGCAGGGATGGCAAACGGACCAACACCAGCAAAAACATCCGCAACAACGTCTTCTGGATTGAACATTTTTACGACTCGTTCATGCTCAGTATGAAGCCTCGAGTTCCAGTAAACCTGAGAGAAGTCGAATGTGAAACGACAATCAGCTTCTTGCTATAAGAACCAATGTCAGACCTCCAGTCGCATGCTGCAATGGTCTTACATGCTCTACCACGTAGTCCGGATCTCCCGCCAGAAGTTCCATCTTGAAAACACGGAATTGGCTGTCGATAGTGTTGAGTTTATTCACCACCGTCCTAATCGAGTTATTTTTCTGAGAGTCTGATAAGCTACTTGGTCGGCTAGATTAGCATTCACTCACATCTAGGATAATCTGTCCAATGAGATGTTTATAGGGTAGATATTCGTCTTTGAGATTGACATGGGCTGTTTAAACACGTTCAATAGGAAAGCCGACGCAAATCACGCCGTAAAGCCTACCGACATGGCCGGTGGACGAGAAGCCTGTGGGAGAGCGATCTCGCAGGTCCTCCGGAACAATGGATTGAATCAATTCATCTGCAGTTCGGAAAGTTTTCGAACAATCAAGCATAAAGCACTGCCAACCTGCCGTCCAATAGTCGTAACTTAGCTCTAGTGAATAGGGAACCAGTCCACTTGATTCGGCCTGCAAGAATTCCCGTGTTGGCCCAGAAATATCCTCTACCTTCGAGATGTCATTGGCGTATATTGAGAGTAACCATTCGCACCTTCGGATGTCGCTTTTAGCAAAACCAATTTCGTGTTGCCAGCAGGATCAGTAGGATCGGGTTCGATGAGGCGAAGCCGTGGCAGGTCCATGAGTACTCTGACCAGTGAGTAAGTTGGATGTCAAGACGGCTAGATGCCCGTTGTACCCGTTCATTGCAGGAGTCTTGCGGAGTTGCCCGAGTTTCGTTGCTGGAAACCGTGCTGCCAGAATAGGAATAGTTCTACGAAATAGAGAGCGGTCTAACGGCCCTGTAAGACCACTATGAACAGGAGGCGAAGCATCAATAATCATGAGTCTCCGAGTAGGTTGCGCAAGGCGAAGCATCCAGGTTTGTGACTGTGACTGACGCGTCTATCTGTCTTGAATCTGAACTACGATGACTCCGCTGCCTTCAGGCGTCCTTGAGCACATCGTTGACTCACATTGCCACCCAACCGATGCCCCAAGCATTTCTGCAGCTTCTATGCAGCAGTTGCAAATCACGGTTTGTGCCATGAGTACTCACAGCAAAGATCAGAGGTTGGCCGAGTTCTCCGTGCAAACCTTCATTTAACGGCGGCGTAGTCTCGTCCGTGAACTCGCGCAGACTTATCCCAGTAAAATCATCCCTTGCTTCGGTCAGTACAGCCAGCCGAATCGATGGTTGCTTAGTCCGCAAGACAGGACATCACCCTTGGTTCAGCCACTTCATAACAACTAATGCTGGTGTTGCGAAACATGAGCACTACCATCGGCTCTTCCAACCAACGGAAGAGTTATATCCCGCTTTCGAAGACCTTCTTCCGCATCTGCCTGAACCTGTTTTACTTGACGACATTCTTGTTGACCTGAGAAGCAACTTTGCTTCCTGCAGTTCCCCACCAATGCTCGGCGAAGTCGGCATCGATGCAATCTTCAAAGTCCCCTACGATTACCATGCAACACCACGGCGTATATCACCCTTCATGATACCGCTTGAGCGTTCGACGCATCCCTAGCAAACCATCTCACATCCTAACTTTTTGTCAAGATCAACTCACCGTCTTGGAGGCACAGATCGATATAGCTGTGGAATTTGGTGCTAGCGTCAGCTTTCACAGTGTGAAATGTCCTCAAGCAACCCTCGAATTGTTCGACAGACTGAAACGCAAACATGAAGAGAACTGGAACAACATTCGGTCTACTGAATCGCTGCCTGTCCTCTGGCAACTCACACAACTCTAGATTCGATATTCACAGCTGTTCTATGAGTCCGGAAACACTAGTGCAGCTGCAGGTTCGGCTTTTTCCTACGTTTCAATCGTTGACATCAACAAACCAGAGAAAACATGCCAACGTTTGGATGTCGGTCTCCACCACTATCAACGGCCGCTCTCGCAATCTTCGTCCCCTCATTGCCGCATGTGCGGTGGATAAACTCCTGATCGAGTCCGACTACGATGCCATTGAGCAAAGCACACCAAAATGTCTTGAGATTCTTGATATTGTGGCAGAGGTGAAGGGCTGGCACATAGAGACAGACTGGGATGACGGAGACGAAAACGGGGCGGTCCATCGATTGGAGGCGAACTGGAAGGTATTCTCCGCTACCCAAACACGTACGACAGAATAATGATAATGCAAACCCCGATGACCACTCCCATTATTATCGAGTCCCTCCTTCTCCTCGACTTGATCATCGAGACAAGGTTGTTGATGCCAGGCATCGTGTCTGCTTAACTTGAGCAAAGAATCTAAGATGGTTTTAATAAACGCACTGAGGACACCCTGCATCCGGGTATTAATGCCCGCCAGAGAGCCCCGTTGCCGACCAAACTCCGCGCGTGTCTCGTAGGCCTGCCTAAGGCCAAACATTAGAGAAAAGAATGAAGTGTTATTTGAGACGCACTCAATCATTGTGTCCGTCATGGAATGCGAACTATCAATTCGGCCCCGTTCAGCCAGCAACGAATCTGCCGCAGTCGACTTATATGCCCTGCTGGGTATGAGTATAGTCGCAGATGACGAGGAATATGGCCCCACTCAATGTCGTTCCTGACGCCACTCAGCAGGTTTGCGTGGTCCAACGCATTCTTCACACTAGCCTGCCCACGTATATCAGTGAAATGGAATGCGAAGCCAACAGTACATCCCACACCTTGGTCCTCTTCAGTTCCCGCATATTGTCTCTGAATATTTCACCATGATGCTGGATTGTTCGGAGCATTGACGCAGAGACGGTGTCGGGCTCGTTTGACAACACGGCCAGTTGCTCGTTTGTCTCCTCCAGCTTTGAAATCCGTCAAGTCAAATAAGCGGTCAGAGTAAGACCGCATGCCTTCTCGAGTAAGTCGTCAAGCTCTAGTTCCATGTCCTTCCACCTCTCTGAAGAGCCTGACGCTTCCACGTCATCGCCATGTCGAGAAATGGTAGACACCAGTTGAGAGTAAGAGGTAAGCTTAGTGTAGAATAGGTTTTCGAGAGTTCGACATTGCCGGTGCAGCTGATCGTAGGAGTTCATGGAAGAAATGTGGACACGGTCACGTTGACACGAGGCAAGCCAAATTTACAAGTACAAGCTAAGTACATGGACCATTTGCAATAAGAATACTAGAAGCCTAACCAACTCTTTGCTGTTTGTTGCGCAGCTATCCTTTTCGCCTGACACATTATCAGTTAAACCAACTAGACGCCAGAAATATCATTTCCACCCACCTGGCTCGCCATGTTTTTGCTGCCTTCCTCCAAGGCATTGAAACGCTCTTCCAGATCATTCAGCATTTGCCCTCTCTCGCCCATCGCAGACTGAAGCCTCGAGTACAAGCTATCCTGGACGCCAGCTGCAGACTTGGCCACTGATGCCGCGTCGTTGGCTTGTGCTTTCGGCGGGGCTGGCTTTTGCGGTATCGGACGATCAGGACCGCCAACTGCAAACACAACATTAACAGCAATACACCCAGACTCCTCTGAACTTACGCAAGATATCAAGCTGGTCGCCAGTCATTGATTGACCGGACTTGAACCACGAACTGAAGAGTGATGTCGGTCCAAGAGAAACAGGCTGTGGCTGAGGCGGGATCGTTGGTTTAGTCGACAAAAACTCCAGATTGGGTGGCAGGTAAGCCCTACGGAAATTGAAAAGCGTGCCATATGTCATTACTTCGACTTTTCCGGTATTTTTGTTTGCAGTGTAGGAAACCCAATCACCAGTGTGATCACAAGAAACTGACCTGATGAAGATGAGCGCATCGATGAGCCTGGAACCAGCCGTAAACTTAAGTAACCAATCTTACGTGGAATCTCGGGTTGGTGCCGCAAAGGTACCTAAAAGGTCTAGATTTGGGAGTGAATACGCAAGAACCTCTTGATGGTCGGTGAATGCAACAAGTGCTTGAGATCCTATGAGAAGATATGAGTGGATGTAGTCTAATTGACTTCAAAGAATCGCACCCATTTTCTCAACAACCTGAACACAAGTTACTGTGGCGCCGCCCTTTGTCGGCCATTCAACCTTGCTGATTCGCGAACCACAAAGGTTGGCGATGCATCTTGCTCCTTTGGCACCCGCACTGACAAGAATGCAGTTGGCGTCGGGGGCGGTGGGATTGAAGGACTGTGCTAGGCGTTCTCGGGTCGCATGCAAAATGTTTCCCTTCTTGGCGTCCAAAATGAATGTTCCTCCGGGGATGGGATGCGGTGCGCCATCTACCTTCTTGATCTCCTGTTCAACCTGCCAAACATTACTTGGCCGAGATAGAGTAAGCAGCTCTGTTGCTCCAGAAGCATATCCAACGAGCAATCGAACGCGGTTTTGAGGATCTACAACGAGGTTATCAGTGGACGCGTTAGTAATGGGCGACAAACTTGCCGTTGTCTGCAGTCGAGACATTCCAGTGTAATTCCACAATTGGGTTTGCTTCCGCTGCGTGAATATGTAACGACGACATCCGGGCTTTCTTCTTGTCGTGGCCACGGCGTAAAATGACACGCGGACCTCTCATGTCAACCACAATCAAAGACTCTGCATGGGCTACAGCCAAAAAACCTGCAGATCAGGTATAAGCATATGGCCCGCAAAATAATCAATCTCACTGGCCGATGTCGGAGATAGCGCGCGCCGAAACTGGTTTATTTCCTTTCAGGAGAAAATACGGAGCATACCGCGACCCCTCCGAAGTCAAGACATGATCGAGCAGCACAAGGTCATCCTCGACGTCTTCATGTGATCCTGGCACGGGCGCTGAGCCGGACTTGAGATGGTAAACAACTAGTTCGCCAGAAACGAACTGCACAAGACATTCGAGTGACTGAGGTGCGAAATGGACTGACTGGACTATCGCTCGTTCCACGAAGTCCCGTGATGTCTGCCTGACAACGGAGGCGTCAGTCAGCGCAGGTTTAAGGTCAATGGTAAGACCAGGAAGCGGTTTGGGGAAGTGATTCTGGATTGGAGTATCGGATGTTACTAAGAGTTGAGCACTTAGATCAAGGAATTGGATTGCGGCAGAGGGATCGCGGTGAAATGTGATCAGAATCCGAGGTGATTGAAACTGCAACGTCTTAAGCGAGGTAATGGACAAAATAATGAATATAGTCACCTTCGCTAGCTTGATTTCCCTCTCGAGGGAATCGTCGTTCCAAGCAGCACCACCGTTCAACGGAAGGGATAAATCGGTGTTTCCTTCTCCAATGAAGGCTTCATATGCATCACGATCAAGACTACAAAGTTGGAGGTGCATCAACCCGGTGGTTCCAAACGACAGTGGTGACGGGAGTGCGATGACACGAGGGTCATCGTTCAAGGTCATATCTTTAAGGATGTCTGCAAGATCGTCTTCCACAGCCTGAGAGGCTGACTTGGTGTCGGGATCGTCTTGATCCGTCGGAGGGTCATTAGACGATAAGAAAGCAGGCGGAGGAAATTGGCGCGTCTCCAATGTCCTCAGGTCACCAGCAGACTCCAGCGATATTATGATGGCAATTGGATCGTGTTGATTTGCGAAATGAGGACTATTGCGGGGAACAAGGAAAAAGTCTTGAGCGATGCTGGGTGTCGAATAGAAAAAGTCCATAGTAGGGATAAGGGAAGCCTGCATAGCAGTACGAATGAAAGGATGCAGTGATGTGTTGGATGGAATGGGGGTGGGAGGGTCGCTAGGGTTGAAAGCAGGGAGCCATTGGACTGTAAGTCCGATAGGTTCTCCCGGAGCCATTAACAAGCCGCCAAGAATGGTTAACGCAGTTTTGCCCCCACGAGGATCACTCGAATCGGAGAAGGAAGACCAAGCGAGCTTGTAGATGGGCTCGCGCTCGGGACCTTGCTCATGCTTCTGTTCCAGAGCCTCAATGTCTACTTTGTCGACATCGACAGAATCCAACGTTCGAACCAGCACTGGCTGGTCTTCGTCTTCAATTGCCCAGAAAGCGATGCAACCGTCTGAATAGCCAACAGCGAAATAATGGCCAGCAGGATGGAGAGCTAAACTGGTTACTGTTGGCCTACGATGTTGCATGATATCCTGATAGATGTGTTGAAGCGAATTTCAGACGAAGCTAGAGGAGACACCAACAGGATGGCCATAGCCAGAACCCCCAGGCGAGCCCCCCGGAAGAATAAGCTCATATGCGCGGAGGGTGTTGCGCTGGGTCTGAAGTGCAATGAAAATGCTGAAACTATTCCGCTCCAGGTCGACTGACCAGATCGGACAATATCACCCCACCTGCCCAGGAGGTTCAAAAGCTCTTCAATAAGCATCAACTATTGACGGACCTGCATATGCCACAAATAAAAGATTCAGATCCCGCGGATGGGCGACAACGTCGACTGGAAAACCACTGGACGCGTTAGTTATAAGAGTCTATTCCGGGAAAGTGACCACTTACGAGCCCGGGGTTGCAGGGTCCACTCGTGTTGCCATAGTCTTCTCCTCGTACAGCGACCAGAGGTTGGGTGTCCGATATTCTGATTTGCGAAGACAGAGTAGATCGTATGTTCGAACCTCCCCTGATTCCAGAGCAACAAATGCCTGGGCACGCGTTAATGTTTGAGAGCGAGAGAGACTGAGTGACCGCACATGAGAATGGGAGGGAGAAACCGTTAAAGAACTAAGAAGTCTTCAGCTTAGAATCCATAATGCCAAGACACACACGTCGCATTATCGAAACGCGCCGAAGCAACAAGCTTGGGTCTGCCAAACACAGCAAGGTCCCATATATGCAGCTGGCTATTCCCGCCTGAGAGATGCGTGAGGCAAACGCGAAAGAAATTCGACCACCACATACCGAGACAGACGAGTTGGAAGGTGGCGGAAGAAAAGTGCACGAATCGCACGGGTGTGGGTTCTGGAAGGAGAAGCTTGACTTCTACGGAGGGACCACCAAAGACGTGGATGCAGCCAATCGCCGTCCCTTGACGGTCTCAGTGCCTATACCAGTCAATGTCTCGCAATTACCGACGGCAAGGAGGCCAGCGATGGGTTCAATCGCGACAGCGGTGACTTTAAGCGGATATTCGAATGTTCTGAGCTCGGCCACCTTCCAATCGGGCGTGTCTTTGAGGTCAGACGAAAAATCGGCGTATACAGTGTGTTTGAACATGATGGTCGTAGATGGAACACGAAAAGGGTTTGTTCACGGTGATTAGATAATTGATGGTGATTTAAATCACGAGACTTATGAACTTCACGCGTCTACGCACACCAAGGGTTTACAGTAACCAGAATCCCATTGGGTGACAGAATCCACAGAGAAAAAATAGGGCATACTTTTAGCAACACTCATGGTTAATCTGGAGTCCGGGTCCGAGAGGAAACTCACCTAGAGCTTACATAAAGATTCAACTCGCGTTACTTCCAAAAACGGAAGCTGACATAATGTGCCTAGATAGAACGTGATATTGTACAAATCAAGATAAATATGAACTAGTCTCATAACTCTCTCGACACTGGCCTGCCTGTCGTCGTCGAGCCCTTTATCCTGCCCAGCCAGCTCCGTTTCGCCTTCGCAGTCGAATCTAGTCGTGGACTATTGGTGACATCAGCGATATGTGTCGCCGGTCTTGATCCTATTCGGGGCGACGGGTCTGCTCGCCGAACAGGAGTAAATCCACTACCAGGGTGAGCGCGTCGTACTCTCGGTGTGCCATCATCCGGAAGGCTGTCGACAGTGAACCCCTGCGTCGGCACATGTATATTCTCAAAGTCGTCAGGTGCTCGTCGCTTCTGGCCCAATACTGGCGCAGGAGGTGAAGGCGGAACGAAAACTGGCCTCCGTTCTGGCGTCTTCACTCGGGGTACCATGGGCTCTGGAGTCTTTGCGCGAAATACCGTCGGGATAGATTTCCTTTCTGGGGTTTTTGGCCGTGGTATTATCGAACCAGATGCAACACGACTACGAGCTGGACTGCGGGGGATATGCGTAGGAATAGGCGGAACCGGTGGGACTGTCGGCATAGACATCATCGAAGAAACGCTCGGGAGTGATGATATTGAGGGAGCGGTAGAGGCAATGGAGGAAAATGTATTCGTGCGTTGTCGAGGAGGGGCCATCATGGGTGGTGACTCTCGCGCAGCTTTAGCAGCATCAACCTTGGCCTGCAGCTTCTGAATTTTCCGCGTTAAGCTTTCCACCTTTTCTGATAATTTTTTGTTGACCGTCAGAATCCTAGAAAAAAGAATGTTAGAAAATGTCCAGAACATCTGTTTACACGTACTCAATGGCTCGCTCATCATACTCCTCGAGCTCTGCATTCTTCCTCTTCAGCAAATCGTCCTTCTCCCGATTGCTCTCTTCCAAATCGACAACCATGGCTTCCATGTCCGGTTGCGCTTGTAAGGCAGCAACTTGACGTTGAAGTTCTGATATTTCACGACGATGTTGAGGTCCTTGCAAGCTTAATTCGAATTCGGCGGCCTTGCAGGCTTGGTCAACGCGCGAGAACTGAACCTTGAGTTGCTCGATTTCTGCAGCCAAGTTGGCAACGGTCGATTCCCTGCGATACATAGTTGGCATTGATTCAAGGGAACAAAACAAGAACACACCTTTCTTTTACTTGGCCTTCGAGATGCCGTTGGAGGGACAACATGCGTTGTTTCTCTGCCTGAATGAGAGTGACTTCCTCTTGCAGTGATCCTTTCTCTTCTTGTGAAGCGTCCAGGTCCAGTCGAGTTCGGGCAAGCTCAGCCGAAGTGTCGGAAAGCTCTTGCTTTATGTCCTCCAAGATGCCCTCTGCGATTTCGCGTTCACCGTCCGCTTGTTGAATGGATTCCTCCAGTCTCATTTTCTCCTCCGCACGTAGCTCCATTTCCTGCTGTACCTGGTCTCGCAAGGCATCTGCTTCTTCGCTTAACGCATCACATCGCGTCGTTTGCTCCTCGAGTTGGGCGTCAAGCTCAGCCACACGGTCTTCCAACTCTTCCAGGCGTGTTTGAGAGGCTTCGCCAGTCTCGCGAGTTTCGGTCAATTGCTTGACAAGTTGCTGATGTACGCCATCCAAAGTCTGGTGGGCAGCGCGGGCGTTCTCGGATTCGACAACAGCGGAAGAAAGTTGATTTTGGAGCTCCTTCAGAGCCGCAACATGTTCTTCTCCCAGTCGAGCTAGCTCTAGCTTGAAGTTGCGGGCCTCTTCTGCAGCACTTCCAGCAGCATCCTCGAGTTCTTGTTTGGAATTAGTGGAATCCGCTAGGGCTTGGCGATAATTGGCTTCTGCAGCATCACATCGCGCTCGTGTTTCTTCCAGCGAGCTGTTCGCCTCCACAATCTGCCTCTGAAGATTGCCTAGTTCCTCTACATGGGCGACACGCAGCTGCGCGATTTCGCCTTCCAGATCGTTGTCAGCAATCATTTGGTCTTTCAGAGAAAGTTGCTCGTTCAAACGGTTGACATCGCTTTGGAGTCGCTTGCACTCCTGTTCCGCCGCTTCCCATGTTGTTTGGAGATGGGAAATTTGATCAGCTGCAACTTCTTCAGCGTGTCGCCTAGAAGCACGTGATCGCGACATTGCGTCCACCACGACGCCGACCATGGCTTCCACTGCACTGTCTGCCTTGAATAGTCGGGTTTCGACTGCCTCCATCTCAATCTCAAGTTCATCCACCCGGCCAACCGCAACATCTCTTGCATGACGAGCATCCGCACAATCTTCCACCATCGCATCTTTCTGGGCAGCAAGCAATTCCAGTTCGGATGTCAACTCGACAAGACGCTCTTCCTGGAGTTTCATGTTTGTAACGATTCTATCGTTATCGTGCTGAAGAATTCCAACAAGCTCTGTTCGCCGCAAGACGCGTTGCTTCTGGTCTTCGAGTTGTTGGCGTAACGCTTGTGTTGCAGCATTCACGGTCATTGACGACAACTGGTGGAATTGAAGCTCGCTATAACGCGTTTCGCCTTCCGTGATTTCGCGTTTTGCTACCTCGACGTCCCTACTGAGGTTCGTGACTTGGAGGTTGAGGGAATCGCGTTCGGTGGTAATGTCGTCTAATGCACGTGACAAGTCGGTTATTTGGGATTCCAGGTGCATTAGACGGTCTTGTGTTGTATTGTCGTCGAACATCAATTGTCGGGTATTCAACTCGCTGGAGTGCCTCCGAGAAGGCGGGAAGTCAAGGTCAGTGTCCCGAAGCCGTCCACGGGCACCTTCCGAAGATGTTGAGGCGTTAAGGAATTGTTGGGCAGTAACTCCCATCTGCGAGCGCAAGTGCTCAATAACAATGGCCGAGGCCATAGCTGCACGGCCCACTCGGCGTATCTCTTCATTCTTCTCAGCGAGAATAGCCAGTTTGTCAGCGGTCGACCTCTCCAGTCGCTCCTGTAGCGAAAGTATCTCGGCTGGGAGCTCCGACTCCATTGCTTCCCGTTCAAGTGACGCGATGCGGGAGAGAAAGGCCTCATCGTTGAACCTGACTTCGACTTCTCTGAACTCAATATGTCTGCGAAGTTGATCCCGTTCGCCCCGAAGACGCGTTGCGGTTTCCAAGAGACGCTCAACCTCGTTAACAAGTTTTTGTTCGTTGGGTGTACTAGCAGGGACATCAGCCTGAAATTTAAGTGCGAAACAGTAGCACACCTTTTCTGAGCGGTTGAAGCCCCGTTGTCACGTATGACTGCTGAAAGCTCTGTGTTCTGAGCCCGCAGAGCGCCGATTTCGTCCAATGCCTCTTCCCTCTCCCGAATCAACACGATGTTGTCTTCCTCTAACTGCAATGCTCGTTTGGAAGTTTCCGACAGCTGCTGTTGTAAACGGGCTTGTGTTCGTGGGGCCTCGCCTAGCAATTTCTCTAATGCGGCAATCTTGGCCTCGTCTTCATCGATGCGTTGAATGAGTTCAGCCTCTCGAGACTCCCCTTGTTGATCTCGAAGGAAACCAAGTTCCTCTTCTTTGTCACGCAACTCTGCCCGGAGCTCGTTGACTTGCGACATGAACCGTTTATCCGCGGCCACTTTCTCGTTCTCAACGCGAACGAGGTTTGTCTGCGTTTGGGCAAGCTTTGCGCTAGTTGCTCGTATTTCGGCGTCCTTCTGAGTTAATGAGGCTCTTGTTTCTTGCAACTCTCGCTCCAGTGTGCTTATTCGAGTGTCGGAAACGGAAGATGATCGACGACGGGATGGGGCACGGGACCTAGCGGGGGTGTTGGTTGGTGGGGGTTCGCGTAGGTTGACTTCAAGCTCTCTAATGCGGTTCTCCAATGTTGCCTTCTCCTTCTCGAGTTTCAGTGTCCGTGCGTTGGTGGTGGTGGACGTATGCGAAATAGTCTCAAGGTTGAGTTCAAGCCCCCGCATGTCAAGCTCCTTCTCCTTCAGCTTCTCTTGCGCGGAGACCAGCGCCGACACCGCATTCTGAGATGCAAGTTTCTCAGTTTGGAGGTCTTCTCTGCATTTGGTTAGAATGGCCTCCAAGTTGATCAGGTTCGTAGTTTCTTGGTTTAGCTGTCGAGCTCAATGAGCCATTTGCCAAGTGGCAGAGAGGCACAGCTCACGCACTTTGTTCTGGGTTTCGTTGAGGGTGCTCCTAGTTTCGTCGAGTTCTGCTGTGCGTCGGAGGAGTTCTGTCTGTTTGGCGGCGAGTTGTGAATCTAAAAGGACTGTTGAGTGGTTGATTCGGGATAAGCACTAGTGGCGAGTACAACCTTTGGTGGCAAGCTGGTTCTTGAGGAGATGCGTGTTGTCTTCCGGGGACCCTGACCAGTTCATGGCGCGGGGGGGGGGGCGCGTCAAGGCGTGGAATCAACAAAAACAACGCGTGTTGGGCGTGATCGCAAGAGGCGTGATTGGTTGATTGATGTGACGTCACACCTGGTGACTTTCGCCTCGCCGGGCCTTTTTTTGCTAACGAGCCCAGCCGACGAAGAAGGACTTCGCTGGTCGCACGGCAAATGAAGTAAAAGCGACCGCCGCCGAAGGAAAACAATGAAAACACCGTCATAGAGAAGGCCAGAGTATCTTCCCCGTTGTTGCCGCCGTTGCCGACTGTGGAGCATCGATTAATGACGCATTTTCCGCGATAACACGTTTGTTGAAGAGGGTATAGAGGACGGGCTTGGAGTGTACCGGGAGCATTTATAAATTGGCTTTGCCCAGTGGATGTGCTCGATTAGTCTTTGTGGGCGTCGACATCCCATAAGCAGCAGCACTTCGCCACATGCAAACCCTAAAATCCAGCTATGACATCATCATACCTCGCTTAGATACGACTTCCTGAATCGGCCACAGCCCTCGACTTTTCGTCCACGCGCAACGGTATAAGAGTCACGCCATTTTCTTTACTCGTCTTCAACACGTCCTCCTCCTCTCTCGCTATCTCATCTTAGCTACAACTCATGTCGCCCTCTGCCAACGGCACGAACGGCGTTGCCGCATCTGCTTCTGGTGCCCCTTCACGAGTAACGCTCTCGCTTGGCCATCTTCCAAGCAAGAAGGACATTAAGGCTCCCTGGCCTCGTACTCCCACTCGCGTCAGTTTTTATCCTTAGCGACCTCTACTCGTGTTGAAATGTTCTCTAGGTTGACCCCAATAACCCACCTTGGCCAGCGTACCGTGGCTACCATGAATACTCTTTTGCCCATGCGACAATGTCCGCTCGTCTCCCTACCATTCTTGGAAAAGCTATCGAAGACACCACTCGCACCCTCAACGAGCAAAGTGACGAAGAAAAAGTTGTCGACCTTGTCGCCTGCATCGAGCGAATGGCAGAGCTCATGACCGATCTCAGCGGGAACCACAAACTCCGTCCAGTCATCGACGACGACGAAGCCGATGTTGCGCTGTGGAACAAAGAGATTGCAAAATATTTCCAGGGTAAAGATTTTATGAATGCCCCGTGGTTGTTCGCCGAGGCGTACAAATATCGCCGTCTGCACGAGTGTTTCAGTACCAGCAAGGTGGGTCGAATTTCCAGAAAAAAGTAACCAGCTCTTCTTATAACCATACTCTAGTTCTGGAAAGAATACGACGTTTTCTACCGCCAAAAATGCGACACCTTTTCGCGTTCGTCCGAGGCCGTTTTTGAGCTTTCCATGCGCTTTGCCGAGCCGTTCAAGATCGACAGCAGTCTTTCCGCGGCCGAAAAGCTTGAAGCGGAGCGACTGATGTTCCTGGAACTCACACAAGTCTGCCTCTGGGGCAACTCGACCGACCTTTCGCTTCTTATCAACATGACAGAGGAGCAAATCAAAGCTCTTCAATCGACCGGTGGTGATCATCTCGCTGCGACGGAAAAGAACATTCTCGGAAACGATCTTGGCCGGTTGTGGGAATCCGTGAAAGAGGTCCGTTCCAAGACCGGTGGTCGTATAGACTTTGTTCTCGACAATGCGGGCTTTGAGCTCTACTGCGATTGCGTTTATGGTCCGTCAAACATCTTGTTGAGCACCCTGGTATAACCTTTTGCACAGCCGATTTCCTGCTCCAAAGTGGACTTGCGACGCAAATCCGATTCCATGGCAAACGTTTCGCGTGGTTCGTGTCCGACGTAACGAAGAAAGACTGGAATTGGCTCCTCAACACGATGGTGTATGGTCAATTGTTCCCTAATGCGACCGATGTCGAACTCGAGTCGCTGAGACGACTAGGGCAACGCTGGAAGGTATGTGATGACTTTCTTTTGCCCATTTGATGTTGAACTCTTCGTAGCAATACGAAAAGGAGGGAAAGTGGGTATACGAGCAGCATCCCTTCTGGTGCACAGGCTATACTTTCTGGGACCTCCACTCCGAAGCCCCCGATCTGTTCCTCCATCTTTCGCGCTCAGATCTTGTCTTCTTCAAGGGCGATCTAAACCACCGAAAATTGACGTACGATTGCGCCGCCCCTGCTAGCACTCCGTTTGACATCGCTATTGGACCGATGGCAAGTTCTGCCGGTGCACCAAAAGTCGTTAGTTTGCGGACTATTAAGAGTGATGTTGTGGTTGGACTTGGCTCCGAGGGCGACGAGACAGCAGAGCGCTTGGACAAAGAGGAGCCCGGATGGAAGATTAGTGGGAAATACGTGGGTTTCGTTCTATGCTTCCAAACTTCTAGAAGTGTTGACGATTTTCCTTCCAGGCTGTTGTTCTCCTGTCAGAGGGTCGCCCTGGCGAAAAGGTTCGCTTCGCATAGACATTGCCCTCAATTCTTGCACGATGATGACGATTCGAGTTGAACTTGCGATAGTACGCGCAAGGATGCCAGTGACAATTAATAGAAAGTAGCAACACGCTGTACAACAGAGTAACATAGACGAGTATAATGATGAGAAGACCTTATCTGAGGAGGGAGCATGTGGAGAGGTATGGCATGTTGTTGTCGTCGAGGCCTATGAGGGCTGAGAGTGTTACGGTGTGACAATTTGCATCGTGATCATGAACGTCCATCACGATGCTCGAAAATTCAATGGTGCTGCGACTGTGAAGCTGGACTGCAATATTGCCCTCAACAGCCTCCATATCATCCCTCCTGTTAATCCTAATGGTAGAACATTCAACAGAGGTACCTCGGTAACAAATCATCGAGACTCTTTTCCTCGACTTGGTTTACGGATCCTCACAGGCCGTGAAAGCGTGGCATCTTTGAACTGCGGGCCAGGCTTTCATTCTGTCGATAATCAGGTTCTTCGGGTCCGCATTAACGTTCATCAACATGATAGTCCATTCCAACTACACTGTCTCTCGACACTCGACTGTCATTGGTGTTCACAAAGACTGGTAGTCTATCCAATGTTAGAACCGTCAAAATTCAAGCCCCTTACAATCCGCGGCCCCCTTCACAATCAGTCCTCGAACAAACGCGAGGCAGGCTTCGCTGTCGGCCATAAGCTTCCGCCAGATGGTGTCGCAGCCACTGTGAATATTCTGGATCTTCAAAACAGTCCCGGCGACCAAGAAATATTGGCCAAGCGCTCAACGGACTTTCTGGCCGATGATTATTAGTCGAGATTTCTTGTGGCGCTATTTCGCGGCTTAACAACGGAAGGCAAGTTTTTATATTGAACTTTGCTTCCTCCGCTCACGAGGACTCGAGGTCGGACTTCGCCGCCATGTTGAGCATGCCTGTCACAAATCCAAAGTGCCGGCAATCTGACTAGAAATCTTACTGTCTATTATGCTCGCTGTCGATCTCCCATTTTGGTTTAGCTCGTTCAAAATATTTGCCAGACACCCTCTTCGACCTTGCATGGTGCAATGTTGCATTCAGTGTTTGTTGACCCGAGTCGAACTTATCTACGAATGGACATCGATCATCGCCGTCAACCAGATGGGCTTCTTACTCAGCTACGCTTCCTTGCTTCTTCTATTGCCCAAAATCGCATCTAATCCTCACGATGGGCCACCAAACGACACGGGACTCCCGCTTGTCAACCAAATTAGAGAGCGAGCACATCGTCTGCGGCTGTGCAACTGTCAAAGGACAGTTATATCTTCCGACCATCACCTCCATGTGAATGTTGCAGCTGTTGTCAACTTCGTTGAGCGGGAACGTCTGCGACGCCATTGTCGCTGAACGTGGCGAATGTGGTGCTACAAATACGACAGTCCTCGTCAAGAAACTCTCATATCAAACAATATGGTACATACCAACAAGCAGGTCTTCTCAAAGCATATCCTTCCGTCGGACGCGCAACTATGTGGGAAGATCTCTCCCAACAAGAACCAGCAAGAACCTCTCGAGTGCAAGTCTCTGTGTTCATGTGTTCAGGTGCCTGTAAGGAAGCAAGATCGCTTTCTTTGGAAGATTCTATTGGCTTTGCTTTTTCCAATGTTCTACTGAAGGTCGAGCCATTCACGCTTCCTCATTTCTCCGAGTTCAATAGTCGGACTCGACCCCGCGGCACAGCGACCGCGTGCTTCATGCCCTGGCTTCCTTCCTCCCATCGTTGATCCTTCTTCGCAAACAATTGGCATTCCGCAACGCGCAAGACTTCGTTCGACATTTCCATCATCTACGCCTGACCACTACAGCTATAAAATCTCCACTTATTCTCTCCAAAATGCACCGGCTCGCCCAGGTTCATCCAGCTTCAGCATGCTCGTCTTCACCCTGCTTCCCGCTGTCCTCCTCGCTCTTCGAGTCGCTGCAAGCCCCGTGTTGGTGCAAGACAACTTGATCACTTTGCCCATATCACGTCGCTTCAACTTCACTGGTTCTGCGAACATCGTCCAGGCTGACCTTGGTCGTATCAAATCGATCAGGACAGGCAAGGCAGCTGGTGCTCAAGCTCGGGCTGTTATTTCGGAGCCCATATCCAATCAGGTTTGCATCCACAACGCGCGGTGTTATAGCTGCTCACCCACTTTCATAGGTCGTCACTTACATCGCGTCTGTTGGTGTTGGTAGCCCAGCTACAACTTGTGAGCGTTTATCTTATCGAATGTATCACGTGATATAATATTTTGGGCAGACGACCTCATCGTTGACACGGGCAGCTCGTATGGTCTTCTTTCAGCTGTCTCTACGAAGAGTTGATCTTGACGATAGGAATACCTGGATCGGAGCCGGAACATCATACGTCCGCACCCCCACCTCAACCCAGACAATCAACACGGTTGTAAGTACATTCCTAGACATCCCAACAATTTCTCAACGACCTGCAGTCTGTCTCCTATGGCAGCGGTAGTTTCTCTGGCACAGAATATACCGATACAGTGACACTTGCCCCCGGATTGGTCATCCCTAACCAATCCATCGGTGTTGCTTCTCGTTCTTCTGGCTTTTCGGGCACCGATGGGATTCTCGGGTACGCAAATTTAATATCTGCCACTCACACAACATACTCATGTCATCCAGCCTCGGACCCGTCGCGCTGACAGTTGGAACCCTCACCAATGCTCGAACCCAAAGGTGAGTATATTGTCCCACGCTTCCACCAATCGACATTGACGTCTATCTTCCCAAGCGTCCCCACGGTCACGGACAACTTGTTCACCCAGGGTACCATCAACGCCAACTCTATTGGCATCTCGTTCCAGCCCACGACTTCGTTGGAAGTCACCAACGGCGAAATAACTTTCGGCGGTACCGATCCTTCGCGCTTTACTGGCTCGATCACTTTCACGTATGTGTTCCCGTGTCCAATAGCTTTCAGCTCAAGTTGGCCCAGCCCTATCACGAGCACCTCCCCTGCGAGCCTGTACTGGGGAATTAACCAAAGCATCACCTGTATGTCCGAGTACAAGTCGGATTCTAGATGTGCTGAACTTTATTCCTATAGATGGTGGGACGACGATCCTGTCTAGCACCGCCGGCATTGTTGATACTGGAACCACCCTCATCTATATCGCCACAAACGCGTACGATAAGCTAACATCCTATCACGCACATTTAATCTTTTCCCCAGCTTCACCGCCTACCAGCGCGCGACTGGTGCCGTTGCGGACAACAACACTGGCCTGCTCCGCCTCACTTCTTCACAGTTTGCTGCTTTGAAGAACCTCAACTTTGTCATTGGTGGCGTATGTCCAAGATATATTCCTCTCTGCATTTGTACTGAATTTTCGCCTAGACCACCTTTGCTCTGACCCCCAACGCGCAAATCTGGCCACGGCAAGTGCAGATTTCACTTGATCGAAGCAACGCTAAGCCCTATTTAGCTCCCTTAACACTGCCATTGGTGGCTCGGCCAGCAGCATCTACCTCATTGTCGCCGACTGGGGTACTCCCTCAGGCCAGGGTTTGGACTTCATCAATGGGTATATGCTTGTCTTTTGACTAGGATTGAACCGTTTTAACGCTTTCTTTTCTTCAGCTATGCCTTCCTCGAGCGCTTCTACTCTGTCTACGACACTGCCAACAAGCGCGTCGGTATTGCGACCACTCCCTTCACCACCGCGACCACAAACTGAGTTATACCCTGAGGGATTCGAGTCTTGGGATGTATTTTATACTGTTGTATGTAGCCAGCTTCGTTCTTCTGCAAAGTTCCATTGCAAATCATACCCTCTGATGAGTATTGAGATCAGTGAGCAATTGATCGATCAGTGATACGATCAACAGGCCTTTTCCTTGAGGCAGTCAGCACGCTAGGCGACTACGTGCCCTTTGGGATTTAAAGAGCTCCGGATTACACCCGTTTTCCTCGCGAGTCTTTAACTGGACTTGCATTAATCGACGTCTGGTCCACAGTTTGTGCTGCCGTTGGGACAAGGCCTCCCGACTCGCAGCTTCTACCCACCAGCGAGGTCAATCGTATTGTCTGCGTTAGGCAGTTTCGAATACATTACCTCTGCCGATCTACCCATCCGCCTTGACGACGACCCTCCAAAGCTCAAACCAGTCGAGCTTGTTTTCCCTCCCCAACCGCCTCCACGTCGCTCTAAACTTGCGCGTTTCCTCCTCCGACTTGTTACACGACGGCCACGTAGCAGCCCGTCATATCAAGTGTCAATCAGCCCGCTAGACAGTGGCAAAGCATCCAGTCAAACCCCGACACAATCGTCCGCTCCGGTGGTCTACATTCGCGTAGAACCTCGCGAGCTCACTGATTCCACTACATCCTCCCTCCTCGAAACACCCACAGAGACCCGGATCATCGACAAATTCCCTCTTCCGCCTTGTACGTCTCTGACTTGAGTCATTTTTCCATTTCTGAAGCCATCTAGCTGTGCATTTCTCGACAGAAGATAAGGAGAACCAACCCGTAATATATCTGCTGCATCCACTTCGTTATTCCTCACCCCCCGCTCATAGTTCCACCCATACCAACACCTCCAACCGTTATCTGACCGATCTGCATCGGCAGCGACACCCCTTTCTCCCTCGACCAATCTTCCTCCGAACTTGGTCCCGTTTCCCTCCTACAGCAACAGCAACGACAGTTCGACGAATTATCAACACCAACAACCACGATTTACAATGGATTACACCGGAAAGCAAGGCGCAGAAGTAATCGACTTCGGCGGTGAAGTCGACTACTCGAATACTCAGTGGTTCCAAGACCGGCCCGCGAAGCAAGTGCGTCTGTTTCTTGCTTAAACTATATATAGGCTCATGACTGTGTAGCCCTCCGCTCAAGCTATGGGTGCACCGTATGTCCCACCACCAGGGGTCATAGAGCAGAACGAGTCTTTCGAATTCGCGATGAGTGCAGCGCCGAACGTGCTATATGCTCGCTATAAACAATACGGACAGGTGCTTGACCTTGCTTTTTCCTTTCATCAACTACTAAACAAAACTCCGTATTAGCTTGGCGTTCTCGCCTGGTGTTCTGAGTTTGGGGAGCTTATTGACCACCTGAAAGAACTCGGCTTTCAGGGGAATATGTTTGTCACGACACGAACGCAGGCGCTGCGGACGTGTGAAGAGATTTTGAGGCTGATGAAGCACAGTCTTGACCTCAAAATGCAAATTATCATCATGTACTTGTCGTCGCAAGTCGCGCGGTTACGACGATTTCTCGACGGCGAAAGGCAATGGGACGACTACCCAGAGCCACAATTTCCTGATTACAAGAAGTACGTAAACGGGGAGTTTGCTTAAGGATTATGCTTAGCTATATGGTCATACTCTTAATACACTCGTCTTTGGAACATTCACGACCTTCGTGTGTCTAACCAACCCTCCCACTCTCGTACACAGGCAGGCACTTCTGTGGCCCATGAAGCCACTGGTACTCGATATAAACCCTCCACAAGCGCCTTGCGGGCATAAGGCAACAACACCTTGAAATAAACCTCGGCCACCGCCAACGCGATCTTCTCCTCTTGCTCTTTTTCGTCTTCCTTCAACGCGGTACCGTCACACACGCGCTTGACATAGCCCAAAACAGCATCTCCGCAATCGCCAAGCATGTTATCGAGCGCCGTGGTCAGTTCGGTGAAGATCTCGACCGAGGCAAGATGCCGTAGTCCGTTCATAACACCCAGCACGGCATTTGTGTGTTCCGCCAAGGGAGGGTAGGCCACGAGGATTTGTGGGGGGACGTGTGGCGCGGTCAATACCTCCTGTCCAGTAGGCGTCGGGGGAGAAGCAGTTTGTGACGCAACGACAAGCCATTGGGACGGCGGCTTGAGCTTGGCTTTGCGAGTTGCTGACGAAAGCGTCGGCGAAACCGGCCCGGGCACTTCTCCAGCGGCGGATTTCAGTTTGTCGACCCATTTGGCGCCGACCGCTTTGAGATCGTCGTTGGCAGTATTGGCAACGACGCGAGAGAATAAGCCACGCAGGGGACCACGGAAGTCGAGACCGTGCCGGGCAAAGGCGGTTGCACAGTATGTTAATTGGCGGAGGGCTGTAGCAATGGCAGGGAGGGTGAGAAGCGGTAGGGTTTGTGAGAGGACAGGGAAAAGATGGGTTGATAGTACATGGGTGGTGTACCTCGTCAACAATGGATGCAACGATTCCAGCGGTCGGGAGGGAGTCGTAGGTGCGGCTGTCGCTGGCGACCGCTCGAGGAATATGGTAGAGAACTGAGTGACTATATCGTTGAAGTGTTCCCTCCAAACGTCGATGTATTTCCTGAGATCTAGAGCCAGTTCCTCCCGCTCCTTCTCTCCGAGGCTGCCGCTGTTTCCAATCAGACGTTGTATGTCCCGCAATGGACCCTCTAGCAGCCCTTTCAAACATGCTTCGCGGCCACCAAGAAAGGCAAGCGCTATCTGTTCTTCGGGTTGCACACCATCGTGCCCAAACACGTCCATCTTGCGCAGGAAATTAACGGCCTTCCATAGTGCTGGTAGTTTACGGCTCGGATCGTGAAGGGTGGCCAAAAGGGATAGCAGCATGTTGGTTATCGAATGCTGGACTTCTGATAGGACGGAGTTGAGGATGAGGGGAGGGTTTTTGGCGGCGGAAAGCGACCGCGCATGGGCTGCAAGCGAAAGTGCTTCGGCAAAGTACCCGTTTCGGACGGAGGTGTCGATGAGCATTGGTATTTCGAGCAAGTCGCGAATTTTGTCGTGTTGCTCAAGCACTACTCGCGCCTTTTGACGGTCCACCAATACTTTGTCGGTACGGTCACGCCATCGCGCAGCGCTTTCTTCCAGAGCTGGAAGGCTATCGGTGACGAGGGTGTTGAGGGAGGATTGGAAGGAGTCAAGGGATGATGAGAGGGCAGCGGTTGTTTGGTGGAGAGAGAGAAATGTGGGGTAAGACGTATGCGTCAACGAAGTCAAGCTGGAAGTGAGGTGGTGGGCTTGAGTTTGGAGCGCTGCTGGCTCAGCAAGAAGTGTGGGGAGGTCTAAGGTGGTAAGATGCGAGAGATACACCTGGGCAGCCGCTGTTGTGCCCAGTATCTCTGGAAGTGAGCCATCGTTGGACGCGGTGTTTGGAAACCCATCCATCAATGTGATCAAAAACTTCGGCAGGGAAGCGGGTCACTTTCATCAGCGATACCATCATCTGGTCACCACGATTCCTGAGGTGGGCATTTCTTCACTTGAACAAGCTTTCAAGCGGTTTTTCACCTGTAACTTTGAGCATTGCGTAGACCGTTGAATTCGGGCATTTTCGCTAGGCAAAATGTTTTCCGGGGGGAGGGTTTTCACAAGACCGCGGGCGTAATTGGTAACCAACGCGATGTGTGCATTCCTCAAACGCCCACAACTTATGACAGTGATCCGTTTGTCGTTACAATGGACACACAATTTTTTCAATTTATCCCAAGGGGAATCGACACCGCTCGTCAACCGCTCAAACATACGCAAAAACATACGCCCGGTCTGGTCACTTATGTCGGCCTCCGATTCGATAGGTGACGGGCGTTGCGTTGGTTGTGCTCGTGGTGACAGAGATCCAGTTTCATCGTAGCTCTATATTTTCCTCCGTCTGTATTGCTCAGCATTTCTATCATGACTTGCGGCGTGTCGAGGCTGTTTTGTAGCCGGCGCCGACAGCTTGTTAATTTTACGGCGATAGCTCGCACGGTTATAAGTACTTGGCCGTTGTCGGCAGAGCTGCGCAGTGCGGTTGAGAAGTAGGTAGGCTTTTCTTCCTTGCTTCCAAGTTTAGGCCTCATGTTTTGAGTGGTGAGGATGGGTCAGGCACTGGCCATACGATTGGTGGAAGTAGCGGTGATTGCGACACGCCAAGAATTGTCGTCGAGGACAAGTGAATTCGCTCATTGAGAGGTGGAGATTTGCACGAGTGCTTTGAACGAACCAAAGGTCGAACGGTATATACGAATGAATCCGGTGAGAGCGGCGAAAGATCCAAACGAAATCGGATTGCAGTGGCGAAATGAATGGGCGTGAGGAGTCAGCTAAGGACAATGAGCATAGAGAAAGCTGGATGGGGTTGTCGGCAGGCCTGACGTGCCCAAAAAATGCAGAGAGCCGTAATACGCGGTCACATTTTTTTTTTCGGAGCTCGAGATCAAGACAAAAGACAAAAGAGATGCCGAAAGTGTCACCCTGTGACACGGAGTCACCGAAACGCGAGGCCATGCCGCGCCCTATAAGTAAGAGCTTCGACGCGACTCATCCATGCCCTTGCCATGCTCCTCTCATGTCTCTATGACCTTTTGCCGTCTGTCTTGAAATCAAGCAAGACCGAGTACGAACCGCCCTGTACTTCATCTCTACCCTCCCCTCGTATTCCACACCTTCCTCTCGAAGTCGTCATTCATATCCTCGAAGAAACATATCACAGCGAGCCCAATCCTACCCAGCTCCTTCTAAACTGCTCCCTTGTCTGCCGCGATTGGTCCTTTTTAGCGCAACCGTTGCTTTTCCGCAATGTTACCCTCGCTTCGCAAACGGCTTACGACAGTTTTCTCGGGGCGGCAAATCGCACGACACCGCGTGGTAGCATGCTCTCGGACGCCGTCATTCGAATGAAGGTCGTATTAGATGCCAACCAGCCGTTTGGTCTGTCGCAAGCGTGTTTCACCACCGCCGTCAACGCATGTCCCAATTTGTGCGAGTTGGAAGTTGCCATCTATGGCCATTCGGACCAGACACGGCAGCAGCTAGCACCCCCATTCTTCGACGATACGACGCTCGATGCTCTCCGAACCGGTCCCCGCATTAAATCACTCCATTTCAACAACTCTGCCGATGATGAGGCTGCCATTTTCCCGCTCCTCGATGTCTGGCCTTGTCTCAAGTCACTCGCAATCAGTGGCACACCACCCAAACTCCCCTCTACCACGTTGCACGCGTCCTTCCCGACTGCCATCGAAGAATTGCGTATCAACTGCCAGAGTGCGGTGTCGATTGATTTCATGAAATGGTTGCTGCACAACTCGGTTCACAGCTTGCACACCCTTGAGCTCGAACGCGAGCAGCCGATGATCGTGGTTGATTATGTGGTCGAGACACATGGGGCCAAACTACGCTCGTTGGCAATTCCCGCTTGTACTACCCACGACATGGCGACGGCTGTAAAGAAATGTGTGGGGCTTGACGAGCTCCGCATTGAGCATCCTTGGGTCACTCCGGTCCTGTTCAAGCCTCTTCCCGAAAAGTTGACAAGGCTCGCGATTGCGCTTGACCAGGACAGTGCCGTTCAGCCATGGCTAGACTTCGTCCGGAAATCGGAGACCCTCAAGGAACTCACGGTCCAGGTTTGGGGCAGCAACGAACAGCATATGCAGCTCCCTGCTCTTGCTATGGCATGTGCGTTTCGCGGAGTTGTCTTGGAGATGACCCAGGACATCAAGATTTTCCGCTCTGTTGTTGTGAGTTTTTCTCTCCGAGTCAGACTTGAGCTGACTCTTTTTCATAGCGCCGGGATCCCACCACTCCATCACCATTCACACGAAAAGCGCCCATAGAAGAATGAACCAGACGATCTCTCTTAATTTCTTTCCCAGCATGAACTCACGATCGGCATGGCATGACTCGTCGCACTTGTACACTTTACCGCACTTCTTTCGACATCCCTATTCTAACCTAATTGCATTCCGACTACGGAACGCAGCTTATTATTCTTTCCTTTTCTCTTTTCTTCTCGTCTCCTGGAGCGGGCGACACCTACCACGACTCTTCGTTACACCTATTACAGTGCTCCTTATTCTTATTTACTATCACTGGATAATTTGCAGCGACACACGATACTCGTCCGAGACACAGGTCAAGTAGAGTAACACGACAATCGAGCTTGTTTTCTCCGCGTCTGGTTTGGAGTCGTTTGTGACTAATGCTTACAAAGGAGTAACATTTAGCAGTAGCAGCCAAACCACCTGCATATATGCCTTAGGGTACCGGTATGCCTCTCCAATTTTCGAGAGGCTACAGATTGTACTTGCTCAAAAATTCCTTCAGCATATGCTTCTATCTCAAAAACTTGTGAAGTAGTCTGTTCCTTCCAGGTTCAGAATCACCACATGCAAACACATTACGACTAGTCATGTCGGATCGACCTTGCCCAAATCCCATTCTCTCACAGACCCCCGCTTGCTGTACTCAATCTCCATTATGCTCTGGCTTGATCCATTCCAGCGATCGCTGGCCGCACTCGACGCCAACAGCTTGCTGGTCGCAGAGCTCGATGACCCCTTGAGCTTCTTCTCTGCCTTGTCCTGCTGCCGCTGCCGAAGGAGCTCAAGCATCGCGTCCCAGCCATAATAAGCAGAATTGTCGATCAGCCCTGTTTTCGGGACCGTCGGGGCCGTAAGCGGGGCCACATCCAGCCGGGGGTCATACGATTCCTCGAAGTACTTGTCCATCTTGGAGGGCAGTTGGGACTCTGGTTCTGGCCCGGGCGTGATGCTCATTGAAGAGCAACTGGAAGAACGTGACCGCAATGGTGGTGGTGGGAATGGTGGCGGTGGCGGAGGGGTAGTTGAAGGAGAAGGGGGCCGAGAGCGAGTACGCTCGACTCTACTGCGTTTCGCTGGTGGCGGTGATGATGGCGGGGGTGGTGGTGTAGGCTGTTTTGCTTCCGCTTTACTGCGTGATTTAGACTTGAGTTTCTGGCGTAGTTCTTCTTCGCGTGCGGTAGCCATTTCTTTAGTGTCTGCTTTGCGAGTTGAAGGTGAGGTGGACCGTGAACGCTTTCTGGAGCTCGATTCATGCTTGCGCTGAGACTCCTTGTCTTTGTTGGACTCTCGAGACGATTCCTTGTCCTTGCTTGAACGCGAAACAGAATTGTCTCTGTCTCGCGACCGTTTGCGTTTCTTGGATTTTGAGCTTTCAGCATGCGGTGACCGTTCACGTTCCCGATGAGATCTAGAAGACCGCTTCTCGCTACTTCGTTTCCTGTCTCTAGAGCGAGACCGTCTTCGTCTTGACCTATGGTGGCGGTTGTCATCATCATCATCATCATCATCCTCGCCATTCCAAGTTTCCCAGTCCCGTGGCTTCCTCGTTGTCCTAGCAGCAGTTCTCCCATCCCAATGGTCCCAGCTGTCGTCTTGTTCTTCTCTACTCCGTCGCCGACTCCGACTCGATTTGTTTCTGGCTCTCCTCATCTTCTCGGCCTCCACCGCCTCTTCAGCCCTCGCCCGTCTCTCCTTTCGCTCAATCTCATCTCGCTCGCGCTTAATTTCCTGCGCAGCACTCGCCTGGGCCTGGAGGATCGTCCGGTTGTGGTCATCCGTGCTCTTGATGATGGACGTCAGAAATCGTTTGTTCGCCTTTGGCGCATTGCTTTCGGGACTGCATCACCCAGGTCAACCCGAGTCGATATAGAGAAGAAAGAATAAGACCAACATATTGCTGCGTAGATACGCCCGAATGCCACTCTGGTTGAACGCCTCCGCCTTCTGCTTTGCCTCCTTCAATATGAGGTCCGCCACGTGTCTGTCGAGCTCTTCCTCTGTCACCTGCGACGCAGAGGCCCCATACTGCGCTCGCACAAGCCCATCAACGACGGACGAGAGACTGGCCATGTTGGGAGGTTGCAACCCCACTTGGGATCAAATGCAGTCGCGATCAGGTGCCACTTACCTAAGCAATAAGAATAGTTGCTGCAGACTTGCCTTAAATGCCAGTGATAATAGAACTAAAGCTACATTTACTCTGAGATATGATATCTCATCAATAATAAACTTCATAATTTAATGCTTCAGGAGAATATTCCTCTCTGTTGAATAAATTAAAATCTAGATGAGTCCCATTTCAGAGTAGTTTCAGATCTAAAAATAAGCACATTTGGGTCCCATTAATATTGCTACTTGTTTGACACAAACAGTGTAAGTCAGTATTTCAACTTGAAGTCACTATTACTGATTCAGCTTCTGGCCACCAATATTTATGCAAGGCTCAATATTCAATTGATTTTACAGTATTTTTAATCAGTTTGTGCTATGCCGCTTGTCGGCCCACCTTAAATCATACCTAATTTTGCAGCCTGTGCAATACATGCCAAACAACCTGCCGTGGTAGTGGAACAGTTCCGCAAAATCATGACTGCACACCAATTCAACAACGAATTTCTGGGAGGCCACAGAATTAGCTGATCAGGTCACATCGGAAACATAAACAATTCCACTTCGACTCAGATTGCCTACACACTCTACAAATTAGTTGGACTCTTGCACAACCCTTCGGATAACGAGCGTTTCTTCCGCGCTCATCTGATCCACCAGCGCAGAAAAGTTGGACGTGTTTCGGGCCGCACACTCCCGGAAGAAAGAGTGCAAATGGGCTTGCATGTCCATCGTGGACACGGGATCTTTCTTCAGATCCTCATCGTCGTCCTGCTCCAAGATGTCGTCGTTGTCGAAGGCCACCCCGCGAGGCCCAATCAAGTCAGACAAGTACGCGAACTCGTCTTCCTTGTGGTTCCCCACTTTGTCCTCGTCTGCCCAGTCATCGTCCTGTCGCCGCTTTAGTGCATATAAAATAGTTGTTGGGTTGTGACCTTACCCCGTCGTCAGAGTCGACATCGAAGGTGTCACCCTGTGCAGTAATGGTGGCAGATTCCCCGCCAGCTTGGACATCGTGCAGTAATAACTTCAGAGCCTTTACTGGGAACGGGATGGAGCTGAATTCGTGGGGAGCTGGAAGAGTAGACTGTTAAATGAGCTTGCGTATTGTTTGTAGGACATACTAGTTTTTGTCCGGGATCTTGTCATAATGACTGTGAAAAGCGATCAGAATAAACTCGAGAGAAAGAGCCTGCTAATCAACAAGAACTCGCGAGTCATTGATCAATCGAGTTGCGAGCCGAGTTTGACTCGCAACAACGAGTTGGTCCTCAACTCGAGTCTAATTCAACAACAACTCGCGAGTCCAGTTGATGGCCTGTTGATGGGATCACGAGTCCATCAACGAGTTGAGTCGAGTTGGCCTCAAGCTGCTGCATGCAACCCAACAACTCGCGAGTCATTTGTTAATAGCAACACGAGTTGATCATGGAATTGCAAGCCGAGTTTGACTCGCAGTGACGAGTTGGACCTCAACTCGAGTCCAACTCGACAACAACTCGAGAGCCCGTTGATGGGATCACGAGTCCATCAATGACTTGCGAGTCGACTTAGCCTCGAGCTACCGCATTTAGCAACGAGCCGAGTTCAACTCGACACAACCACGAGCTCCCCGGTAGCAACGGAAAAAAATAACTCACCGTTTTCAGTTTCAGGCTTGACAATAATGTCGCCTTTGACCATCAGCCCCTGCAAACTCGGTCTTTCCGAAACGAACAGCTGGCAGAGCGCCATCGTGCTGATCCGCGACGGCCAGAAGCCCTGGAACGTCTCCGCGTTTTCACACCATGTCTGGATGACGATGTCCAGTGCGGATCGGCCATCGATGTTGGTCGACTCGAGCAGGTCGAGCACTGTGTCGCGTTGGTTGTTGATGAGGAACGCGAATGGCACAACGAGGCTTTGGAGGAAGGTCGCGGTTTTGGCGGTGCGCATGCGGCTGATCATGGCTTGCAGGAGCTGCGGGAGGACGGGAAGGACGGAGTCGCCTGCGCGCCGGAGAAGATGGATGATTAGGTCACCGATGACAAGCCCGCCAGACTCGTCTTGGCTGTCGAGCGACCGTGCGATAAGTGCGAGTACACCATCGAGTCCGGTTCGGCCGGAGTCCGACCAGGCCAGAAGTTGTGGGCAGTCTTTGCGGATGATTAAGGTGAGGCATCTTATTCCGTTCTGAATGTTGTGAGCGATGTGATTGTCGAGAGGAAAGAGTGGTACCTGAATAACATCCCTGTCTTCTGCTTCCCCCAGACACTTGAACAGACTGGGTGCCAGAACAGCGAAGAAGCCATCTCCAAGAGCCCCCTCAGAAGCGCCAGAAACAAGACTGCTGACGAGATCAATGGCCGAGGCGGTAATGTAGGATTCATTGAGCGAGGCAGCAGTCATTGCCTGGCATAGATTAGGCAGCGCCTGCTTCACAACAATTTGGTATATCCCATCGGCTTCCGAGGATGCCAAAGAAGTCAAGATGTTGTCGACGTTTGACAAAAAGATGGGGTCTTTGTTGTTGCTGGTCCAAACTTCAAGGATTGCGGAAACCAATGAACTGGCGAGGTCTTCGGTCAGCCAACGACCTTTGTCGACGGTGATGATGACTGAGAGTGTTTCGAGAACGAGAGACAGGGTGTCGTCTGATGTTGCGAGGAGGAATGGTCCCAAATCTTTAGCGATCCGCGGCGCGAAGGGTGATAGAGTGGGTCCGTCGTTAGCACCCTGGAAGAAACTAACGCAAAATCAGTAACATGGAGAGTAAAATTTGAATTATGACAAACTTGTGGACCGCCCTGACGGCAGATATCTTTACAGGCACACCTGCTGAACTCGCCTCGATCACTTGAATGGCAGCCTCGATGTATTGCCCCGCTAGTTGCACCGGGAGCAGTTTAGCGTATTGACTGGCAAACACGAAACCGCGGCCTTGCAAGAACGGGAACTCGGAAAGACTGAGGACAGATGGAATAATGTCACTAAGAAGGAGTTCGATATCGATCGGTTTGGGTCGACCTGCATCTTGTTCATCCTCGACACATTCTTCGACAGCTTCGGCTTGCGATCCAATGGCAGCAAGTCCTGCTTCCAGAGGTTTCCACCTGGACAAATCAAAGACGATACCAATTGACACGGAATGACCCACCAGTTATCGGAACCAGCTTCCCTCGCTTGTTGCGAAGCGTTGATAATTACTTGAATGGTGCTTTGGAACGCTGCGGCAGTATGGGTGCGGGTTTGGTCGATTAAGGACTATGATTGGTGATATCAATGATCCAAATTATCAAGGAGGAAGCCGGATGACTTACGGATAACAGGTCAAATCCAGCAACACGAACGCTATACGCTTGTGTCTCGTCATCCTCCTGCGCGACGAATGCGTTCGGATTGGTCGCCCATGTCTCTTCCTATGAAATTCTAATCTGAATTCCATGGATAACGAACAAATGAACACAACTCACGTCCTCCTGCGTGATCTGAAGAAAATTGAAGACTGAGGAGATCAGGGGGGCAAGATTTCCGTTTTCGAACCACTCTTTGCAACGTCCACCTCTTGTGATTGCACCGGTAAAATCGAAAATTGGACATATCAGTTGAGGGAGCTCTATGGGCTCGTTTTCCGATGAGCGCGGGGCAGATTCAGTAGATGAAACGTAATATTGGGAGAATGTAGGGAAAAGGGAGTTGAGATGGTCCAGGGCAGTTTGCAAGAACACGTTGAGATATGGCGTCAGCGCACGAGGGAAGGAGGTGTTGATTGTATCGAGCGCCTGGGGCATTAGATCAGATAAAACGAACGACTATTCAATGAAGTATGGAACCTTGAAGACCTGGATGCGAACGGCAAGTCCATCCCAGTCTGGTCGGTTGACGATATCTTGTTGGACATTGGCACTTAAGAGCACCTTGAAAGCTTCGAGCCAGATGGGAAGTATGCTAGCAATCGCCTCCTTGACAGCTTGTGGATGCTGGCCTTTCACCATATACAGCGAAGTTACGCATTGATTGAACACAGACACTGTCCGTGAGCGCGTAGCAGCCGTGTGGACCTGTTTCAGTCAGAAAATGTGGGCATGAGAGTGTGATGTCGTACTTCTGGAGCCCCAAGAATCGAAAGCAACACAGGCAATAGATCACGCAACACGGGCAAAATTTGGTCTTCCGTCAAATCTGATTTGATGAACTCGGTGAAGACTTGCATTGCGCCATGGACGGAATCCGCAGAGCCGGAAGAAATAAGGTTGATCAGGGAAGATAATAGGTCAGGGTACTCGTCAGGCCAGTCGCAACTAGCGATAGACGATAGAGTATGGGCCTAAAAATAGTTCAATAGCTCAACTAGTTATAGGAGTAAGAGCGAACGCAGAGAGTTCGAATTTTTCGGTCTGGATCCGAGAGGCCTTGGAAGACAGCAGCGCGAATTTGGGTCTTTGACTGGGCCACAATATGAACACACGTCTCATAGATCGGGTTGAAGTGGTACCTCGGGCGATGGAGGTGATCCTTTGAAAGATGCAAAGTATGGAGACCAGCGCTCGGTGACGTATTTACGCAGCATAATGCTTGCAGAGTGCTGGTCGAAAAATACACGATCAAGACGCTTTTCGTGGATATGATACTTTGAACAACTTATCTGGCGAAGTGACATGTCTATATCCTGTGAGACCGTAAGGGATGAAAGAGCAAGACCAGCATCTATTAGACGCGTCAGAACGCGTAGTGAAATAAGGTGACACGCGCCTGGAAGGGCAAGTAGCTCAGTCAATCTGAGTTCTGCAGCGATTCTGGCGTTGGGATTAGAGTCAAGTGTCGCCCTGAGGCATTGTGCGAGCTCTGAGACTGAGGACATGGCTGGAACCCCACAGAGAGTTGTGGGACGCGTGAAGGCAGGAGGGGAACGATCTGTCACGAAGTCACAGATCAGAGTCACACACAGTGACACTATTTGCTCCAACCTCCATGTCCGCCGACAACGATCCATTCTATCTGCGGTATGTAGGTCCATATGCATGTGCTTCATGTCCTAATCATCATCCCAGATACTAGTAAGTCCTAGTGATGTTAATGCATACCCAAACTGATGGGCGCCAGCACCGGTCACTCTGGCAAGCATGGCCACGAGTTCCTTGAATTCGAATATTCGCATGGTCGTCTGCGCTATGCCAATAACTCGAATTATCGTAACGATAGTTTGATACGCAAAGAGAGTAAGTTTGCGATTCAGTCTTCTGCACTGGCTTATTTTTCTCCAGTGTGGGTGGGACCATTGGTGGTCAAGGAACTTAAGCGCATCGTGGAGGCCAGCGAGATTGTCAAGGAGGACGACTCTAATTGGCCAAAAAAGAATATTGTCGGCAAGCAGGAACTAGAGATCCGCGTCGGGAACGACCACATTGCTTTCGAGGTCTGTCTGTGGTTGATAGTGCTCGAACGAGGGCTTATAACCACCCACACAGACCGCGAAAATTGGTTCGCTCGTCGATATTCAGGATAGCGAAGACCCAGAAGGCCTTCGCGTGTTCTACTATCTCGTCCAGGATCTCAAGGTTGTGGTTACTCAACTGTCTGTCACTGGCCTTATGCTGTTTACTAGTGCCTCATTTTCTCCTTGATCTCTCTCCATTTCAAAATCAAGCCTATATGATGTACTATCTGTGAGGCTTTGTGCTGTAGGTGTTGACGTGTATCCACAAAATGTTAGTTTGTTCTTTTTCTTCGCCCTACTCTCAACTTTTGTTAGGTCCGGTCAGGAATAATTCTGCCTTCGCCCGTTCTCAAGAAAGCGTTCGAGTTGGATAGATGGTGAGCATCTGCTTGCATCCCATTAGAAAGACAAGCTGACGTCGTTCAGTAGTCTTGTCCCCAAACAATTGAAAAATATATTGTTCTTCATCGTTTTGTGCCCATTAGGCTGTTTGAGCTGTGGGATCCGGTGCTTCTGAGATGCTAAGCCATAGCCACAGCAGTGTCCCAGGCTCTATTCCGAAACAGAAAACATACCACTCTGGCCGGGCCGGGCACATCGACGAAACTGTATCGAATATTTTACTTGAAGATGCTTAATAGGACGTCAGCTCTCCCGTTGTCTTTTAGCTTGAAAGACTTCCCCTTGTGCCTTGATAAACGCGTCTATCGATTGGGCTGCTCTTTCAAGTTTCAACAGAATGGAGCCCTTGTAAAATCCGAGGACGGGCTTTTGGGAGTCCAAACCATTTTCTTCGGGATTTTCTAAGAGTCTGGTGAGGGCAGGTGAAGAGGAGCGAAGGTTTTGCCAGCATATCATGCATAGATCTCGATGTTGACCTAGTGCGAGAACAACAAATTAGGCGTTGAAAGGTGGCAAAAGGAGTATAGTCTTGCTGCTGCGACTCCTTGCCCGTGAGCCAACAAGTCTCTTGATTCAGTCCGCTTTATACCCCAGAACAAAATTATGAAGTTGAAACCTGTATCAAGCGTGAGGCTTTTTGTTTATTGCTACCGGTGAGGCGCTTGTGGGCCTTCCCAACAAAGAGGCACGCAGTCACTCGTTTCGCTGCATACGACGTGAGGGAAAACATCCATTCGCCGTTCTTGATTCTGTCGTTTGGTGTCAGGGCCGCTTCGCGTGCTGCCGTTATCACGCGTCTCGCATTTTTGCGTTATGTTACGGTCACGCATTTCACTTCTTGCTTCTTGCCTTCATGGAGCCAAAGCGACGGTCCACCCGCAAACGCAAGGCAGATGATACCCAAGATACTGCAGCGCCCGCTGCCCCGCCTGCCAAGCGCGCGAAAGTGGTACGCAAACAGGGTCGGCTCGCGGGCCTGCTCTCCATCTCGCTTGATGTCGTCTTCGAGGTCAACGCGTCTGTTATCCCTCCAGCAGGGCTTTCTAACGCGTTATAGATTCTAGCTTACCTTCAGCCCCTCGACCTACTCAGACTGTCACGTCTGAGCAAAGAGTTCCGTGCCCTCCTCATGAGCAAATCGACCATCACCGTCTGGCGCGCTTGCATTGCCAATTCTGGCCTGCCACTACCACCAGACGTTAGCAACATGAACGAGCCTCAGCTGGTTCGACTGGCCTTTGACAATGTCTGCCAGGTGTGTATTATTGTCTTTGATTGTCGTTCGCTGATGGGATATTTAGAGTTGCGATGCGACTGCTCGGAAAGTGGACTGGCTGCTGCTCAAGAGATTATGCAGTCGATGTTCAAAATCCAAGTGCGTGTATATTGTCCTGGCTTGCCTTATTTGTCTAAGAGCATCAGACTTTTCTCCACTGTGTCTATCGGCGGTGCAGACACTGGGGTCTTGGATTTGGTTCTCTCACGGTCGGACAACAGCAGTACGTTCATAACCTGTCCTCTCTCTCTTTCATGTCCTAACGCGCTTCTCAGAGCCCTGGCTGAGCGTATGCTTGAGAGACGAATATGATCGTATGCGTTCACTGGGGTCCAATTTACGACCAGTTGAGAAAGATAAATGTCTCAAAGAGCGGAAGGAGCTCGTAAAAACACTTGCTGCGGTAACACCCTTGGCATATCTTCTTCCATGTTCTGACGCCTGCTAGTATGGCGAAATTTGTAAGGATTGGGATGAGGGAAGGTCTGAAGCTCGCTCGTCGGAGCTTGCCGAACTGAAGGAAGAGCGTTACAATGCGTGAGTTCATGTTCGTACGGCTACATAGATACCTTGCTTACCCTCAATTCAGAGTCGTAGTCAGACTGACCGCGCTCGGATGGGGAGATGAAATTGCCAGCCTGCCGTTGTCGGACGACCTTCGAGGGCATAGACTCGTCAAGTCCCCAAATCCACTAACTGAACGCAGTACGTCGATAACCAACTTTGCGTGTATACTCTCATTTCTTGTTTTCAGCCTGGAAGACAATTGAGCCGGAACTAGTGCAGTTCATGGAACAGCTGAAGAGGCAACGCCTGGTCCGCGAGTTCAAACTCCTAGTGCAGGAACGCAAGACAATCGCCACTAAGGTTATTCGTGCCTACAAACAATCGCAGCTGCCCTGGTCAGATGTGATGCCCAGTGTCACAGACTTTCACGAATTCGAGCCAATCAAGACTCTTTTGAACAAGCCCGTCGAAGTGACTGTCGATGAAACAAGTTTTGAGGCACTCTTGCCTGAGCTGCCACCACAAATCCAAGAGTGGCGACAGACTCTGGCCCATGCACTTGTAACTCGGCACAAGGACCTATCAGTTGGACAAGAGGACCAGCTCAAATTGGCTAAATGTGTGTTCAAGTGCACTCAATGCAAGGATGGGGGCATTAGTGTGTTTTTCGGGCTTACCGGAAGCATGGGGGCGAGCGGACCGTTATTGTGGCCCAAAGTTTTATCCCACCATTGCCTCACGCATCTTCCCGATCTACTTCCTTGGATGTTGGGCACTTCAAGGATGATTGAATGGTCAGCAAGTCCGCTTGAAGCTGATCGTGCTTCCTCGGAAATTGTTCAACAACTCGTTGAAGCTTGTGGGCTGGATGCAGACACGACAACGGTGGAGGAAATGGATGAACTGGACGCTCGATTTGCCTGCCATCGCTGTGCTAAACGAGTAACGCCAGAGGACGGCAGCGGCCCATCAATAGCGGACGAGAAGAGCAAGGCATCTGCATCAGACGCATCGACATCGACATCGGCCAAAGGCAAGGCATCAGCATCGGTCAAAAGCAAAGCATCGACCTCGGGAGCAAAGAAAGGCAAGGCGACAAATTCGAAAGCTCATGTCGACACATCCGCGGAAGATAAAAGCCCTGCAGAAGTCTACGCGTATACGTGGCGTAATGCCGTCGCCCACCAACGGATGTCCCATAACTTTTCATCTACGGCATGGTACAAGCTGAACGAAGAGGATGCACGGGTTGTACGCGCGAAGGAGCTTGAAGTCATTGCCCTGGACAAGGAGTCTCGAGATGCTGATGATGAAGAGGCTCGGGATACAGAGGACGAGCTTGATGACACTATTCTTGACCCAAAGATCAAACCCAAGACTGAACCAACACCCGAATCTGGGTCTTCGAATAAAGGCAAGGCCCTTGGAGCGAAGAGTGAGGCGATGACAATCGATGAGAAACCCAACGCCGAACTATTGCCTGGATCTGGGGCGTTGGACAAAGGCAAAGGACGTGCCTTGCCTGTGAAAGAAGACGCGATGGAAGTAGATGAGAGCACATCGAAAAAAGCTCTTCTCCCAGCTCAACTTCCTGAACTAGCCTTCCTATGCTCCCATTGCATGGACTCTATTCAGGAAAAGTCACCAACATCTTTGGATGAGATTCTCCTCCACTTGTCCGTCAGACATGACATCGAGTCTCCAAGCGAGAATGAGGACTATTATCGCTCGTTGGCTGCTCCTGAGGTCTACACCCGCCAAATGTTCCCCGCCCCGAGATTGACGATCCAACTGCCTCCCACTCCGCCGGGGCTGTCGAAGCCGCGACCGCAGTTTGGCTTGCCTGGCCTATTCGGCTTGTCGATGGGTATGTACGACGACGAGTATGACTACTATGACACGGACGAGGAGATGTACGGATATGGTGGACATGGACATTATTATGGGGACGACTCGGATGACGATGACGATGGTTTCTGGTGAAGGATCCGACACTTTACTACTACTTAGCATTTAACATTGGCACTACACTAAAGCTTACTCATTTCTTGGAACGTAGACTCAACACACCTGTACTATGATGGAGGTTTTTGGCACTCGTAGCGGTTTCCCCCGTTCTCCTCTCATTTTTTTTAGCCGATTTGCCTCGGAGGAGGTGCATTATGAAGAGGAGATGAATTACTTGTGGTTGGTACAAAAAAACTGGCAGTAGTGGACCGAGAAATAAGAGGGAACCGAAGCTCACACCGTTTGGGCAGATCCATCAAAAATTGACCTTTGCATCCAGGGCTTCAGCCCTGTTGTACCACTACAGTAAATGTACTATTTGATGCAGAATAGGTAGCAGATTGTAATGCACCATCTCCGAGGCAAATCGGTGGGGAGAAAAAACCGTTACGGTTGCGCCCTGTTGCGCCATCATAATTATCATGATTCGATCAACAATTTAAAGTTGGTACGCTGGTAGTGGTCAACAAGTCAGACGATTAGCCAGTAGCAAATACAAAAGAACTCTAAGATATCGTCCATTAAGTACAAGGAATCTTACATTATAATACAGTCCTTCCCATCCTTGCCCTTTGCGCTGCTGTTCAAGTCGTCTGGCCCTCTTTGCAGCAAAGCTCCGTGTCCTCCAGGCAGCGGCTGATTAGGGGCACCCCGCAACCGTTGGATAGCCCGCTTGTCCCCCAGATCCGCAGCACGCTTGTAGTAGCCTTGTGATTCGCGGATGTTGGGCTGGGTGCCGATTCCGACCTCGAGGAAGTAGCCACAGGCGTACATTGCCTTTGCCAGTCCAGCATCCGCCGCCTTTTGCGCCCAGAGGAAGGCCTCTGTGTCGGATTGAGGGAGGACACCCGGCGAGCCTACGAGGTACCACGCTGTCAGCGCAAAGCAGGCATCGCGGTGGTTTTGTTGGGCGGCGATATTCTAAAGAGAGGTTAAGCCTTGGGATAAAGAAAGAAAGAAAAAGGGACTGACGTAGTAGTGGATTGACAGCGCAGGGTCCTGGGGACAGCCCATCTTGCCGTATTCATAACATTCACCCAATCGGTACGCGCTAGGAGCGTAGCCAAGCTCTGCCGCCTGAGCAAGCAGCTCTGTCGAGTACTCGTAGTCGACAAAGAGCACGTTGTCGACGCCGCGCTCGTGTAGGAGTGCGAGTTCGTGTAAGGCATGAGGGAATTCGGCAGTCGCATGTTCAGCACTTCTTTTGAGCCATTTGACGCCCTCCTTCGGACTCTTGCTGAGCCCCAACTCTCCATTGAGTTCTGCTATTCCAAGTCGATACATGGCCCCTGGGTGTAGAGCAGCCGCAGCTTTGCGGAAGAATTGGACTGCTTTGGCGGATTCTCTTCGGCAACCCCAGCCATTCTCGCAACATGTCCCAGCTCGATAAGCGGCATCCGCATGTCCGTGTTTTGCTGCGAGAACAAACAACGGGTATGCACGGTCAAAGTCTTGTTTGTTCTTTGTCGTCCCAATGCCGTTTGCGAAACAGTCTGCGAGGAAGTACTGTGATGAAACATGGCCGCGGTCCGCAAGCCGCTTGAGGAGTGAAGTCGCTTCTCGGATGAGCTCCTCTCGTTTCTCGATGGCACGTTCCACTTGAAGGAGGTTTCCTGGCTCGGAAGCAGGGATGGGTAGTGATTTGGAGGCGTCAATCATGAAGACGGCAAACTCGAATTGGAGGTCAGGGTCTTGCGTCTTTTTCGCGTTTGCTCGGTATAGCTCGAGGGTTCGTTCATGAGATAGTAGTGCTGCTTGGTTGCCTGGTCTAAGGTGGGAATGGTCCAGCAACGGACCCGGGGGAGGAGAGGGTGCCCTTATGGACTGCGACCCTTGGGCATAGATGTCAGATGATGGAGCGCCATTTCGTTGGTAAAAGTCATCGTCTGGCTCCGAATATTGCTGCTCCTCTGGCTCGTCGTAGTCGTCGTATCGTTGCTGCCGAGGAGGCCGTGGTTCGGCATACATGGTGGTGGTCAACTTCAAGAGTTGTGTGACATGTTTTGGCCCTGCCTTGTGAAGCGGCATCTTCTGGTAAGCTTCCTCGAGTAACTATCTGCTTTTATTCTACACATCCATTGCATCACCACTTTTTTTTGCTCCATCAACCAACGTCACTGTGCTCCTCGAGGGAATTCATCGTGTGGTCGTTGCTCTATGCCCTAAAGTATTGTCGCCCCGCGGAAAGTAATTGAGAGAAGCGGAACATCTGTGACGAAGCGACAACTCGCTGTTGACTTGCGACTGCCATCATGGAGTCCCTCCGGACGAAACGAGAAGCCCCTGGCAAGGGCAGGCAGCCTACAGCCCGACTGGCCAAGCCAAACGGGGCGAATGCTACCCCCAGACGCGATGCGCGCAAATCCAGAGTCGACGACAAAATCCGCAAACGCATGTCGATGCGATATGCTGATATTTCTGGCCCGGCCGACCTCGCTATGCCCCCCATCCCAGCAATACCCACAATGCCCACGAGAACAACCCCTGGCAAAGAGCAAGATGAAGTCGTCATGAAACGAACTGGTCGCGAAGACAGGAGAGAGGATGACAAGAAACTCTTCGACCAGGACGACTTCGATCCAGACGCGTGTACGTGGTGGATAACCGGCCTCAGAGCATAGAATCTTACTGTGGAGATAGTTCTCAAGCTTAAACTCGCGAACTCGACCGAATACGAGATCAAATCACTGCAGTCTTCCCTCCGCAACGCCCAAGATGACACCTCTTCAGAGCTTCAGCGTAATGTCTTCAAAAAGTACGTTGCAGAGCACCTTTTAGGTCTGCTCAGACTTATTTATGCTGCAGCTACGCGGAGTTTGTCCTCATTTCCAAGGAAATATCGACCCTGGAGAATGAGATGCTTGAGCTGAAAGAGTCGCTTTCAGAATACAAGTCCATGCCGTCCCTCCTTCACATTCCTGATCCTACCTCGACATCTTCCTCTGGTCTTTCCTCCTATCGTCGCTCGTCCGTGGCCGATCTGCGTATCATGTACTTCAACCAAATGCAGACATTACATTCTCAAATCGAAGGCTCTGCAAAGTTTGCTCCAACTACACCTGGCAGGCATGTCGTTGCGGAGATTGAAGGTGTCATTGCACTGAACGCTGCTACCTATAAGCCCACCGGCAAGGCCAAATTTGTTGTGCTTGACGATGCGGTTCTAGTGGCTCGAAGGCGCAGACGAGCTGGCGCTTCTGAAGGTCGGAGTGGCGGCTCGAACGAAGGAAAGCTTGTGGCAGAACGCTGTTGGCCCTTGAATGAGATGCTTGTTCTTGACACAAAGGATTCACCGAGCATGACCAACGTCTTCAAGATTCGACACGGAAAGGAGACACACGTCTATCGAACAGAGACTCCAAGCGAGAAGAAGTCGCTTTTATCGCAGTTCCGTCAAGTCGCAGAGGAACTTTCAGCCAAAAAGCGGAAGGAACGTGAAGGGGAGCATGAGCGGAGGAAGAGTTTATGGGTTGGTGGTACTGGGGGAGGAGATGTAAGCATAAAATCCCACTCTTCGAAGCGTCAACTGATATGCGCTTCTCCGTTAGGGTAATTCAAACCTTCCACCAATGCCTGACTGGATGTCGGATTTGGCGCGGAAAATGGGTGACCCTGATACAGCAAATTCGGATGCCAAAGAAAAGGCTGAACGGGATGCCCGGTGGACGAGTGAATGGGCTGATGAGTTGACTGTTGCTATCGCTCTAAGGGAGTGGGACCGGGCAACAGATCTCGTTGAGCAGGGTGAGCAATTCTTATGGCTTGATGTTACGGATAGTTCATTTGTTTAGGCCGTGCCAAGGTCAACACTACGCCTCCAGTGGCTGCTAAACTCCCCGTATTAACTGGCCAATTAACCAACTCGCTTCTGCAATCGCTTTCCCAGACCGCCAACCGCAAAAGCACCGTCATCCTCATCATTTCTCTTCTCCTTCGTCTCAACGCTGGCCCGGCGGCTCGCACAACCTTCCTTAACATGCGCAGTCAGGTCATGCGGAATCACGTCCGCAAGATTCGCTTTGAGGGCCACATTGGCGCATATATTGGGGACCTCTCGATTGTCTTTTTCACGGGCATCAAGAACACTGCAGATTGGTACCTGAATAGTTTCAAGGACAACGAGGGGACTAGTGGTATGTTTTTTTTTCGCTATGTTCTTGGCGCTCTGACCCATATTGTGTTTAGCATTCATCGACTGGGCAAAGAAACAAATTGAGGATTATGGCGAGCTGTTCAGACGTCAGGTCTACAGCGTTGATGTTGACCGGAAAGTTGTGGATGAGGCTTTGATGATCACCCGTGCTCAAAGTAAGAAGGTGAGGAAACCACTCTCTCTTTGGTGGCTTCGCTAAGCGAAGAAAAACAGCTTCTCCAAGACTACGGTCTGGATTTTCGTTTCTTGTTCAGCGATGTCCTTTCGGAAAATCCGAAGAACAACGTCACCGTCCCACCCAACTTCACTCTCAAAGGCCACCAAGTTGCCAAACCCCCCAGACACACGCCGGCCGCCCTGAACCTCTCCATTGCGAGCAGCACGAGCGTGAGCAGCACACTTCTGACTGCTCCGTTGGCATCTTCTTCGTCTACATCGTCGTTCAGCAATTCTACCGCCACCCCGATCCAGCCCTCTGCCTCTCGTGAACAACTCCCCACACGTGAAGCCCCTCCACGTGACACGCCCTCTCGAAGCAACAACCGTGTTCTACCAACTCCAGCCCCCCTTACCATCCAGCCTGATCTGCCATCCCCACTCGTCTCTCCTTCTCCTCGGCGTACTCGGTCGCCTCCCCCGAGCGCGGGATACTTACCTCGCACGACAACACCAGGCCTGATGGGAGCACGTGAGCGACCGCCTCGGTCTGGTCGACCCGCTGGCATCACGTCGCCGCCGCCTGTGACGCCGACTGGGCCTCCCCCCAGGAGTGCAAACAGACCGGGGAGTGCGATCAGTCGACCACCAGTTGCATTACCTCAGCGCGAGGGCATGTTTTGAATGCGTTCTTTTTTATTGTTCCAACTCAACTCATGGATATTGTACACAATGTAGATTAACTTAAAGCAGAGGCACTGAAGATGACTGAGCAAGGTGCTTCTGAAATGGGGGGCAACTGCACATACCGGGCGGGTGGTCTACCTCGCTCAGATACCAAGCTTTGTCCGCTTCTGGGTCTTCTTCAGCGCTTGTCATCCCATTACCTGCCCAGAAGAAGCGATTCCGGTGTTCCACGAGAGGCTCGTAGGTATAGTCCTCCCATCGAGGGTGTTCCAATGCACGAACAGCGTGAAGACACGAACCTGGCGAAAAGCTTGATAAGATAACAATCTATTAGAATGTTTTGCGCACCCGGCCATAACGCGACAACGCGCCCCTCCTCGTTCCCTTGTTTATACCACGAGCGGCATTTCTCCCCAAACACAGTCTGCCCAGATCAGTCAACTTCATCAGCACAGAACAGCGGAAGCACCTTTTTGAAATATTGCTCAATATACGCGTCCCAGTCCTGGACTGCTTCGGGCTTGACTTCGATGCTCTTGAGGTGTTCTCTTTGGAGCTTGAGGGTCGCTTCGACTGCATACTGGACTTGCTGGATCAATCGTCAGCGATGCATCTTATCACAGCTGGCATTAGCATAGGTACCCGTTCAATCAAGATGAGCAACGAGCCCGAGCCTACGGGGAAGCCGGTGAGCTAACCCTCAGCAAATACCGTTCGACTTACCGACGGCAGAGTTGGGGCCAAGAGACTGGAACCAATTAGGGAACCCGTCGACCGCAACAGAAAGATAGAGTTTGGGGTGTGGCATATATTTCTCGGCGAGCGTAACTCCACCTCTTCCGACGACGGGAAAGCCAAGCTGGAAGGAAGTGTCGAAGCCGGTGGCGCACACGATAACGTCTAATTCTTCGAAGTGGCCGTCCACGGTTTCGATACCGTTGGGCAGGATGCGTTTGATGGGGGAAGGGGTGAAGACGACCTGGATTGCGCAGTCAGAACGCCAGCGAGAAGCAAAACCGAAAGAGCTCACGTTGTCTTCGCAGAGTGCCTCAAGATATCCGGGACCTGGTGTTAATCGCCGGCAGCCAGGATGGAATTCCGGAATAACTACCCAGGTTAGATAAACTCCTTGAACGAGGCTGGCAAAACCCACGATGCTCAGCAATATCTGGCCTTGATGCCAAGCGTTGAAGCATTTCCGCCTTGAATACAGCTTTCCCTCCTTCTGCGGCCGGGTGGTCTTTGAGAGTAACAACATGAATAGACTGGAAATGAGAATCATTAGTTTCCTCGTTCGGGCTGGAAAAGGGGCACACGAGCATTTAACATGGACTCAAGCTCTCTCCGGAACTTTTTATAATGCTCGGGGTCTTTGAACTCCTCTTTTTCCTCTTCTGTGTAGTTATCTATGGTGATGTCTGGTTATCTTATCTTATCTTACGATCAGACAACACTTCTTACAGTTTCCGGATCCTTTGCTCAGTCCAGATTTTCCAGCACGTTCGCCAAAGAATGGCGGAGAGATCCAGGTTTGGCCCCGGACGTAATTTACCTATAAACTTCAATGCTTCTTCCCAATGGAAGTAAAAAAAGACCCGCGGACCAGTTTTGCAACTTTGGGCTGCAAGCTGGGAACAATCTGCACTGCAGAAGAGCCCTGTCGATATGCCGGTGAGCACAGTCGTGAATGTAGACCGAAAAACCCACCACTCCGATTACGGCGACCTTCTTGCTTGCCCACGACTTGATTGTTTCCTCCCATGGGCCATCGCGCTCGCCTTCACCCGTCTTCCATTGCGCACTATGCATAATCGTGCCCTGGAAAGAGCCCAGCCCTTCGATATCTGGCCATTTCCAGCGACTGAGGCCTCCCATGCCGGTGAACAAAACGTCTGCCGAATCCTTGAGTTTCGCGCTGGACCCAGGCTGCTGGATGGTCAGTTCCCATTTGCCCGTATTTTCCTGGTAGACAGCGCCAGTCAAACGATGCTCAAGCTTGATGAATGGCCGCAGTTTATACTTGTCCACTACGACAATGGTTCAACCGAGTCCTTGCTGATTGCCAACAACTTACCAATAGATTCGATATATGCTCGGATTTCTATCGGGATTTGATGAGTTGGATGTATGTCTCTCGATGCTCACTAACCAGGGCCTTTGGCATAGAACCCTGACCAGTCTGTCTAAAGCGCACCATTATCAGATGTGTGTCCGCGCGATGTCGGACGGAGATACCTTCTCGTGGAACGTCAGTTGATACTAGAGACAAATACTTGAGTTTTCTGCTTATCGGAGTCGAGTTACTCAACACAATGTGCGGGTATATCGCCTGGGGAATGTCAGTCATGTCTAATAGATCAGGTTACCATTGCGGCCTACATGCGAGGCCCTAGTATGATTATTAGCATTGGAGAGCAGTTGGAATTGATTTCGCACGGGGTATCGATTAGAAAACCAGGTTCCTCCAACACCCGCGCTGGCTTCATATACCGTCAAATCGACGTTCTTCACGTATTGCAAGAATCTATACTTGGCTAAGTGAAGGTTTCATTGCGCCATGTCTGTCTTACCGTATAGCGGCGATGATTCCTGAACCGACGTTGACAATGGTTCTGAGATAGGAAAAAAGTACCTACCACTAAACCCTGCTCCGACTACTACCACACGCATAGGCCGCGGTGCATCAATTGCCGCGTCATTGAACGAGTTGGCTGGTGAGGACGGGGCTGCCATGTCGTTTCTAGCACAGTCAACAGGTCTTATTTGGGTCCACAATCAAAGACTGGGATGTCTCTGTCGATCTATAGGTTTATATAGGACTTCCCATATCAGCATTTTAACTCACAGGCCGGCCCTGTGGGGTCACACGGTCCAATGCCCTCCGCTGAATGGGTAAACACATCTGCAGCGAATCCCTCGTGGGGCAAAATACACATGTCACGTTTGGTGGGTTGCGCTGCAAGTTGGCAAGGTCGATGCTTCTTGTGGGTCGAATTGGGGTGCTGAGCCCGAGGCAGCGTGGAAGTTTCAAGCCATGTGCTTGCGTTCCGTTTATTTTCGTGGGTTGGAACTCACGGTCAGAAGAAAGTGATGGCCGTGTGGATGGATGATCTGTGACGTCACACTGTTCAACTTCAACAACACTGTGAAGCACTGTGAGTTAGTGTGCTGCATTCCCTGCACACGATGAAGAACGTGCGGTATAATTTGCGGCGGATTCAGAAAGCTAGACTCGTGCTTGCTGAGAATTTGAAAGCTAAGTACTTCAAGCCTGAGTTAACTCGAGTACGGATAAGCTCGAGGAAAAGATTGGGGAAAGATGAATGAGCACGCATGTAGCGCTCCCAGAGTGTGTATTTATCAAACAGATCATGAGAGCTTTAGGCCGAAAATCCGTTGTTGGCATTGCCAGTGCGCTAAATGCTATCCATTATTCCGAGCTGACCAGGCTGTCGATGCACAAAGAAGCCTGACTTGGTATCAGAACGACTAAAGAACGTCGACCAGTGGCGGGTTCATGTGACCGTGACTGCGATGACGTTATCATTTCCGAAGTTCCACTGCGACCACGCATTTGCTGTCTAGACGCGGAGTCGTCTTCGGGAGGGCGACCGTGGCGAACGCGACATAATGTGGGAGAGAACACTGCAAGATCTCATCCGCGGGCTCCGCGCTAACAAGAAAGACGAGTCCCAATTCATTGCCAAGGCAGTCGATGAAATTCGCAAGGAGATCAAGGGCGACGACATGGAGCTCAAGGCGGGGGCAGTCCTGAAATTAACCTATGTGCGGCGTATCATTGGGTTGCTTATACGATCCTAATGAGTGGCTGAAGCTTGATATGCTTGGATATGACATGAAATGGGCGTCCTTCCATGTTGTCGAGGTCATGTCCTCCCCCCGGTTTCATCTAAAAAGCGTCGGATATCTTGCCGCGGTACAATCATTCGACCAGGAGACCGATGTTCTCATGCTCACGACAAACCTTCTCAAGAAAGTGTGTTCAAACACAAACTCTTGCACCAAATTCCTGCTGACCATTTTTGCAGGACCTGACTTCTACACCAGCAGACATCTCTGTAACACTCAATGGGCTCTCCCATATTGTCACTCCAGATCTTGGCCGCGATCTCTCCTCCGAACTCATGACAATGTTGACCCATTCGCGTGCGCATATTCGGAAACGCGCTATTCTGGCGCTCTACAAGGTTATGGACACATATCCCGAAGCTTTAGCTCCGGGAGTAGCGCGTTTGAGGGAGAAATTGGATGACCCTGACCCAGGTATGCAATTCAACATGTAATCTACCCAACTTGACGGTTACAGGTGTTGTGGCCTCGACAGTCAATGTTCTATGCGAACTGGCTCGAAAGCGCCCAGAAGACTACCTCATCCTGGCGCCACAACTCTTCCACCTGCTTCAGACTTCAAGCAACAATTGGATGCTCATCAAAATTATAAAGTTGGTGCGTTCGTATTTTCTGCGTTTGCACACTTGCAATCAACTGGACCATCAGTTTGGCTCCTTGTCTCCCCATGAACCCCGTCTCGTCAAGAAACTTCAACCACCCATTACGGAATTGATTTCGACGACCCCAGCAATATCACTTCTTTATGAGTGTGTTCACACCTGCATCATTGGAGGCATGTTGCAAGGGTCCTCCGGTGATTCGCTCGCTAGGTTATGCGTTTCCAAGCTCGCAGCATTCATCCAAGACACCGACCAGAATCGTAAGCCCCTAATCTATTTGTCGTCGTCATCTGTTGACCATCGTGAAGTGAAGTATATCGCCCTTCTTGCTCTCGTCAAGATTGTGCCTACCCATCCCCATCTAGTTGCCGAGTATCAAGACACCATTCTTGCCAGCGTTAATGACCATGACATGAGTATTCGAATGCGAGCTCTTGATCTGGTGTCTGCTATGGTATAACCCACGCTTTCGTAATCAGCTTCTTTTTCATGAGTTTTCTCCAGGTTACATCCCATAATATCCAATCAATTGTGCAACAAATTCTTTCGCATCTTGTTGCTGACTCCTCGACAACCGCACTACCTACCGCAGCACAGTCCTTGGCCCAACAGGCCAACTCCCCGACCATTTCTACCCCACACATTTCCCCCACACAGTCACCCGCATACCGCCTGGTCCTTTCGCAACGCATTCTTCATATTTGCTCCCAGTCGTTATACGAGAACATCACCAACTTCGAGTGGTACTTGTCGGTTCTCGTCGATTTGGCTCATATCGCCAATGTGGATGTTGGTGCCCAAATACGAGATCAGCTGGTTGATGTGGTCGGAAGAGTGAAGGGAGTACGACGCTACGCCGTGAAGCTAATGTACACACTATTGTGTGACGACACAATACTGCACAATGCACGAGAAGAGGGTAGCTGTTCAGAGGTGTTATGGGCAGCAGCCTGGATATGCGGGGAATACTGCAGGTGGGGTTTTTCCTACTGCATCATCTCTTGCTCACTGATTACAATCAGTGAACTGGCAGAACCCCAAAAGCTGCTACCATACCTTTTACAGTCGCAGATAGCCATTCTCCATCCAGAAATAATCGCTGTCTACATCCAAACCATATCCAAAATATTCGGAAGCTGGGCTGCAGAAGTAGCTGAGCGATGGGATGACGAAGACATGGTCGAGGTGAAGAGCACTGTCGATTTGATCATCAATGGGATCAAGGTATTTACCGGTAATGCCGATGTGGAGGTGCAAGAGCGGGTACGTTTAGAACCTCACTCATAGCCCCCGCTGACTGCGCTCAGGCCGCGAATACGCTGCAACTCTTTAACTTCATCCAGGCAGATTTGAATGGGTATAAGCCTCTGCCCCCCAACAATCCCTTCGCGGAGGCTTCTTCGTCGTTTGACCCTGTGGGGTCAGCGGAGCCACGATTCCCAAAGAGCTTGTATCTTATTCAGCCGCTGCACAGCGCTTATGAGCTGAATCCCGTCGCCTTGCTGGCCCAAGCCAGCGTTCCCGTTCCCGAGGGACTCGATCTCGATGTTTGGTTTGTCGCGCCGCCACCGGAACCCGCCGCCAAACCAGAGCTCAAAACTCCCAAGTCGAGCAAGGGCAAAGGCAAGGAAGTCAACGGGAGCAAGTCTAAAAGCAAGAAGAAGCAGAAGGAGAGTGATGCGAATGGTGTAGTCGTCCTGACACCAGTAGTGGACGAGGAGCCAGAAGACCACGAAGCGAGAGAGAGGGTGTGTACCCTTTCCCTCCGTGTTATCTTGACTAATTCTCGGTTTTTTGTAGAGGCTTGCCGAGCGGCGAGAACGACTCCGCGATGATCCGTACTACATTATTGATGATCGGTCGGCATCAACCTCCCGGCAAGCGACACACGACGACATTGACTCCATTCCGGTCGTCCATCTCGATGATATGCCTTCCATGTCTTGTGGGTCGCTCTTGTACCCTTTATTTATGCTTACCCTCAACAGCAATCGATGATTCTCACCTCCCAACACTGCGCGCCGAGGCTGTGCCGAGCCACCATGTGGCATATACTATTGATCGCGACGGTGAAATGCCTGCCGGTGCCGTGTCGCCACAGCCCACCTCAACGCGAGAAGGCAGTCACACATCTACGCGAGCAACAACTCCCGCCCTCACCGGCAGCAGTACCCCATCATATGTCTCGTCCTTCCCCCAATACGATGTTCCAGACGCGGACGTTCGGACCAGCACGCCTGAACCGATCAAGGTCACTCGGACGAAAAAGAAGACGAAGAAACGGACACAGGACAGCAGTGCGCTTGTAGAGTCTACTTCATAGCATCAAAGCAAATTTATTAGGTTTGGATACACAGTGGAGAGCTGGGGGATAAGGGGAATACAGAAGCCTTGCAGGGGCTAAACCTGAAAGGTGGTGGTGGTACTAACTACTTGGTGCGGAAGGTCCAAAAATGCTTGTGTGGAGGAGGGTGGCTGGAGGTAATTATCGGTCATCTTCGACGTGTTCCACTGAGTCCACGATCTCGTTGACCAGTTCCATCGTGACTCCGGGTATGATCCTCTCTGCTTCAGTGAAAGCGCGTTGCAGCGCACTGAGAGCGATGCGTGCCTCTTGCGAAGATACTCGCGGGAAGAGCTGAGAACTTGTCACCCAAACACAAACAAACCCAATGAGAGAAAGACATACCGATGCGATTGCCGGCAAGATAACGGAATCAAGCATGGTCGTGTCTGGGAGATCGTCCTCCAGTTGAACATGGTTCATCTTTTCCGTTAACTGTGTCGTGCTACCCCGAGCTGTGTAGGTATCAGAGTATTGGTCGTCGTAGTCGTCGTCATCGTATTCATCAGACGGTTCTCGAGGTAGACTGTGGTGGCTTGCCCTTGCTGCCACGAGATCGGGAGCATGGCGCACAGTTGCTTGCTGATCAACACGTCTGGATACAGCTGGTGACGGTGGTAATGGCGGAAGCTCGCCTTTCACAGTGATGGACGAGTTGGATGAAATATATGACCCAGAACCAGAAGAGCCACCTGAGCCTGAGCTATCGGAGCGTCTCGTTCCATTATTCTCCCAGGTCAAAGGCGGGCCGGAAACAGGGTTGGACGACCTTCCGACTGTAGCGACGTGCCTGACAGTACCAAAATCCCATAGATCCTCAGGGTCTCCTCCTGTCGGTCTATTGGAGAAAAAAATAACATCAGAGAGAGACACGGAAAAAAGAAATGTCACTCACTCTGGCTGGGGTCGAGGGTCATCATCATCATGACGGTCCCCGCCCTCTGCCTTCCATCTCTCATGTCGCTCTATCAGCTCTGTCAGATAGTTGGTCTTCTTGGCCATGCGGATAAATTTATGCTTCAAGAGATCGCGTGCTGTAGGACGCTATAGGAAAAAAAGTCAGAGGAAATTTATCGACTTTGTGATAAGACCGACATCGCGTGGATCGCGCTGCAAGCAGTAGGCCACAAATTCTCGAAAGGGTTTCGAAAAGTTACCCTCAAGCATTGGCGGAGGATTTTTCGGAATAAGGAACAACACCTGAAGCCGATAAGGTCGAACTTGTGCTGGTAATGATATGTTCATCGACGGACCTTCATCGGATGTAACTCCGCGTAGGGTGGCTCGCCTTTGGCTAGCTCTATCGCAGTGATCCCCAAACTCCATATGTCCGCTTTGTGGTCATATCCGCTCTGTTTTATGACCTCTGGCGACATCCAATACGGCGTCCCGACAAAAGTATTCTTCTTGGCAGAAAGAGTACCGGAGAGTTGGCCCGAAACCCCAAAATCAGCGAGTTTCACGTCCCCGCTGGCGGATAATAGGATGTTTGCGGCTGCGGAAATGAGCGCCGAGTGAGTTAGATCTGCATGGCAATACGCACCTTTAATGTCACGATGGAGTTTACCCTCGCTGTGGAGATACTCAAGACCCCGTAAGAGCTCGCGCACGATGATGGCTATGTACTCTTCGCGGAATACGCCCGGTTTCATCTGCAGCGCAGTCAGAATGACACACTGGGCTGGATAAGGAAATCGTGTTACCAAGTCTGAACATGAACCGCCCGAGCAGTATCTAAGAAAGGGTTAATTGCAAGGAGTGGAAAGTCCGAATGACCAGACGTACTCCATGACGATCCATAGGTTAGATCCTTTCAAATAGGAACCATGGTATCTAAAGGGAGTTGAGCGTTCGATGGACAGAGGGGTGCCAATGTTAAACAAACAGCGAAGCCAACTCACTTGGTTACGTGGGGCGAGTCGAGCTGAGAGAGGATTTGAATCTCCTGTTGGATGTCTTCTATCTCGTCCTCAGCACTCTCGAGGTCGATGATCTTGATTGCGACTGTCTTCTGCGTTCGTTTGTCGTAACTAGCGGGACAGGAATGAGTGGCGGGGAGAAGGAATGGTTAAACGAGACGCACCCTTTGTATACTTCTCCAAAGGAGCCCTTGCCTGCAGCCGGGTGAATGAAAGGGCGGGGTTGTAGGGGAAGTAAATGTACCAATACGGTCTTGCTTCACATAGAATTCCTCGGGGTCTTGGTGTTGTGATTCCTGCGGGCAATAAACGCGTGAGATGGAGGTGCGATTGCCGGAGGGAGGGACGGACCATGTCGGAGGTAGGGCGTTGGTTGGGAGAAGGTTGGGGGTCGTGTCACGTCGTAATGTGGTGGATAAAACAGGTGTCCACTAGCCTTTGGTGGAGACGGTGAAGAGGGGAATGAGGGAGTGGGAAAACCTTTTAGATGAAGGCGTTTGAAGAGAGCTGTCGTTACACTTTGAGCACTCTCCTAAAAGGGACGCGTTACCGCAACGTGGAAAAAATCATCATCATATGCATTTACACAAGCTGACTACGCCTCATAGGCAGGTGCTGGCTCAATATACGACTCGCTATCCACCTCCAATTCCTTCTTCTTGTCCAACAAATTGTCTACCTCTGACTCCTTTGAAGTGGGAAGGCTGATCGGTGGGAGTGGCTCAATAACTTGGAGCGATGGCGGAGAAGGGGACAATCGCACAAAATACCTCTCTCCTTCTTCTTCTTCCATACGTCTGAGCTCGTCGATTTCGCCTTGCGACAACCCGTCGTAACCAAACCCGAGTCCCTCCGGTTGATGCCTCGCTCGTCTCTTTGCCTGTTTCTGCTGTCGCTTCTTTGCAAGATACACACGCAAGCTCTTGAGCATGGATGGCGCGAAAATCCCGAAAGCTATTGCCCAGAGTGCGAGAATGAGGAGGGTGAGAACTGCGATGATCGTCAACGGTTTGATTTGGGTGGTGTGTGTGGGCGAGGCATTCAGAACGGAAGTGGTTGCTGGCGAGACGATGGTAGAAGTATATGGAGAGCTTGGTATGCCGTCGGAAGACACGAATTCCACACTTGCGGGACTAGGAAGCGCGTCCAGAAGAGTTGCTTGGTCACGGCGGAGATACATTCGGTATGGCTGAAGCCTCGCAGAGGAAAGTCGTCAAGACTGTAGACAGAAAGTTGCGAGCGTGAGAGGTGGGAGGTGGGAGGTAGTAATGTGTTGACTCTAAGTCTGAGGTTGGTCGGAGGCCAAGTTGAGCGTGATTTGCTGTCTTCACGTGACCACGCATCTCCAGAATATGCTCCTTCAGATAACGAACACGCTACATCGGCCAGAAGATCTTGAGTGATACAACCTGAGAATAAAACTGGGTCGTTTCGCCCATTTAACCTCTCTCATGCTGGGTCTCATTGCATCTGGACTTGTTTGCCGAGTCCGCGTCAACCAGCTTCTCTGTACTTGGATGCAAGCTCAGGCTACTTGACTCGTGTTGGAGGATATCGACGCTTTGCGACAGAGCAGAAGATACAATTTTGAATCTAAGATTAAGCAAAGGCGGAGGCAGGGCGATGGAAAATAATGAGGCTGTATAGTAGCAGCATCGGCTCACATACCGGGAACACTTTCTGCTTTCCCAATGAGCCGACTCGGAATGGCAGCGCCTGATGGTTCCGAGTCGATAGTATTCTTTGTCATCGAGGTTTTCTGATTTCGCGATCTCGTACGGTTTGTAGGAACGAAAACACCAGTCAGAATCCACATACGAACAGTTCGATTCCACCTGAAATGTTGACAGAGCTAATGGAATGTCGACGAGGAACGAGGGATTGCTTCTTGCCTCCGGCTTATTATTAATGCCCATAGGCGTATGCAAGCCACTTCTCGATGTAAGTTCCAGACGCCAAGCCACGACTAGCCAGAGAGGGAAGATATGAACCGGTGTCCAGACCACTGGGAATGTGTTGATAATGGGCCGACTGCCCACCGACGCGGGACCAGTCTAAGATGAAACCGAGTATGCGGTATAACGAGTGCTTCGAACAGTGGGAATGCCTCGGGAACAAGTGATTCACTCGGGAGACGTTCTGTGAGGAGAAGGGAAACAAATTGAAGAGCTTGGCCCCAGAAAACGTGCCATACAAATTCGTGCTACCGTAAGCGTGGTATTGGCGGTTTGCGATGCTCCTGTGAGGGTCGCTCCAGCCCGAAGAAGATTGGTAACGAAACACTCACTGGCGTATGCGTCGTCTCGTAGTCAACATGAACAAATGCCCGTTCAACGTTTGGTAGCGCTTCGAGCTTCTCCTGGAGTGCCTGGCTGACGTCATGTGCTTTCCATAGTGGGGTCTGCGTGTCCATTACAATGTCAATTTCGACAAAATAGTCCTGCGATATGGTCAAATTCGGTCCCGTTACGATAAGATACCCATACGGGACCGCTGTGGTACGCTCTGGCGGTATCTAGCTTGATGATTTGCTCGTTGAACGTCAACGACTTGTAGATGAGAAGTTGGAGAAACTCGTGGGAGGCAGACTTCCCGGCAAGAAGCTCGAACTGTGAATAAATGGTCCGGCACCAAGAGACAGTCACTCCGAGGGCAATCTGCGAAGCGTGAGAGGGAGATGCCACCGGGGGAAAGTGCAAGGCGTACGATGATAGCACCGGTGGGATCCAACCCTACACATTGGTTCTCAGAACGAAGGTTAAAACAGAGAACGCGGTCACGGACACCAACGTAGTTTGCTTCCGCCTGTCGACATCAATATACCTAAAGAAGAATTGAGACTAGATATTTTATTGGGAAAAGGTTAACGCACCAAACGTGTTTATCCACAGATCGTTCCTGTGGTCTTCCCAGAGAACCCTGACCTGAGAGGACTTGTTCCTCAACGAGAAGCAATATAGAAACAGCAGCAGTTTGACGGCTAAATAAAGCGGAATTTTAGCGTGAGTCAACCTGAAGTTTATAAAAAAACCTAGCGCTGCCGCCACCGCGAGTATTGAAGGGAGATGAAATTGCTTCAAGTCGTTGTTCGTTTTTGTGATCAGTGACTGGGCCGATTCCACGATAACGACCAGGTTGACGGATCCCATTCTGGAGTTGGATGAGGATCAGCTTGAGATTGAGCTCTGTACAAACAAGAATCCTGGAGGATGATTAACACGATGAAGGGTTGTAGTGAAGAGTGTCACCATAAACAATATTGCCGATGGTCTCCAAACGCGCACCGCCAACCGGCCACTCGGTGCTGTCGAGGTTTTCCGCCTTTCTGTGGAGCCAGAAGAGCAGTATGTTGCTCCCTGTCCAGTAAGATCGCGTCCATTCTGCGACAGACAGGCATACCAATGTCAAACACGGCATCGATGGCTGTTGCGAGAAGGGAAAGCGACAATGAAGAGATGGCAGCATATACTGCACAAGCCTATTAGCTGGTCATGAAGAGAGCAGTGTCCCGCACGTTGCAAGATGCAAAGACAAAGATTGGCAATTAGACTGGCCCAAACCGCGATTTTAACCTGGGAGTTGAGAGTGGGTGAAGTACGAATAGAAATGACACGTACTGGAAGCCGTGCAGCAGCCTCGTCGATGCGAGCATCCTCTGTGTGGGCTTCCATTGACTTTAGGAGCGAATTTATGAGCTACTGCGCGTCAGAACTTGGAAATTAGCGACAGAAAAAAAGTGGACATTATTCTGAGTTGCATGATATGCCGCTAGTCTCCTTCCGCGTTTTCTTTTACGTAGAGCATCGATTTCTTGAGACGACTTGAATGCGCCTTTAAAGTGGAACGGATCGACCTCAGTGTTGGCTCCGAGTCTTTCTGGGTCCACGTTTGTGGAATAGTGATCTGTTACCACTGTGTTGGCCTGCATTGATGTTAGTGAGCTTAAAGCGCGTTGGGAACTCTAATAAGGGCAGACAATGTAGCGGGGCGATTCGTTGGACGACGAAACCGACGCTTTTTCGTCAAGCATGGTTTATGGAGGACCGCGGGAAGGTCAGAATCTCCAGAGCCCACGCTAAACGATTAGATAGTCCGACCCAACAGAGTGGAAGCCATCAATTACAATTGACCCGGTACCTACCCAGGACCGTGGATGGACAACCCATTCTGCCCATAGTCACATAACCATGAACGATCTCTTTCCCTTACTGCTGGCCTTCGGCTTCTTGCTGTAGAACCTATTCTTGGGCACTTTCAACAATACTAAACCTCTAGCAGAGCTTGCGCTGTGGCCTGGTGTGCGTTGAGCTCGTGTTTGGGCACTCCAATCATAGAAAGCTTCAAAAACCTATGGGAATTACTTGTCTTAAGCTCCCAGTCAGCGAATGGCGACCATACTTTTACACACACGCCGTAGGGCGGGTCATAGTCGGTTCACGGAGGAGATCGAAATGGATTACAGAGGACAGAGAACGTACTAGCGTATAAATTATGTGACACCTCCAGTTCCCTACTTGCTTCTTGACCACCACCATCCTACTACACACACTATGAAGATCCCTGCGAGCTCGTCGCTTATCCTCGCCACTATTGCAATCTCTTCCTCTTCATCGTCACTTGCTGCTCCAACTGGCGAGGTCCCTCCTCATGCTGACTCGTCAATGACAAGCTCGCCTAGCGGACACAATATTGAGGGTGCCGCTTCAAGGTCTCTTCGTCCTGCCGACATGCAAGAGTCGATAGCTCGCGCGACTGGTACATGTCTTATATCTCGCCCTTCGTCTTTCTCACCCAAGATTCAGAAGAACCTCGCGGCCTTCTCGGCGACCTTCTTGGCGCCATTCTTTGCCCTGTTCTCGAAATTGGCTGTCCTCCCAAGTCTCAAGGCGGCAAGCAGGCTATTTTCGAGGCTGCCGCCAACTCGCATCCAACCAAAGACGAGGCAATTGCTGACTTGCAAGCTGCAATCGACATCATCCAGAACCAGCTCTCCGGCCCGCCACCTCCAGCAAACGACGAAGAACCAGACTCCAGCTCATCTGACGCGGACTCTAGCTCGCCAGACGCAAGTGGTTCCACCAACGATAACCAAGACTACAATCCACCCAGCGACGATAGCTCTACCAGCTCCCCCAGTCAGGATACCTCGCCAAGCACTGTTGAGTCTCCTTCGAGTGATGCATCTGGTACCACCTCTTCCGAGTCAACCGAGTCAACACCCCCAACCAGTCGTCGTCGTCGTCGTGATGTGCCCAACATGGGTTCTGGGATGGTTGGTACTGTTGCTGGAGAAGTTCCTGTTCAGCCAGGTCAAGTGGCCAGCAATATTCCTGTCCAGCCGGGTCAAGTCACCAATGCTGCTCCCATTCAGCCAGGCCAGGTCATCAACTCTCTTCCCATTCAACCAGCCACAGCAGCAAACTCCCTTCCCCTCCAACCCGCTCAAATTGTCAATGCAGTTCCTCTTCCTGTGGCAGGTACCGTTGGTACAGCAACTGGTCTCGTCGATGGTACCCTCCAACCTGTCAAGGCAATCGTTGGGAGTGTAGGAGACACCCTCAAGACTAGTGTCGGTGCAGCCCGTCGTGCCTTGCCTATGCCTATGCCCATGCGTCGATGGGCTTCCCGTCCATTGTCTGCTCGGTTCGTTCATTAATTTCCGTCCATTGTCGTCATCATTAACAATTAGCAGTTCGCATGTCCCACCACCCCCTGCCAACCCGCCAGCTGCTCCATCGCCCGACGGGCCGAGTCCTCCTTTTATGATTCCTCCAGTTTCTGCCGATGAACTTCCTTCGAAGGCCCCTCAAAAGGCTAAATCGGCTCCAGGAATGGCTGCCCACGCACCTTCAGACGCAGGTAATGTGATTGAAGAAGTGCCGTCGACTGCGTTTAGTGGACCTGGTATCGTCGTTTCGTATGCTCCAGCGCCAATTGCAGGCGTTGCTGGTGAAGGTCTCAAGAAGGCATCGCCAGCAACGAGCTCAGGAAGTGGTTTTGCTAACACCGGAGCAGACACTGTCGCTGGAGGGGTCGAGAACGTTGGCTCGACTATTGGTTCCAAGATGACAAAACTTGGAAGAGATATTGCATAGAGGATGCGTACAGCTCGATACCTTTGGGATTAAATCTCTCGTTCTTTTGTTACCCTTCACTCTATACTTTCTCTCTCTGAATCTAATTTTGGATCAAGCCTCCAAGTAACTGATCGTTGTGACTTGGATTCTTAAGCGATGCCCGCTCCTCTTTCAACCAGCAACGCCAACGCATACCCTCGATTTGATACCCAACAACTAACCCCCCGAACTCCTCATTCGCGCGCTGGACGAGCAGAGGAGGCATATACCGCTGCTGAACTTGAGCAAATAGACTTTGACGATGACGACTACAACTCGGTGGTCCAACAGCAAAACGCGCCATTGCTGGCATCTTCGGCCAGCGACAGTTTCCCTTCTGTTGGATATCGGAGCCGCGGAGACGACTATGAGGAGAGAATAGCAGCCACGGCTACCGCCAAACGACGGACTGTAACAGAGCAAATATTGGCGCGTTTACCACTTGCCTTATATTCCTCCGTTGCTGCTGTACTTCTCGTCCTCGTATTCGTCTCTTTACGCGAACCCGAGGCGCTGAAGAAGTATGTTGGCGCCAGCAGTAATTCGTCAACTGCCGCTTCCCCTTCGCAATCCCCTTCTCTTTCGACGCCGCATATGCACACCGACCACCTACCAGAAGGCGTCGCCTTGATTTCCTACGAAAACTACACTAAATTCCCGCTGGACCCCATCGAGTATCGCTCCGAATGCATCAAGCTCACGCCTGCTCTCATGAAGCCCCATCCATTCTGGTTCTCGCATGAACCTAAGGATGTGCCACATGTTGACGAGCAGCCTGGGTACCAGCCTCCAACGGGGCAGCCACCCATTTGCAACAGGACTATAACTTATCAGCTGGATGGATGGGCGGGGTTATTGACCGACATAGCGTTGATTTCGCAGTTTGCTGCGCTTGCGAGGGAGGTGGGTTACATCTTGTCGACTCTGTCGTTTTGCTGAAGAGGCTTGTTAGCGCGAGGCGACTTTCTTTGTTGATGATCGCTATTGGAATCGTGGAAAGTGGACTGACCACTTTGAACCCATCCACACTGGTCCTGAGCCTGGGTGTCGCCCGCCTCCCCCAGAAGGTTGTCGCTTTCTTGACCATATTTTATTTTGCTGAATTAGCACAGAGTATGTCGCGTGTCCACGAACAGCAAGGCATTGGGTGCGAATAGTTGTCCAAATTTTGTCCCCGCTCACAAGCAAACAGATTGTCAACTCCAGAACAGCGCGGTACCATCTTGGCCACGCATTTTCAGAAAACTACGAGGATCCCTACGGACATGACCTCAACCGACTGAAACCCATCTACAACGCCGCACAAAAGTCGTTCGAAGCGATCATCAAGCCAAGCAGCCAGTCTGCCACCCTGATAAAATGGGCCCGCGAGGAGATGCAGGACATGGTGACCAAGCACTACCAGGCCCGCTCGTTCAAGGGCCAGTCGCAGGAATACGAGTTCCGCTCTATGGGGTATATTGGCGTGCATATCCGCCGCGGGGACCAGTCACGCACGTGGAAGGTATACGGCCAGCAATATGTCCCTGTTTCAGACTATGTCGATGGCGTGGTGGGTGCTTGGAGTAGGCTTGACCTGGAGCTCTCCAAAGACGACAAACCGGTCACGCCCGTTGCTTATATCGCGTCTGACGACCCTGCGGTCATGAAGGAGTTCTCCTCCTCGTTTGACAGCCACAGGGTATTCTCCCTATCTACCAGCAAGCGGAAAGAGCTGCGAGAACTCGCGAGTCCGGGCGCCTATGTTCAGAACGACTTTATGAATATCGACGAGAAAACGCGCGTCACAGCCACGCGCGGCATGGTTGTCGATTTCGCGCTGGTCAGTGGGGCGTGGGCAAACACAGGCGACCTCATTCCCGATGCGACTGTGTGTGGTATCAGGTACTGAATTTTGTTTGCCATGGTTGGTTCTGACAGACTTGATAGCTCGGTCGTCTGCAAGTTTGCTGTTGTCGCGATGGGGTGGCAGCGTGCTTTTGGCGAGGTGGATGATATGGGGTACATGGACAAGAAGAACAATAGATGGGTGGAGGTCGACAACAGGGGGAGGATTGTGCCGGCCTGGGAGCCATTCCAGGCGCCATAGCAGTCTTGTTATTTATTCTTAAGTATATTCAAGTGTTTGCAAGGAAAACGTCTGCCTATGGCTTGCTCTCTGGCTCATTATTGACTTCAATTTTTCCCCCTTGACACACTTGAAGGCTTTTGAATCCATCCATTATCAGTCTTGTGAAGTTTTCAGTTGGTTATTCGTTCAGAAACAAGGAAGCCATAAAGCAGCTGTGCAAATTATCCACTGTAGCCGAAAGTTTTGTCCATCTTCAAGTTAGGTTCCAAGTTGCTAGAAAACCTAGAGCAAGACAGTTCACTGGACCAGTTTGCGCAATAGCGATACACATTATCAACAAAATTATACACAAATGACAGAAAAGGCACGACTACTTCCTTGCGTACGTGAGCTACAAACCAAGTCAGCACCTGTTGGAAGAGCTATGAGACGAAAAACCTTGATTTTGTTCTCCCCATCCAGCTTGTAGTTGTGCAGCGCGTCTTTCGCCACACCCGCGCTGTTCTCGTCGATGAACTCGATGAAGGCAATGTCCTTCTTGGTCGGGATGAGACGAACTTCGTAGAGGTTGGGGTACTGTGAGAAGAGCGACACGAGCTGGTCCTTGGTGACGTTTTCGGGCAGGTTTTGGAGGAAGAGAATTTTGTTTGGCGGCAGGTATTCGTCTGGCATTTGCACCGTCGGTCTTTTCGGGGCCGGGGTGGGCACAACACCGTCCACTGTCAACATTGTAAGCTGCTGTAAAGCAGAAAAGGAAGGAGGGGCGCACTCTCGGATGCTAAACGCTTCGCTTTCAGCTTCTGTTTTAGCGGATTTGAGTACCGCGTCTTCTCTGCAAGAAAAAAAGTCAGAAAATAGGATGGGCCAGAAAGACAACGCACTCTTGTGCTCTGCCCTCCGTGCTTTGTGTGATTCAAAGTTCTCTGCATCTAGCTTCTTCACCACCGCATCCGACCTCGTCCGCGCAAATGATATTTGCTATAGAGGATCAACGAAAATCGTCTGAAAAGCAGAGTCATACCATGGGTTTCGAGTACAGCGGGAAGCCCTTGACCTCCTTGAGCGCCTTCTGGGCTATCTCGGCTGAGGAAAACGACACAAATGCCTGGCCACGCATTCGGAGATTGCCGTGGGCGACGACATCCAACACCTCCCCATACGCCTTAAACAGACTCCGCAGTGATGTCTTGAGGACTATACGCATGTGAGATTAGCTCCAAAACGACCAGTGTAGAGTCATTACCCTCAATCTTGATCTTTTCATTCAGGTTTTGGATGTACAGTGTCTCGGAAGTAAATTCTGGCTCTGCAGGCGGTTCTGGCGCTGTTGGTTGCTGGACTACACCGTCCATTGCATCGGGGGCTGGCGGAACAGCGACTTCAGCCATGATGGTCGAAAGAAGGGAGGCGTTGTTTGGTTCCCAGGCCAATCACGTCCGAATGATACAACCAGATAAAACTCGTAAATATTATCTACTTCAGTCCGTTGGCCTCATCGAATACATAAACCCCGTAGTCTGGCTTCCAGATCGCAGCTTTGACGCGCGCACGGGCCTCTTCCTTTGTCCACGTGACGTCGGCACTCCCCTCCTCGACTGCTTGCTCCGCGACTGCAACAGCGACTTCAATGTTTACTTGTGGCGCGTCTGCAAAGTCAGGCAGCAGCGCGTCATCCGGATCTTGAAGGGCAGGGGCTAGAGAAGCAAGTCGTCGAGCGCCGGCAATGATCATTGTGTCAGTCATTCGACGAGACTTAGATATCATAGCCCCAAACCCAAGGCCAGGATAGATCAGCGCGTTGTTGCATTCCGCAATGATATAGTCACGGCCATTCGGCGTCTTCGCTGGAGGGAACGGACTGCCGGTCGCCAACAAGGCTTTCCCCTTTGTCCAGTCGTTGGCATTCTTCGGGTCCACCTCAACAAGCTTGCTTGGATTCGATAGCGGGAGGATTATCGGTCGTTCGCATCCAGCCGCCATGGCCTGCAAACCAAATTTAAGAGCCAGGTAAAATGACAGGAGGGAACAACATACCTCGATAACCTCACGAGTAAATGCTCCAGCGTGCGTCGAACACCCAATAAGCACAGTGGGCTGCACCTTCTTCACCGTCTCCAATAATCCAATTTCTCCATTGCCGTTCTCTTTTACCTCCGCCCATTCCTCGTCCGATCGAACCCACTCCCGCTGGTCCTCACGAATTTTGTCTTCTCCAAGCGATTGCTTGATGAGCCCGTTTCGGTCAATAAGATAAAATAGCGCAGTTGCTTTGTCGCGCTCTACCCCGTCTGTGGAGACGATGGCATCACGCAATTGGCGCGCAATGCCTGATAGTCATTGTTAGAGGGTAGCTTTCATTTGGGTGTTGAAACGCACCAAGTCCAGCAGAACCAGCACCATAGATTAGATACCGCTGGTCAGCCAAACGGCTTTTAGTGACTCCAACAGCCGCCATTACGCATGAAAGAGTAACAGCGCCAGTCCCTTGTCTACAGTCGTTGTCAGAATGTGTTCACGTAGTAAAGTGAAGTAGACATGCATATCATCGTTAAATACCGCATGGGTGTCCTTATATCGACGAAGCAAACGGTGTGCATTGGTCACTCCGAAGTCTTCAAAGTGCAGGAGAGAGTGTGGGTAGTGTTTTCTAACAAGTTGCACGAATCTAAAGGAATCAGTCGCACAAGTCGTTTCTGTCAATATATATACTGACTTGTCAACGAATTGGTCGTATTCCTGTCCACGGACGCGCCGGTTGGGCCAGCCAACATAAAGATGGTCATTGAGCAGGTCTTCGTTATCAGTCCCAACATCAAGGACAACAGGCAGGGCCTGAGAAGGGTCGATTCCGCCAATGAGACTTGAACTGGTCAGCGTCTTGTTTGCTTAGGGACAAAACCATCCTACGAATATATCACCGATTTAGCCGATGATATCTAATCAAATCTAAGCCGTTGAAGTAAATATAGAAACCCACATACGCCTATGCCCTACATGGCAGAATTAGATTTCAACGCCGCATGCACAGAGGTAACAGTGGCTCACCCCGACACCTGGTATTGATTAGCCACTGGGAGTGAGCAAGAGGTAATAGCGGACCTTGGTCGCCGATACCCAAGATCGCTTCACTATCACTAACCACCACTAAATCTATATTTCTACCTTGGGTTTGCTGGAGGAGGGTAGGAGAATTTTACTCCTTCCGATGGGACAAAGACACCTACCTCCAGAAAATCCTCCTCCATTGTGTCCTGGTTAGGGAATGTTAAATATAAACCCTCACTCCGTCGAAATAAGTGCGAGTAGTCGGAAATGGCCTCGGCCTCTGTGGGCGTGTAGATGATTGGACTGAACGTCTTTAAGCATGCTACAAAGCGAGTACTGACTTCTTACATCAGCTCCCGAAGATGCCTAGCAAACTGTTATCGGTGGAAGATCCCAAGCCTCCAAATCGCACCTAGAAAGAAGGGTATAGTAGAGTACGATGTTCTGGCTCTTCAAGCTCTGAAGAAACGAGTTTTTCCGGATAGCCGATTCCCGTCCTTCCAGTTGCGCATACGCACGTTCGCATTGCTCGTCAAGAGTGTTGACGCGTGAAGGAAGACGCCCAATGAGCCCAAACTCCTTGCGTTCTGCGAGGGTGAATGCTGTTCCCTTGTTGAGTCGTGGGTTATCGAGTAACTCTTCGCCGCGCAGAGCAACTCGATATTGAGTGGGCGACATGGTGGACAGAAGCAATGTGAATTCCGGCGCCGTATTTATGTCCAAGGTGTTTCATGACATCACATGGGGCCCGTCCCTGCCCGCGCGAGCTTCTCCAAAATAGCTTTCAGGCATCGATAAGAACTTCAGATTCATACGTGTGTTCCAAATAGCTTGAGATCATACACGGTTATTCGACCAAAAAAATCCGAGCTCTCCTCAAACTCCAATCGCATCTTCTGAATACCGCCGTCGCTGGTCGCGGGTAGCAAGAACTCCTGGCGTTTGTTGGTGTCTTCCGGGAAAATGTGAGTCAGCAATTCGTAGCCGTCGCCTTCTTGTTTGGAGATTTTGACGGCACATCGAGTTCCAACGAAGCCACCTTGGAATGTCAGATGTATGCTTTCGGGGACGACGCGGTCAGGGAAGGTGACTTGGATGTATTGAGGCAAGCCCTAAAAAATTGAGTAATAAGACAAGTGGGCTGCATGTTATCAAACCTGCTGTGAGGTCCAACATGTTTCTGGACTGCCGTCAATTAGATGTTTCTTGCCAGCCTTCTCGAGCGTAGAGCTCACTCTGCCCTCATATGAGCTGCTCGGAGTTCGTCGTATAGCGCTAGCCGCACTTTATGGGTGTGTCGGGAGAGAGCAAAGAAACCATTGCAGCCGATCTCGTGACTTTCTCTTTCAACTCTCACCACCATGTTTCGCTCAAGCCCCAAAGCTGCTGCATCCAAACCTCTCCCTCCTTGGCTTTCAAACAAGTCCAATCGGAAGACAGCTAATCGCGCCTTGCAACAACGCGAAGCTACTCGATCTTACGTCCGAATATTGTATCTCGGACGACTAGAACGACCAACAGAAGTTCCCCACGAAGTCTACACACATTACTCGACAAGCACCAGCTGCTCTCCGACCAACAATGCGAAGAACCGCTACGCTGATATCACGGTGTACGATAGAACACGCGTAGTTGTCTCTGGAGAGCGTTATCTAAATGCGGACTGGTGTTTGGAGCGGTATGGGCACAAATACTGGATCGCAGCTCAAGCAACCATTCCGACGACCTCCCATGCTTTTCTCAGTCTTCTGTTGCAGCCCATTCCTACTCCCTCTTTCACATCATCTTCGCGTGTCCGAACTGTAGTCCAACTCACCCAACTGGTCGAAAGTGGCCGTCGGAAGGCAGATGCTTATTTCCCTTCTGAAATTGGTCAAACGATGGTCCATGCGCCCGAGCGCAGTCACCCTGGGCCTGCCATCGTGGCCACTCTCTTAGAATCCACTCAAATTCCCGATGCTCGTTGCATCAAGTCCACAGTCTCCATATCATTGAAAGACAAGCCAGAGTCGGCTGTTACTTTCCAACATCTATTCTTCACTGCCTGGCCGGATCATGGTGTACCAGAGCATGAGGAGCAACAAGCACTGATGAATTTCGTCAAGCTTGTCGACAAAACTAACAGAGACGAGTCTGATGACCCAGACCCTCCCATTGTTGTTGGCTGCAGTGCAGGGGTTGGTCGCACTGGCACTTTCATCGCGATATCATCCCTTCTCAGAGCGCATGGCTTATTACCCGCCGCGTCCTTTCCCTCCATTCCTTCTCTTTCTTCCCCTCTTGGGCCATTTCCTAATGAGGAGGATCAGGTTGCTCAGGAAGTTGATTGGTTGAGGGAGCAGCGTCCAGGCATGGTCCAGCAACAGTCCCAGTTGGACCTGATTTATTCATTACTCGAGTCGGCCTTGTGATATAAGATCTGTATATCCTTACCGTGACGTTGTCTGTCGCAGCGATGAGGTGGATTGTCGTCAGCGTTAGCTTTGGAGTTTGCATGTACGCGTCACTCCTTCTTCTGTGTCGCACTCGCGACTGCTCTTTACACTCACTTTCTCGTTTCCGACCGTTTGCGTCCAAGTTGGCGCGCACGATGTCTTCGCCTGCCACGTCAACACCAGTATCTTTACCTCTAACCAGAAGTACCATTGCCATTAATCGGGTAAGCAATGGTAGTCCGTGCAGATTGTGGAGGGTTTAACCTGGTTTCAGACCGGAAACTACAGTGTCATCGAGGTTTTCAGCCTTCTCGCCTCTACCCACCCCGAATGAACGCGTTTCTGTAGAAAATTACCCTCCCTTTGAGGCCTCACCCGAGCGATATCGTTGTCAAGGTACACCGACGCGTCATCGCGGCCGAAAGGCAATGACTTCTAACGATATATTCTAGACAGAGTATTTGGGTATTAACTTTCTGGACACGGTATTCCTACTTCTAAGGCTCGTTACTTGCTGAACTGACGCGTATTCCCAGCATATTCGGTACGACTAGTCATCAAGCAAGAGTCTGCACATTTGTTGACTTGTCGCTAAAGCAGTGGCGCATATGGGCAACCGCCTTTCCCCGCTGAACTCGGAATCGAGGCTTCCGGGACGGTAGTTGCGCTCCCGACCGACCCGCGCGTCCTGAACAACCCAGACTACAAAAAGCGAGCATATACGGTCGGCTCTCGAGTTGCTCTCGTATGTCTTCGTCCGAACAAAATTCTGAACATCATTCAAAGTTCATCCACAGCTGTCTCAAGATGGCGTCCACTCCGATTATGTGGCCCTGCCCTGGGATTACGTCCACCCCGTTCCGCAAGATGTCTCCTCGAAAGTTGCTGGCGCAGTCCTTCTCCAGGGGCTGACAGCTTTGTCGTTTGTCGAGGAAGCCTACCCGGTCAAGAAGGGCGACACTGTCCTGATCCACACTGTTGCGGGCGGGACTGGCTTGATGTTTGCGCAGCTTAGCAAAGCGCGTGGGGCCACCGTCATTGGGACGACCTCCACTAAAGAGAAAGCAGAGATCGCAAAGGCGCATGGTGCCGACCATGTCATCTTATACAAGAATGAAAACACCGTGCAGCGCGTGTTGGAGCTGACAAATGGCGATGGGGTCGACGCTGTCTTCGATGGAGTTGGCAAAGACACGTATGTGGAGCATCTACTATTCCACTCGGTATCCTGATTTTTTCCGCAGTTTCTACGCCAACTTCAAGCTGCTCAAGCGCAAAGGCACGTTTGTGTCACTGGGAGATGCCTCTGGTCCGGTTCCGCATATTTCGCCGGGCATGTTGGGTCAAAACAACCTCAAGTTCATCAGAGCAGCAGTTCCGAATTATTTCGTGACGCCAGACGAGCGATACCACTATACGACGTGGCTGTGGAAAACCGTCCAGGAGGGAAAGTTGAAGGCGGTGGTCCACAAAGAATACCCATTCACGGCACAGGGAGCACAGGATGCGCATCGCGACTTGCTGGCGAGCAAGACCAGTGGCAAGCTGTTACTGAAAGTTGAAGACAACTAGACGGAGCAGAGACAAAATGTACCGAATATTGATTGGCGAGACACCTTGAAAAATGTGATTAGTATACGCTACGTCGAAAGGCCGTATGCTTTTTGCAGTTCTTGCCGGGAAGGTAGTCACTACCCAGTACCATAAGCTAAGTAGGTTCAGCCCACCGAGACCATTAATAGTTGCTGTCATTTGCGTCGCATGCTTGCCGCCACAATGTTGGGCGCTTCTAGCGTTTCCCAAACAACATTCGAACGATTGCGCAAGATCAAGCAAAAACTGCAAGACATTAGTCAGCTCTCCGTGGGCGGATCAGTGCGGGCCGGTCGTGTCCTGTTCCTTACGGAGTCCCAGTGCACTCCCACTCCAGGTCAGTGCGCGATGTCCTTGGGGTCATTTTCCCGCGCAGCCCTTTCCTCCGTTTCTCGACTGAGATTTACGAACTACTCCAGACCGATGTCGATCCCTGCAACCCAAACTGCGATCGCGATTAACCAGGCAAGTACTTAATGCTCATAACCTCAGGCTTGTCACCTTTGAGGTTGTTAGGCTGGCGATTTCGATGTCCTCGAAGTGAGATCTCCTCGTGCGATGCAACTTTTGAGTTCTAAATCCAATTAGAAACTAACCCTTCCTTTCAAACCTGCACCGAGCGACATTGTTGTCAAGGTTGCAGCGTTCGGGTTACAAATCACCTAGCTGATGTGTTCCAGACGGAGTACCTTGGCGTCAACTTCATCGACACCGTATGTTTACAAATACACTTGATGGAATAACGCTAACCTCCCATAGTACTATCGGTATGGACTGCATTGACGAAAAGCCTGGTGTAAATACTCCATAGAAAAGGTTTGTATCCCGTCAAAGGATTCCCAGCTATTTTGGGCTCAGAAGCATCTGGAACGATTTTGGCATTGCCGACCGACGAGAATGTGCTGAACGATCCCGAGTACAAAAAGAGAGGGTATAGTGTTGGCGCTCGAGTTGCTGTGGTGTGTCATTATCCAGCGAAAAAAGCTAACAATTTTTAACAAGGGTATACCAGTGTGGAGCTAGTATCTTTGGTTTCCAAGCGGATTATATTTCGTCGCCCTTCAAGATTGTGCATGTGCTGCCTGAAGTCATTTCAACCCAGACCGCTGCCGCTGCGTCACTGCAAGGCCTAACTGCTCTGACCTTCGTTGAGGAGGCGTACCACGTCAAGAAGGGTGATACGATTTTGGTGCATACTGTTGCAGGAGGGCTGGGTTTGCTCTTCGCGCAACTTATCAAGGCGCGGGGGGCAACAGTTATTGGTACAACGTCCACCCAGGAGAAGGCGGAGCTGGCCAAAGCCAATGGAGCCGACCATGTCATCCTCTACAAGGAGGAGGACACAGTTCAGCGTGTGTTGGAGCTCACAAATGGCGTCGGCGTTGACGCAGTTTTCGACGGGGTGGGGAAAGACACGTAGGGATTATAAACGGCAGATGAAGAGATACTGACTTCGCACAGATTTGACAGCAACTTCAAGATGCTCAAGCGCAAGGGGACATTGGTGTCAGTGGGAAACGCATCTGGAGCCGTGGCTCCGTTCGCAATCAGTCGTTTAGTGGAGAAAAACGTGGTGCTGTTGAGACCAACGTTTGGTAACTATTGCCAGACGGCCGAAGAGCTCCTCTATTACACAACGAAATTGTGGGAAATCATTGGCGCAGGGGGTTTGAAGGTCAAGATCCACCAGGAATATCCGTTCACTGTTGAGGGGGCAAAAGAAGCGCAGAAAGATTTGACCAGTGGAAAGACGACAGGAAAGTTACTGTACAAAGTTGAGTAGTGTACATGGTGGCCACCTTGAACGTGAAGAGTCACGGTGTTACGCGTCCACTACTGAACGCGTTTGTCGATTACTGCGGCATTTTCTGCGTCTTATCCATCACACCAAACCGCTTCTAAACTCCTCTTCGCGGCTGTGGGAGGCTAATGACATGGAAAACAAAGACACCATGAAAGCACCGTCTCGTAGGCCACTCCCTACTCCGAGCCACAAACATACCGCCTCCGCCTCATCCATAGAAGTTCCACACTCACCAACAGCTCTTTCTACCTCCACGACAACGTCATCGTCAATATCATCCATCTCAGTGGCCTCTTCCGTACCCGCTTCTTCCATCGCATCCTCCAGTTCTCAGCCACCTGCCCTCCCCAATCGCCCAAAACTTGGCTCAAGCCACACAACCATATGGTCAGAGCCAGAGCAACTGCCGTCATACGATTCTACAATCTCCAGTACTTTCCGCGAGCCTGAGTTGGTGCCTGACACCGGCGATGACGAGATTCCAGAGCTCATTTCTGCTGAGCAAGACGCGTGGGGCGCGGGATCGAGCTGGTATCAAGACTCTTTCAGCCAGTGGAGCGACAATGCGTTTGTTAGAATCGATGGTCGCAATTTGTATGAGGAAGAAAAGTGGTATGTGGTAGTGAAAATTTTCGAAGAGTTTCCTTGGCTCATGCCCGCTTATTTGCTAGGTGGGACCCATGGAGCCAAGCAAGCGATAAACCTGGAGCAGGAGTACTACCTCCGATGTTGGCCGACGAGCTCCATTCTCCAGAGCACACATTATATTCAGTCACCTTTTCCAACACACCTGGACAGCTGCGAACCTCTGGCACTGTGCAGCCGAGCACAGAGAATGCCCCAACAGATGTTGAAATCCGCTCATCGACAACCCCACATCCTGACGCGTATTATTGCCCTAAAGACCATGGTTGGGTCATCTTATCGTGGGATTATTCAGAGCATCTGCCATCCTTCTTCGCCCATTCTTTCGACGCGCCTACTCAACTCCCACGCTCACCACGAAGAAATCCCGCAAACTGTGCAGATTCGACGGGAAACGCTACCCATCATTTCCACAAATACCCCAAGGCAGTTGACGGGCACTTCTTAGAAGTACCATTCAGGCATGACGAATGGGATGCTTTCGAGACCGTGAAACAAAAGCGCCGCGCTGCTGCCGTTAATCTTGAGGATGTCGACCTGGACAAAATGGAAGAGGAAGACCGAATGGATGTCGACGATAATCAAGAGGGTCCATTATTCGATCTTTATGTGTGCTGCCAATGCACGCTCTATGTCGTTCGTTCGCCAGAAGTAATACCTGCCGTCATACCTCGACCGCTTTGGGACGAGCTGCTCAGGGACAAGAAGGCTAATCCTCAACCGGGCAAGTCTCCGGAACGCTCCGTTGCTCTGGCTATGGAGACCCTACTTATGTATCCCATATAACCACCGTATATTGCTCATGTCTCACATATCCTTCCTCAGGGCGATCGAGAATAAGCTCTGGAAGGGCGAAAACCGAATGCTTCGGGTCACTCGCCCAGGGTTTCAAAACAAGATGGGATGGAATCCCACTGTGTGAGGGTCTCTGTTTTTGCTCTTGAATGGCGCCAATATCCTTTATAGACAGAAAGTCTTCGAGTTACTTGGTTTCACGAGCGACACTTTCGACACTGAGTCGGGTCTTCGGCCTCCCACCACCGATGCCAAGTTGCCGCAAGGCGAGAAAAATCGAGTCAGACTTCTTCGTGCATGGGCGGAAATCGGTGCTTGGACGGCCAATTACGAGCGATCTTACCGTAAGTAGGATCTCTCATTGGCCAAGAAGAGATTTACACTGTTCCAGCTTCCTTGTTACAACACGAAAACAAGGGCTACCCACTCTGTGTCAAGTTGATACCAGCACGGGAGAAGTACCAACTTGCCATCGGTGCCCACCCCGATCAAAGTGGGTGAATATACAATCTACCTCCAACCTTTTGACGGTCTTGTCAGTTCCTCGAACGGAACTGAGCCATAATGCTCGATCCAGCCTCGAGAGTTTGACCAAGGAGTGGCGTATCTTCGGAATGACTGCGACTACATATTCTCCTGGTTCGTTGACCTTCCGTCCAAATCATTTCATTCATTTCCCTCTCATTATGAACAGACCTGCTGGCGTTCGCTTACTATGCTCAATGTCGATGCGATCCTGCTCGAACTACTGAATACTTCTCTGCCCTGGGAAGGCTTATTCTGCGTTTCAATACGACAGGGATAGAATGCGATTTATTGGAGAAAGTTCATAGCTCCGAGTCAAGTCGTGGCCGGCTTTCAGACGAAGACATTAGGTCTGCGCCTGAATATCTTGGTTTTGGTTTCGACGGCATCCTTGGCGTTGAATACGACAAGGATGTCGATGACGAGTTCATCGAAAACGCCTGGAAAGAGGCTGTCAAGAGATCCTGGCGACAACTTGAAGGCGGAGCGCTCCAAACCAAAGCAACGGCGGCACTCAAAGTTCTTGCGATGACTCGCGGCAGCCATCAACTGATGAAAGTCTGGGAGAACGCGCAGCAAGTTGTGATTACCCCGGAACAAGCCTACTCTACTTTGGAGCTATCTCAGGACATAGACATGGATGAAGCGACACTGATAATGATATTCCAAGTCCGAGTACGTGCATTGATATCTGCGCTCAGCACCTGACTAATGGTGTCGTAGCTGGATGAAGCCACAGCATTACAGGGACAACGAATGCGTCAGGCGATGGAGGTCATTGCGGAACATCGTGATAGCATACGATTACGCAAATTCTTGGAACTTGGTGTTGATCGTAGGTCTTGCGTTTTACAATGTTTATACGCTAATAAACTATCTCTAAGCTGGTGTTATTGTCCCGCCAATTCGCTCTGACATTCCTCGTGGCATCAATCAGCTGGGAAACACCTGCTACCTCAATTCGTTGTTACAGGTAGGTTGACTGCTACGTATCAACCCAGGCTTAACTTTTTCTCAAGTATTTCTATACCATCAAAGACCTCCGTGAAGCAGTCATGTCGATGAACGGGCTGATCGTCAAGTCTGTAGATGATGACAAGCTCACTGATGATGATTTAAGCCGACATCGGGTTGGTGGTCGCCTCGTCACCCGTCGGGAGATAACTAGGTCCAAAAAATGTGTGTGTGTTTTCGTATTCCACGTCAAAGACACTCATCTTAGTGTCCTAGTCATTTCCTTGTTGGCAAATCTATTCTGCGATCTCCAGTTCTCTGAAGACGCGGCTGTAACTCCTGCGTTAGAGCTGGCCAAGTTGGCATTGGTGACGTCAAAAGACGAAGAAGAGGATGAAGACAAGGCCAACACAGACTCCTCGAATGATACTGACGCAACTTTGGTGGAGGAGGGTGGTGGGGTCACCCGAGGTCCATCCCAGAACAATAACGCGATGGATGTCGACAGCCCCAGTGTTCCGCCTCGTACAACATCTCCTGTTACCAATGGAGAAGCGAGTTCCTCGAAAGCGGTTGTCAAAAAGGCTCCACCATTGCCGCCTCGGAAGCCGGTCGAGTCTTCCGGCTCTGAGATGATGTTTGGTAGGTCCTACCACATCACTGTCAGTTAATACAACTAAGAGGATCCCATAGGCAAACAGCATGACGTCTCGGAATGCATGGACAACTGCATATTCCAAATTGAAACTGCATTGCTCAAATTCGATGCCATTACGGGGTCTGAGGACGACAACAAGACTAGCGTAGTCAAGAGGCTATTTTATGGCAAGATCAAACAACGTCTCGCGTCAGACGATCTCCAATCAAGGTCGTCGATCCATGAGAAGGAGGATCTTTTCTCACATCTTCCTGTCAACGTCAACGACGATGGTGTTGACATTTATGACGGCCTCAGCGCGTACTTTGACGATGTTGTCGAGTTTGAGGGCAAAAAAGTCCGAATGGAGGTCACTTTGGTCGAGACTCCGCCGTTACTCCAGATCCAGTTGCAGGTGCGTTGTTTCGGGATACAGAGTGACCGTTCACTCAGTCTGGCCTCCAGCGTGTCCAATTCAACCGTGAGACATTGCAACCATACAAGTCCCAGGCATACGTCAAGTTTGGCGAAACGATCTATATGGATCGTTTCTTAGACAGTGCGGACCCCCAGAAGAAAGCACGGGCCAAGGTTATTCAAGGAGAATTGACAAGATGTCGGGAACGTAGCCGTGATCTGCTTTCGCACAAGGTGAGAAAATTTTGCCCTATTTTAGCTCAACCGTAATCAACCTTTAGACGGGACGTTGTGCGCCAATGCTGGATTATACTGCCCGTTTCTTGTCCTCTCAAGCGCGCGCAGCAGGAGTTGATGACGACCTTCTCTTGAGTTTGCAGGCAGAACAGCAACATATTGGTGGCGAAATCGAGCATCTCCAGGTGCGAATCAAAGCGCTCAAAGAGGAACTCGAGGAATTATGGCGCGATTGTAAGGACGCGCCGTATGAGCTAACCTCTGTCTTCATCCACCGCGGGTCATCGCCTTCGTTCGGCCACTACTTCTTCTATTCGCGGCACTTGCCCACTGAGCCCGACTCGTGGTTCAAGTACAACGACCAAGATGTCACGAACATCAAGAAGAGTGAGGTCCTCGCTGACACCACAGGGTCGACAGCCAATCCTTACTTGGTGAGGAAACTGTAAACACTCGTCAATTATTTCTGACCCAAGTACACAGCTGGTCTTTGCGAGAAAAGGCTCAGAGGTCGTCGACACGGTGAAGCGCCTGGACATGAATTTAACGCCTATTTCTTGACCGCACAATGTACCACTTCCGCATCGCACACGCTTATTTAATCATTTTGCATCTCTTCGTATCTCGGCGCTGCAGCGTAGCCTCCGAAGAACCTTGGACGACTAGTAGTAGTGGTTGTTGTTGTGGATAATGCTTGTAGCTCGTTGGATTTGTTGTATGAACTAACTCTGAATGGTGGAACTTACAAGTTGTACTATGCCTCGTCCGGTTTCTGTTTCTTTTCCGCTGCTTGAGCAGGCTCGGTCTCCGCTGTGGTCTCGAGAGCATCGAGAAGACTGTCAAGATTGCCGAGAAGTGCGTCCAGCTTGTTCTCGACCCCTTTGGCTACCCCATCCGCATTCTCCAATCGCGCAAGTAGTTCTTCGATGCTGGCTTCGCCCGATTCGTCGAGAGTCTCTTTCGAAAGCAGCTCGCTCAGCGCGGCGACGTCGGCTTTCATCGACTGGGCGATCTGTTTGGCTTTCTCTTCGTTGTCATCGCTCGTGGACGAGGAGGAGGTCATGAGCGAAAGCGGAGATATCAAATCACCTTGTCACCTTGCTTTAGTAAGGTCCCCCCAGGGTCACAACCTGGCACGATCATGATCTATTGATGGTGACCCAGCCAAACATGTACAAACCAACCCGAACGACCGTGGCCAAAAACCCCAAACCTTCGATGAAACCTCGGTGAAAGTCTCTACGTAATGCATATTACATAAAGTCACATCTTGTCACCTGTCGTCATTTGAAAAACTCGAACAGAACCCTCTGTTCTGCTGAGGTGGCAAGGGTATGTAGCAGTGTGCATGCTGGAGTGGGCCACGCGGACGGAGGTGGTGGCTGCGGATAATGGATCGATGGGTCACATACAATGCTCATATATTTATCTAGTCAGATTGCGCCTAAGTTGATATGATGGTGATCCAGCTCAAAATGGAGGCTATTATCTGATTTAATCAATTTGTAATGATGTCACAACGCGTCACAGCTGCATTTAGCTTGTGTTCTGTCCTCAATAATGGTTAAAGAAATATGGAAAATTTTAATAATACTTGCATACTATTATTCCACATTATAGAACCCTCCGTTTAACAGAAATAATTTAAATAAAATTTCTGTGAGGATCAAGTAATTGTAGAAACTGCGTAGTCTAGCTTAGAAACACCAAGGAAGACACAGATATTCTGGAATAACAATGAGAGACAGTGACTAAAGAGGCAGTGCCAATCTTACAATATTGCAAATACTATAGTATTTCAATCAAGTGTCTGTGACTTTTTGAATTTTTGAACCTAAAAAGATTTCTTTTGGTTTAAGGTGATTTTTGACAAGGAGTTTTTTTGGTCATTATAACATGTTACACAGACACTTGATCTAACCAGTACAGTGATCTATATAAGATCTTAGATTTTAGTAAGTAATGTGAAGGGCTATAATAACATTTCAGCAGATGTGTGGACAATATAAGCAATTAACAGTAAAATTTCTATGAAGAGTATACTATACTAAAGTGTATTACTACAACTGTCACATAATTATAACACACCTGTACAACAATAATGCCCTGAGCATTATATATTATATAGTGACAAAAAGTATCCCTTGTTGACCAGATTTATAGGGTGGAGCACGGGTCCGGGTCCGGGTCTCAGAAGGCTGACCCTGACCCTGACCCTGACTAACCCTGACCCTTCCGGGTACGGGTCCAACCGGGTCCGGGTTGACCCACGGGTTGCAGACATGGAAGCAGAAGATGTATTTAGGACAATAATTTTGACATAATATACATTTTGCTATATGATATTGACTCAGATATAGTATATGTAACCTTTTCCTCAAGATTTTGAGCATATTCAATCTGATTTACTTCTATGTCACATGTCACATGAGTGACATGAGTGACATATGATTTTTTTTGTCTCCCAAAAACTAACAAAAATCATGTTTAGATAGGGAATTGTCCCATCATAACAGCTTATTGGACCCTCCGGGTTGACCCTGAAGGGGTCCGGGTTTGGCCGGGTTCAGAAATAGATGTACCCTGACCCTGACCCTGACAGACCCTACCCTGAAACCCTGCGGGTTGACCCTGACCCGTGCTCTACCCTACAGATTTAATAATAGTTAGAAGCTTGACCACCATACTGTAGTATTTTAATCAATTCGGCGCCCAAAAAAGTGTGTGACATCGGTGCCAAATTGAAATTTTCGGCGTCCGAGGCCTCCGAGTGTGACGACCGCCGAAAATTTCGCAGGGCCGCGCCAGCCGAAAATGGTCAATTTACCAGGTGAATTCGGCGTTTGTTACTGTTGCATGTGACTGCCGAAAAAATTTCGGCGTTTTAACGGCGGTGTGACGCGTGACCGCCGAATTGATTAAAATGCTACAGTAATATCTCTAGAAGAAGAAGTCAATTTGAGTGCAAAAATATCAATTATCTGAAGAAACTTTCCAAGAATAGACCAGATCTGGCAAGCATAACCATGATGCACCTGGCCTTTAATAACAAGCCTTGTATCATCTGCTACACTTACCATTTAATGGACCACCTGTTATGTGTTATGTCAAGGAGAGAGGAAGTAGAAAAACTAAAGAGTATATACACAGAAAAATTAAGGGCACACAGCTGGACCATGCATAACAATTGCCTATTTAGGCAGGTGCTTCACAGGATCACAGGATTGACTCACTGAGAAATCATGCAGACAAACTATTGTAGTATGGCCAATTATTATAGCTAGTATAAGGAAAGAATAGTCATAGGATTAGACTTGTATCAATAGTTCAAAACCCAGATATGTGAATCTGAGAAGTATCAGATCACAAATGTGACAATATGAAAGTTTATTAATCAAAGGAACTGTATGTATAGTACACCTGTTTGTCCCAAAAATGACTTGTGAATTCACAGTGTTGACCCGGCGGGGTAACACTGTGTAGCTGTCAGGGGATGAGGGTCCAGGTGCCTAGTTGATACCAAAGCCGGGGGAACAGCCCCACAGCCAACTACTTAAGTACAGGGCTATCTGCGCACGGACCAGTCACGTGATCAGTCACAGCTATCACATCACATGCTCCCCTTACACCAACCCCTCCTCAAGATCCGTCGCCTTGACGGATAGGCGGAGTGTAGGGTTCCGCGAACTCGTATTCAGGGTCGCCAGGGAAATAGAGGTTGTCGCCTATAACACGCGATGATTGCGCAGGTACGCCCCCTCGTTGGGCCGTCTGTCGATTGCGCTGCCGACCGTGCGCTACCGCGTCAATCTGCATGGGAGTGGAAGCCACACTGGTATCCATCCGCATGGGAGAGGCGCCTTGGGTATGCGAGACTCGGGTAAATGTCGACGGAGTTCCCATAGCCACCGAGGGTGCGAAGGGGAGTAGGGTTAGGCTGGGGAGTAGGGAGAGTGGAAGCCGCGGCCCGTATAGGTTGGGTAGTGGCGGCGGCGGGCTGACGGGGTAGGGTAGACGGGAAGAGGGGAGAAGACAGTCGCGAATGCCCAGCTGGCCCGCCCGGCGGCAGTCGAAGCCCTCGGATGAGCGGCAGGACGTGCGGCAGTGGGGGCGCGGGGCACCTGAGACTGGCCACGGGGCACAGTGGACGAGCGGTGCAGAGCACGGTCGACATCCATCTTAGTGGCGTGGGACGCAGGCACAGGCGCGACAGGGAGGGGGGGCAGGTCCCGCAGCAGACGGTGGCTGACGTTGCTTCTTCGCACGGACACGCTTACGCATGAACCGTTTCCCAAGCGCAATAAGCGCTTCACCGATTTGCTGGTCGGTTCCCGGATAGAGACCCGGCGCTCGCCAGGCGCAGCGCGATCAGAGAATACGCACGCAACTGAGCACCGGAAGTGTCGTGAGCTTGGTGGAGACCCTTGCCGCCCACCCACGATATGCCCGACAGCCGAGTCAGGCACCACAAGCGTACAAGAGAAGCGCGTGACAGTGTCGGGCGCAGTAGGGGGAAGGTTTCGGCAAGTGGTATCGAAGTGTGGGCCGCAGCGATGACGGCAGGGGTAGGGGCCGGGATTGTTGGAAGAACCCAGCGACTGCCGTCCCAGACACCATGGAATGTAGGACCAGGGGAAGGGGGGAGCAGGGGGTGGAGCAGGTGTACCATACTCAAGACGGTCTAGACGGTCGGTGAGGCGAGTAATTTCGCTCTGCAGGGAGCAGGCAGTACGAATACAGGTCGACAGGAACGCCGGGAGTCGTCATCGGAGGAGAGAAGGCAAGCACAGTAGGGTGAGGACAAATATAGGAGATAGAGAGGATCAACTGGGGCTAGAAGAGTGCCAGAGTCGATGTAGAGGCTTTGGTATGCTGTCAGGGGATGAGGGTCCAGGTGCCTAGTTGATACCAAAGCCGGGGGAACAGCCCCACAGCCAACTACTTAAGTACAGGGCTATCTGCGCACGGACCAGTCACGTGATCAGTCACAGCTATCACATCACATGCTCCCCTTACAGTAGCAACAGAAATTTGCAAGGTTCTCATAGAAATGAATAATCCATGGATAAAGGAATGAATAATTGTAAGTTTTTGAAGTTTCTAAGGCGATTTTTGACCAAGTCCAATACATTGTAGGCTTATCAGTGGTCTGTATAGTATGAATAATTTGAATAATATCGATAAAGTCTATATGCTAATAAGATAGTCAGCAGAGAATGAATAATAATGAATAATTCAAGACCTGAGACCCTAGGCCTGAGTTCAGCGCCGTCACACCGTGTGACAGGCATGACAAATTTCCCAAAAAGGAAATTTTCGCCATTTAACACTATAATCATTAGAAAATGTCACAGATTGTCACAAAATCAAAGTTGTATATTTTGGTTGTATAAACAACTTTTATTAAGTGATCTGTAGTAACAGCTCAATAGTTGTGCCAGCACTAGCCAACCACTAGCTGATCCATAACTGATGAGATGATATCTCAATAACAAGATAGGTTACAGAGCTAATTGAAGTACTACTAAGAATACCTGAATGATTGGGTCAATATTCACATCAATCTAATGTTATCTGTATATCAAACAATTAAATGATTATGCATCAGACTCATTGATTCAGCAATGTATCCTCTAATTCTTTCTAAATTCAAATATTTTTTTCACTAGTAATACATAGGTAGTTATATTGTCTTGATGTGTTCTCATATGAGTATAGTCTCATATCCTTATACCATACTGTTATACCACTTTTCTGTAGTTTTTCTGCTTCCAATTTGATCAAGCACAGTGATGGCCTGATATTTGGGTCAGGAATGCATGGATAATTATGATCTAAGTTGTGTTCTAGGCAGATAGATGTCCATCATAGCCCTGTAAGACACACCTATCTTTAGGCAATCTACATACCTGCATATAAGGCATATATCCTGTTATTCTAATCTCCCAATAACTCACTTGGACGTAAGGAATTCCTAATGAGATGAAGGTAGGAAGCATACAGAGGGGTCCCTCTGAAATATGACATGCCTCTCATAATTTACCATCCATGGAATCTTCTGTT